AGAAAGCAGGAGTAAGGCAATATGATATACGCTCAGTACCGGACAGGGCACAGCAAGAGCAAGAGGGAAATAAAACTCAGTTGCCGGCGGAGTGCGCACCGCATACGTAATCCTCACCCGGACAGACACGTTTACAGCAAAGTCCACCCCGCCCCTGTCGCTTTTTTCCGCAAGGCTAATGACATTTCTACATTCCAGGCCCCTTCCGCGTACATGAATTTCGTCATCAGTCGTCGGCTAGCAGTTGAGTTTATCCTCTCTGGCGTTGGCATGTCATATCTGCTCTCCCGCACGGCTTCAGTAGGTGATGAAACCGATCGTGCTGCGTCGGATTCGGGCTGACTCTCTAGCTTTTCTCCAAATCTGCCATGTCTCCGTGGGCGTTGTCAAGGAGTTAAGGGGGAGGCCGGAGATTGATCTCTGGGCGTATGGCGTATAGCGGACGACGAAGAGTATGCGGTGTACGCTACAGCTGCGCATCCTCGCATCTTCTCCAACACTGTATCTAAATAAATAATTATTATGGAACGGTGTTATCTCGACTTCTATAGTTCTGCAGCACCTCTCTCTTCTACTCATATGCGCAAATCAATCCCAGCGGAGAAAACCGTGGACCTCTGGACAAAGCGCTGCGACCCCCGCTCTAATAAGGGTGGAGCTAAGGATCTTTAGCCCGGCTGGCGCTGGCACGCACGCATCATCGCCTATTGAATTCTATTCGGCTATGTCGATTTAGAGCTCTTCCTAATGCGAGGCATTTTGAGGGAGGCCTGTGTGTGTGCGTATATGTCAGAGATGTCCCTTTGTAATTTTACAATATGTAACTTGTGTATCACGTGATCGTTCAAGCTCCTCTAGAGTGCTGCAGCGAGCACCGCCGCGTGAAGCATTGAGTTCTTGATTGTTCAAGAGAACATTGAAGTCGATACTAAGAGGGACCTGGAGGAGGACACGGAAGAGGATGGGAAGGGAGGGTGTAAGGTACGCATCACGTGCCAGCTGTAAATGATATCGTGCACGATCCATTTCCCGAGATATCATGTGGACGAGCAGCCAACGGTGGGCACAGGAGTGCCGGACTAAGCTAATTTAAGACAAAAAGAGAGCGCCAGCGGGTGGGCGCCCCGTTTCAGCTGCGCTCATGCGAACTGTAAGTTCGGAATGGATAGGCAGAAAACAAAAATTGAGCAAGAAGAAAACCGACGAAGAAGAAGAAGACGAAGAGCAGCTAAAAGAAAAAAGCAATGCGGTTTCGGGACTACCGACCGAGACCAGGAAAGGAAGCAGGAAAGGTCTGTTTGTAAAACTCTTCCTATCGCTTAAGTCTTTAGAGTCTTTAGCGGCCGTTTGCGCTTTTTTTTTTTATTTTTTTATTTTTGTTCTAGTCTAGTCTTGTCTTTTGATTTGTCTTGTGTTTCTGGTGCCTGTTTGTATATCGTTTTTGCATTGCTTGTGCTTTCAGAGACCGCAGAAAGGAAATGTCGTTGCGGGAGTTTTCTGAGTACAAGTCGTGGCCTCAGACAGCGAACGTTGGAGCCCATCCCTTGTGGTTGTTTCATGGTAATTTTCGTTAATTGATGTTTTCGGTGTCGGACCTGTAGTCCGGCTGCGAGTGACGTCAGTATCATAGCGAGCGCTCCCAGGAAGGACAGCACTCGCGGACTGGCTGTTTGCTGCTGCTGTGCTGCTGCGCTGCGCGATGACGTCTGTGAGCGTCAATGCGTGGAGCGAGCACAGAAGTAGAACAACGACGGGCCCCAACCGAAAAGCCCAAAGCTTGAGCGTAAGCGACTGGATCTTTAGGAAGCCAATGATCTCTGATACCCAGCGCACGGCGGGCGGACTGGCTCTGCCTCGCAACTGTTTCCTATCTGTTCATTCGCCAATGCTAGAATTGGTCGAGCGGATTGCGGTGCGGTCGCTATATGACCCGGATCTCTATCTCGTAGTCGGCGCACCTGCCCCCCTGTACGTCCCAATAAGCTTCTCTGGCACCCGAGATCCAGCGCGAGCTACAGAGACTATATCTCAGATATCTCTAATTGTGTGCATTGACGCACGCTCAGTCAAGAGCAAGCAAACGGTCGGTCCTGACGAATGTGATTTAAAGTCCGCTCGTCCTGTTTCTCGTTTACCCTCAAGCGGGACCGTTTGCGATCAACGGCAGCGAATACTATAAATCTTACTATGTCGGATACCGCGCTCTAATTACCGACTCAGCCGTCTCTCCCCTCCGTATGCGTCAGAGGATGTGATAACTGCTCTTGATAACTGAATAAACATGAGGCTAAGCATAGCAACAGCATCTTACGACTCAAATTCGACTTTGCGTGTGCTTATGAGATGTGCTGCCGCTCAGTCAAGACCGAAATACGGCCACTATAATGACGCAACGCGGGAGGTTTATGAGATTCGCGTAGTTTAAAGCTAGATTGCGCCTGCTGCTATTTAGTGACCACGAGTTATTCGCTGCAATCAACTAAGAAAAAACAGAAAAAGAATAGAATCGAAACATTTATCTAGAAAATACCACAATTTACAAGAATTTCCATCCAGAGCTCGTCGGCGTCTCTACCGACTTTCGATCTACGGTCGTCATGCTGCAGCCAGCAGGAGCCACCTGGGTTTCAGCCATACCTCTCCTCCACCTACACGCGCCACATATCCTCGCAAGGGTCCCCTTCCTTATACTTCCTCCGCGACTCCTCCCGTGCTCTCCACCCTTTTCGGTGCACAAGTGTCCTGTGCGGGGTAGTGGGCATAGCGAGTGCGAATTCGGACGCCTGCTATACTTTTGCACATCCGAAGGCTGTCGTAGTTGGCAGCCCAGCCGTCGGCGATATACGATCTGGTCGTCTGCTCTGTATCTTTGTTTGTCTTTAGGGAAGCGACAAAAAGCCTCGTCACAGGATTGCTCTTAAATTCTCCCTCGACAGTCGTGGAGGATCGATCGTGGCTGGCGTATTCAAACATCACAGCTGCGTTCTGCACACGTACACTTGCAAAGTTAGCGTGTCGATCCCGTTCTTTAAGCTCCAGGCATTTACGTATCTATGTATAGATGCTCCTATTTTCCAATATCTTTGTAGACATCTCAGACGACTGACGCGGCCGCAAAGTGAACGGGGGATTGAATGCATACGCAGTAAGTGGGAAGCGTTCAGCATTTCTTCGTACGAGATGAAAGTGTGAATACGGTAACTGAATCAGGAACGCTAGACTGACTGACTCAGACCGGCTCTCCAGTAACTGGAAACAGCAGGAGCAGCGTAATTCGCCCTTCTACTAACATCAAAGTGCTTTCTTGACCCTCAATAATCCAAGCGCGCAGACTGGCTCTCGTCGTGGTCTACGGCTCTGCTAAGCCACGCGTGCGTAATCTTTCGCCGTCGTAATTCATTTCTAGCTGATGATCGTTCTTTCAGAGTACGCCCAGCCTACCCCCGACGATCCAGAGTCTGAAACCAGATCCAAGCTCTCGTGTGCAGTACATATACGTACCAGTATCAACGGGGACAACTCTGCACGCTCGTCGTCTTGGATTAGCGGTCGTCTCCGGATCAAGAGCCGAGATGATGTGGTCCGGTGTCTGCGTCGGTGCTTGCTTGCCTACTCCACCGCGCGCGTTCCAGGTTGTGAGCTGTGTGACTTTAATTTCATCTTCGGAGCTACCATCTGCGCATACTGTCGGCCAGCTCTACACCTCTTTTGCGATATTTTGTACAATTGCACAATCAGGCCAGGAGGAAAAATACGATTGGTTCAGTGTGAATTATATCGCGTATATCGGTAATTGCTGTTTTAAAGCGGCACTGTAAGGTCAGCCAATTGACTTTTTGCTGTGACGAATACTGGAATCGTCGCCGATATTCCCATATTTGCTAGCAATTTGCAATTCAAGGCAATGTACTAGATCTACTTTGCTTTAGAATCTCTATGGAAATCCTGTCCGTAATACTGCCGATAGGTGACGAGTAAGCGATAAGACAGGTGGCTTCCATCGCGATCTTATCTCTTGACGCCTACGGTGCTCGGAGGTTTAGCACAGATGCTGACATATCATTTTTGCTAGTTATTTGTTTTAAGCAGTCTCAGCACATGTCTCGGACTTGAATTATCAAGATTGGAGACATCTGCCGGAAATTCACGCTATAAATGGGAATCGTAATCAGCGAAATGCACAGGGCTTCAGATGCTCCACAGATTCTCTTGACGAGTGACGTATGCGCCAGGCACCTTCGACAAGCGCAGGCGAGCCTCAACGTATCTAGTCGCAGTTATCGAGTGTGTGCGTATAAAAGCCAGAGGTCGAAACTTGACATGCAGAAGTTTAAATGCAGCAAGATGAAGAGAAGACAGAGGATGAAACAAATCCTCCAGCCCTAATTTGGAGAGGAGGGGACCCTGCGCGGATGGCCTCGTCGAAGAGCGTAGATATCCTGCCAGGTCCCAGGTGCTCACAGCTGCTCCTCCTCGAGCTGCTCGCGGCTATCGCCTAAATGCCCTCGTTCGTGTTCGACAGGCGATAGATCATCGAGATATTCCTGCTGTTTATTTATATTCGCCCTATTCCGTCGGCCTGATATAATTATCCAAGGGGAAAAAGCAAAGAGCGCGCAGCTCGTTTGGGACAAATAGTCACGTGCTGCGGCGCATATACGCTGTCTCTGACGTCACTGTGATTTTCCGTATTTTTCGAGAAGACAGGGCGACGTCTGGCGGCCTCTGCCTGTGTCTTTTCCTGCGACTAAATGGCGGGAACAAGACAGATTATTGTAGTCAATAAAATGGACAATAAGCGCATAATAAAGAGATTATTCTCACTCATATACCTATCGTGCACCTTTGCAGAGATAGAGCGATGACGCAGCCAGAAGCGGATATTAATAGGGTAAGGGTGTGACTTGTGCGACGCGTCTCGATGAGCTCAGATTGAAATATCGCTAAACCCTCGAAGCCGAGCGACTTGCTCTCTTTCTCTCCTCCTTCTTCTCTGGTTTCCCGGGCAGAGAACTGTCAAGAACACAGGCAGCCTGATATTTCGTTGTGATCCTACACCTGCCTTGCTTGTGCAGCATCGAAATAGTTCCCGTCCGGCTGGTCCATGGCCTCTGCTTCCGACACCCGCCGCTCGCCGGCTCCACCGAGCTCGTCTCCCTCAGTTGACTCCGCAAATGTCGCTTCCCTGCGCGCCCTCCTCACCTCCGCCCACGAGATCTACGCCGGCCATCCACACTCGACCACCTCGAATCAGCTATGGTCCGTCCTGGGCTCGCTCGATCGCATGGCCGCTCGTCTAGTGGAGACTGGCTTAGTCCAGTCCGTCTCGAGAGACAATAGGCAAGGACATCATCACTATACTCCAGCCGCTGCCGTCACTACTTCCGCTGTCCTCGAGGCATGGCTCTTGGGCGGCTGTATTGCCTACGTATGTTACTCCCCTTTCTTCTTTTTTCCTTTTCTAGCGACTTCGGCTACCTCTCGGTCTGTCTTGTCGTGTGTGTCTTGTCTTCATTGTTCGCGCGGCTGACCTGCTACGTCGTCATCGATCTAAAGTCTCTCGGTGACATGAATCGAGCTATCGAATGGAACGTCCGTATCCTGCAGGTCGATCCCAAGTATGTTTGTCCCTATCGTCTTTAGAATTGTGATTTTATTAGTATGACTATTTTTGTTAATCACGATCATCACAGCTATGTCGAGGCAATGTCGAACCTCGCCGCCGCCTTTCGTGCACAGGGCCGTGACGCAGACGCAGAAGGCTGGTGGACTCGTGCCGTCCATCTCCGCCCCGCATACTGGGACGCAGCCGACCACCTCTTCTCTCTTCTTTGCGCCCAGCAACGCTACGCCGATGCCGCAAAAGTCCTGAATTACGTCGAGCGGCACGCGACATCGTCCACTTCTCCGGGCGTCGATCTTGCGCGCTACCTCGCCATCATCCACGCCAAGGGCACGCTCTTCTACGCTCTCGAAGATCACCTTGCTGCCGCTCAGGCGTTTTCCAGAGTATTGGCCCACGCTGCTTCGGGAAAGAGTCCGACGGATGACGGAGCAGACACGAATCCGCTCGCGCTGCAGCAGCTCGTCGATCGCATCCGTACCGCTCTGCAAGCCCGCTACGGCTCACGCCTGCTGCTCACACCCATCGAGGCGCGCGCGTGTCTGCATGACGTCTTTGGCGGAGAACTACCTGGACTGCGTACTGTTGAGAACTCGCAGCAGCGCAACGCGATTGCTCAGACCACCGCAAATACACTGCTCACTCTTGCAAAGATCCTGCAGGATGCTATTGCGGCCGGAAATGGTGGCAGCGGTAACGGAGGAAACAAGTTCTTGAAGCAGCAGCCACACGAACATCAACACGCGGATGCGGCAGAGAACGTCATTGGGATAAATAACAACGCTGTGAGCACGTCAAAAACAGCTAATCTGGCCACTCTGGTTCAGATCATGGGAAGAGTTCCGTCGACGCACGATGTCTTGCCGATGTATTACCTTTCGCTTGCCCTTCATGCGTCGCCGAGCACGGCCAATAATATCGGCATTCTGCTCGCAAGTCTAGCACCCGCGCTACCAATACCACATGAGCATACGCTCGCACTCGAATACTACCGTTTCGGCCTCTCGCTCGACCCCCGCCATCCACATCTATACACCAACCTAGGCTCGCTCCTCAAAGACCAAGGCCGTCTTGCCGACGCGGTGAACATGTACGAGTGTGCTGTCTCGTGTGATCCAAACTTTGACATCGCGCTCGCGAATCTCGCAAACGCAGTCAAGGACCAAGGTCGTGTGGGCGACGCTATCGGATACTACCGCCGCGCCGTCGCTGCCAATCCGCGCTTTGATGAAGCCGTATGCGGGCTCGCGAACTCGCTCTCCTCGGTGTGTGATTGGGCAGGTCGGGGATGTACTGGGTATGTTGAGACGTGTGGAGTAGATGAGAATAGCGACATCGTCACGAGTAAGTGCGAGGGCTGGATGATGCGGATTGTAGAGATTGTGAGCGGGCAGTTGCGAAGTTCCTTGACCTGGGGAACAGGCGTTATTGCAAACGAATTGCCAAACATCGTGCGTGAGATCGTTCTTGCGTGCGGGTACTCATCTGCTGCTGATCCGAGGATGAAGCCTTGGCTAGAAGAACTTGCCAGAGCGAGTGAAAGCGGTGTCGACGAAGGCGCAAAGATCGTTGAGATTTTTGAGGCTGCTGCGCGAAGAGCTCGTTGGCGCGCATACTCTGATCGCTACGTTCACCATCTCGAGCCATCGAGCATGAAGCCCTTTCATCGCCCGCGACTGCCATTGTCGCTCGCGCTGCCGCCTGCTCCGACGGTTTTGCCGTTTCACACGTTTACTATTCCGTTTGACGCAGTCCAAGGGCGAGAGGTATGTCGGCGGACTGCGCTGCGCGTGTCGGTCTCTACTAATCGATACTCGTGGCTCCCCGCGGACGTCTACCCGCCTCCGCCACCGCCAACAGAGCATTTGAGAATCGGCTACGTATCCTCAGATTTCAATAACCATCCACTCTCACATCTCATGCAGAGCGTCTTCGGTCTCCACCGAAAGAGCGCGGGCAGCGAGTTCCCAGTCTACGGCATATGCTACGCCACCACGCCGTCCGACAACTCGCCCTATCGTCAGAAAATCGAGCGTGAAGCGCACGAGTTCGTCGATATCTCGGGCTGGAGCACGCAGGCGGTTGTCGAACGCATCGTCGAGGACAACATACACATACTCGTCAACCTGAACGGGTTCACCCGTGGCGCTCGAAACGAGATCTTTGCATGCAGACCTGCGCCGTTGAGTATTTCTTTTATGGGATTTGCGGGAAGTCTGGGTGCCGAGTGGTCGGATTACATACTCGCTGATCGCGTCGCCGTTCCTCCAGACACTGTGCGCCAGATGCGTAAAGCGGACGCACAGGAGAACAAGTCGCGAATCTTAAGACATCACGACTGCAAGAATCAGGACAATTGGGTGTATTTTGAAGACATTGTCTTCTGCAAGCACTCCTTCTTCTGCTGCGATCACCGGCAGTCGGCTCCCGACGCCGTCTCGTCATCTGCCTCGGCTGACCCCGAAGACCGCTGGAACGCGGAGCTCGTCTCACGGCGCAAGATGCGTGACGAGTTATTCCCAAGCCTTGCTCCTGGAACAATCATTCTGGCGAATTTCAACCAGCTCTACAAAATCGATCCCGGCGTGTTCCTAACTTGGCTTCGCATCCTTTCCAGACTGCCAAATGCTGTTCTTTGGCTCTTGAAGTTCCCTGATCTCGGTACCGCTCACCTGCGCTCGTTCGCAACCCGCTGGGCGGGTCCCGAGGTTGCCAATCGGATCATCTTCACAGACGTGGCAAGCAAAGACGTGCATCTTCTCCGGTGCCGGATTCCTGATCTCGTTCTCGACACTCCGGAGTGTAACGCGCACACGACCGCGACCGACGTCATTTGGGCCGGAACTCCAATCCTCACGTTTCCCCGCCACCGCCACAAGATGTGTAGCCGCATCGCCGCGTCGGTGATCACCTCTGCCGCTGACCGCGCCGAGGACGCTGATCGACTGATTGCGCAGTCCGAGGAAGAGTACGAAGTCACCGCGGTCGAGCTGTGTCTCAACGACGGCGAGGAGCTGCTGCAATTGCGCAAACGGCTTTTCTTGAGCCGCGAGAAATCGCCGATCTTTGATACCCCGCGGTGGACTAGAGATCTCGAGAAAACGTACTGGATGATGTGGAATCGGTGGGTGGACAAGGGAGGTGCCGTCACCGTCGAGGAAGATCCGGATCGCAATCTGTACATTTGATATACATATCCCCTAGCATCATCTCCGTCATCTATCTATTTTATTTTTTATCTTTATTTCGGGTTATATCGGCAAGGATCTTGGGTAGGTTGTGCTTAGAACTGATTTCATAGTTGCGTTTTGTCTTTCAGCCTTTATACTATATATATTCATATTCGGGGAAGCCTGTGGGTCAGCAGGAGATGCAAGCTATGCTGACGGTGTGAATATGTACATAGCTCGATTTATATCGTGCAGCAGTTGTTTTTGGTAGTTTGGGTATAGTTACTGCGGTAGCTAGGTGGTTGTCTTAAGGCGTTATATACAGTCGAGTACAGGGAGGAAAGAGAATTAGAATGCCAAAGTGTATTGAATCGAGGAATCAATAAATCAGACCGACAAACAAAGCTATGAAACTTCAAAAGCAGTTCAGGCAACCAATCTTTACTATGTCCACTATTTCCTTACTCTATACGTGTATATACATCGGTTACATTACTTGCATTACCAGACCATGGTATCCCGTCCTTCGACCGGACGCATAGGTCCCACAATCTCCATCTTCGCCACCGCAAGACTGAACGCGTTCTCGCTCTCGCTGTCGGAGGAATCCTTCAGCAACGTATTGATCGCACCTCTGGCACCCGCAGTGGCAGTAGCGGCAGAGTCAGACTGCACACCACCGCGGTACGGAATGACGATAGTGCGCCCGAATTCGGCGCCCCAGACCGCGTCGCCGAGGCCTACCTTCGCACCAGCTTCGTGGAGCCGGATCTTCGGTTCAAGGAAGTGCTCGTCGCTAAGCACGAACGTACCCCAGTGTACGCCAACCAGTCTCCGCGCGCCAACGTCAATCATCATCTGCACTGCCTCTTCGGGATTACAGTGCAGTGGACGCAGATGCGCGCGGGGCTCGTAGGCGCCGATCGGCATCAGCGCGAGCTCGCATCCGGAGCCGTAGACTTTCTCGATCGATGTGAAGATGTCGGGGGAGTAGCCCGTGTCGCCGCAGTGGAAAACAACGGGTTTCGAGTTGTGGAGAATCATAAACGAGCACCAGAGTGAAGCGTTTGCGTCGAAAAAACCACGGCCAGACCAGTGCTAGAGAGATATTAAAGTTAGGTTGTTGTGCACGATCACGATATTGAATAACAAAACGAAACTTACCATCGCAGGCGTGCAAGCGATTTCCCAGCCCTTCGTGTCTTTGCCCGCAATAGCAGGTAGTGAGATCTTATCCCACCACTTCAACTCAACAACTCTAAAGATGCCTCTCCGTGCCAAAAACGGTCTAACGCCAAGACCAACGATCCAAAGGGCCGAGTTCCCGATCTTTTTGATAGTTTCGTCCTCGAAATGGTCCGGGTGATTGTGCGAGACCAGGACGAAATCCGCATGAGGAAGGCTGTCGATCGAGCACGGCGAGGGAATGATTCGCTTAGGACCAAGATATGCTGATATCAGATAGTCGCCAAACACGGGATCGGTGAGGAAGTTGATGCCATTGCATTGCACAAACATGCACGACTGCCCAATCCAAGTGACTGTGAGTCTCTCGTTGCACGACGGAACCTCGACAGTTGGAGAATGTAGGTGAGGCTGGTGGCTATGGTGGTGGTAGTGGTGTTGACTAGATGGAGGAGACGGATCATCTGAGCTCTCGTCTTCGGCCTTTGCAGCGCTATTGCGGTTCGACACTGCCGTCCACGACTCTGCCAGAGGACTATCTAACGCAACATTGGTTGAGGATCCTGTGTCTGAAGAGTAGTATATCGCTGAAGTCACCAAGCTTCCGGTACCTCCTCCAGAGGGTGATAGATTGCCATCCGAAGCCACAGAGTCCGAGTCTTCGCCGGCTGCGAGAGTCGCCGCCGCGCTCTCGAGCTCCGGAGCGGGCTGCTCAAACAAAACCTCGTAGTCGGGAGTAAATGTCGGCAGCATCTGCTCGCGCTGGGAGATGAGTCGGGGAACACCGCCGCGCGGGTGCCATGGCCTATACTTGAGAATCTCGACGATGCGCCAGAAGAAGAAATCTAGAACACCCTGTTCCCGATACTCTCTGAATGGGTTTGCAAACCGACCGGCGATTACGAGCACACCAAACTGCTTCTCTGGTGATGCATGCAGTTCCAGACTGCATAATATATGGCTACTGTTAGCATGGAAAATGGCTATTAGTTGACAAGGGAGTTGATAGCTTACGCCTCAAGATCACCGCTCTCGACCGCCTTCTCTGCGCGGATCCGACGCTGTCTAATCTCGTACAGCCGTGCACCGACTAAGCAGCTGTTGTATGTAGTATATATCGTCGCCAATCCTAGCACAACCTTTATCTTGATCCCCATTATCGGTTAGTCGTTTCGCTAGAGATGATGTGCTGTTCCGAGGTTCAAAGAACGACGATCGTCAAATCCACGTGCAAGACTGGAAGATGTGCCTGTATCTAGGGCAGAGAAAGTGTTCGGTCGCAAGATGCGGTCTAAAATAAATATCGGGACACGTTGAACAGGTCCCCGCAACTGGGTAGGTGTTTGTATCAGCGGTTGCCGAACGTGGGCCTTCGAATAGAGCGGATGCTGAACGTGTTGAGGACCAACAATTTTCAGCGCTTTCCTGGAAGTGGTTGGGAGGTTTACTTAAGATGTTATGTAATACGCGGAAGAATGCCAGAAATGATCATCTATGAGGAGAAGCATAATGAGCCAGATGTCGTAGGTTGAGCTAACAGTCTGCTCTGGCTTCCTAACTACGGCCGTAGACAAGTTTATCAGAATGTACAGGACCAGCGGGAGCCGTGGCTTATTGTTGAGAAAGTGCAGCCTGGTCGGAAGCCCGGCGGGCCGAATCCCCACAAACGCCTTAGATGCTTACATAGATTGATATTTTTTAGTTGCCCAAAGTGGATTAGCGTGCACAAAATCACGCTTCGAACTCGCTCCTGCATCTAATGATCAGCAGAGAGCTCTGCGCATTCGGCTCTTATACACACATTGATTCATCTCAATATGCCTCCAAAAACATATAATGCAGCTGCGCGGAAAAAGAAGAGCATAGGGACGCCGAAGCAGGCGAGGTTGACAGACAGCTTCCGGCATACAAAGAGATCACCATCGGTATCCTTCTCCGAGAAAGATGGCGACGCGACAACGGACAAGGCCAAGTCGAACGTGAAGCAAGCGCCCGTTGAAGATAATGAGGTTATTGAACACATTGATTTACTGCCTAAACGGAAAAGTCTAGATGAGGTGGAGACAGTTGTCGATGTTGAGAAGAGCGCGGCCGAAGAAGAGGAGATTAGTGAGAAGGAAGAGGAGAAGGTCGAGCGATTGGACTATGACGACCCTTCGTATGGTAATATTTTGGAGCATATGATTGAAGCTGAAATCTCAGAACCTAGTATGTTGCTTACTCTGTGTTTGAATACGACGGCTGTCAGAATCTGTCTACTAACTGCTTTACTTCTACCAGTTCACCAAAGCGACCTCTCAACAGTAGAGAAGGTTCTCAAGCGATTTGACCTAGATTCGAGATTTGGACCGTCGTACGGCATGAGTCGACTTGAGCGGTGGATTAGAGCCGAAAAGCTAGGATTCGAGCCGCCAAAGGAGGTGCACACAATACTCACGAGCCGAGAAGGGCGCGACGTGGAAATTCTGAGAGAGGGATACCTGTACGGACAGATTTGAAGACAGTAATGGTAGTATATGGACTTGGGTTTGTGTGAATAGATTGTTGGAGGTATATACCAACTACAGCATGTCGACGCCGACAATTGCCGACAAACGCGTAGGGATCCACAATTTTTCTTTATACTACGCAATCATAGTCACACGACATGCCGCAGTCTATCGCCGTAGCTAAAAACTTCTAGAGCCATATCCTGGTAGCTCCCGAGTGCCGGCACGAGCCAAAAGGGCTTATTTATCCGTTGCTACGCGTATGTCCGGAAGATAAACTCAGGTTCGGATTCCAACTTCGCGATACCGTCGACGCGGTTGACCGACCAGCACGACGAGTCAACGGCGCCGCGTCATGGATAACATACTCTATACAAGCCATTCATATCTCTACATATAAAAACCCTGCATTTAAAAGGTCCTCGGCCGAGCAAAGGAATGCTCGAGGAGGCGCAGGCAGCGTCGGGGCACGGCCAAAGCTCCTGAACCCGAACCGGTTTCAAATGGAGTCGGTTCGGGTTTGGGTTCCACTCCTTCTACCTCCCTCGCTCTCGCTCTCTCGCCAGATCGCCAGTCAACAAAAGACCCATTTTTTTCCCTCATCTTTCATCCTGCGACATTCCATCCCCCCTTGCTCACTCACCTCCTAAGCATCCCCAATCGAACACCTATCTGCAAAGAGTTCAACTATGGCGAGCAAAGTCCAGTCGGCCTCGTCCGGGTCGTCTGTGATCGATGACATTTACCGCAAGATCGAGCGCGAGCGATCCCTGATCACAGGCGCGACCGCGATGCGAAACAACACCTCGAACGCGGACGTCAAAAGTCGATGTGACTCAAATATTCGAGAATCAAGAAAGAACATTGAGTATTTGGAGAAGACGCTTAAAGAACTGCAGAGCCAGCGCAATACAAAGCCTCGTCAAAACTACACCGAGCTAGGTAAGTTCGTCGCGACGGTCCCCTGGAGGCTCTTTCTTCCTGTTGTCTGTTCATGACTACTATATACTAACTGCTACGAAGATCTTATCAAATACGACTCGCCTTATCTCGGTCAACGTATCCAGCTCATGCTCCAGCAGCTTGAATTCAAGCTCTCGGTCGAGAGCCAGTACAGCGAGGGCACCGAGAAACTCGTTCGACTTTACCAGCTTGAAGGCGACCGGCGTAATAAACTACAGGCCGAAAACCAAAAGCAAGCCGAATACCAGCGGATGGAGTCTTATGAGAAAATCTCTCTGCTGAACAAAGCCCTGAAGCGTTATCAGGACATGCATATCGTGTTGGATGATGAAGCTGAAGGTATGTTCAACATCGTTTATGTCTCCGCTTTACCATGTTTTGATGTTTATAGCTAACAACCATCTTGATGATTAGACAATAGAAGTTTCAACTCCCCAAACATCCGTCGACCCCTTTCTGGCCGACTGCGGATCACTATTTTAGCTGTCGAGAACGTCGACCACGCGGCTACCAATCGGGGCCGGGCGCCAGAGACCACGGTTCTAATCAAAGTTGAGGACCCCGTCAAAGTGCGCACTCGCCCGTCTCGCAACGATAGATGGAATGAGACGTTTGATCTTGAAGTGGACAAGGCGAATGAAGCCGAGATCACGGTTTATGATAAATCTGGGGACCATAATGTTCCGATTGGTATGATGTGGATACGACTGTCAGATATTGTGGAAGAACAGCGTCGAAAGAAAGCAGAGGCTGAGTTGGCTTCCAGTGGATGGGTTGCTGCTGACCAGACTAGAGATGTGGCCGCCGCGGCAACGAGTGGCATTCGGCAAATGAATACTGCTAATACTACTGGTGCTCCTCAGCCGCCGGCTCACGCAGCATCAGCTTCGGTGGCTCATCAGCCTATGTTGCCGGTTGCTGAGCAGGAACAGTATGTTGAGGAATGGTTTGTGCTGGAGCCCACTGGTCGTATTCGCATTCGCGTCTCGTTTATGAAGCGCAATCAAAATAAACGGATGATGGACCACCAGCTCGGAAGAGGTGGACTTGGTCGCCAGGGTGCTATTCGACAGCGCAAGGAGGAAGTCCACGAGATGTATGGTCACAAGTTTGTTCAGCAGCAGTTCTACAACGTTATGCGATGCGCATTCTGTGGTGAGTTTCTTAAGTACTCATCCGGATATCAGTGCGAGGACTGCAAGTATACGTGCCACAAAAAGTGTTATTCGAAGGTTGTCACGAAATGTATCTCGAAATCGAGCTCGGACACGGACCCGGATGAGGAGAAGATCAACCACCGGATTCCTCATCGGTTCGAGCCGATGACAAACATGGGTGCCAACTGGTGCTGTCACTGTGGTTATATTCTACCGCTCGGAAAGCGGGTGGCTCGGAAATGTAAAGAATGTGGGTTGACGTGCCACGCGGACTGTGTGCATCTTGTGCCTGACTTTTGTGGAATGTCTATGGAGACGGCGAATAAGATTCTCCAGGCTATGAAGGATCAGCAGACGTCGAAGCCACAGACGCAGAAGCAGTTGCCTACGCCGCCTACTTCTACGTCGTCGATGTCGTCACTGTCGTCGGGATCGCCGAATGAAAAGCGCAACAAGCTGATCCCGAGCACGTCGCCGTATGCTACGAGACCAGAGCAGCTGACGCCGCCGCCACGCACGAGTAGTGGACAGCCGACAATTCAGCCGGTTGGACAGAGAGTTTCGTCTGTGCCACAATCACGGGTGGATGAGTATGCTCCTCAGAGGATACCGGATGCAGAGCTTGCTAAGAAGCAGCAGCAACAGCAACAGCAGCAGCAGCAGCTACAGCAACAACGGCGAACAGGTTCTGGTGGAAGCATTGTGCAGAGGGTGCCTGTGTCTGCGCCTCCTCCTCAGGTGCAACAGCGATACTCGGCTGAGCAGCAAGCCCAACAGCAGCATCAGGCGCAACAACAGCAATTGCTGCAGCAGCAAAAGTTACAGCAACAGCAACAGATGCAACAACAGCAGCAGCAATTACAACTACAGCAGCAGCAACAACAGCAACAGCAACAGCAACAGCAACAGCTGCAGGCTCAGCAGCAACAATTGCAGCAGCAGAGGCAGGCACAGCAGGCGCAGCAGGCAGCACAGGCGCAACGGATGCAGCAAGCACAGCAGGCGCGCCGCAAGATTGGACTTGATGATTTCAATTTCTTGGCTGTGCTTGGAAAGGGAAATTTTGGAAAGGTTATGCTTGCGGAAGCAAAGACCAGCAAGTCATTGTATGCGATCAAGGTTGTGAAGAAGGAGTACATTCTGGAAACGGACGGGGTGGAGAGCACGCGTTCGGAAAAACGGGTGTTTCTGATAGCGAATCGCGAAAGACATCCGTTTTTGCTCAACCTGCACTCATGTTTCCAAACGGAGACGAGAGTGTATTTTGTGATGGATTATATCAGCGGAGGTGATTTGATGTGGCATATCCAGAAGGAACCGTTCAGCGCGCGCCGTGCGCAATTCTACGCGGCCGAGGTGTGCCTAGGCCTTATGTGTTTCCACGAGGCTGGAGTGATTTACCGAGACTTGAAGCTTGATAATATTTTGTTGACGCTGGATGGCCATGTTAAGATTGCTGATTACGGATTGTGCAAGGAGAACATGGAGTACGGGAGCACGACGAGCACGTTTTGCGGTACGCCCGAGCTGATGGCACCGGAGATCATTGAGGGCCAGAGATATGGACGCGCGGTCGATTGGTGGGCGTTTGGAGTTTTGATCTACCAGATGATTCTGGGACAGAGCCCGTTCAGGGGAGACGACGAGCAGGAGATTTTCGGCGCCATTCTGAGCGACGAGCCGCTGTACCCGATCAACATGGCGCGCAACAGCGTGTCGATTCTGCAGGAGCTGCTGACGCGGGATCCGGCGAAGCGTCTGGGATCGGGCGTGAACGATGCGAAGGACGTGATGGCTCATCCATACTTTGCAAACATTAATTGGGACGACATCTACCACAAGCGGGTGCCGCCGCCGTACATCCCTACGATCGAGAGCGCGACCGACACGCGCAACTTTGACCAAGAGTTCACGGCGGAGGTGCCAGTGCTGACGCCGGTGACGACGGTGTTGACGAAGGCGGACCAGGAACAGTTCCGCGGGTTTTCGTACCTGAACAGCGACTCGCTGTGAGGGGAGAGAGGGAGAGGGAGAGGGAGAGGGACAGGGGAGAGGGGAGGGGGGAGAGGTGAAGGAAATTAGGTTTCTATTTTTATTGATGTACGTATATGTTATGAATGATTGACAAGTATGAGAAAAAAGAGCGAGGATTCAGAGAAGAGATGCAGGAGCATGCATGCAGTATATGCGGAGCGCCCTCCAGCCAATTGCAGCGACAGTGTACGGCGAGGCGATCACACAATTCGTGTGATAGCGCGGAGATGAGGTGAGAGCAGCTTTATATAGTTCAGATAAGCGATCGTCGAAGCGAGGCCGAATAGTGGTACCGGCCGACGGCAACTGCCTAAATGTGCACCAGTGGCTGCAGCTGATTAGCCGGCAGCGCAGCCAAAGTGAGGCGTCGAGCGCCGTGCGCCGTGCGCCCCCTGGAGCACAAAGAAGCCGAATCTGGTAGCGCAAAAATAAGCAGCGGCCGCGAAGTTTGTCATCGCCGGCCTCCGCCTTACTTAATAAGCTCTCGCGAGTCGGCTTTAGCGGGTGCGGCAACTGCCATCGGGGGCTGCGCGCACCTTCTCTGCTGATGCTGCTCTTTCTTCGCCTTGACCACTCCAATTTACTTCCTGTCCGTGGCCGCCAGACCCTGAGAGAGAAAGGACCCTTGCCGGAATGTCGTCGACGGAGAACGCCCGGAAGCGGCTCTCGAGAGTACGTTGATCCCCCGGCGGCCTGCGCGGCGGGCCTGCCCACCTTTTACCGATGTTTGCTTTGCCCGGATGTTGTGGTGATGTTGCGCTCGTCTTGTCTGCGGAGCGTGTTGGCTGTCTGTCTGTTGCTAATCCTTGGCCTTGCCCGCTCCCTCCAGGTTCTCTCCGACCTTGCTGCACTCGACCGCGGCAGCGTTCTCGACTACCTCCTCGTCGCAATCCCAAGGGCGCACGGCAGGCCTGATACTCCGTGTCAATTGCACGTCCTGAGCTCGAGCGCGCTCGAGGCGCATCGGCACCTCCTCTTTCCTACTGTGCAGTCCGACCTGCTGCTCTCCACCCTGCGATCAACACATCCCGCATCCGCGGCCGGCGACAATTGCACCAGCACGAGCGCGCGCGGCGTGCTCGACCTCTTGGGGGACGACTGTAGCAGCCTGCGGTGGGGGGACGACTTGCTCGCCGACGCCTCGGCCCTCACCATCCAGCTATCCACCACGCCGGATGACGCCATCCCTCGCTCCCTCACGACCCTGACCTCGACACCCTCCCACCACCACTCCCCCGCAATCGTGCGCTCGCCCAACCAACTCGGCATGCACGGTGGAGCCGGCGGCGGCGGCGGCGGCCCACCTTCCGCGACGCAGCTGTCGACGCCCGCCAGTTGCTCGTCGGCCGTGTACGCCACGCTGCCAGGCACCTCCGAGATCGACGACGAGTTCCTGTCGCAGGCGCAGCGCGTGCGGCCGGCGCCCATCTACGTGCGCTCGACGGCGGAGATCCCCGAGCCGATATGCGCGCGCGATAGCGACCAGCCAGAGTACTACCCGCTCGCCATCTCGGACTCGGCCGCCGTGACTGAGTTTCTGGAGGCCAAGTTCCGCGAGCTGCAGCAGCTGGTGTGCAAGATTGTTGCAAAGGCGTGGATCAAGGTTATCGAGCCCAAGAAGCAGACGAATCATCCTTACAACAAGGGGGAAGGCTATAAGCCGGACTGGTGGCCAAGCCAGGCTCGGCATAAGGAGCCAGACCATTTAATGAAACCGGAGCGGTTGCTGCTGCTGATATCGATGCTGCGCTCGCGCAAGGCAGACCTGCGGCAGCTGAGGAGTGCGACGCTGGAGTACTCGCTAAACATCCCAAAGAACAAGATGGAGGTTCTAGAAGAAATCTACTACGTCGCGGATATGGAGGAGCGGTACCAGCGGAACCCAAGCAGATCAGACGAGGCCCTCATCATCTGGACGATCGCGCCGGAGAAACTGACGAAGAGCGTGCAGGCGGCAGCGGCGGCGGCCGTCAAGGCGTCGAGCAGGTCGATGACGACGATCGCGAGCCAGATGCCAAAGTCTGTATCGCCGCTCAGTCCTGCGAAGCGTGCGCTGGAAGAGGATGCTTATATCAAGGCAGAGGAACCGCCTAGTCAAAAGTTCTGTCGCGAGAATAGCCCGATCCAGCAGCAGCAGCAGCCGCCCTCATCATTACCGCAATCTCAACCACAGCCACAACCACAATCTCAAACTTCACATCAACTTCCACAACAGTCACATCAGCAAGAACATCAGCAGCCATTACCGCAACATGCGGAGCAGCAACCTCAAGAGCCGCCCAAGCCGCAGTATATGTCTGTGCAAGTTCCGCAGCACCCGCAAGAACGGCCACAGTTTGTAGCCGTCAATCTGAATCAGGCGGCGGATGAGCTGCCTCAGGTATTTCCTCATCAGCAGCACTCTGGTCTGCTAGAGCAGCAGCACCAGTCGCAACATCTTCCATATAACTCGCTACTGGTCGGCGGTGGGGGTTCTAGACATCCCTCTGCTTTGTTACCGTCGGCGACTCCGGCTACCGCGGAGGCTCTTACCGGTTTCATACCGCGCGATTCCGCTGGCGGAATAGACAACGCGCATCAGCTTCTGTACATGCCGCGGAGCGTGATGACCAGCGCGAGCACCACGCCGCCTGCGTTCTTTAATGCAAACTCCAGACGGTACACCACCGGATCGATAGAAGATTCGCTCGGGCAACTGGTCCAGCACCAGCAGCACCAGCAGCACCTGGCACCGCCGTCTATGGTCCCGACTCCAGAGCACGGAACGCCTGTGTACGATTTTGTCTCGCCGCCGTTCCAGCAGCATCAGCAGCAGTTGCAGCACCAGCAAGCGCTAGGCCAGATGGCGGCGCACGGCGGCATGCGGAGGGTGCGTCAGCGATCGATGCAGGATACGCTGCCGAGGTCGACGATCTACCCAGCGCTGGGAGCAGGTGCGGGTGCGTACCAAGGGTTTCCTGATATGACTGGACAGGTTCCATGGGACAAGTCTGCGCATGAGCAGCCGCAGGGCCATCAATCCGCCCAGCAGGAGATGATCATCAATCATCACGACTCGTCGTTGATGGACGCGGATCTGGGCTCGACATATGCGCCTGCGTTTGGCGATGAAGGGGACTTAGAGCTGGGGCAGTGGCGAGAGTGTACAGATAATGCTGTTTGAGGGTTTGAAAATCGGGTTTTGTCATGATTAGTTTGTTATTTTCTTTCTTGGTTTCTTATGTAATTCTTTTTTCAGAGGTTATAGGTCGTTAGTGTAGAGTGCTTGGTTTATAATTGTCATTTATGATTTGGATCTGATTTTTGTACTGGTTATTGTGTGTTTTGTTTTGGTTTGGATATTTTGTGTATTTTACATGCTTCTGCTTACTAGAAGAATGCCCAGAGATGCTTGTCGCACTTGTCAACTGTATGAATTGGGTGAATTTAATATTGTTAATAAAGGATTAATGTTATTAGAGAATATTTATCGTTCTCTGAGCCGACTATGGACTCTTTGTATGTTATTTGTTGATCAGTTATTGAACTGCAGAACATAATCACGTGAAGAAAAGCAAACTCTCGATGAGATGAGCTTGATCTGATCCGCAGATCCTACAAATCACCATCACCATCAGCAGCAAGAGCAGAGATTGGCAGCAGATATATACAAAGCAGGTAATATAGCTGTTAAATATACGATATTTCTACAGAATTATGTAACAAATCCAAGCAAAGAGCAAAGGACAGAAGAACCGGTAGCGGATCAACGTCGCGTGCGCGTAAACTCAACTGCGAGCAGATCGACAATCAATAATAATTCAAACAATTCGCGTTCTCAGATTCCTTTTGTTTTCTCTTTCTACAAATTTTTGATTTTCTTTCGCTGCTTATTCTTCTTTTATTTTGTGTAGCAAACATGGCAGCGACTCTGCAACCGCCGGCAAGTCTGTTTACAATCAACCAAACGCGTTCGTCAACTCCCGACTCTTCTCCGCCTTTGCTACGACCGTACCTTCGACAACGACCTACGCGGCATCAACTATCGACGTCGTCTGATGCGGATTTTGTGTCGATGCTGTCTGATCGGCAGTGGCGGCGATCTGTGTCTGCGCCTGGTGTGGGGAATGGTAACTTTTCAGCCGGAGGTGGTGCTTCTGCGATCTCGCCGGCGCTAAAGGTGGAGTCGAAGGGAGAAGGCGCGGAGTCTAGTGACAGTCCAAGTCCGAAGACTTTTGCTAGTACAGGTAGTAAATTGGCTGGGAAAAGCACGAGTGACCAGAGATTCGAAACCTCCCCGGCAGTTGTCAGCGGTTTAGAACCGTCACCATCCCTAACCGAAGCGCGATCGATGCAACCACTCGCGCCTCGATCGATCGAGCGGAGACAGACTGAAGTCAAACGCCGCGACAGCAAGGTTATCGACAACAGACGGAAAAGCACTCACGAGACTGAAGAAGATAGTGCGTGGAACTGGGTGCCGCTACTGCTGGCGCTTAGTCCTGCGTTTGTGGGGATATGCTTCACTAATGGATCGCGTGCGGTGACGAATGTGTTTTTGCTGCTGCTGATGTCGTTGTACCTACATTTCCTGATCAAAGTACCTCATGACTGGTATAAGGATACGCGAGCGCAAGCCGTCAACGCCGAATTGCAGCTCCTGCGCGCAAATGCTCGGCAACTAAGAGAAGGAGCTGAAGAAAAGGAGGAGATCAGACGGCGGATAAAAGCGACTGCTAGGATCCAACGCTGGGAGTTGGTTGCTCTCGGAGCCCTGTTTGCTAGTCCGGTCGTCGGAGGCGTGTTTCTGCATTTCGTGCGGTGGTCGCTGGACGGTGGGAACACAGCGGCGGGAAGCTTGATTTCGAATTTCAACATTACATTGTTTGTCTTGTCAGCATGCGTACGAGCGGGAAACTGTCTGGCCGAGTACTGCAAGCGGCGGACGGAGGATCTCGCGGTGTCGGTCGAGGGCGAGTCGGTCGTTGGCGGGCTGAAGCGGGAGATGGCGGAGTTACAAGCCGAGCTGGCGGTTCTTCGCGAAGTTGTGTTTGCGGTGCGAGAGATGATGGATGGCGGGATCCGCAAGGATGTGGATGCGCTTGTGCGCGCGATGCGGAAGTATGAGCGGAACAGGGTCGAGCTTACGAATGATGTTGATGAGCGCATAGCGGCGCTGGAGGGGGAGTTGAGTAGGTTTGCAGAGGCGGCGGGGGATGCTGGTTTGCGGCAGGGTATGCCGGTGTCTCCGTCGCTGCGACGATCTCAGAATCAGAATCAGAATCAGAATCAGAATCAGAAACCTCGGCGAACAAACTCAGGAGGGGGGAAGGCGGAGGGAGAACAGGGGGGATTGAGGAGGTGGGCGTGGGGGGTGTTGAAGTGGTGTAAGTGGTGTATATGGGATCTACCGTGGAAAGTTGCGAAGGCGGGCGCAAAGATGCCGGTGCGGGTTATTGGTGGAGTTGTGGGTGTATTTCTCGGTTGATGGGCTAGTTTATGACTGTGAATGTATTTGTTGATGAGATATGGATGGAGTGTGGAGGAAGGAGATGAGTAGAAATTACAGTTTTTCACGAGATGATGTGACGGGTATAGCCGCAAGCCACCGAAAGCCACTGACGACGAGTCAAGGAAGATGCGTCTGTGATGGAGATCAGCGGGCGGGGCGGTGCAGCATTTGATGGAGATTCTGTGGAGAGTATTGATGTGTAGGTGGGGAAGGTAGTAGTGGTAATGAAGTTGTGTAGTGAGATGATTAATCGAGATATTACTGAAAGGTAGTTGAAGCACGGAGTTGCTTAAATTGCAACGCAGTTAATGACTGACATTGGAGATGTATTACTGCGTCTTTATTTCTATATTGATTGTATATCTAAATAATAAGTAGGTTGTAATAAGCAGTATATAACGAACAATGAGTAATTGTGGATAAAAAATAAAAATAAAAACTCTCAGCCGAGTCATAGTTTCATTCATCGTCCACTCAACAAGATTTTTCTCTTCGCTATTTTACTCCGCACGCTCCTCCACTTCCGCACGCTCCTCCGCCCGTATAAAACTGTACAATACATACTAATATCCAGAGAATTATACACAGCAATGTCTGAGAAATCATCTACTCCGCGTCCGCCCGTCGACGACAAGTTGCTGGCGGCTAATACCTCGTTCACGCTCAAGACCGGGCTTGCGCAGATGCTCAAGGGTAGGATTACTCACTGCTCTTTACTATTATCTCTTTACTAATGATGCATTCTTATGTCTAGGTGGTGTTATCATGGAGTAAGCATGTCTGAAGACTCAATTCCATCTCAATTCAACCGTATCACATCAACTGACCTCGTCTAGCGTCGTTAATGCCGAGCAAGCGATTATCGCCGAGCGCGCAGGTGCCTGTGCCGTCATGGCTCTCGAGCGTGTGCCTGCTGATATTCGTGCCGAGGGCGGTGTTGCGAGAATGAGCGACCCGAAGCTGATCAACGAGATCATTGACGCGTGAGTGCCTTTTCCTTCTCTTTTCTTCTGATCTGGAAATGTGCTTGGGCTAATGCTGTTTCTAGTGTGTCGATTCCTGGTGAGTTCTGAGATGATATAGTAGAATGAATTTAGGACTAACGTTGTGCAAGTCATGGCTAAATGCCGTATTGGTCACTTTGTCGAGGCTCAGATTTTGGAGTCACTTGGAGTCGACTACATTGATGAGTCTGGTAATTAGCCCTATTTCTTAATTATGAGATTCGATGAGGTAATTGACTAACGTGTTATACAGAGGTTTTGACTCCCGCGGATCAGACGCACCACATTGTCAAGCACAATTTCAAGGTCCCTTTTGTCTGCGGAGCGCGTAACCTCGGAGAAGCGCTTCGCCGTATCAGCGAAGGAGCCGCCATGAGTATGATGAAGCCGTTTGATTCCTGTATGAAGATGAGCTAATGAAGTGATAGTGCGCACAAAGGGTGAAGCAGGAACAGGTGACGTGACCGAGGCAGTTAAGCATATCCGCCAGATCAACCAGGAGATCCGTAAGGCAGCAAACATGCCTGACGAGGAGCTTTTCGTGTATGCGAAGGAGCTTGGTGTTTCGTACCATCTGCTGAAGGATACCGCCCGGAAAGGACATCTCAGCGTTGTCAACTTTGCCGCGTGAGTTACGAGAGCTAAGAGAGAATGGTTTGATATACGGCCTGCTGACTGGTTTTGTATTGTAGTGGAGGAATTGCTACGCCTGCGGATGCCGCGCTGTGTATGCAGCTGGGCTGCGACGGCGTGTTTGTAGGCTCTGGAATCTTTTTGGGGCATAACCCGGAGAAGCGGGCGCGTGCGATTGTGCAGGCAGTCACCCACTTCAACGTAAGTCTACAGAGATTGTGAGTGTGAGAGATGATGCTGACAGTAAATAATTATAGGACGCTAAGGTTCTGGCCGAGGTGAGCACCGACTTGGGTCCGGCGATGGTTGGCCGTACGGTCGAGAGTCTGAAGGAGACCGAGAAGCTTGCCGGCCGTGGGTGGTAATGGTAGAAGGAGTAGATAGTAATGTAGTAGTAGTAGTTAATGTGATATTTTGCAATTACCTGATTTGGAAGTTTAATTTCTGTGACGTCAGCAGGTTAGATCTGTGACTAAGCAAAGGGTTAGAAAAAGCAGTCACACTTAAGATCTGTGCCCCAGAATAGTAGGAAGTAAGTAGAAACAGTGAGTGTATTGTTCTGGGCACAGAAATCAGATAGCAAAGACAAACCCTACAACCACCGGCGGCAGGGCACGCGCAGAGAGTATATGAATCTCAGGAGCCCCGCCCGCTCTTTCTTTCTTCTTCTCTTCTCACCAGCAACTCGTATTCTTTTTGAACAATTTCTTTTACTTCACCTAAAAGAAATCAGGCAGGTGTGTATTTACTACTATTGGATGCAATTGCAATTGATGAATGGTTACTGACTTGTTGCGTTGCTGTAGGATGCGTGCTAAATGGGTATGAATACTCTGAATCACTCACTCGGGGTGGGCAGGAGCAATGGCTAACAATGGTTTTTCGCAATACAGAGAAAGAAGAGAGTTAGAAGATTGAAGCGGAAGCGCCGGAAAGTCAGAGCTAGATCGTATGTTGATTGATTGATTGTGTCTTGAGTGATGGTGATGGATGATACTAACTACTGTCTAGCAAATAAACGTGTCGCGCTCTCTAGTCTTTCCGCATAGTCCTCCAGGCATTTAAGGAGAAGATAACCTGGTTATCTCGTAACGGAGCGACAGACATTCTTGACGGCGTGTTTTGTGGATCGACAGTATAGAAGGAACGAATCAGTCTGAGCGGCAAGGAGACTTGGTGATTGGATTGATCAAGCGTTTATGATTTCTTCTATGGGACCGACAGTGTTTCATGTATCTATATCTCGGGTTCTTGTTTGGAGTGCAGCGGAGGTGATGTAAGTTGCCTGCGCGGCATGACGGAATGGGATGTATGTCGAGATATTGTATATACCGAAAACTTGCTTTGTACTTCTGTTTATTCAATGAATGATTGGAAATGCACTTTGATGTAGACTATTGATCTCTGATCTCTTAAACACATAGACAGTAGTAATGTAGTTGTTGTAACAGAAGCAAGAAAATCTTTCGCTTTGGGAGTTGCCTGAGCCGCACCCGCCAAAGTTGATTATTTTTTTTCTCGTCGACCTCTTCCACATCCACCTCTGCTTCTCTTTACTAACACCCACCACCATGAGCGCGGATCCAGAGCACAGCGGGAAGAAGCGGAAGCATCACCACAAGGAGCACAAGGAGCACAAGAAGGACAAGAAGGAGAAGAAGGCGCGGCTCGAGGCTGACGATGCGGGCGAGAGCGTAGAGCACGGCGTTGATGTGCGTCTTGACGAGCGCAGTACTTTGTTTCTCGGTGTGTTGGCGCTGCTGCTAGTGTTGCTGTTGTGGCGATTATTAACTTGTTGATAGGTCTATTTCCCGGCGTGAATGTGCCGGAGCAGACGACCTTCGAGGCGTACCAGCACAAGGACACAAAGTACCTGATTCACGGCGAAACCGAGCGCATGGAGTTTGACGGGACCAACTCTCCAGAGGAAGATTTGTGGGTGTTATCTTGCTTTTATGTTATTGTGAGCACAGAGCTACTGCTAACTGTTGTGTAGGTACTATGTCGGCATCTATGATCCGGCGACGGAGTCGGTTGAGCTTGTGCATGCGCCGGTGGTGACTGCGGCCCGGACTATCAAAGCGCAGAAGAAGAAGACGATTGTTGACAAGAAGCAGGTTGATGTTCAGGTGTGTCTCCTCTTTTCTTTAAACTGTAACAGACGAAGACAAAAGTGCTAACCACAACTACACAGAACCGCATACAACGAAACGCCCTCGGCGAAGCCTTCGGAACCAAGAAAGCCAAGCGCGCGATCGACGACCTGGCGCGCAACCAGATCGACGCCGACAAGCTCGAGTCCTTCACCGAGTCGATCGTGGACAACATCAAGGCGTCGACGTCGACGCTGCCGTCGGCCGACGAGCTCGCGAAGCAGGAGTCTGAGGATCGACCGATTCCGCCGTGTAAAGAGGACGCGAGCGCTGTCGAGGAGATTTATCCACTCATCGGGGGTCTTCTACAGGCGGATGAGTTCAAGGCGATTCGGATGCCGGTGTCGTTGTTGAGGGAGAAGAGCGCGGAGAAACGGGTGGAGAATTTCCCGGTCAAGAGCTCGAACTACATCAACACGCGCGTCGGGCGGATCCAGAACGAGGCGCAGGTCGAGAAACTCAAGCTGCTGTACTATGCCGCTCTCTTGATTGGCTTTTACGAGAACCGCCGGACAAACAACAAGCGCATGCTGCTCGCCAAGCTGAATCATCCGCCCGAGATCCTCGTCGACGGACTGATCAGACGGTTTGGGGAGTCCAAGGCCGGGCGGGTGGGCAAAGACCTCGAGCACGCGTTCACGGTCACGCCCAAGAACGAAGACAAGCTGCTGTGTTATCTGTTTGCGACCTGTCTCCGCATCGACGAGTACACGGTCGAAGTCCCGCTGCTGGCGTCCGAGCTCTCGATCAGACCGCTGAAAGTGCAGGAGCTGTTCAAGGCGCTCGGGTGTAAGATCAAGCCGTGCACGGCGGGACAGAAGGAGGCGCTGGGGTTGTCGAGCGCGGAGGCGGCGAATTATAAGATGGCGAGCTTGGCGTTGCCGTTTAAGCTGCCGGAGATTGCGAGACGGAAGAGAGCTTCGACTAGGAGATAGTGTGTCGTGTTGTGTTTCTAATTGCATATAAAAGTTCTTCTGTTCATGTAGTAGTTGTATCAATTATCTATCATTATCATACAAAAAATCATCCAAGACCAAACTAATTACCACTCTGCCTCATCAGCTCCTCCACCTCCGCCAACGCCGTCTTCAGTTCCGCCTCACTCCCGCCCTCCGCCGTCGCCCCAGACTCCAACCCAAGCTCATACGCATCCTTCGCATCCCTCAACCTGCCCATATTCTGCAAACACTTTCCCTTCCTATAATGCGCCTTTGTAAACGACCGCTTCAAGAAAATCGCCGCCTCCGAATCCGCAAGCGCCTCCCCCCACGCAGCAGTAGACATGTACGCCTGCGCGCGATTCGAGTACAGCAGACATATCTCCTCGCGCTGATACCCCGCCGCCTCCCACGCCGGCCGCTTCAGCGCCATCTCGATCGCGAGCGTGTACATGCGGATCGCGTCCGCGTAGGCCGTGCGCTTGAAGGCTTGGTTGCCGGAGTCCTTGAGCTTGCGCACTTGCTCTGTCAGGCGGCCGTTGATCTGGTTTGGTGGGGGCGGGACGTCGGCGTTGAGGTTGATGAGGTCCCGGTGGAGGGTGTTGACGGCCGAGAGGGCGGTCGCGAGGGGGTCGTCGGGGGAGGAGGTGGAGGATAGCGAGAGGTGTTTGGTGACGGGGTCGAAGTTGATTGGTACTGGTGTGAAATCCATTGTGCTGTAGTTCAATTGAGCTGTGTGGGTGTATATATGATATGCAGTGTATATATATGATATCTAGTGCAGATATAGATTTGGTGCAGTTGTAGATATCTGATCAGGTGTAAAGGCCACGCGTGAAGAACCAACACCGCAGCGGGGTTTGTGTCGATATCCCACCTCTACAACACTTCCTCAAACTACTTCTCTACATTACTTCCCTACAATACTTTTATACAAAAGATACTCTGCAGAAAGAGATAGATTACTGCTCCTGCTCCAGATACGCCCGCGAAATCTCCTTCACCAAACTCTCGCGCATCACCCGACACACTTTCGCCGCAACCTTCTCCACCCGCTTCCTCTCCCCCTCCTCCTCCACATCGAGCCCATCACCCGCAACGAACTGGACCCGCCAATCAAAGCTCTCACTGTGATTCTTCTGCATCCGCCGACTCTCGACAAACTCGCGCCGCCCCTCACCCAGCACGTCACACAGAAACTCAAAGCTCTGCGAAAACTCCCGCTTGTCTTTCTCGAGCTTGTAAAACAACGTCATGATCTGACTCATGTCCGCGATCGGCAGCAGCATCCCTGATCCTGCTCGCTCGTCCGCAAAGTTCGGCGCGAGTTGGAGAAGCGCTAGTAACTCCGCTATCAGCGCGAGCGCGTACTTGCGCGGTAAATACGCAAACTGAATCAGCGACGCAAGATGCATCGCCGCCTCCTTCAAACTTCCTCTTCCTCCTTCTTCTTCCTCCTCATCCTCTTCTGAGCAAGAACTGCTGATCTGCATCAACTGCTGCCGATAACTATAATAAATCGCATACGGCGCGATAAACTCGCGAATCACATCCGGGCACAACCCCGGCGACGTCAAAAACTCGCCCAAGATAGCGTCGGGCAGAGGACACGCGCCGCCTTGTAGTAAACTGCGCTCGACAAGAGTCCACACGACCGCGCGCGTGTCGACGTAGTTGTGCACGCTGCTGAGCCAGTGTAGCGCGCTGCCGATCTCGTTGCGTGAGAGTTGGAGTTTACTCCAGGCCTGCGGATAGTTAGCCTTTCCTCATTTTTCTTTCATATGAGAAGGAGAGATGCACTTACGGTCACGATCTCGCCTTTTTCTGTGTCTAGTCCGACGTCGTCGCAGACAACCAGTAGATGTTCCACCATCTCCTCATCCTCGGGATATATCTGCGTCACAATCTAAACAACCGTCAGCACTGCATACACTGTAAAAACCACACTCACATCTCATAACTTACATTCCTGATCAAAGTGACATTCTCTTTAACATCCGTATCCCTCAAATACGCGACCCCAACCACAAACAACTCCGGCATCGCAAAACACACCTCAGCATGCCTAATAAACAAATAATCCCTAATCGACGGCCGCTCGATCGTCTCGACGTCGATAAAGTCATCCAGCATGCGCTGCCGATCGCAGAAATCAGCCATATGCGCGGCCACGCAAATATCCAGGCCTTCGGCGCACACGAGCGCTTTGGCGATGTTGTTTGCAAACAAGGCCGCGCAGCCCTCGTCGACTAGCAACGTGCTGTCGATCGGGAACTCCTTCGTCGCGAGATCAAAGTACTCGGTCAGTCGCGCGGGGGACGGGTCGTGAAGCAGGAAAAGCGCGGCAGTGGCTTCCTGCCATGTTTCCGAAAACGCAAAGAGCGTGTTGATGTCGCCGCGGAGGATGCGCGAGAGCGTAGTCAGGCCGTGGCGGAGACCGGGATCGGCAAGCCGGGCGGCGTCGTCGCCGAACGTGATTGCGCGCGCGCGCCATTGCCGGTGGGCGAGGAAAGCCTGGGTGCCTTTTGGCGCGGACTCGAGGACCGAGATTGCGGATTGCAGAACGCCGAGGGTGGCCTGGTCTGGTGCGATGATCGCCGACTGCTTCAAGCAGTTTGAGCACTGCAGAAATAAACCTCTTGTGGCGGTCAGATGGACGAGGTTCCAGAACCCGGGCTGGTCGACGGGTCTGAGCGAGGTCATTATATCCCTAGTCTCCTCCGTCGTCGGCCGCGGCATCGACTGGTTCAACCAGTTCATGACGGCTTCTGCGCGCGTCACGCTCGGATCGACAAAGTAGGTCGCGACAAGGCAGTGGCAGAGCACGTAAGCGTCCGAGAGCGAGGGCTCGAGTGCGCTCGGCACACGACGGCGCCAGGCGTCGACGACTTGCAGGAATTGGTTTGCGAACCGGGGAAGGATGCGCTCGTCTTCGATCGTGGGTTGTTGTGTTGACGCGGCGGCTTCTTGGGCCGCGAGCTGGAGTTGGATGAAGAGATTATGTGATTCCACAATGAACTGAATAGTTAGTATCTTCTTCTTACATATTTCTTCAACAAAGAACACTCACAGAAGAATACTCTGGCGCCCGCTTCGTGCCCGGCACCAAAGCAGGATACAGCTTTGTCTCCTCAGGCAGCACCGGGCCGTCGACTTTATCTGCTTTGAGGTGCTTGCGCGCGATCCAGGCCGCGCCTTCGGAAAGGACAGGGTCCATGAGGAACTTGAGCGTGCGGTCGCGTTTGCTGAACTCGGGAAGCATGCCGCGAGCGACTGGTGCGTCGGGGAGGGAGGTCACTCCAAAGTCGTCGTAGTCGTAGTCGTAGTCGTCGTCGTCGTCTTCCTCATCCTCCTCCTCCTCCTCCTCCTCCTCCTCCTGATCACTCTGCTCATCCTCATCCATCTTCTGATGACTCGTCGACGCCATAAAACCCGACGCAGACGCAGAACTCGCTCCAAACATCGGCTGCTTCGAACCACCAAACGAAAACGCGCTGCTGCTGCTGTTGTTGCTCATGAACCCGCCGCTGTTCGCACCCACGCCAAAATTAAACGTCGGCTGCGAACTCATCGTGTTTGAATGTAAATACACAGACCTTTCTTCAACTAAACACAGACTCCGCTGTCGGGATCAGCAGCTGTTGCGGATCAAAAGCGGAGATGGACGCGTGTTTACGGTCGCAGAGGAGAAAAAGAAATTTAAACTTTATCTCTGCTCCTCATCGACCTTCACTTTTACTCAGTTATTCTACTGCTCTTCTTCTACTACTCGTCTTATCAGGTTGAAAGAAAAGAGAAAAGATCTATTCAGTCTGCAATACACTACTAGTCAGTTCCGCAGGCGCAGCCTGCAGCGTGTCATCCGCATCGGCCGTGATATCAAAGTAATGCTCAGGCTTGAACGGCCAATTCTCAAACGCGAGCAAGAGCTCGATAAACTCCTCGTTCGAGAGATCGATCGGGTGCTTGGCCATCATCTTCGCCGGAAGCTTCTGGCTGAGGTACTCTGGCGCTCCGGGCCCGAGCGACGAGACCGCGCTGCTGAGCGCGACTGAGCTCAGGATGAACAGGTTGCGGAAGACGTACTCGACCGCTGGCATCGAGACTTGGTCTTCCCACGCCTGGATCGGCTTCGGCTTGATATCGAGCAACACAAGCTCGTCGCGCCCGAGTACGTCGGCGGAAGTCAGCTGCACGGGGTTGGCATCCAACGTTTTCTTGTTGTACGGCACCGGCGCAAACTCAGTAGTCTTCTCGCGCACGTCTGAGCCCACGCGACCCAATTTCTTTTGTGCTTGCGCCCTTTTGATTTTTATCGCCTTCGCGAAATCCTTGTGCTCGTAGAAAGTCGCCACGGGTGTGATGTCTGTGAATAGTCCCGCGAGCGCGGCAAGTCGTCCGCGGTGGCGTTCGCCCTGCGTGAGCGTAACCTTCGACGCGACGCTCGCGGTCGTCCATAGCAGCATCCTCACGCAGCCATAGTGCTGCAGCCAGTTGCGGTACATGACCGTGACGAGGAACTGGTCGAGCAGCTGCTTAGACTGGCTCGTGGTCAAGTTTCCGATAACAAGCAGCGACGGGTTGATCTTGTCGGATGGCAGTTTCTGGGGGTTGATGCCGCCGTACTTGATCAGCGAGGTGTACACGCTCCATTTGTAGGGGTCGACTGCGATCGGGAGCATCGTGGGGAGGTCGGAGTTGAGTTTCTTGGAGTATTCGTGGAAGGCGGGGATGTGTTCGAGGGCGACGTGTCGCGAGGGCTTTGTCAGTTCGCAGACTGCCCGTCCCCAGACTCCTGTGCCTGCTGCTGTTAGAGAGGAGAAGATAGAGAGAGAGTAGGAGATACTTACATGGATACAGCTCGATAATCTCATGCTCGCCAGATTTATACACCTCAGTAAGATCCAACTCGTTCAATATCTCACCTACAAGTATTCAGTCAGTCACCTCATCTTCAACTCTTCATTATCACCACACCACCTACCACAACGCTCATAATTCACAAACGAAGTCCGATCGTACAGCTTCCGCTTAAACACCTCCCTCATCTTCTCCGGATCAACAACGCCGGGCTGCACGTCCTGCGCCACCCTCTTTGCCTGCGTCCACACGTTTCTCGGCTTAGCTGGTTGCTCTGCTGCTGCTGCTGCTGTCGCTGTTTCTGTTTCTGTTTCTGTTGCTGTCGCTGTCGCTGTACCGACGTACCTGCGCGACAGAGACATCTGCACAGACACATTCGACCGCTGAACCAACCGGAATGGTCTCTTCATCATCTTTGTACTTGTCGCCATCGTTGTTGTTCTGAAGAGGAAGAGGAAGAGGAGGAAACCGACGAGCGGCGGCGAAAATATTTGGGAGTTGCAAACCTTGTTTGGTGGCTTTACAATATTTCTTCTTTCTTCCTGTTTACTATTACTATCTACTATATAACATATCGTTATAGATATAACTACTTGTATATATATATCACATCACTAACAAGTCTCTGCAAATGATCAGAATGAATGAAAACAATCGGACGCCGACCGCCCTACAATGAATCAATGAATGCCACAATAACTCAACTCGATAACCATCCAAGCAATAGATCAATAAACATCAAAAGAACTGAGGAGGACCAAGCTGCTGCTGCTGCGACGGTGGCTGTAACGTATCCGAGATCTGAATCGGCGCAAGATGATGCATCGACATTATATTCTGCTGCTGCTGCTGCTGCTGCTGCGGTGGATCGAGAACTCGCGGTAGACTCTCGTGCATGTGCGGCAACGACGATCCCGGCGGCGGCAGATGCGCTGGCTGCATCCCTTGAAGTCTGCCGTATCCACTCACGCCCGCAAGATCATACACCGCCTCTCGCGGCGGCAACGTCATTCCCTGTGGCGGCTTTGCCAGATTCAGCATCATGCTCTCCCCGTCTTGCTGCTGCTGCTGCTGCTGCTGCTGCTCCTTCTGCTGCCCATCAACAACACCATCACCAACCTTCGCAAGCTTACTCGAACTCTTCCCTCTCCCCTTAATCCCCTTATTCGCGTTCCGATACAGATCCGCAAAATACCCAAACAACTCCCGATCCTCGCTCGGAATCGCGGCCTCGTCGTAATCCGCCTCCACATACACCTGGAACTTTTGCGCAAGCGTCTCCAGCGCTTTCGCGTGGAACTTGTTCTGATGCGCCTTCAAGTTTCCCAGCTGCGTAAACGTCTTTGTGCATCCGTCCAACTTGCACAAAAATGGCCGGTAATCTTCATGAATCAAAAGATGCGCTCGCACGTTTCCCCGCTGCGCGAACCGCTTATTGCATAGCTCGCAAACAAACGGCTTTTCTCCTGTATGACTCCGCTTGTGCGTCTATTATACCTGTTAGTTCAATTTTCTTCAAAAGCCCTTCTATAAAAACAAAACAACAAAATCTCACCCGCAGATTCCCTCGCTGCGAAAACCGCTTGCCACACCCGGGCACATCGCACACATACGGCCTCGACCCGGTATGACTCCGTCCATGCACATCCAGATGCGTCTTTTGTGTGAAGATCTTGCCGCATCCCGGATGAAGACAAGGATATGTCAGCACCCCCTTGCATTTCTTCTGCCTTCCGTCTTGTTTCTGTGGCTGTTGCTGCTGTTGTTCTTGTTGTTGATGTTGTTGCTGTTGCTGCTGTTGCTGCTGCTGCTGCTGCTGCTGCTCTTGTTGTTCTTGCTGATTCTGTTGCTCTGCCTGTGCCTGTGCCACACTCTGCTCGCCATCAAACGGGAAATACGACCCCGACCCCTCCCCCGGCGTCGTCGACGGCGTCTTACTCTTCTTCAACTTCTCCCGCGCCTGGATAATAACCATCAGATGATCCACCTGCGTAGCCCCCACCGCTGACGCACTCCCCTCGCTAAAGTTCGTCGGTGACCTGCGCTTCGGCTTATTCCGGCTCGAATACACCGACGACGCACTCACCCGCCGCTCAGGCGTCCGCGGCGGTCCCGACGTCGGATTCGGAGTCGCAGTCACCGACGACGGGGTCGATGACGTCGTCGGCGTCGTTACCGAAGGTGTAGAGGCCGCAGACGATGACGACGTGTTGCGCATGATCTGCGGCGATGAATGCGCTCGGCCGAGGAACGACAGCGGTTGGTGCGGTCGGTGCAGGTACTGGATCGACGAGGAGGAGGACGCCCGCCGCGACTGTGGCGGGACGAGGTTGAGAGGCGCGGAGGTGGTGGTGGATGCAGATGCGGATGCGAATGCAGAAGTGGATGTGGGTGTGGTGGATGACGGCGGATCAAGACTGAGCAGACGCAGAGGTGAAGAAGCAGCGACCGAGAGCGTGGGTGTTTCGACCGGCGTGTTTGCGGCAGAGGATGTAGATGCGATAGAGAGGTAGGACGACGAGCCGCCACTTGCGATCGAGGAGGAGGAGGAAAGAGTGGATACGGATGGCCGGTGGAAGGATGACTGCGGGGAGAAGTGGTGCATGTCCGCAGCAGATATAGTAGAAGAAGATGATGAAGAGGAGGAGGATGTAGAAGAAGAAGAGGAGGAGTAGGGGTATTGCTGCTGCTGCTGCTGGAGGACGGCAGGCGGCGAGTCAAAGTAGTCGTGCATGGCATGGAAGGAGTTGATCTTCGCAGCAGTTGCCTTAAGCTGAGTAGAAGGAGTCTGCAGGCCGCTGAGAGAGTCGAGGGGTTTCGGGACGGTGGAAAGAGGAGAGGAGAGAGAGGAGAGCGAGGAGAGCGAGGAGATGGAGGCGGATGAGATGGAGGAGACTGACGGAGGCGGCCGAGGATGCTGCAGCGGCGAAGCAGAGTAGGGGTATTGGTAGAAGGGTTGTTGTTGTTGTTGCTGCTGCTGCTGTTGTTGCTGTTGTTGAATCAACTGCTGCTGTATCTGTTGCTGCTGCTGCTGCTGCTGCTGCTGCTGCTGCTGCTGAGGCCAATGCAAATCCATGGCTGCATCATATGACGACGCAGGCTGCAAAGGCGGAAGATGCGAAGACGCAGAAGGCGAAGACACGGAAGCAGATTCGGTGAATCCAAACGGCTGACGAAGACGAGCAGACTGATCTGACGGCGGAAAGAGATGCGGAAGGTGACTGTGAAGAAGATGAGTCGACGGCAGCGGGTGGGAGGAAGGCTGCTGCTGCTGCTGCTGCTGCTGCTGCTGCTGGAGCAGAGAGTGCGGGAGAGAGTGGTTTCCCTGCTCCATGGTAGGAGGGTATGAAGGGTATGAAGATATAAAAGAGAAGAAGAGACAAAGAAGAGAAGAAGAGAAGAGAAGAAGAAGAGGTGAGGAATAACTGAAGAAGAGTAGCCAAAGTGAAGATAACACCGCCGCGAGCAAAAGCTGCTGCTGCATCGCTCACCTCACCACAACACCTCGAATACACAAACAAATACAACAAACAAACACAGTACAATAAATACAGTCAACAAACTATTTCTTAGCACTTTTACTCTCATCTACATCTCCATCGACATCTGAATCTGCCCTCATCCCCGCTTACGTACGCGCTTACAAACACGCAGATCAAATCTCGAATCAAGATCCGCTCCACAAAACCCGCTTGCTGACTTCCAAATACAATAACAATTACAATGTTAACACAATAAGACTATAATAACACTAAACAACAAAAACAATTTCAATAAACAGTAACTTCCTCTAGCCATCTCTTGACCAGACTCCTCTTTCTTTCATAATCGCTCAAAAATAATAAAAACTATCAAAACACAACTAACTTATCATCTACTCGCTCACTCACTGCTGCCCAAGCACGCTGTACCGCCAGATCCGTGCCCGGCAGTCTCCGCTTCCCGTCGCAAACAGCTTCCCGCTCGGACTCGGCGCAACAGAAATAACACTGTTCTTATGTCCCTGCAGCATCAGCTGTGCCTGCGCCGTCCGCGGATCCCAAAACTGCACTCCGCGATCCTTCGATCCCGACAGCACCCACTGTCCATCCGGCGTCAGCGCAACCGACAGCACAAAATCCTTGTGCCCCGTAAACGTCTTCACACACACTCCTCCCTTGTGGCTTCCCGACAATCCCCGGGCTGACTGCAACTCCCAGAGCTTGATCGTCTTATCAAGCGATCCCGACACAAGATCCTTGCCGTTCGGTGCAAACGCAACCGAGTACACACTGTCCTTGTGTCCGTCCGGTGCCTCCAGCCGCTCAACCAAAAACCCAGTGCTCGCATCCCACACCCGCACGCTCTTGTCCAGCGATCCCGCCGCAACAAACCGTCCGTCTGGCGAAAACGCAACAGTAGTCACGCCGTCCTCAATCGACAACGTCAGCACACACTGTCCCCCTTCCATATCCCACACCCGCACCGTCCGGTCTCCGGATCCTGACGCGATATGCCGTCCGTTCCGCGCAAAGTCAAGCGAATATATATCCTGCTCGTGCCCGCTAAATTGGTGCCGGATCGTCTTCGTCTTGATATCCCACACCCGAATCTGCTTGTCCTCCGCTCCCGTCGCCAGATACCGGCCGTCCGGCGAAAAGCACACACTGCGAATGTATAGATCTCCTTCCCGGTCAACCGACTCGTCCTGCAAATGACATATCCGCTGTCCCGTCTGCACATCGTAAATCTGCGCGGATCGGTTGCATCCCGTCGCAACATACTTCCCATCAGCAGAGAACCGCACGCAGCACACAACCGAGTGATGGTCCAGCGTGTGCACAAGATCAACGTCCAACACCCGCGGCGCGCGGTCATTGTAAATCACAAACCAGTCGTTCGCCTGCTTCTTGTACTCGTTCGGCACCCGATCAAAGTCCAGATCAGCGAGGTTGTTGCCCTGTGGTGGTCCAGGGCTCGCCCGCGCAACGTGCGGCGACGATCGCGAGTCAAGCACCCGTCCCTGCGACATCTGCGGTGTCGTGGCCGCCGCTGCAGGAGCAATAGGAGCCGCAGATCCCTGCTGTGCCTGCTGCGCCTGTGCCTGCTGTCCCTGCGGAGTCTGAGCGGCCGCCTGAGGTGCAGCCTGCGACGGCGGAGCAGCGCCGCCCTGAGGTGCCTGATTGTGGTATCCGTTCAAGTAGCCAGAGGCCCCGTATCCGGCCTGGCCTGGAGGTGGCTGCTGCGGCTGTCCGCCGGCCTGTGCACCAGTGCTGTCTTGCGGAGGTGCAAGTGCTGCGCCGGTAGGTCCGCTCTGGCCAGACATGATCCCTTGGAACACGTTCGACGAAGAGTGGCCGAGCGATGGCGGCGCTGCGCTCGACGCTCCAGAGGCGGGCTGCTGTGGTGGCACGGGTGCGCCTTGGGAGACGGACTGGACCGAGGCCGGGATATGTCCGCCCCGGGCTTCCAGTTCCCGTTTAAGGCGCGCTATTTCCTCCTCGTAGCTGCAATGAATGTTAGCAGGACTGCAGTAAACAATAAAAGTAGGAATAACAAGAGGAATGCATACTGGTCCTTCATTTTCCGGTGGTTGAGCTCGAGCTCGTAGACATTTTGTCGGATCTGCTGCATCTCTGCGGCCTGGGAGTTGTCTGGAGAGTATGTTAGCGGTGTGAAGAAGAAGGGTTAGGGGTGCGGCGCAGATGGAGGCGGTTGGGGAGGTGGTCAGGGGTCTGTGTGAGAGCGAAGGAGAAGGAGAAGACAGCGGCGGGCTGATGGATTGGCGAGATGGGCCTGACCGGAAGCGGATGCGGCGGACGCAACATGCCAGAACCCAGACTGCACCCGACACACTCCGACCACAATACACCCATCTGCAAGGAGAGACAGTGGATAAACAATAATACAAAGAAAAGGAGAGCAGGGAATAAAAAAGGGTATAGGATAGGATGACGAAATGTGAAAAATAAATGAAAAATAAAACGAGTGGTATGACGAGATGTGGGATACTCCTCATCCCTGCCCTATGCTCTGGCTGCAGTGCTCCGCACGCAACTAATCGTCACAGTACAGAATCGCAAAACACCGAATCTCATATAGATGACATCCACATAATAAACCCACAGTTCGGCAAATGATGGATAGGGCTCGGTTGTGGAGCGGGTGGGGCTGGAGGGGGCTGGGTCGAGGGTAGCGATAGCAAAGGGGGGAGCGGACAGCAGCGACGAGCTGAGAGAGCGAGCGAGAGAGATGGGGGAAGATGGAATAAAGTCGAGAGAGTGAGAAAAAAGATTGGTTTGAATTGATTCGTGGTGGTCGTGTGTGGGGTAATTGTGAGGGTGCGTGGTAGAGAGGAGCGGGCGGAGGCAGGAGGCAGAGTGACAGAGGGCAGAGGAGGAGGTGGGGTATTGCAAAGAAGCACAGTGATGAGTTTGTGCACAAATAAACGAGGAAAAAAAGATGAAGTAGAATAAAGATAAAATAGAAGAAAAAATAGACTAAAAAAAAGCACGAAAAAAGCACGAAAAAAGACAAGGCAAAGAAGGAAGCACCTACACTTGTGATCAAACTCATCCTTGTGCATGCGGTAGAGCGAAGCCTCGTTTGTGACTGTTTCAAACTCCTGCTTCAGGGTCTCGAGCAGCTCGTTGATGCGCTGCTGAGAAGGAGGCATGATGGAGCGAGGGTAGCTCATCGTGGATCGGCGTAAGCAGGTGAGATGAGAGCGAGGGGGGAGGTAGGCGAGAGAGGAGAGAAGAAGAGAAGAAGAAGAAGAAGATGCTTAGTAGAACAACAAGCAAGAGCGCAGATAGGATTAGTCGAATAGATGGTAAACCCGCGGCTTTCCAGAGCAGCAGAGAAAGTGGTGAAGAGGAAGAAGACGAGACGCACGGCGGCTTAGTTGTTGACTCGACGCGAGCAGGCCCCGATCGAACAAAATGTCCGCCGCTGCTCGAAAAAGCAACGTTTAACTGCCCAGCGCTCGGACCATAAACCCGAACCCTGCTCTGCCGCCGCACTTTGTAATGTCTTAGTAATCGCTTTATCATCTTTATCTACTCCTCCTCCGTAAACAGGAACTTCCAGTCCTCCACCTCCTCTACGTTCTGCCGCAGCCGGTTCCGCATCGTCTCCACCGTCTCGGACCCGAGCAGTAACCGCATCGGCGGCTGCTTGCACTGCGCCAGCTATTACCTCTGTTAGCTCTGTCTTGCACTCACACTACCACCGCTCCACTCTGCTTTACTTACCTCCCATATGATCTCGCCTATCTTGGCCACCCCCGTAGCCCGGTGCGCCGACACCCACAGTATCAGCCTCCGCGCGTGCTCGGCCGGAGTGCCCTGGTACTCCTCCCCCATCGGCTTGATCACAAAGTGCCGCCATGCCGGCGCTCGCTTGGTCGTCGCATCCCTAGACAATATAATCATCAGCACCACGTAGACCCACTAGCCGTCACTAGCTCATCATCACTCACTCCTCAACCGTTCCCGGATACACCAGCGTAGCCTTCCCGCCAAACCCCTCAATCTCATACGCAAACGTCTCAATCATCCCCTCCACCGCCCACTTCGTCCCGCAAAACGGCCCCATGCCCGGCACCCCCAGCATCCCCGCGATCCCGCTGATAATCACATACCTCCCCTTCCCGCGCATCCGCATATACGGCACCGTCGTCTGGATAATATGAAACAGGCCCATCACGTTCGTCTCGAACTGCTCGCGCACATCGTGCTCGTCCTGCTCCTCGCACGGCGCCACAACTCCCACGCTCACCGTGTTCACCACCACGTCAATCCGACTCCACCGCTGCAGCGTCTTGTCCACCACCTCCTTCACCATCGACCGTAGTCGAATGTCGCACCCTATCGTAAGCAGCCGGTCGGCCCACTCCGGAGGCACCGTCACAGACGTCATCACGTTCCTCGAACATGCAACAACCACGTCTCCGCGCTCCAGCACCGACCGACAGATCTGACTTCCTATTGTGCCTGTAGCCCCAAAGATCTAAAAAGCACATCCTGGTTAGCACTCAGTCTTCGAATCGTACATCAACCGAGACTATCCCCACTCACCAACCACACTTGCTGCTTCGACGACGCGCCCGTGCTCGGCAGCCCGCACTCTGCAGGCCAATTCGCCCCCGCAACACTTCCAAACATAGGCACACTCCCCTCCCTCAGTCTCTGCTTCGACGCCGTACTCTTCCCCTGTGCGCCGCCACTACTCCCGATCCCGCCGTACGCCCGCAGCAAAGGGAAGTAATCTGACCCCGACCCTGTGCCCGGCAGTAATCCGCTCCCGCTCCTGCTCCTGCTCGTGTCGTCTGTACTGCTGGTCTTGCTTTGTTTTCCATTCCTGCTGCTCGTACTCATCCTCTGTCCTCCTAGAAACTGTGACGCTGCCGCTGCTCCTGGCGCTGCCGCTGTAGATGGCGACGCGGACCGTCGCGCGGTCGTCGGGGTAAGAGAGATGATCTCCGGCGGCGCGGAAGCAGACGCTATGCTCTCGTCTTCGGATGCCAACACACTGTTTATATCCATCTCCTGTATCTCAATATACTTGCAGACAATCAACTACTCGCATCAGATCTGCCCATCGTAGTCGGGCTTGCGGACAGACCAAACACCGATGGCTTAGTGGAAACAGAGTTTCGTCTTCCCCGGCGCGGCGTCGGACGCCTTTGTTAACTCATGTCATTTAATGTCACTTATCGACTGGGAGATGTCTTTATTCTACAATATCTCTCTAATTTATTCATATTTCATTGTGTTCTGACCTACTTTTGTTATTTTACTATACCCCTCCTCAACCAACCAAGAACCCACAAAACAAATAAAAAACTCCTTCAGCACTCAGTAACCATCCTCTTCATTGAGATCAAGAGATCAAAAGGTCAGTTCGCAGCCACAGACTGCAAATACTGCACCCTGTACTGATTCTCATCGCACGGTCTCGGCAGCGGCGTCCACTTCGGCTCATCCTTAAACAACCGCATCGCCTTGACATAGTCCGTCGCCGTCGTCGTGAACCGGTGATAAATCCCCGCCGGCAAGATAATCAAGTCCCCCTTGACGAGCTTCATGCGCACCCACCGGTCCTCGAGATCGCGCACGTCAAAAAACCCTTCGCCGTCGACAATGTACCGGATCTCCTCGTCCTCGTGCAGATGCTCCTTGTAGAAGATCTTGACCTTTTCTTCGTACACGTCCGCGCCGAAACTGGCGGGAGAAATGCAGATCTCGTCTTTGTTCTTGTACGAGCGCTCCTTAGCGAGCGCGTCAACCTGCGAGAGCGCCTCCTCGCCAGAGAAGAAGTAGGCAGACACACCCAGCTTGGCGATGTCGGCCGCCGACAGGTCCTTGCCGGAGTAGTGGTCGTCGCGCTGGTCGCCCTACTCAGTGTCAGTCATCAACACCATATCTCATAAAACAAACAAACAAAGCCATACCTCAACGTTGTCGTAGTAGTAAATATGCATCTTGTCTTGTCTTCCTAATCCTAAACAGCAGCAAAGAACGAGAGAGAAGCTGCCGAGTCTTTAAAAATCCATCGCCAATATGAAAAGAGCGCAGTGGGTTAGGGCATCTTCTTCACTCCTCCCGCGAACTGCAGCCGGGCGGATGACGCAATGGGCATGGCGGTGCTCGTGATTGGCCTGGTCGGGGGGATGCTTTGTTGTTGAATAAGAGAGGTTATAGATAAGGGTAAAGATATAGATTATACAGAAATATAAAGAGGCAGGTTAATACATAAGAGGTGGAGATCGTGGATATTGGCTATATCTGCAGTATATGGAACTATTGTAGAGATCATACTATCCGCATTACTTCATTACAAGCATAACAAACATCAGAGAAAGGAAATACACCGTAATATGAAAATCAGATACGAATCATCGACATAGACCAAAATGCTAAACTAATCTAATTTTCCTCCTCGCCTATGCTCTTGCTCACCGCCTGCTTCTCCAGCCGCCCCTTCTCATCCTCATCCTCAACCTGCTCCACAACCTCAACAATCTTCCCCTTGATCCTCATCGGCCCCGGCACCCCGTTCTTATACTTCTTCCCCGCGCCCAACACCCGCACCCCTGTCGCGCCCACGACTTTAATCGCCGCCGCCACCTGCGCCGCCTGCCGCACCGTCCCGCTCAGCGCCATGTCGGCCTGCTTATAACTCTGGCAAAACATGTTGAGCGCGCTCTTACACGGCCCCACGCCGCCGGGCACGCTCCTTGCGACCGCGGCGTCGGTGATGCCGGTGCTCGATTGCTCCGTCAGCGGGTGCACGAGGAACCTGCGCAGGTCGTGTCCGGGACACCAGACCATCGGCGTCATCACGCCGGACTCGGTGCCGAGCTTGACGGTGTTGACGGTGTCGCGCCGCGTGGACTTCACGGGCTGGATGTCGAACCCAAACAGGTAGTTTGCCTTGCGCGCGCAGCCAATATGGACTAATCATACATCGTTAGCACCTCCTCCTTCCTCATAAAAAAATCAGGTAGATCCACAACTCACAGGTATCATGACAAACAGGACAACTAGTGCACGACCCATTCGCGCGTCCTTGACAGATCTTGCACACACTCACATACCGCGCCTTGGGAATCAGCCCGATACCCTCGACGACGCGCATGCTGTACGAGTCCGTGAACTTGATCTCGGGTATGAACACAGCGCACAGGACGTGCGCCCAGTTGTGTCCCGACGTAGGTTTCAGCGGGTCCCGAGGCGAGCGCTCGGCGTGTGGGATTTCTTTCTGTAGAAGGGAAGGGCATAGCACACAATTGTAGTTCTAAATACAGAAGATTAGTTTCCGCAAATGTTGATTCTATCAGTTGACTCTAAACTCACCATCGATCTCGAAGGATTCCGATCGTTCTGACACGGCTCGCAAAGCCATTTCCTCCGTATCTCGCGCACTCCATAGCACGACGCATGCACCCGCATCTTGCAACTATGGCACGTCAGCAACACACTGCCCGCCTCGTCGCTCCGGTCACACACGCCGCACGTCGAAGGAAGCATCGACACATCAATCATCGGCGGCCCCTTCTTCTTTGAAAGCGCGGGACTCGACGGCGTCGACCCGACCGCTGCTGGGCTTGCTTGGATCGTGGTGCCAGCTACCACCGCCGTCGTCGAGGACTTTCGACTGCTTGGCTTTGCCGCTGGTGCTTCTATCTTTGGTAACTCGATCTCGGACTCGGACTCACACACAATTGGATCCACATCCTCCTCGTCGTCCGAATACTCAGTCTCGTACCGATTGCCCTCTTCCAGCTCTCGCAGCACTTCCTCTTCAACCTTGCGTTTCTGCCCATGCGAACTGCGCTGATGAGACTTCCGCAGCACCTCGTTCGGATTCTCCCACACAACAGCGTACCGTCTCCACAGCTCCGCACAGCGGATACACAGCGCGACCGCAGGATTCGTCTTCACAACAGGGAACCCCGGCGCTCGTCGCCAGGCGCGCGAGTGGCTTGTCTGGCAGAACTTACACTTGAACCCTTGCTTCTTCTCGCGCACTTTCGCCATGTCGAACGCAGAGTCGTCCTGCGAATCCGCAACGCCGTCCACCAGCGCGGCCTTATCGTCCGCTTTTTGCTTGTCGGCGCCTTTCTTCACCTTGCGGCCAACAAAGTTATCCCAGATGCGGTGCCCGTTCGCCGTCTTCTTCCACAGGTAGTAGAACCGCACGATATCGGCTGGCGAAACCGTGCCGACGTGCTTACACACCGGGTGTAGCTCGGACCCGTATTTACCCACGCCTTCCTCGAACTTTGCAATCTCGTCCTTCGTAAGCGTCGGCTCCTTCAGCGACTTGCGTGTAAACTTTGAAACCTTCTTCAGCGCCTCGTTCGCGTCGAACTTGCAGCTCATCAGCGCCGCAAGCGAGTTATCCATGAAATTCGCCGACGCGGGCGACATGCTCAGCTTGGTCGCGTACGACGCTGCCGACTTTAAAAACTCTGCAATCTTGGCGTCCACATCCGAGACCTCGTCTTCTGTCGGCATTTTCCAGCGCAGCGTCGCCGTCGTATCACCCCCGCGCTCAATGTGGCCTACTGGACGCACTTGCACCCAGGGGTCGTCAAGCGATAGCGCTGGCTGCGGTTCGACGGATGACTCGGCCGGTTGCGAGGATGAGGAGACAGCGTCAACGGCTGCTTCTGTAGCTCCTTCCTCGCTCTCAGCAGCAGCAGCAGCGGCGGCAGCAGCAGCGGCAGCGGCAGCTTTCTTACCAACAGATCTGTTTGCTTTCTTCTTGGGTTTTGGAGGGTTGCGCTCGATAAACTGTACAGGCCGACCTCCCCACTCCGGCACAAGCGCCTGATGCTTATTCCCGATTCTCGAGGCTGCTCTCGGGAATATTCTGTCGTTGTTTTCCAGCACTTCCTGCAGATTGCAGTGCATGCCCAGGTACCTGTACGGCCATAGCTGGATTTCGTGTTTTTGCTCGTTCGTAAGTTTGTCGTCCGAGACCTTGAAGACCGGAAGATCTGGCGGCACGAAATCGTCTTCCGGCGGCACGTCCGGTACACCACTCTCTCCATTGGCTGAGGGACCGTCGACCGTCATCGCCGAGGGATCGTCGAACGACTCCTCGCCTGGTTCAGGCAGCAAGCGGCCTTTGCTCTCGCGCATCTTCCGTTCGCGGTCTCGGCTGCAGGCCGCGCACGCCCACGCAAATCCACGCGTGGGCTTTCGTAGCAACCGCGGACGTACGCAGCCCATGTGGTAATAATTCCCGCAGACAGCGCACGAGACGGATTCGTCTGGCGGACACCATAGTTCGCATCTGACGCAGCTCCGCGCGACCGCGCAGAGATCTTTACTACGGCCGATCTCGACCACGCCAAACCTGACCTTTTCGCACAGAACCTTGGCGAAATCCGCGGGAACGTTCAGGATCTGCTCGGTGGGTACCATTTCGTAGAATCGGCAGATATATCGGTCGTACAGCTTATCGAACCAGAATTGATTCGGCACTTTGCGGTATTCCAGAATATCTTTGATATGAGCTCTGTGTGTGACTGTGTTTCTACCACGTATGCTTAGCAACGGACAGACGTCGGAGTGCATGGTCGCATATAGCAGCCGGGAGTCGTTCGATCGCGTTGGGATCTCGCGCGGACGATAGAACCAATTCACGCGCACTTTGTATCTGTCCAGCACTGCAAATTCGTCATCACCAGAGGTAGAGGCTGCGTGCGATTCGGGGCGTTCTATGAACTCCATGATTCGGCCAATGTAGTAGGGCTCACCCGGCGGTTCGGCAACAAGGAACACAGTGTCTGCAAAGATCAGTCAGTTATCACTCAAACAGAACAACAAAAAAGAAAACGTACCATTAGGCGAATACTGAGTTCCGTCTTGTAGAACGAGAACGCCATCACTGGTAATTTTGGCATTGGCGAAATCGGGCACGTTTGTGGTAAACCCCAGTTTCGTCGACGAGGAGGTGGAAGATTTTCGACGCGACTGAGAAGAGGAGACGGAAAGCTTTTTTGACCGATCAGGCAGCTGAAATGGTGGAGTACTGCTTGTCGATTTATTCCGACGGGGCTGATCAGAGGATCCTGTAGTGGTAGCGGTGGTGGTGGTGGTGGTGGTGGTTGTGGAAGGCGCCAAGGAGCGCACGTCTTTTCCTCGTTTTCTGCCAGAGTTGACTGTAGATGCTGGATCGCCGTTATTCTGTAGTGATTTCTTCTGCTTCCCGCTCGATGGACTTGACTTTGGGGCTTTTTCCCGAGCAATCGAAGACACCCGCTTTGCAGAGCCCGAGGTCGAAGTTTTCCTGCGTTTCGTGGCCGGGCTATCTGCTCCTCGCGCAGGCGCTGTCGGGTCTGGCGATGTGCTTGGCTCGGTCATGTCTGAGGCGCTCTTTTTCCGCTTGAGAAAGAGCGAGAGATCGTCGTCGTCGTCGTAGTCCTCTGCGTAGCTGATACGTTCGGAACGGCGTCGGCGAGAGCTCGCGATTGAGGATGGCTCTGCAGGAGGCGGCTGCTGAGGGGCGGCGTCGACGGCGGAAGAGGCCGTGGAGGACGCGGGTGGGATCTCGCTAGCGTCGATGCTGCTCGGAGGATTGTGAGCGGATGTTGGCGAGGCGGACCGTGGTCGAGGCGGTTCTGGCGCGCTGGTGGCAGGAGAGTCGCGCGCCGGTGACCGCGAGTCCGCGGGCGGACGCGCATCGCCGTCGTGCGTCGAGGCCATTGCAGGAAGATCCAGAGGCAAACGCAGAGAGGGCGAGAGGGACTGCCAGCGGCGGAAAGGGAGTGTTTGCTCAGAGGGGAGGGAGGAGAGGAAGGGAGGGAGGGAAGTGAGGGAAGAAAAGGAAATGGAGAAGAGAAGTAAGGGCAGAGAGAAAGGAGATAGAGCTCAACGGCCACGGCGAGTAGGTGATCATAATTTGCTCTTTCCGCAGCGCAGTCCGCTCGACCAGGAGATTTATGTATTTTGCTTTGCAGTGGATCTGGCCAGGCTATTGTTTATATATCTGATATGTATTATTGTAGCTCTACGATAGAAGACGTGGAATCCCGTGGCCCGGCCCCAGGTCCGCACGTGTGCATGAGTGCGCGAGCTGAGTAAGGGGAGAGATCTCAGCGCTGCAGCACCCAGCTTTATACAGCGCAGTGGTTTAACTGGCATTGCAAAGTGATGCTGAGAGGGGGTTGGATGAGGTATGGCGGGGGGTGAAATCGCGTATCAGGCGTGTAGGCACTTTCTGACGTCTCAGAAAGGCGGTCGCTCTGGCAGTCTAGGGAGAGGTCTCTAGTCAGCTATATCAGATGCAGGAGATGACATACCACAGATGTGCACATATACTTGATTGCAAGTATCGACAGTGCAATGCACACCGGGAACAATCTCAATCTCTGGAAATGCCGTGGAAAAGCCGGGCGCCTGCCGTGGTTGACGGTAAAAATGAAGCGGGAAGCGGACGTGAGGGCTGCATGATCAGAGCATTCTGGACCGGAGTAAAGAGACAAGCAGGATAAAAAAAGCATAGCTAGATGTTTCGAGGCACAGCACAAAGAGACTCAACGGTTTCTGCAAACAGCAGCATCCTGCAGAGGTGGCCAACATGAAATCCATCAGATATCTCAGCTCAGGTGATTAGAACCCCAGACGACCAGCTCCAAGACCAAGAACATCTCTCACCGAGCAGCTTCAGCACAATTCCTGCTCGGCACACCGCACACAATCCTCCAGCACAATCTACTCCATCTCCACCGCTTCTCCGCCCTCCTCCTCCTCCTCCTCCTCCCCCTCCTCCATCAACCAACATCCGCTCCGAGAAACCAATTAACCCACAACCCTCGCCCGTGTTTAGATTTGCACCAAAGCAGAACCCCGAACCCTCAAATAGGCTTCCAACGCAGTTCGCACCGTTTCTGGCCTCCTCGCTTCAACAAGCACAAAAACACGTAAATAGAGCCCCTGTCTCGAGTCAACACCACCTGCTTCTCGTCTGCTTCACAGTCAAAAGCCAATGGAGCGCTCCAGCAGCAGGATGTCCGCCAAGGGACTCCCGCCGTCGCCCTCCCCGCGATCAAAGACCCCCTCGCGAATGGCTATGTACTCGAACTCGCCGCGTCCCCCGTCGGCGCGTGGGTTCGTCGCCGATATCAACGTCGGCGATCTTGTCTACATCCCGGCTGGTCGTCGAGGCGTTGTTTTGTTTGTTGGAAAGGTTCACGGGAAATCTGGCGAGTTTGCGGGCATTGATCTGCTGGGCGAGGATGCCGCGTTCGGAAAGAACGATGGCTCTGTTGAAGGGTACTATCATCATCTCATTTATTCTACCGTCCCAGGCTTCCCTCCGCATTCTCATACAGCCTACTAACTAACCACTTCTCGCGCAGCGTCCGCTACTTTAGCGCGTCTCATCCGTCCTCGGGTATTTTCGTCCCTATCGCAAAGGTCTCTCACAACAAGCCTGCCCTCGACAGCTGTCCGCCGACTCCAAATACCCCCCGGTCCCGCTCTGTCCTCGGCCGCCCTTCGTCCGTCCTCGATCACCACACAATGTCTCCTATGGCAGCTCCGAATCTGAAAACCGCTGCCGGTCATACTCCCGCGCGACGGACTTCAATGGCTCAGATTCCAACAACAGCTCCCCGCAGCGCTTCTCGCACCTCCATGACTCGCCCGGCTGCAACGCCCACTACGACTCGCACTGTCGCGTCTGATCGTGCGCGGGCAACAACGCCCTCTGCAGCCATCCGAAGAAAATCAGCCGTGCCCTCTGTGCCTTCCTTGCCTTCATCAACTCCGAAAACAGTCAACAGACGGCAGACTACGGCCACGCATGCAGCTCCGGGAAGTATATTTGCAACCGACGATTCTGATGTTCGATCAGACGGTTCAGCTCCGAACGATGAAGCAATTGCTTCACTAAAAGCCGAGCTCGAAAGTTCTGCCTCCAAGCTTGCTGATCGCGATGCCGAGATTCAGAGACAAAACGAAGCCCTGCAGGATTTGCAGAACGCGCTCGCGGAATACACCCTTTTGTCAGACAGCTTGCAGATGTCGAAACCAGCCGGAGACGAAAGCTCGCGCAATTCTGCGGGCGATACGGAAGATGGCGATGCTACAAAACGCGAGCTGGATCTGCGAGAACTTCTTCTCGATAAGGAAAACAAGCTCACCCAGCTACAAAGCGAGCTTGATGCCAAACGCTCAGAGTTTCGGCAAACTCTGGAAACGCTCGAGCAGGCTAATATGGCTACGAATCAGATGTACGAGCTACAAATCGAGGAGCTCTCGAGCAAAATACAAGCGGCCGATGGCGTTGTCAATGATATAGCTCCGTTAGAGGCACTGATTTCGGAGCTCGAAGCAGATCTGGAGCGGTCAAGATCCGTGGAATCACAAGTGTTGGAGAAACTTTCTAATGCAGAGGCCCAAAACAAGGAGAAAGATCAACTGATAACAAACCTCAAGAAGCAAACTGCCGCAATGGCCGAAGGCGCGACGTCCAACACTGCACCTTTAGAAGAAATGATTACCGAGCTTGAGACGAATCTGAAACAAGCGAAGGCAACCGAGGCGCAACTGCGGAGCCAGCTCAATGAATATGAGGCCAAGATCGATCAGGAACGGAAGACGATCATGGATCTCGAGACCGAGAAAGCGTTGGCGGCGAATGACATCTCGTTCTACACCAAGCCGCTTGAAACTAAAATCTCCGAGCTAGAGCAAAAGTTACAAGAGAACGTGGCGTCTGAGAACAGGGTTAGAGAGAAATTCGTCGAAGTCGAGGCGGAGATCAAGGAAAAAGACCGGATAATCGTCAACCTGCAACGCCAGATCGACGCGCTATGTTCCGCCACGGCCGGCGAGGATCAGGAACAGCTTGTGTCTGCAAAGAAACGACAAGAGAAGCTAGAAAAAGAGATATCCTCACTGGAGCATATAGTCGAGTCCAAAGTCTTCCACGAGCAGGAACTTGAGCGCGAACTATCCTCTTTGCGCGAGCAGCTCTCGTCCGCCACGGACGACGTTGCAAGCGGACGCTCGCAAGTTGAGAAACTGCAGCAGCAACTCCAAGACGCGGCATCCCACCCTTCGGCAAAGAGTCCTCTCAAGCCTGCTTCGAGCGTCAGCCTCAACGGCGGAAGCATACGATCAACCGCCGCCGCCGGCCAAAACGGTAGCAGCAACGGCCTGTGGTGCGAGATTTGCGAGACCGAGGGACACGACATCATTGACTGTAAAGCTAACGGAGTCTTTGGCTTGGATGAAAACAAAACGGCTTCGAATTCGTCGCTCGGTCAGACGCAGGAGCAGCCGGTTGCGAAGAAACTGTGGTGCGCGTTATGCGAAAAGGACGGGCACTCGAGCATGGATTGTCCAGAGGGATTCTAATCTGCAGAACTTCCTAGAAAAGAATGGAGACGACGGAACTCATAGTAACACGCATGGTGCTTTTCCTTTGTTGTAACATTAGGCATAATAGTATAATAGCATAATTGATAATTGATATTCATTACTTCACAAGCCTTTGAAGCAAATAGATACAGACAACACACGCAAAAACAAAACCCAAGCAAAGAACAAAACAGCAAACAAAACAAAAAGCAAAAGAACAAACAAAACAGAACAAAAGGACAAAAGAAATTAAAAACTTTTCACAAATATTTCAAGCTGCGTCGTCATGCTTCACCTTCTTACTCCTACTATCTTGAAATCTCGTTTCCTTCTCTCTTTCCGACGTTCTCAGAAGAGACGATAGGACAATGAAAATAAAGCAAAAAGAAACAGCATGCCGCGTGACAAAAGAGTAGAGAGGTCACTATTTCAACCAACAGTCTTACAATACCTCGAGGAGATACAAGAGCAAGCGCAAGAAAGAGGTCGGCCTCACTAGTTGTGTCTAAAATTGAGCAAATGAGCAGATTTTTTGCGATTTTTTGAATTGTTGCTTTTGTTTGATTGCACAAATTCCTTGTCCGATCCCATACTTCGTCGTTTCGTCGAAATCCATCAAAATAAATAATAAAAAGAGAGAATAAAAAAATAAAAAAAACAAGAATACTAGTGGAAAAGAGAGAAGCACAAGCGCTAGAAACTATAACCCGTCATATAAAAAAATAAACCATCATTTCCGTTCCTGAAAAACACTTGCAGAAAGCTTTAGAGAACTCGCACTTAAGCGGTCTCGCCCTCGCCCTTGTTCTTCAAAAAGTCCTCGTACACAGCAACGGCCTCGTTGATCTTGACCGAGAGCGCAGAGTCGTCGTTCAGCAGTCCCAGAAGCTCAGGGATCTCCATCTCGAGAAGCATACCGGTGATCTTGCCAGCAAGCTGGGGCTGGACAGCCTCGATCTTGGGGTACAGAGCCTCACCGACAAGCTGCTTCTGGAGCTCAGGAGCAGTGGCGGCAATGGTCTCAGCAGTGATAACAGGAGCAGCGGCAGCAGCAGGGATAGGAGCGGCAGCAGCAGCCTCGTCATCACGACGCTGCTGGGGAGGGCGGTTGCCTCTCATGCCACCACGGCCCTGCTGGGGAGCGTATCCACCACGCTGGGGACGGCCCTGCTGACCGGGGGGGATCTGACCCTGGGGGATCTGCTGGGCAGGAACTCCCTGGACAGGGGGCTGTCCGGGAATGTAGCCGTTGTAGCCCATAGGAGGAACGCCGTACATCTGCAGAGGCTGGCCGTTAGGACCAGTAGGAACTCCGCGAGGAGCCCACTGCTGCTGGGGACCCTGGCCGGGTCGCGGGGCCATACCGCCCTGAGCCATGAGCATCTGGGGGTTGCCAGCGGGGAAAGGAACACCACGTCCGGAAGGAGGGGGGATGAATCCACCGGGCTGCTGTCCAGCACCGGGTCCGTAGAAGAGAGGGTTGGGGAGGTACTGGCCAGGCATGCCAGCGGCAGCGGCCTGCTGCTGGAGTCTGAGCTGGTTGCGAGCCTGGATCTGCTGCTCGAGCTGCGACTTGCGGACGTCCTTGCGCTGAGCGAGAGCGACGTAGAGAGGCTTGCCGTTGAGCATGCGCTGGTTCATCTCGGTGACAGCCTTGGTGGCCTCATCAGGCGACGAGAAGCAGACGAATCCAAAACCCTTGGACTTGTCAAACTCATCACGCATGACCTTGGCAGAGGTGATGGTTCCGTGCTCGGAGAACTCCTCGCGAAGCTTGTCATCATCGACATCATCGTCGAGGTTCTTGATGTAGAGGTTGACACCCTGGTACTTCGACATCTTCTCAAGACGAGCAGCCTCGTACTGTCTGCGGAGCTCCTCCTCACGCTCGTGCTTCTTCTGGGCACGGCCGACGTAAAGCTTCTTGCCATTGATGTCCTTGTCGTTGAGCTCATCGACGGCCTTGGCGGCGTCCTGGTGGTTCTCAAAGTTGACGAAGCCGAATCCACGCGACTTGCCCTCGTCGTCCTTGGCGAGCGAGACAGAGGTGATGGGTCCGTAGGCCTCGAACATGTCGCGGAACTGGTCATCGGTGACCTCGGAGTCGATGTTCTTGACGTAAACGTTGGTGAAGTTGGCCTTCATCTCGTCAAACTTGGACTGACGGTCCTTCTTGGCGATGTGGTGTCCGACAAAGACCTTCTTGTCGTTGAGCATCATGCCGTTGACGTGCTTGATAGCGTTGTCAGCAGCCTCGGCGGTCTCGTAGTGGACGAAACCGTATCCACGGGGCTGACCGTACTCGTCGACGGCGACCTTGCAGGACAAGATGTTGCCGAAAGCAGAGAATGTATCATGGAGAGCCTTGTTGTCGATAGCGGTGTCAAGGTTCTTGATGAAGACATTGCCGGCACCGGTCTTGCGGAGCGAGGGATCACGCTGCGACCACATGATGCGGCAGGGACGGCCCTTGATGGAGGTGTAGTTAAGCTCCTCGAGAGCACGCTCACCTGTACTGATGTTAGCATATAGTGCGAGAGATGAAAATGGAAAAAATTTGGAAAAAAAATCTCGTTGGGAGTTCTCACCATCAGCGGCATTGTGGAAGTTGACATAGGCGTAGCCGAGCGAACGTCTGGTGACGGCATCACGGCAGACACGGATGGAAGCGACCGATCCGACCTGGTTGAAAAGCTCGAAGAGCATAGCCTCAGTGACGGTAGGCTCCAGCTCGCCGACGTAGAGCGAGGCAGAGTGAGCGGGGCCGGGAGCAGGAGTAGCCTCCTTGCTCTCCTCGCCGTTGGAAGCAGCGGCGGACTCAGCGGCGGGCTCGGCAGACTCGGTGGTCTCAGCAGGGGCTGCGGCAGGAGCAGCGGCGGGGGCGGACTCCTCGGCGGCGGGGGTCTCGAGAGAGAGGTTCTTGACCTCCTCGACGGCAGCGTCAACAGCAGTGTCAGACATTTTTGGAAGCGGAAATAGGCTGGAGAAGAGCTGTTAGCAAACGGCAAACGCAGAAGCAGAGTGAGCAAGTATTAGTACCTTTTTTAGAGGTATAACGGGGAGATCAGAAGAAGATATCTGCGCGAAATAACGATTTTCTTTCCCAAGTAAAAAAAATCTCAAAACACAACGAAATTCGAATCAAAGAGGATAATTCGAACGGTAAGGAAAAGAGTAAGAAAAAGAATAGTTTTTTACTTCTTTTAAAATTTTTTTGAGGGTTTTAAGGAAACGAAAAAGGGACGGATAGGAATTTGTCGATGATGGAACACGCAGAGTGAAAAAAATTGGAAGATGAAATTTTGTGTCGTGGGCCGGAGCTTATGCAGGCTGTGGTTTGGCGGTTATGCCATAAGTAAGTAACAGATTATGTCATCAATTTATCAGTCAGAGATTATGTAATATAATTAAGGACCATCAACTGAGATCCATAAACTCGGGCAGCTCGCCTTCGGTCCCTGCTATCGCCTGCGCAATCTCCTCAATGCCCTGGGCAGACGTCTCCGGGACACCCTGATCGTCGGGCATGCTGTCCATCATCGCCATAAACATGTTCCCGTCCTGCTCCTGGCTCGGTTTCTCGGCTGCACTCGCATCGCCGTCCATCATCTGCATAAAGTCCTGCATGTCTGATACATCAATGACTTCCTTCATGTCCTGTAGCTGCTCTGGCAGCGCCTCTTGTAATTCGTTGGCCGCGTCGTTGGTAGACTCTGGCAGGGCTGAGAGATCGCCTGTATTTGATTCGAGAGTGTCTGCTGGTGCCGAGACCTTTTGGTCTATCTCCATCTGATCAACTTCAGCTGGCTGCAGAGATGTACTCTGATTTGTAGCTATTGTAGCCGCCTCAGGCTCAATCTTGATGTCTGGCAACGGACTATCAAGATTCGGCTCCTTTGCCAATTCCAACACAGAAGGTGGAGCCGGAATCGAGGTAACGACGTCCACATTTGTATCTTGCTTTGAATTGATTGACAATTCGTCGTCCCGTAGCACGCCTTTTCTACCTAGAAGGTCTTTTCCCAGGTTTGATAAGTTCTCGAGGAGCAATCTAGACAAAGGTTGATCAGTCATGTGCCTAGAGATAGTATAAACCTGCTTCACTAGAATACATGATCCTCACCTCTTCTTCTCAACCTTGGTCTTCAACTGAATGATCTCATTGTTCTGTGTCTCAATAGACTCAACATCTCCAAGCTGAGCCAGCCTTGTCCGCACGCGATTCAGGTTTATCCTAATCCGCCCTGCCTCGTTCGGAACGTCCTTTGCAACAAGCGATCCCTGCGAGACTCGTTCCAAAAGATCAACAAGATCAGGCAGGAAATCAAAGTCCGCGTGCGAGAGTTTTGCGCTCATGGCTTGCGCTGTCGGGGTGGAGGTTGTAGATAGGTTCTGGCGCAGTTCCTTCACGAGCTCTCTGATCTGACACCGACGACTGACTTAACGCATTTCCGACGCGCTTGAGCAGATATCTCCACTCTGAAACAACCACGATATGTCCAGCAGAGACTGATTATTGCCGCAGTCGCTAATAGCAACCAAACTCACTGCGTCAACGGAGGTCCAGGTGAAATTCGAGATGTGCATAAATGCGACGCATCACGTGAGGGCTGTGCCATCTCCACCGCCTCGCTTCTGATGAGCCGGTCCGCTATCTGCAGATTCCATCTCGACTCAACTTCTCTCGACTCCAGCTACTCTCTTCCAGCGAGGTCAATTGATTCCAGCTCGATTGTCTTATTTTCTAGAACTATTCTATAGATCCTCATCCGCAGTGCCGTCGATCTCCGCTGACTTCACATCTCCCCGCTGCAATCTAATCTCTATCTCCTAAATGTCTCTCGAATCCGCTCTAGAAGAGGAGCGCATCGAGATCCTCAAGCTTCTGCACAAGGACGAGGATGCGCAGCCTCTGCAACTTCCGGTGCTTCCGCAGCGGGTCTCGCGATCTGCCTCTCCCATGCGCTTCGGACGGCACAAGTCAAAGTCCAAATCACCCTCTGAGGCCGCTAACGGCGGTCTACCTGGTGTTCCGCCGGGAGGAAAGATCACTCAATCTGCGCTTGTGAAGAACTTTCATAATCTCTCACCAGCTGCTCAGGAGCTACTTCTCTCGACCTCTGCGGTTCCGGAATTACTCAAGGCTTCCGCGGAGCCGAAACAAAGCTCGGATCGCGAGCGAAGACCGTCTTCCTCTGCCCTAGAGGCTCCCAAGTCAATGCTGCTTCCTTCTGCTGGTCCTGAGCTGGCTCCCTATCCTTCTATCCATGGACCCACTAGTCACCCTGCCAATCACCGTCGCGCTTCATCATTTGGAGCCGACGGAGGCCCGCTTCGGAAATACAAGTCCGCCGACGACACGCAGCAGTCGGTTATCGCCTATCTGACCGAGTCCGGACCTGCACCTTCCCCTCCCACTCCCGGGTCTCCTCTGACGCCCACCTTTTCCTCATCTACCTCTCGCTCACGCTCTCCTGCCGCACGCCGCAAATCTTCGTCCGGCGCCCCGGTTGAGGAGGACTTTTCGACCGCGTACAGACGACTGTCACGAAATGCGCTGCTCAAGGCCGGTAGCAAACTCGCTCCCGATGCGCCAAAGAATATGGAAGACCGTCTAGAGAAAGACGAAGAGGACGAGGATGGTGCTATCGCGGACTCGTCTTCCTCAGACGATCAAGACGATGACTCTGATTCCGGTTCTGATATCGAGGACACGGTCTCGCGACAGGCGGGTATGCGCCGCGCACCGCAGAGTTTACTTGCGGCGATGGAAGACGAGCGCAAGGCTGTTACCACCAGCAAGCGATATACCGTGCAATCTCTGATCACGGCTCCGCCGCCTTCTCATATCGATGGCGCGTTCGCCAGCTACAAGCGGCATCTCATCCACCCCAAGACCGCTTTCGATCTCGTCGACGACGCACTCAAGGATTCGCCGTATACTTCGGATAAAGAAGAAGCTGCGGATATCCGCAAGGCGGTGAACATGCCAGTCAAGGTCTCTGATATCGAGTCAAACCGGGCGGCGGGGCGCGTCCTGCGCACTATCACCCGCGGTGATTTCAAGAGCGTGAGCAGTGATCCCTCTGTTAAAAAGCGGTCGTATATCGTCGCGACCGATGCGTCTCCCGAGTCGATGTACGCTCTTGAATGGACGGTCGGCACCATTCTTCGCGACGGTAATATCATGTACGCTGTTTGCGCACTCGAGGAGCCCGAAGAAGGCGAAAAGCCCGAGAAAGGAGGTGCGCCGATGGACGAGGCCGGTCGCGAGCAAGAACGGCTTTCGATCGCGAAGGAGATCTCGTCAAATATTGTGAAATTGCTCAAGAAGACGCGACTTCAGGTCGAGTGCGTGGTCGAGGTGATGCACTGCAAATCTCCCAAGCACCTGATTTGCGACGTGATCGACTACCTTTCGCCCACGATGGTCATCTTGGGTTCCCGCGGACGCTCGGCGCTCAAGGGTATTTTGCTCGGCAGTTTTTCGAATTATCTGGTGACGAAGAGTAGTGTCCCGGTCATGGTTGCGCGAAGGAAGTTGAAGAAGTCGAAGCATCAGACTATACCTGCCAAGTTTTCAAATAATCTGAGAGAAGGAGTGTCAAGTCTGAGCATGGCGAAGGTCGACTAATGCTCTTTTATTTTCTTTTTGTTATTTCTGCATTCTCCACTTTGTCTATGTTTTGGTTCTCTTGGATTTGTTGCGTTCAGTTAGTTGTCATGTTCCGGCGTATAGTAAATCTTATCAAACTATGTTCATGTAGACTATTTCTAATATGCACCCAATAACGCCTAAAGCAAATACAAAAAAAGCATCAGACTGAACTTTTCTCTACCGATGACGGTCCCAAACCCCTTTCTTCTTCCGCTTCGCCTGACTATAATCCCCACCGCCCAGATCCCAGTTCTCACCCATGAACTCGTCTGATCTCGGTTTCCTCTTCTTCTTGCCATCCTCCGCCAAACGCACGAAGTTCGATTCCTCATACCCTCGCACTCTATCCTCCTTTACCTGCGCCATCTGCGTCCGCGTGCCACCCCGGCCGTGGTTCAACACGTTCGAGCCGACAGAGACTTCAGCCTCGGGCGCGAGCGACGTGCTCTGCGCGATGTACTCCTCTAGAGCACGGTTTTTCTGCACGCGCTGTCGCTGCGCTTTGTCTACTGGACCAGACATGTTGCGCGTAGAGGGAAGTTTTGTGGGATTGATTTTTGGCGGGACGTATTTCTTTGGAGCAGAGGCTTTGGAGAATGAAGAGGTCGATGAGGCCTCGGGTTCTGAGGAGACGAGGAGGTTCGGACGGGGTTTGTAGGAGAGTGGCAGATCGTCCAACTCTTCTTGCTCCTCATCGTCTTCTTTCTCGTCCTCGTCCTCACTAGCGTCGTCGTCATCATCCTCGGCCGAACTCTCGGAATCGCTTCCGCTGTGCTTCAAAGTCTTTGTGACCGCCTTCGGCGGGTTGTTCGCAGCGCGCAGCAGCTTCTGGATCTGATACTCAATCTTCTTCTCCAGCGGCTTGATCCCTCGTTCAAGAACGACGCGGTCCGTGACCAACAGCTTTCTAATTTCAAGATCAAGTTCGGCAGGCGCCATCTCGTTGTTGTCGCCGCCGGCCTCGTTCTCCTCGTCGCTGCTCTTGCTACTACTTTCCTCCTTCTCCGACAGCGTAGACAAAGCAAACAGCGAACGCACTCCCAAATTATGCAAGTACCCCGCCATCGAATTCGCCTTCAAGCTCAGCAGCGAGACGCCCGGAGACCCTTTCCCCAGCTGCTCGAGATCGTCTGACGCAAGCAGCTTCTTGACGCTCGCGGAGGTGGCGTCGACCGAGGCCACCGTGGCCTTCAGAGCTGCCAATAGCTCGTCTGATTTTGACACCGAGAGCTGTGTGTCTGCAGACATTTCTGAAGACGGCGCCATGTTCTGCATGTATAGAAAGCTGCGAGGATAAAAGCTGGTGAAGGCGAACAGGTTTACAAGAAAAAAAAATTGGGAGGTTGTGATCTGCTGGGAACTCCCAGTGTGACCAGACGTGACTTGTGGATCACATCTCAACCACCGATCATCGCGCTCATCAACGATCACGACAGCGAATCTCCAGCCATCCGAAACCCGCCCCGAGCAGCACGAACAGGGAACGAATAAGTCGCCAAAAAGGATAGCAGCAGCGAGGGTCTTGTTTGAGTTGCAGAGAAATGTCCGCGTCGCAGCTGAACGCTGTGACGCGCGTGAACCTACCGCCGCGAAAGGTTCCGTGCAAGTTCTATATGTCCGGGGTATGCCGACGCGGATCAGCTTGTTGGTTCAAGCACGGGAACGAGAGTAAGGAGCTGCCATCTTTGAACGCGACTTTTACTCAGCACGAGGAGAGGGGGGGTGAGGCGGAGACAGAGGAGGAGGGCGGTGAGGCGGCGGGTGCTGCGGCGGAGGTGATGATTGATCAGAGCGCGCCCGAGTCGGATGATACAAGGAGGAAGCCTGCTGAGGAAGGCCAGGACACCTGCTGCATCTGTCTTGAGGTTCCAAAAGTTTACGGACTGCTGTTGAACTGCAGCCATGTTTTCTGCGTTGACTGCGTTCGCACTTGGCGGAAACAGGAGGGAATGGGCTCTATCATCGTTCGCACTGCCGCGGCCGATACTACATCGCAGCCTCCCAACGCTGGTGCAGCGCGGCGCATGAGCGTCACGTCGCTCGGTACGCATGATGAGAGAGGCGACTTTACTGATGGTACTGGCGCCAACCAAGTGCTGCATCGAAGCGATCTATCAAAGTGCTGCCCTCTCTGCCGACAGCTTTCAGACTTCATCGTCCCATCCGCACAGCTCCCCGTCGACCCGTCCGAGGCCGACAAGTCGCCCGAACGACTGACAAAGCAGGAGATTATCGACAACTACCTGACGACGCTGAAGCACATCCCATGCAAGCATTTCAAGCGCAACCGGATCTGCCAGTTTGGCAACGACTGCTTCTACTCGCACGCCATCGCGCAGACTCCCGCGCCCGTGCCGGACTTTGTGAAAAAGTCGCTGCGGGGCGAGTCTGCGGTGCCGGCGACGGCGGCGTTCCCAAAGTCGCTGCGCAGACAGCGGAAGCCTGTTACATGGGAATACGTGTTTAATTCGACGGAGCTAGCTGCTGTCGCGAGAAGATATCATCAAGCTAGATATTCAGCGGCGTGAGGATTATTGCTATTTAAGGGATGGGAGGTATCTGATAGCGATGGTGGGTATGCAGGTGTTTTTGATTATATTTGGCTGCTCGGGATCTATAGGAATTGTTTACCTTTTCATAATGTTATTTTTTAATAATCATTCCTTGTAGTCTATAACGCGTCGATAGGATCATGTAAAGGCATCGACAATTCGAGCAATTCAGCAATAAAACAGCAACAGGGATCACTTTGAGTTCTTGAAAATAACGTTGACACCTGAGTTATTCCACATAGTCATCGCCATATGTCTATACGGCATGCCCCCATTTCTCGCGTCCTTCTCGACACTGTCGGCGTTCTCGACCGTATCATACTCCTGCAGCAGTCTGACAATGACGTAGCCGGCCTCAGTCAAGGCGTACTGCTGACCCAAGCAGATGCGCGGGCCGCCGTTGAAGGGCAAGAATTCCCATGTCCATGACTTGCCGGTTGACCAGCGCTCGGGCTTGAACTCGAGCGCGTCGGCACCAAAGTACTCTGGTCGGCGGTGCATGGCGCCGACAGAGTAGACGACGGTGGTGCCAGCGGGAAGAACGATGGGCGATAGGCCGTCGGGGCCGCCGCCGCGTGGGAGAGTGGTGTCTTTGTTTGCGCGACGCATGTTGAGCGGCACGGGCGGGAACAGACGCAGGGCCTCGTTGATGACGCCGCGGAGGTAGACCATGCCTTTCAGGGTCTCGAAAGTGACGGGCTTGCTGTCGCCAGCAGGACCGTACGTGGCGAGGATCTCCTCGCGCAGTTTGGCGGCAATGTCGGGGTGTCTGGCAAGTAGGTAAAACGTCCAGGTTAGGAGCGAGGCAGTGGTATCGCGACCGGCGAGGATGACGCTGAGCATGTTGTCGCGCAACTCGATGGGGTCCTGGGTATCCTTTGCGAGCTCACGGAGGAAGACGTAGCGGGTGTCGTCGGTCTCACCTTTCTCGTTCTTGTTGTGTTCAAGCGATTTCTGCACGTAGTAATCGACGAACGCGTGCACGGTCTTGATCGCGTCCGTCAACTGCTTTGGACGCACAAGGAAGTAGAGACCCTGGGCAATAACACGCTTGTGTAGTCCCTCCTGAGCGATCCTGAACGCGGACGAGAACTGTTCTCTAAAATCATCCATGTGCGAGTCAGGTTTGTTCTTGACGAGACTGTCGAGCGACTCGCCAAACAAAAAGTCGGTCGAGGCATCGAGCGTGAGCTTTGAAAACATATCGTGCATCTCGAGCGGCATGCCGTCGGCCTCGCGCACCCACTCCATAAAGTTCTTGACGTGGACCTCCATCGACGACGCAAGATCGGCAACGACCTGCTGTCTCGTGAATTGGGGTCGCAGGAGCGAGCGCGTGTGACTCCAGGTAGCGCCGTTTGCGGTGAAGATGCCGCGGCCGAGGAGGATGCCGTACGCGCCGGTGGTGGCCTGCTCGAAGTCCTCGAACTGGGTCGCCAGCATTGCGCGGATGTTGTCGGGGTCGCAGGTGTTGATGACATCGGACATGAGGGTGCGCTTCCAGAAGGTCTTGCTGTGCTCCTTGTACCAGCGGTCGGAGAGATCGAGGGTGGTGCCTTCTTTTGCGGCGGCGGTGAGGGCTTTGAAAGTCGAGAGGCCGACGACGTCGGAGGGGAACCAGGGGGCGGGTTGGGCACCTCGTTCGCGGGCTAGTTTAGCAAGAGCGAGTTTCTGCTGGATACGCGCGAGGATGCGGTAGAGCACGAAGGCAGCGAGGAGGACGATGATGCGGTGGTCCATTTTTGGATGGAGATATTGTTTGACAGAGACAGGAGAAGATAGACAGAAGAGACAGGAGAAGAAACAGGAAGAGCGGAGGCTTAAGAAGAGGCTGTCGGAGCCACGGCGATGTTGAGACTGTTGAGTCTTTTCCAGATTTGGGGAGGAGGAAGAGAAAGATAACAGTGGCTGCTGGCTGCTGGCTGCCTACGAGCCTCCGTCAGCCACCTCGGTCTGTGCCTCGGTCCCAGCGCAGGGCTCGTAAGCTGTCGGACTCAACCTCGGCAGGTTTGATAGAAGAAGGTGCCGTAGATCCATGTTATTGCTGTTAGTAGAGGCGTTGATAGCAGCAGCAGCAGCAGCAGCAGTCAATCCCAGTCCGTGGTTCGCAGGTGCACCGTTGAGCTTCTTGCATCCACCCCGACGAACTGTACTCAACTGTGCCCAACTGCGCTCAAGGTGCTCAAGCCAACTCCGGCTGCCCCCTGCAATTACCCAAGCTCTGCCTTTATTTGCCGTTACTTGCAGACCAGATCATTGGCTCATGGCTCAGGAGCTGAGTAATGGAAATTGACTGACCAACTCAAGCACTTTCTTGGCTTCTCTTGGATCCGGTACCGGCCCTGCGGCGTTGCGGCTCAGGGCAGATAGGCGAACCCCAAACGAGAGCTTAACTGTTGCTACTTCTTCTCCAGCAGTTACTGATGACATCAAACAGCATCGTGGTTGTTGCAGATATAAATCCAAGCTGACTACGGCTTCTGACTACAGCTTACATCTGCGGATCAACTTCACTTCACTTCTCTTCACTGCATTGCAGCTTGGTATAAATACAATCTACAGCAATCATGCTTCTGTCCCTTTCCCCCCGTCACTATCTGTCGCCTCCGCCTCTGCCTCTGGCCAGTTGTGTGTCATCTCTCTCGCATACCTCCCCGCGTTCTCGTACTCCGCCCTCGTGATCGGTCCATGCTTATACTCCAGCGCATACGCCTTCTCTCTCTGTATCAGGTACAAGTAGTTTGTATAAACCGTCTTCACATAATCATGCTGGAACTGGCATTTCTGGCATCCGGCTCCAGCATCATACAGACCCCGTGTGTTTTCATGCGTGTGTGTGAATGGGAAAAGGCGGCAATCGTCTAGGTCATTGCGCAGCATTTTGCGCAGCTCGGGCGGGAATTTCACCAGAAGCGAGTAGATTTCTTGCCGGTTTGGCCCGTTGGCTGCAAACGGGCCGTCATAGTACTGTGGACGGAGTTCGGGCGAGTCTTCGAGGATACTGGGGATGTAGGATGCAGTTGGTAGAGTCTCGTGTGCTGTGTCTTTATCTGCGAGTGATCTACTGTTGACTGTTGAATCTCCTGCTTCTTCTACCTTCCCGCCCCATGATTCGTTGTCTAATATAGAATCCCAAACGCTCTCTCCAACAGTTTCCCAGTTGCCGACGATATTTTCTTGCAAGACGTCTGGACTAGACAACACGGCTGAATCCATTGCTGGCTGATCTGTATTGACTGACCTTGCTGAACTGCCGACTGTATCTGCATCTCTGACCGAGCTTATTGATATTGAAACAGACGTCGCACCCGCTGTATCGACATACATCAGAGAGTTGAGCGTGTTCAGACCCTCAGATACGCTTGTATTAATAACCGTCGATCTGCTATCTTCCTTATACTCTGATTCGAACACGACTGATACTGTCGACAGCGGCGATCTTTTGAGTTTGCTTTGTGACGCGCCGGATGAGGACCGAGAACTGCTCTCCCCGGACGAACCGCCAGGATCTGAGCCATCTGGCGGAGACGACTCCATTTCGACTTCTAGCTGTCTTTTCAGTAAAACTTCAGGACCGAGAGATAGACTATGCGGAAGAATGTTACATTAACCAATCTGACTCTGATGTACCTCGCATGGGCGTTCCAATGTCGAGCACAAACAGCAGCAAGCAGACAGACAGAATCTGCGGTGCCTGACCATGCGGAACTACCGCAGTCCTCGATTCAAACAAGCCGGAGTAGTGATTATAACAGAACACAGAAGCAGCAAAGACGCAAACAGCAACAGGAAATTCATTCAGTTTTGTTTACTTTAAATCTCGAAACTCCGCTTTAATTGAGGCAGTCAGACAACCCAGCGCTAAATTGTGGGGAAATTGTATTATGTAAGAACTTATATCATCAATACAACTCTGCTCATATCGTTTTATGTACTCGATTCCACGTATATACAAACAAAAACTCGACAAACCCTCTCAGCCGCACTCTTAACGTCTGGTGGCCTTGATAGAAGACCGGTTCTCGACAGCAATCTTGTGGATCGCGTCCTTCTTCTCCAACGAGGCTCCAGTGTCGCAGCCACGGCGGACCGAGACGATGGCGTCGCCCAGCCGGACTCCGTAAGACGGCGAAGGCCGCTTCGCCGCATCGGCAAGCAGCCATGTAAGCGCCTTGCAGACTCTCTGTCGTGGGCGAAGCGCGCGGGGAATAATCTTTGTCTTTCCGCCCTCGCGCTTTCGGATGATCTGTACCAAAGGCTGCGTCTTCTCGACAAGGTAGTGGAGAACCTCGATCGGATCCTGACCGAGTCGCATACGCACAATGATCAGCGCCTCATTAACAACTCTCTGAGCAATAGTCTTCTTTCCGTCGCGCATGACCATGTTGATCAAATGAGACAGAATCTCGTCATCTTGTAGGGGCTGGTGAACAAACTGTTGGCTCTTGCGCGCATCGACGAGCTGCGTTCGGTATTCGAACGGTCTTGCCTTGTCTTCCTTGCGCTTCGCCAACAACTCCTCAATTCGTGCGCGGTCATTGGCGCTGGCAGCCAGCATGCTCTCGCGCACTTCATTGAGCACCGTCGTGCCCGTCTTTGCAATGTAATCATCGATGCGCAGACCAGACGTCCGCAGGTTGATCAGATGAGATGACACCTCGGCAAGGTGCTTTCGCTTTTTTTCCTCCTCAATAAGTCTTTCGGAGGCTTCGGCGGCCGCGATATTCTCCGAGGTCTTGGAAGAGAGCAGCTCTTCCACAGGAGTGCCCTGCTTAAGACCTTCGTCCTCACCAATATCCTCAATCGTCTCTGCAGCTTCCTTCTCTTCCAAAATTTCTTCCTCGACCACACTCTCACTTTCCGGCTTCTCAGGCGCGGCATCGCCCAGAGTATCGCGAACGGCGTCGTTCTCCTCCTTCAACACCTCCGGCGCCGCTTCCGCTCCCTCGGCGTCTCTCGCCAGCACATCTCCAACCGGACTTCCAACCTCCTCCTCCAGTGACTTCTTCTCTTCATTCCGTGAGTATCTCGACGACGAAAATAATCTGTGTGCGGGTGAAGTAAGCGTCGGACGCAAGACCCGGCATCTAACCTGAACAGTCGCGACCGTCGTCGGCAGCGACACACTCGACGTCGCTGCTATCCGTCGCGCACCCGTAATAGCGGCCCGTCTGGCTACTGGCAGGCTCATATCCGTTATGCGTGTTCTGTGCTGTACGCCGCTCAATTGCTGGGCTTGGTATTGCTGCTCGACGTGAGTCTCGGGATCTGCGAGGAAGAAAAATTGTGTTGAGTTTGCGTATAGCAAATAGAGTTATGCACACTCTGTTATGGCTTTTAGACTAATTATGTAAGCGCTATCACGGGGCACGATCTCGGATGCGCGGCATAGTGTAAGCTGGTCTGGAATAACCCAGAATAAGAGACCCAACTCCCAGCTACAAGACTCCCTACTCGGAGTTCACGACTGCTGAGCATCAACTGACTCTTCTAGATCTACTTTCTGCTGGATCGTGGTAGTTTTGTTTTATTGTTTCCCGGATCGATAACGTGAATGTGAGTAGATCTATGATTGTCTGTATTTTGCATCTTATTTGGTGCTGCTGTCTGCGGGTGCTGACTGATTCGCGCCACAGCCGGCTTTGATCCGTCATCTATCTTCACCATTCCACGTTCACCAGTTAGTGGAATGACCTGCATCCTCTCAACTCAATAGTCTCGACAAACACTTTACTCTTTATTGGCGAGAGATTCCTATCCAGCACAGCCGGTGAAGAAGATGTCGATTCCGAACTTCACCGGAAACTTCCGTCAAGGACGACGGATTAACCTCGCGCGTGGCTCGGCCTCGACACTCCGGAATTCGCACTCGGTGCTGCAAGATGCGTCGGCCGCGCGCGCAAAACGCGAAGAGAACCGGAAGCGTGAGAAGGCGGCGGTCGCGATTCAGTCGTTTTATCGCGGGCGGCAGGAGATTGCTGCGACGCGAATGCAGATGCGGGAGGCGTTTATCGCAAACGCGAGCAGCGGCGAGGCGAGCGAGCAGATTGATCCAAACGAGTCGGTGGCAATGTTTCTTTTCTTTTTCGGAAAATGCGGAGCGATTGAGGACGACGTGAAATTGGTTCCGGCACTGGAGCAGGTGATTAGGAGTCATGCGTCGCAAGTGCGGCCGCTGCTGGCGCGGAAGCTTGCAAAGCTGATGCTCTCATGCGTCGAGACTGCGGCTTCTTCTTCTCTTACTGAGCCGCTTTTACGACTGCTATCGTCCGTGCAGAAAAGTGTTGATCTCTCGGTGCTGCTGGAGGCGTATAGTTCTTTACTTTCGCACTTGTCGGACGCCCCAACGGCTGCAAAAGTGGTGGATAATGTTATCTCAGCTCTGGGCTCTGCTTTAGATTCCGCCCCAGATGACAGAGACCGTGTGCTTAAACTTTACGTATTGCTCTTGCTTTCAACTTCTCGACTGTTTGTCACTCTAGCAGACACAGAGCAAGCCAAAAGACTAGCGCAAATTTTCGATTTCGATCGCGATCTGATTCCTGCTCTTGAGGCATGCTCATTAGTCACCTTCGAGTCGGTGAAGGACATTGTTGAAGGTCCGTACGACGTTGATCTCCGCATGGCATGGCTTCTAGCAAACGTTCTCTTTCTGTGGAAGGAAACTAGTACGCCGTCGTCAACACGGCAGCCGATTCACTTGATGCATGGCATTGGAAATCTTCTGCTATCGCTCTCGGCCTCTACGGTTACAAGGTTAGCGAAACGATTCGCCAAGGAAGAAACAAGCGGCAAGACCACCGGTATCTACGATCCGTTCATTTTGTCTTCTGTGCTGTCTTTAGAAGACCGGGACGTCTTTGAGATGGCGATCTCGCCGTTTCGAAATTCGAGCTCGACAATTAGTCTTGAAGACTGCTTTACAATCTGCAGATTTTTGGTGGGATTGGCGCGCATATGGCCTGGGAAAACCAGCAAGATTCGATACTTTCTATATCTCAATCCCGAACATACGCTGCCGCTCTTTTTCAAAACCCTGGAGTCGCTGTCGATTTTCATTGCGCTTGATTCAACATCGCAGTCATCGAATGCGGATCCGCGGCAGACCCTTTGGCCTACCATCAACTCTGCCTCGGAGATGTACGACAAACGCATAGAAGAATGGGAGATCCTGGCTTTATTTCTGGATATCTGCTGGCACTGGATGATCATGACCGACGACGACGAGTTCTTTGACGACAAGCAGTACGGTCTTTCTCAAGACGACGTGCGGCGACTGGGTCTGTTTTTGAAAACGCTCGTGTGTCTGATTATCTGCAACTCTGATCCCAACACGACGCTACTAAAAGACCGAAGTCTCAAGCTCGCGAGCGGGAACGATAACTACCTGCCACTTTACCACACGTCGAACCTGACGCTCGACTCAATCAAGCAGGACGCGGTCGGTATCATGCGGCAGCTGTATTATCGAGACGCGCGGCGGCATTTCTTGGGAGACGCGTATTGGCTTATGCTCGACGCGCTCGATGTGAGCACGTTCTCGCAACTAGCGGTAGCGGACGCGGAACGGGCAAAGAAGTTCCAGGACGCGGACGGCGATGGTACGGACGGGATGGTTGACTCGTCTTCTGAATCAGAGGAAGACGAAGACGGCGACAAAAGAATGGCGAATGCGTCAGCTGCTACGCGCAGGGATTTGAAGCGGCGGATGACGAGTCTTCCCCGTCTCGAGCTGCTGCAAAAAGTTCCGTTCGTGCTGCCGTTTTCTCTGCGCGTCGAGGTTTTGGACAAGTCGTTGGAGATGGACCGTCATCGCACGGGGCTCGATAGAGATTACGAACTTCGACACCGGCGGTATACTGCCTCGATCCGACGCGGGCGCGTGCTAGAGGACGCGTTTGAGCAGTTGGGACATTTGAAGAGCGAGCTAAAGTCGCTGATTGGCATCACGTTCTACAATGAATACGGAGCCGAGGCTGGAATTGACGGCGGTGGAATCACCAAAGAGTTTTTGAGCGCAATCACGCTCGAAGGGTTTGGTCCAGAATCGGGTCTGTTTGTGGAAAACAGCGAAAACATGCTGTATCCGAATCCGCAGGCGACCTCGCCGGAGCAATTGCAGCGGTTCGAGTTCCTGGGCCGGATCATCGGGAAGGCGATATACCAGGGCATTCTTCTTGAGGTTGCGTTTGCGCAGTTCTTTTTGAGCAAGTGGCAGGTTCAGGGGAATTCGCAGTTTGGGTCCGGATTCCGCAACACGTTTGACGATCTGTGGAGTTTAGACGCAGCGCTGTATCAGGGACTGATCAAGTTGAAGAATTTCAAGGGGGATGTCGAGGCGGTGTTTGGACTCAACTTTACAATCACCAACGCGAGTTCGCAGACCGTCGAGCTTATTCGCAACGGTGCAAATGTTCCGGTGACGAACAGCAACAGACTACAGTACATTCACGCGGTGGCAGATTATAAGCTCAACAAGGAGCTGTACCTGCAAACGATGGCTTTTTTGAGCGGCATGAACGACCTGCTAAGTCCGAGCTGGCTGATGATGTTTGGCCCGCACGAGATGCAGACGCTGATTGGTGGCGCAGCGTTGCCGATCGATCTTGAGGATTGGCGGCGGAATACGGTGTTGAGTGGGTATCTGCAGGGTGATGACACCGTGCGATATTTCTGGGAGGTTATCAGCGAGTTTAGCGACAAGTGCGTTTTTATTCCTCCACACCCTTTTTATATCTTTCTATATGACTTGAGACTAACAATATTTCGAAACCACAGGGAAGTAAGAGAAGTCCTCAAATTCGCAACCTCGGTCCCGCGCGCGCCATTACAAGGCTTCGGATCGCTAAACCCGAAATTCACAATCCACGAAGCAGGCCTACAAGAAGGTCGTTTGCCGACCGCGTCCACGTGCGTGAATATGCTCAAGCTGCCGCGGTATTCGGATAAGAAGACGTTGCGCGAGAAGTTGCTGCTGTCGATTACTGCGGGAGCTGGGTTTGATTTGTCGTAGATTAGGTTGATTTGTATAGAAGGAAAGAAGGGAGATTGCATTTTGTGGCGCAGATGGATTTGGAGATGGAGTGTAGATATCTACTCGATGATTTAGTGGAATTGAATCAAATTATCACAAACAACCAATATTACAGAGCCCAAAACAGTACGAGTGACAATTCAGCATCAGATCAAGTACATATTCTCAAAAAGCACCAAACGACATAATATCACAAAAAGCCAACCAAACAAACTACAGAATAGTCCGGCACCAAAATTAAACACATCCAAGTTAACAAAACCCACGTCAAATACAGGCAAACATTAAGCAAATCAAACGTGAGCAGCAGTCTCCTCCTTCGGCTCAGACTCATGGTGCGCCGCGTTCTGCTTCTGCAGCTCCAAAGCATCGAGATCGTCCTGCAGCTCATTCTTCATATCCGCATGCTGCTGCTCTGCAGTCTGGCTGTTCTCGGGGCCGAGGAAGATGACGATGAGCACAAAGGCAAAGACGCAGCCCATGAAGATGGCCATGACTTTGCCGTAGTCGTAGCGCTTGACGGAGGAGGCTGCGGACAGCTCTGTTTCGGCAAGCGGGAAGCGTTTGCCGATGGTGGACTCGATCGTGGAGGAGGCAGAGGAGGCGAGGTTGCCTAGCTGGTAGGCGAGACCGACGATGAAGGCGCGAATGGTGGGTGGAGACATCTCCGAGAGGTAGATGGGGATGACGCCCCATGCGCCCTGAACCATGAACTGCAGGAAGAAGACAGCGGCCATGATGCCGTTGTTGCGGACGAATGCCCAGGGGTAGACGAGCGCGCCGCCGAGGACACAGGCAATTATGATTGTCAGCCGGCGGCCGACTGTTTCGGAGATGTGGCCAAAGACAATGCCACCGGCGATGGCGCCGAGATTGGCGACGACCATGGTGACGGTGGACTTGTCGCTCGAGAACTCAAGCTGCACGTCGAGCATGGTCGGGTAGAGATCCTGCGAGCCGTGCGACATGAAGTTGAAGCCAGCCATGAGAATGACGAGGTAGATCATGATGTGCCAGTAATCCTTGACAGAGTGCTTTGCAGCCTTGACGAATTCCGTCTTCTTGTCCTCGCGCTCGACAAACTTCTGCGCGAGGTAGGTGTCGGTCTCGGGCAGGCACAGTCTGAAGATGATGATCAGAACAGGAGGACCGGCGCCAAACCAGAAGAGCGAGCGCCAGCCCTTCGCGGTGGTGTAGGTGAGGGCGCGGTTGAAGATGACGGCAAGCAAATAGCCGAGGGCGTAGCCCTCCTGGAGCATGCCGGAAATGATCCCGCGAGCTTCGAGAGGGCAGTCGTCGAGGGCGGTGACGGCGCAGTTACCGTAGATACCGCCCATAGCGATTCCAAAGAGAGCGCGGACGCCAAGGAACTGCTTGTAGGTCTGTACAAAGCCAGTGCCGAGCTCTAAGACGATGAAGAGGAAGCAGTTTGCGACGAAGGGCCATTTTCTGCCAAAGCGATCGGAGAGGAGACCAAAGATGACAGCGCCGACGGAGCGGAGCATGAGGACGAGGGTGATACCCCAGGTGATATCTTTGACAGTAACATTAAGGTCCTCAGCGAGTGCCTTTGTGACAAGGGAGACGGTGAAGAAGTCAAAGGCGTCCCAGGTCCAGCCGGCGAGGGCGACGAGGAAGAAGAGCCACTGCTTGCGGGAGAGGAGGCGAAGGGCAGGGAAGGGGTTGGTGATGCGGGTGCCGGGCGGACGCAAGGTAGACAAGCGAGTAGCGAGGTGGCGTTTGAGGCGGACGTCCCAGGGGGAAGTGGAAGCGTCTGCGCCGTAGGACATGGTGGGATGAGATGGGGATGAGAGATGGGAGGTGAGAGGAGGTGAGAGAGGAGGCGATGGAGGAGGAGGAAGAGGAGAGGAGAGGAGAGGAGAGGGAGAGAAGGAGGAGAGGATGCGGCTACTTATTAGGCTTTTGGCGGGGAAGACAAAGAGCGAGCGGAGGAGGAGGACAAGGAGCGACGATAGAGTGATTTGACATCTCCGAACCGACGTGGGGTAGATCAGATGACAGAGGAAGAAATGAGCTGTTGATGAGGCACAGTATCAGATAAACGAGTTAATACAGTGAAGAGACTGATGTGGTATTATCACCATCAGATAGATAGCAGCATTCAGCAAACAATAAGAGGTGATAGAATACGTTGAGCATTTTGAGAAAGAACAAGGAACAAGGAACAAAGACGGAATTGAGCAGAACCGGAAAAGCCTCGAATCGTGCAGTTGGTCTTAGTTGATGTCTCTTTTTCCTGTACTGTTTATAATCAATTAATAGCAGTAAACTATAGAATACGGAGACTGCAATCAACACAACCACAGAATAGCATATCAAATAGATAAGATAGCAACAGCAATGCGGATATAAAGACAATAGCACAAAGCAGACACCAACTCTCGGCAATAAACAAGCTTTTCTGCCTCCGCCGATCTGGCGCCGCCTTGTTTGCAGACTTTATTTTTGCGCTCACCTGACTTGTCTCGCGTTAGTCAGCGCTGACTGTGATACTAACTCTTTGGGTAGCTGTGCACGTGATATCGAACAGTATATCTATTGCATCTCCATCTCTACTTCACGGCTTCTACTTCGCCTGCTTTGTCTATCTACTGCGAACAGCATCTTAGTTCTTATTTCTATTTCTACAATGCTCTACGATTTTTCCTTTGACTGGCAAACACACGAGCAGACTTCGTAGATGACCCAAGGTGGGCACTCCTCTCCACCACCTCCTCCTCTCCCTTCACTCACCTACAATCCCACAACCAACATCATCTCCTCCATCTACAAACCTCCTCCTCCTCAATCCCTCGTATATCGCCCTCCACTGCCCTCCAAAACCCCCGCTGCCCAGGGCTCCTCCACCAATCCAGAAACCTTGTTACAAGACTCACTTCGTCCCGCGCCGCACACTCTTCGCTCTCCCGAAGAAAAAAAAAATCAAAAGTTTTGTCCCGGCAGCCCAATCGACCTCACCGCCTTCTTTCTCTCTTCCTCCCCACCTCCCCCTCGCAGCGCTCGAACTTTGCAAGGTCTCCTCCGCGTAGGCTTCTCTCTGGTCGCAATGTCTAGCGCCGCTTCCACGCGGGTTCTGCTTCGCGCTGGCTGCAGCCTGCTCAAGCGAAAGACTTTTCCCTCTGCTCCACTCTCTCCTATCCGTTCCTTCTCGCTCTCCCACTCTCTTCGCTCCTCTGCCAGCACTATCCCCGCCGTCACTGGCATCCGTGGCCCTTACGAGGGTGCCTCCACCATCACCGGCGAGGCCGACAACCTAGTCGATGTCTCTAAAGTCCTCGTCGTCGGATCTGGTGCTCTCAGCATCGGTCAGGCTGGAGAGTTCGATTACTCTGGTAGGTTTCTACATATCCCATTTGCTCTTGTCTATTTTGGATTTACTCCTTGCTGTTTTCATTCTTTCAATACCCGTACTAACCGCGCAATTTGCAACCCGCAGGATCGCAGGCCATCAAAGCCCTCCAGGAGGCATCAAAAAAGTCCATCTTGATTAACCCCAACATTGCTACCAACCAGACCTCGCACGCTCTTGCTGACGAGATTTACTACCTCCCTGTATGCCCCCCTCATCCCCATTCATTCATCACTAGCACACCTGCTAACCCAACAGGTCACCCCCGAATACATTACCTATGTGCTCGAACGCGAGCGCCCGGACGGCATCCTTCTCACCTTTGGAGGCCAGACCGCTCTCAACGTCGGTGTGCAACTCGAAAAGATGGGCGTCTTTGAGCGCTACGGAGTCAAGGTCCTCGGAACCCCCATCGCGACTCTCGAGACCTCCGAAGATCGTGACCTTTTCGCCAAGGCTCTCAAGGAGATCGATATCCCCATCGCTGAATCCATCGCTGTCTCAACCGTCGACGACGCTCTTGCCGCCGCCGAGGAGGTCGGATACCCCATCATTGTTCGTTCTGCCTACGCCCTCGGTGGTCTCGGCTCTGGATTCGCCAACGATGCTACCGAATTGCGCAACCTCGCCTCGCAGAGTTTGAGCTTGGCGCCCCAGATCCTCGTCGAGAAGTCCCTCAAGGGCTGGAAAGAGGTTGAATACGAGGTCGTCCGTGACTCAAAGAACAATTGTATCACGGTCTGCAACATGGAGAACTTTGACCCTCTTGGAATCCACACCGGTGACTCGATCGTCGTAGCGCCCTCGCAGACCTTGTCCGACGAGGAGTACCACATGCTTCGCTCTGCCGCTATCAAGATCATCCGTCACCTCGGTGTCGTCGGTGAGTGCAACGTTCAGTACGCTCTCCAGCCCGATGGTCTCGACTACCGCGTCATCGAAGTCAACGCCCGCCTCTCTCGCTCGTCCGCTCTCGCTTCAAAGGCCACCGGCTACCCGCTCGCCTACACCGCCGCCAAGATCGCTCTCGGACACACCCTGCCCAACCTGCCCAACCACGTCACCAAGACCACGTCGGCCAACTTCGAGCCCTCGCTCGACTACATCGTCACCAAGATCCCCAGATGGGATCTGGCCAAGTTCCAGCACGTCAAGCGCGACATCGGTTCCTCCATGAAGTCCGTCGGTGAGGTCATGGCCATCGGTCGTACTTTCGAAGAGTCTATCCAGAAGGCTATCCGCCAGGTCGACCCTTCCTTTGTCGGATTCCAGGGCGCCGAGTTCGATGATCTTGACGCCGCTCTGGCTAACCCCTCTGACCGCCGATGGCTTGCCGTTGGCCAGGCTCTGCTGCACAAGGACTACACTGTCGATCGCGTCCACGACCTGACTAAGATTGACAAGTGGTTCTTGTACAAGCTCATGAATATCGTCCGCATGCAAAAGGAGATTGAGTCCATTGGCTCTCTCTTTGGCCTCAACAAGGAACTCATCAAGAAAGCTAAGCAGCTCGGATTCTCCGACAAGCAGATTGCTCTCGCCGTCGGTGCGACTGAGGCCGAGGTCCGTGAGCGCCGCAAGGGCTTTGACATTGTCCCCGTCGTCAAGAAGATTGATACTCTGGCTGCTGAATTCCCTGCTGACACAAACTACCTCTACACGACCTACAACGCTACTGTCTCCGACATCAAGTTTGACGAGCATGGAACCTTGGTTCTTGGCTCTGGTGTCTACCGCATCGGATCTTCCGTCGAGTTTGACTGGTGTGCCGTCAGCACCGCGCGCGCTCTCAGAGAGGCCGGAAAGAAGACCATCATGATCAACTACAACCCCGAGACCGTCTCGACCGATTTCGACGAGGTCGACCGTCTCTACTTTGAGGAGCTCTCGTACGAGCGTGTCATGGATATCTACGAGCTTGAGTCCGCCAAGGGCGTCGTCGTCTCCGTCGGCGGCCAGCTGCCACAGAACATTGCCCTCAGCCTGCAAAAGTCGGGCTGCAAAGTCCTCGGAACAGATCCCGAGGATATTGACAAGGCTGAGGACCGTCATAAGTTCTCGACCATTCTTGATTCTATCGGAGTCGATCAGCCCGCTTGGAAGGAGCTCTCATCTGTGTCGTCCGCCAAGGAGTTTTGCGCTTCGGTTGGATACCCTGTCCTCGTTCGTCCGTCGTACGTTCTCTCTGGCGCCGCCATGTCTGTGATTCGTGGCGAGCACGAGCTTGTCGAGAAGCTTACCCTGGCCTCTGATGTCTCACCCGACCACCCTGTTGTCGTGAGTAAGTTCATTGAGGGCGCACAGGAGATCGACGTCGACGCCGTGGCCTACAACGGAACCGTGCTTGTGCATGCTGTGTCCGAGCACGTCGAGGACGCCGGTATCCACTCTGGTGATGCCACGCTTGTTCTCCCTCCCAACACCCTCGACTCCGCCACCCTTGCTCGCTTGAAGGAGATCGCTGACAAGGTCGCTACCGCATGGAAGATCTCTGGTCCGTTTAACATGCAGATTATCAAGGCTGAGAACCCCGAGAACCCCGAGCTGCCTGATCTCAAGGTTATCGAGTGCAACCTTCGTGCTTCGCGCTCGTTCCCCTTTGTGTCTAAGGTTTTGGGCGTGAACTTCATCGATGTTGCCACGCGCGCCTTGATTGGCAAGAACGTTCCCGAGCCGGTCGACTTGATGGCCAAGGAGCGCGGATACGTCGCCGTCAAGGTTCCCCAGTTCTCATTCACCCGTCTCGCTGGCGCGGACCCATTCCTCGGCGTCGAGATGGCGTCTACCGGTGAAGTTGCCTGCTTCGGACACGATCTGATCGAGGCCTACTGGACCTCTATGCAGGCGACCATGAACTTCAAGCTTCCTCTTCCTCCGTCCGGCGTTCTGTTTGGCGGTGATGTGAGCAAGTCCGATCTCGGCCGCGTCGCGAGACGTCTCGCGCCGCTCGGATTCAAGCTGTACGTCGCCTCGTCGATCGTGCGTGAATACCTCGACGAAGAGCTCACCGACATCTTGATCGACGGCCTGCCCGTCACTGTTAGCATCATTGAGTTCCCCAAGACCGACAAGCGCAAGTTGCGCGAGGTGTTTCAGAAATACGATATCCAGAGCGTGTTCAACCTCGCCAAGGACCGCGCGGACAACCTCCTGGATGAGGACTACATCATGCGCCGCAACGCTATCGACTTTGCTATCCCCTTGTTCAACGAGCCTCGCACAGCTGTCTTGTTTGCCGAGTGCTTGAAGGAGAAGCTGCCGGAGAAGGAGGAAGGTGTTATTCCTCCTGAGGTCCAGCGGTGGAGCGAGTGGATCGGCGGCAAGCCGGTCTAAGCGTTTCAACTCCTTGCTTCTCACTCTCTTCTAGATTGGTTATTTTTATATCTGTTTGTTCTTTAGACTACATTTCTTCTATTTTGTGAACATTTGTATTTCTTACTTCATATCTATCTACCTATCTGACTATATACACATTGAATATTTGCCTCTTTGCACGCAGTGAATATCAAAAGTCTCTCTTCTTTTTGTTTATTTGTCTCTTTTGTGTTTTACTCGTTTGTGTTTCTCCTATCGACGCTACTTCATATCGCTTAATTGATCGATGCTCTAATATCTTTACTCTCTATGTAGTTGGTGAATATATGTATATAGATGTAGAATTTGAAACTTTTAGAGTTTTTATTTGCTTCAGAGATGATGCTATCTTACATATATAAAACTGATATTTAACCCCGCCTGCAATAAACAAAAAAATAAAAGAGGAAATAAAAAATGTAAGACTTAATGGTGGATGAGCTGATTCTCGTATACCCGCTTAATCACCCGCGACAGCTGCTCAAACCGGAGCTTTCCAGACGACGAAGACGAGACAGCAGACGGCGCGAGCGCGTCCTCGGCCTCGCTCTTGAGCGAAATCGCGTCGCCCTCGACTGTCCATCCGGGCATCTTCTCCGCAACCCACTTCTCGAGCGCTTCTTTGGTTTTGAAGTTGAGCCAGCTGAGCGCGGTCTCGGTCTTGATGCTGCGCATGCTGAGGGTGATGGCGCGGGTGATGCCGGCGCGGATGGCGTCGTCGAAGCCGGAGACGTCGGCGACGATCTCGGCGTACTCTTCGTCGACGGGGGAGGCGAGCGTGCTCCAGAAGGTGGAGAACGCGGCCATCTCGAGCAGCGAGTTGAGGTAGGTGAGTCTGTGGACTGAGTTTGTCAGCGAGTCGTCGCTGGTGACGACCGGCGCGGCAGGGACGATGGATGAGTCGCTGGCGGTGGAGTTGTATGTGCTGAGAAGGTTGGGGGGGAGGAGGTAGAGGCACAGGGTGAAGTCGGGTTCGGGGAAGACTGTTAGCGATTTGGCGAGGATGTTGAGGACTGTTTCCTCGCGCATCAGGTCGGGGTTGAATTGATATCTGTCGGGTTCATGATTCGTGTTAGCCAGGTTCCAACACAATCGCGCGCTCTGCTTGATTGCAAAGAGAAGAAAATGGCTTTTAGTCAGCTAGAGCTAATTTTTGCTGCCATCGACGGTTGATCCGTCTACATTAATACATGCTAATGGTAATTAAAGGGTATCATCATATAAAAGCCATTGACTGCTCCCTTGCCAGATCGCAGAGCGCACCACAAAAACAGACGTGAATTGATCAAGCATACAGTTTGAGCAGAGCCAGGTTGGCCATTATGTCGTAAGTCTCGGTCGAGCACTGGGTGCCAACGTAGTCCTGAAGGACGGGGCCGGTCTCGGGATTGAACCGCGACAGGGTCGAGAGAATCTCCTCAATCTCTGGCGGCCGCTGGATCGGGATCTTTGCTGGTGACGAAGGCATCTTTCTTTTCTTTTCGCAAGTGCTGCTGTGTGGAAGAACAAGAGAAAGAAGGAGAGGAGGGAAAGAGGAAGGAGGAGAGCTGCAAAAGAAATTTTTCTTTGTTGGAGAGCGACGAGAGTTCAGGGCGCAGGGTTTCTCTTCAGGGCTGGGCGGGACTCGCATCTGTCGCTCGCAGCTTTTGCTCTTCACCAGCTATTCTGTCGAGTCCTGATCCATCCTCTGATCCTCCTTCAATCTGTTTTATATCGGTCCTTGGTATGTTCTAATCTTGCGCTTCTGCTTGGTGCTTTTTTTCTTTATATGTGGATAGTGTGGGCTATGAATTCAATATGAATATGAATATGAACACTGCGACTCTGGAATACCTGATACCCATCAATCAGCTTCGAACTGTGATCCATAGCACGTCTGGTATCAGCTGCGGGAAAACAGAATAAGAATCAAACAAAGAAGAAACACAAAACTGGTTGTCGCTTTCGAGCACTCCAGCCGATCTGAATTAATTGGATAGCCTTGTTAATCATTCTTTTTGTATCGTCTGTCTCTCTCTTATTATTTCGATCTGAAGTATTGTCGGAGTTGTCTATCACGAGATGTAAAGAGTCCGGAGTGATTAGGATTACTATCAGCTTTTTTTATTTTTGTTGTTGTTGTTGTGGATGTACCTTTTGCGCGCTTTTTAAAACATTGTTTTCTGACTATCATGCTTTCTTTTATATTCTCTTAGAAAACAAAAGAGAACCGAGGTAATATAGACTCTAGTTCCTCTTTCCGAGTTCCTCTTCATATTCTCTCTCTTTCTTTTTCCACGTTCATTCTCACTTGCACCTCTCATTGATCCACTCTTGGCTAGCTGCAAAGCATTGCTGGGCTTACAAGTCATGGCTGATTCCGATGTGCCCACCTATGCGCCCATGATCGATGATGATTCCGAACAAGAGGATACCGGCGCCCCGGCAGAGATTCAGTTTATCGAGCCAGAGAAACCGCTCGATGACGCGGACGAGGAGCAGGATGAAGACGCCTATAATCCCGGTGACAGTATCGGTCTTAATGCGCAAAGTGTCCCTGTCGGAGAGCAGCAGCAGCCGTCCCCTATATCACTTATTCCGTCATTACTGGCTGCTTCGCGTGCAGGGCTGAAGTCCTCGACTCCTACCACAGATAGTGATTCATCTTTCTCTCTCCAGAGCGCGACTGGGGCCACATCAAATCCAGCTGACGTCGAGGAACAAAGCGGGGTGCAAGATGCTGCTTCGTCGGCTTCGTCTTCTGAAGACGAAGCGGAGGATGAGTCCGACTCGTCCGATTCTGAAGACTCAACGCCCTCGATCGCCGACCCTGCGACACTAGCTTCGACCGCTCCACGACTACGGAAACGGCTTCCGAAAGATACAGTCGGTTTGCTCGAAGACCGGCTCAAGATCGATGGTACTCATGCTCCGATATCACTCTACAACGAACTCATCAACGAGTACATGCGCCGCGGAAAACTCGATCAGGCTCGTGACGCCTATGAACGCTCGATCAAGGCGTATCCGACCATGGCCGCGCAGTGGGTGGCGTACGCGGATATGGAGCAGAGCGCCGGAGAATTTGCGCGAGCCGAAGAAGTATTCAAACGCGCAATCGAGTCAGTCACCAGCCTGACGGTCTGGCAACACTACCTGACCTACGTCCGTCGGCGGAACAACGCCGCGACAGAGGGCGAGGCCGCTCAGACGGCAATCATGCAGGCCTTTGAGCTCGTCGTGAGTAAAGTCGGCATTGACGTGCGAGCAGGAAGGATCTGGAGAGAGTACATTGAGTTTGTGAAGAACGCACCCGACGGCAAGTCGACTTGGGAGTCGCAGCAGAAGATGGACCTGATGCGCAAGTTGTACCAGCGCGCTGTGTGCATTCCGCTTGAGAATTTGGAGCATTTATGGCAGGAGTATAACTCCTTTGAGAATTCACTTAACAAAACTACCGTGAGTTACTGCAACTACCTTTCTGTCAATACCGGACGTTTGCTAATAAGTTACATTATTAGGCCCGGAAATTTCTCGCAGATAGAGCCCCAGCATATATGACCGCTCGCTCGTGCCTCAGGGAGCTTCTACAGATCTCAAGTCATCTCAATCGCGAATTAGTGCCTACCAAGCCCAAATGGCGCGAGCAGGATCTTTCGCAGGTCTCGTTCTGGAACCGCTGGATTGCCTGGGAACGCAAAGATCCTCTAGGTTTCACTGCCGAAGACGGCAAGGGCGGCATGTCTGGCGGTAAAGAGCAGGTCATCGTGCGGGTGCTGTACGCGTACAAGCAGGCGCTGCAACCTCTGAGATTTTATCCGCAGATGTGGTTCGATGTCGCGGAGTATTGCGCATCGGTCGATAAAGCTGATGATCAAATGGCGTTCCTCAAGGAAGGAGTTGCGGCCAATCCGGGTAGCTGTTTGCTTAATTTCAGACTTGCTGAGGTGTTTGAAGTTGCAAAGAAGCGCGAGGAAGCGAAATCGACGTACAAAAACCTGGCAGCGGCTATTTTGAGCGAGATCAATAGGTTTGAGAAGCTGGGTGAAGAGAGAGTAAACTCGTTGAAGAGTACTCTCACTGAATCTGAGGATTCCAGCACGAAGGCGAAACGAAATGGCGGACTATTAGACGATGACGACGACAACAATACCTCAATTGCTTCTACGGGGAAGAATAAAGCAGTCTTGGATCGGATTAAAAAGACAGAGGAGTGGACCAAGAGACGGCTCGCCGAACTGTCGAAGGACTACACACTCTGCAACACGATGTACATGCGAGCCACGAAGCGAATGGAAGGTCTGAAAGCAGCGCGGCTAGTCTTTAGTGAAGCTCGCAAGTCGCAGTATTCCACACACCATATATTTGTGGCCTCCGCACTGATGGAGTACCACCATAACAATAGTCCCGAGATTGCCGGAAAGATATTTGAGCTTGGCCTGCGCCGGTTCGCAGAGTCGCCGGCGTATGTGGAGCAGTACCTCGAGTTCCTGCTGCTAACGAATGACGATACGAACGCGCGTGCGCTGTTTGAGAGAACAGTGTCAAGACTGCCTGCGAATGACGTCGAGCCACTGTTCAAGAAATTCTATGCATACGAAGCCGCGTACGGTAGTGAGCTGTCTATAGTCTCGAAGCTCGAGACACGCATGTTGGAGCTGTACCCTGATACGTCGGCTATTTCGCGATTCGCGGGACGTTACACTTTAGGCGGGCATTGCGTGATTGATGAGCAGGAGGTAGGACCGATTGTGTACCGCGATATAACTTCGGACGCCGCAGCCTCTGCTGCGACCCAGTCGGCAGACAAGGACTTATCGGACGACGAGGATTTCTTCCAGAACCAGATTCTGATGCCAGCTAGTGGATCCAGAGCATCGAAAGCGAGAGGGAAGCACTCGCGGAAGCGGTCGAGAGACGAGTCGCGAGGAGAGCCGCGCAAGCGGAATCGCAGCAAGCGGGAGAAGGCAGAATCAAAGTCCGCGTCGTCGCTGTCGTCCTCAGTGCAAGAACAGCGGAACGGCGGGAGCAGTAATTACGAATACTCGTCTTCACCATCGGCTTCTGTGTCTTCTTCCTGGATTCCGGAGTCGGTCATCCGTTTGCTTACGTTACTACCCCCGGCGTCAACGTACAATGCTGTGTCGTTCGACATTGACGGCGTGATGAGGTTGATTGAGAAGACAGCGATTCCGAGCGTACCGCCGCTTAACGCGGATCTGTCGCGGTTCAGGAAGGCGTGAGATGGGTATTCACACTTTGCGTCTGTGTTTATAGTATCTTCTTGTAATTATAAATCATTCCACATAAGTTTGTGTGTGAAATTCAAGTGTCGTAGTAGTTGCATGCGTACAAACCCCATCGCAGAACACGCGTCTCGTATGCGCCCAAAGCAGCTCGATGAGCCACATCCACAACCTCCCAAATACCAATCCCACAAGCCGAAACCCCACCGCCAATTGGCAAAGATCGAAGGATCTCGAGTAATAATAGAACAGAGAAGTGCTGAGCAATAACTATGGCCTCTCTTGCTGCGTACGTGCTTGATTTTGCGTACACGTTCACGTCGTGCGTGGCGTGTTTCCCGTCGCCGTCTTTGTATATCAACAATCGCAGCTACAAGATTCAACGGCTGCTAGGCGAGGTACGTCTCTTGCCGTTCATTATTTTCCGCAATTAATGTTTATAGGCTAATGACAACGTTTGACAGGGCGGTTTTTCGTACGTCTACCTGGTGCAGGCGCAAAATGGCGAACTGTTTGCTCTCAAAAAGATCCGCTGCCCGTTTGGCGCCGAGAGCTTGCAGGTTGCTATGAAGGAGATTGACAACTATAAGATTTTCCACGATGAGCATATTATAAGCATGATTGTAATTGCCCTTGAATACTTGTCTGTTGATTGTCTAGTGGGGAAAGGTTTACTGACTCTTGGGGGTAGGACTCGAACGTGGTGCAGGAACGGGACGGGTCGAAGACTGTGTACATCCTGCTCCCGTATTTCCGGCGCGGAAACCTACAAGACACGATAAACGCGAACCTGATCAACGGCTCATACTACGACGAGAAAGAAGCGCTACTATTGTTCCTGGACATCGCGCGCGGCGTCCGCGTCATGCATAAGCATACCCTCGGAGGAGCAAACGGCAGCAGCACGGGCAACAGCAGTCGCAACTCTGGCGTCGGCATGGATATAGAAGCCGAACGCCCGCTGATGGCGTCCGAGCCCGCGGATTTCCAAAACGCACCGCAGAGCCTGGCTGCGCCGGGATCGGCAGCCGACACAAGGATAGTCGCGTACGCGCACAGAGATATCAAGCCTGCCAATATCATGCTCTCGCAGACCGGTGTGCCGGTCTTAATGGATCTCGGCAGTTGTATGCGTGCGCGGATCGATGTGTCCTCGCGTGGACAGGCACTCGAGATACAAGATAACGCGGCCGAGCACTGCACGATGCCGTACCGCGCACCGGAGCTATTCGACGTCAAAACCAACACGATCCTCGACGAAGGTGTCGATATCTGGTCTCTCGGTTGCACGTACTTTGCAATGCTGTATTGCTCGTCGCCGTTCGAACTGCAGACGGCAGAGACAGGCGCGAGTCTGAGTCTGGCGATTATCAACGGCACGTTTAGGTTCCCGGACGCGCCAAAGTATTCCGAACCTACGAAGGAGATCATTCGCGCTTGTTTGACGGTCGAACCGAGTCAACGTCCTGATATCGATAAGGTCATTAGTCTGATAGAGAGCTCTCTTGCGCAGTTCAATTAATTATAATAGATGTGGATTATGTTCTTATTATGTAAAATTCAATAGAAAATAAAGACGTCTCACAGTTCTCTTCCCGCCCAGTTGCTTCTACTAACTTTCCATGTGATCTCTATGTTTCCTATAAGAGTAGTTAGTAGTTCAAAATAAAGAAGAGGATTTTTTTTTCTTTCTTGGTTTTACAATACGGTACCGCCACGCGCTCTTCTGCTCATATACATAAACAAATCTGCTCTCAGCTAAGAAATATAGCAATATTGCCGAAAAAAAAGAATAAAAAAACAACGAAACAACAAAACAACAAAACAACAAAACAACAAAACAACAAAACAACAAAACAACAAAACAACAAAACAACAAAACAACAAAACAACAAAACAACAAAACAACAAAACAACAAAACAACAAAACAACAAAACAAAGCAGTACAGTACAGTACAGTACGGTACAGTACAAAAACATAGAAGTACAACAACATAAAAGTACAAAAACATAAAAGTACAACAACAAAAAAGCACAGTACAGTACAGTACAGTGCAAAAACATGAAAGTACAACAACATGAAAAGCACAGTACAGTACAGTACAGTACAAAAAATAGAAGTACAACAACATAACAGTACAACTACAGAGCAGCAGATACAGAAGAGACAGAGACAAGAAGAGCGCGTATAGACGGCTGGTGCCAGGGTCGGGAAGAATGCGTTACGCATACTCCTGAACAAGAGATGATCAGGCTCTTGCTCAAGAGTTATGTGGGACTCTACGACTCTCTCGAAGTCGTCATACCCACTAAAACCCGACTTCACCCAGAAGGCAGTCATAGACCGCCTCCGTATTCGTGGATTGTCAACGTTGCGCTTGAACCGCTTGGTCGTGCGGACTCTCTTCGACACCCGTCGCCTCGGGGCTCCCTTGCGACGGTGCGACTTCCCAGTGCATGTGTTTCAGAGACGCGACAACGAAGACGTTTTAAATCCAATGAGCAACCTGGCTAAAGAAGAAGCTCATCAGATTGACCGCCCTGACCAACCGCGCCGATCCTGACCGACAGGCCTGACCGACAGGATCTGGACGCGTACGGGCGGCCACGCAGAGGGACCGGGCCGACAACGGTATTGCAGTTCCTTTGAGCGCACTCACCCGGTATCTGCGCGTGCAGGTCATATACCAGACCGCTTGGTCGAGTTAGCTTCTCTCCCCTACCTCTGCCGCATGCATGGCACGACGCTCATTATTGGGGGAATGCAACCGTGAATCCGGACCGGAATAGGCAGCTCCCAAACTTCTCGCAAAGACATGTCACAGAACGCTAATCCTACCTGCGCAGTGTAGACTGCTTTCTGACGTCTCCACGAGGTGCCATGCATGCGAAAGAGGAAGAAGATCAAAGCCAACCCTCTCCAACCCACATCCCCAAGGTTTTTGCCGTCGAGAGAGAGAGCCGGAACACCGATCATCCTGGTTCATTGCGATAAATAATACCAGACCGGTGTTGTGGCCAGAAAAACAGGAAAACCTGTGCTGGTGGAGAGGAGAAGAGAGGGAGAAGAGGCGGGCGAGGCGAGCGCGCTGAAGTGGGCGGGTCGCAGGTCAGGCGGGCGCGTGTCTGAAATATTGGGGTTTCTCGTTTGGGCCGAAAGTAAACATTCACTTTACGCGCCGGCCATTTCGTAATTCTGCCGTTTACGGAGAAGTTATTGCAATCATTAGAGCTTTTTCGTCCAGAAAATAGTAGCAGTATTAGTAGATGGTATTTTAAGGGATTGCTAGTTTGTCGTGATCTAAGCGTCGCCGACCGTGCTGCGTTTTGGGGTGGACGCAAGCTGAATGGCTTATAAATATCATATACTGTAACATCATGCACCAATTCCAGGCAGCTATTCTAGTAAGCGCTATTTGGTCTCTGTAGTAGGGACTAAATTTATTAGTATATTTGCGTGCAAACAGATTTGAAGCAAAAGCAAGAGCAAGAGCAAAAGTAACCCAGTCTTGGTAGATTGTACGAGTTAATAGAATCTGTGCACAATCAGGATATAATTGGGCAACGCAAACTGCATCCCACCAGCTGTAGTACGGCTCTCTTTCAGCTTTGTGTGCCACACATTTTTCCCTTTGCTTTTCTGTAGCAGCCGGTCGATACGGGGAAGCCTGGCCATCTTCATGGCACGTTGGGTTTCCGGGCACGCCGAGGTATCTTGCGTCTACGAAGAAACCGTTCGCGCTTGTTTATCCGTCGAGTAGAGTATGTACTCAACTCAGGAAGCTCTCTAGCACAGTTTAACCGATTCTGGTGAGTTTGATTATGTTTTTGTTCCGTGAAACCAAATAGAAAAAAATAGACGTCTCCAACTTTTACACTGTCTCTCTGCTCTATATCGTTTTCTTCCTACTCAACGCCTTATCAGCTTCCCAAACTCCTCGATCAACCACGGTTGCGACCGCCAAAACCCCACCGACTGCCGCACAGACACCAATCAAAAACGATCCAAACGACTTTGGCCGCTCCTCGTGGTTGATGACCTTCATCGGCGAGATATCGTACGAGAAGAAGACACCTGGGATACCGCCACGCGCATGCATTGTGTTTTTGTGGTCTTCGTCGCGGCCACCGCGGATAGGGCGCTCGTGTGAGGTGACAGAGTACTGGTTTGTATCGACTGGGGCTTGTCCGATGCGTTCGAATCTGGTCGAGACGACCTTGACGAAGTACATGTAGTTGAAATTCCGCTCGTCTGTCTTCTTGACGGTGTTATCAAGCGGATTTACGATCCCGTCGTGGTAGGGACCAAACGAGAGATGATGGATCTGGTGCGAGAACGTATGCACGACGTCGGAGGTCGTGTACTGATTCAGATCGTGAACATGCACCGACGGCGAGGTGTACGATCTTCCCGGCGCAAAATGGAAGTTACCCACGACTTTGTTGACGCTAAAGTGGCCGGCAATGTTGCATCCCTCGTGCTTGACGGCCTCGACTCTTTCCGGATAATGCTCGCGCTCGCACTGCTCGACGCCCTTGCCGTCGCCAAACGCCCAGCCTACGGCCTGGTAGGCATCACGCACGTCGTCGCAGGTGTTGCAGCATTTCGTGCCTTCTTCCTCCTTGGGAATAGCACCGTAGCAAGGGCCGCAGTAGTTGTCGTCTAGATGGTGAGGTGCCGCGCCCGCAGCGTGGAGATCGAGGGATTCGGTGCTGATGATGGTACCCTCGGGCGAGAGGCGGGTCTTCATGATTCCGTGAGTGATTTCAGTCTGTTGCTCGCCGGAGACGTCCATGACGTCCAGAGTGAGCATGTCGCAGGGTATCGTGGGGAACGTCACATTCAGATTGATATTCATCCGTTCACCTAATCGTGGTTAATTCTAGCTCGATGATTGCAAAAGACGATAAAACTGTACCTCTGGTCTTGTCTACAATCAACTCTGGTCGATTCGATATCATGCGATAATCCCTCCATTCAGAGATAACGAGGAATATAATAACCACCGTCGACACAATCGTCACAATTCCACCAGACGTAGTCCTCACCCGCGCGTCCTCGACCGTCTTTGAGAACGCGTCAAAGGTAGTCAACCTCCTCCGAGGCGCCATGATCGTCTACGAGCCACGTAGCTGTCTGAGAACGTATACAAACAAGCGCAGTAATCCCCGCGCAATTGCAGCAAGAGAAGAAAGAACAGATACTCTGTGAATACGTGGAGAAAGACGAAAAGGTGGTTTGTAGGATGCTGCTGCGCTTGGATCAGGAAACGTGGCGCACTGAGAAGGGAGTTGCTGCTGTTTAGGGGATCAAGAAACGGGCTCTTCTCTATTTAATAGTCCGTACTCTGTACACCATCATATTTCTTGCAGACACGTGCAGGGTCCTAGTTTACGTCAGGAGTCAATTAACTACTGTGTCAATATTCATAATCATAAAATCTATTCTCTCGACTAAAGTCTCCTATTTTTACACAAAGAAAAGATACTATTTGACAAATCCTTCTCAATGTTCATTGACCAGCCGCCTTACTTTGCGAAATGCAGATCGAAGTTCAACCACTTCCGAGACAGAACCTGGTCGACATCCAACCCAGGATCGCCGTACGTGAACGGGCTGAAGAAGATGTACACTCCGTAGAGAAATCCGACGATGACGCCCGCAACAATCCAGCTGATTCCGTTGCTGATCGGGTAGACTGTAGGGGGTCTTGAAGCCTTGGTTTCTTTGTTGGCGTTCGAGCCTTCGGGGGGGTAGGCTACTGGGAAGGCACCCGGGTTGCCAAAGAAGAAATCGAGCAGAGCGCCAGCAGCCAAAGCCGATGCGAGATGCGCCGGTAGATAGTGGTGCAGGAAAAGCTGTCTTCCCATGACGTAAAATGGTAGGTAGTGCGCAGCCCATGCAAGCAGGAAGAACCCAGCAGAGCTGTAGAGTCTGTTGCGCACATTCTCAGCCAGGATGTAAAACCGTCGCCGCCTCGTTAGCTGGTCGGCAACCAAAACACCGGCAAGAACAGCCAGACAGCAGATAGCAAACCACCAGCCAAGAGGGTTACCGACCAGATAGATCTGTGATCGGGAGTTACTGTCTGTCCAGAAAGAAACTCCGCGGAGCATGAACGGCCACTCGGGAGGGTGGGATGCGTAGGGATGCGAGGCAGTAAGCGCATTGTTGTGGCGGAACATGGCAATCTGTAATTCAAGCCATTTTGTGAGGAAAGGAAGATGCTTTACTGCCTTGGGTTCCACCTTTGTCCGGCTATCTGACGGGTCCATGTCAACGATAGCATTAACAAGCCAGGTGTTTGACGCCTGAGCCGAGTTCTTGTTTCCGTTGATTTCCTGCTGCTTGTATCCCCAATCCGGAAGCAGCTTCTCGTCTTGCGTCCACATCGCAACCTTGGTAGGTACATGAATCAACTTGAACAAGCTAGCAACTGTTCGGAACGGATCCCGTTTGCCGTTATTAAAACGGATCTCAAACAGAGTGTCGTTGTGACGAGGACCGGCCGCATCGTCAGGGCTCACGGTAGTAAACTCCTGATTGGTGGGATAATGCGGAGAAGCCACATCGTGAGTAAGCAGGTATGTGTTGGTTCCGACGTGAAGCAGCTGGATAACGTCGCCGCCCTTGACGCCGTGGCCAGACTTCTTATCCTCAGGAAACGGTACAGCCGGCATGATAATCCACTCATTGTTTGCATCTTCATACGGGTATCCAGTAACCTGCTGTCCCTGCGATGAGATACGACCGTCGTCGTAGCGCAAAGGATACCGATCTACATGCGAGTGTAAGAAGGTCTTTGTGTCCTTATGTTGCAGAGTGATCTTGTCGTAGTAGTTGATCGGTCTCGACACCAACGAAATCGGACTGTCGCCCAAAGTCTCCTGGAACTCAGGGGACATGAAATCATCGCCGGGACCGGACTTGTTGAGAACCCAGAAGTGGATCTGGAAGAAGAACAGAAATAGCATGAACGGCAGTACAATCAGAGAGAATGCACGCGCGAAGAAATGTTTTGCGAATTGTCGCTTAAAAGATTGAGGTTAGCAAGAATAGGGTACGTATACAGACATAGAAGGGTACTTACCAGAGTCAATCCCGATCTCACTTCCAGCAGTTTCCAGAGATCAATCACAACAGCCAATCCAACGGTGAAGAATGTAAAGACACCGACGTACTTTGTACCAATAGTGCATGCAAGGGAGACACCCGTAAGATTGAGCCAGATCCACCATCTCCAGCTGAATGCTGCATTGCGGTAGCGCATGAACTTCACGTAGCAGTACATAGTACAGGCCATGGAGAAGATCAATGTAGCGTCGAGCAGAATCAGTCTGGTCTGTGTAATGTGGGCGTTATCAAAAAGGACCATGGAAGCCGACACGATGCAGGCAGGTAGACTGTAGCCGCTATGCTTCATGGTCAGGAAGACGACCGGGACAGTGAGTGATCCAAGCAGAGCCGGCAGCGCACGGTAGGCCAGATACGGCACTTTGTTTTGCGTGTATCCGTCGCCAATGTTTTCAAACAAGAATGCGCCGTCGTAGCCTACTAGCCATCCTACGAAAGCGAAAAGAAGTTTGCCGAAAGGGGGGTGAACGTCGAAGAAGTAAGTTCGTTGCAAATACTATGCGAGTGATCGTGATTAGCAAAAGTAGGGTGATTTGAATCCACTGCAGAAGCATTCAGCACATACATAGCTAGCAAACTTGCCAAAGTGAACCTCGTCGAAAACGACCTGATCGGGGTGGTTGAGAAGATAGAACCGAGTGTAGAACGCCAGGACGGTGAGAACCACGAGCGCCATATTATATTTGCGCTCCTCGTTCTTCGCCGCCCGGGGAGTTGGAGGATCGACAATCAGAGTAGTTGGAACAGAGATGTCGACTGGATCATCTGGAGCATTGGCGGGAGTCCGAACCGGGGTTCCGGCGGCGGGTGTTGATCCCTTGGAGGACTTGCTTGGTTTCGCCTTCTTTCCCGAGCCTTTCTCCGGCGAGGGAGACGCAGACGCGGCGGCAGCTTTCGGGGCCATTGTGTCAGAGACTCAATTCGATTGCGAGCAGGGTTAGAACTGCAGATCAAGTGTCGACGGGTCGGTGAAGGAGAGCGCAGCGGTGATATCAAGAACGGGATATGAAACGTGGCCTGTCAGGTTCTTCGTCTTTATTCAGAGAAGCACACGCGTGCAAAGGGAGGAGCGGTGCAACGCGCACCAAAATAAGAAAACCCGATTTTTCTCGGTTCCAATTATTGTTCAGAGATTTCATCAGAGCATCAGATATCTCCTCCTCACCTGCTCCGTCTCTGCGCAAACAATGTCGGTCCATCCTTCCCGGCTGGCTCAGTTGGCCGCGGAGCCTGACAAAATGGACGTTGATCAGCCCGCAGCGTCTCCTGAGAATGGCGTCTATCTCGAAGATCTCGAGGTGAACAACGACTACACAATCAGAGGCACCGATGTGCGCACTCAGCTCTATCTCGAAGAGCAGGAGAAGAAGAAGAGGGCAAGCAAGCTCGCTGTGCCAACCGACGATCTGAAAGTGCGGGCAGCCCTGCGCAACCTGGGCGAGCCGATCACGCTGTTTGGAGAGGACAAAGCGGATAGACGTTCTCGGTTGCGATCAGTACTCGCTGCTAGAGAGGATCTGGGAATAAGTACTGATCTGGGAATCCAAGACGAGTCTGATGAATCCGAAGCCGGCGACGATGAGGAGTTTTACACACAGGGAGGAGACGAGTTGCTGGAAGCGCGGCAACAGATTGCACAATATTCACTAGAACAGGCACGACTGAGAAGGCTGCGACAGATAGAAGAGTCGAGAATAGCACTTTCAAAGCTGGTCAGTCAGTCGAGAACTATCACAGACTATCTGAAGCAGTACGCTCTTCAGGGTACTCAGTTTGTTGCAGATCGTGCTGTCTCGGTCGTTCGCTTCAGTCCAAACTCTCAGATTGTTGCAGCCGGATCATGGACCGGTTCGATCAGGCTGATTACTGTCCCGACAATGGACGACTACGAAATACCTATCCTTCGAGGACACGACGAGAAAATCGGAGGAGTAGCATGGCATCCGCAAGCCACTCTGCAGCAGTCACCTAGCTCTCTCAACTTGGCCTCCGGAGGAGGAGAAGGCACAGTGAAGCTATGGTCGCTCGACAAAGGAGAGGCTCTGGCTACGTTGACCGGACACGAGGGCCGTGTGTGCCGTGTAGCGTTCCATCCTACTGGGCGATACCTCGGTACTGCGTCGTTCGATTACACATGGCGATTTTGGGACGTCGAGACTCAACAGGAGTTGATGATGCAAGAGGGCCATTCGAAGGAGGTGTACACTGTGGCTATGCAGCGGGACGGCGCTTTAGCTGTATCGGGTGGCTTAGATGGATTTGGTCGAGTTTGGGATCTTCGGACAGGAAGATCGATTATGATTCTTGACGGTCACAGTCGAGAGATCTATGGTGCGGACTTCGCACCCAACGGATATCAGGTTGCTACCGGCTCCGGGGACGCTACGATCAAGATCTGGGATATTCGGAAGGTCAAGGCAGTGGCGACTATTCCTGCACATAAGAGTCTGATCTCTGACGTTCGTTACTACGACGGAGACGCAGAGATACCGGGCGTGGTAGCCACGGAAGGGCCGTATACAGTACAGGGAAGTTATCTGGCATCAAGTTCGTATGACGGCTCGGTCAGTGTAAGTTGTTCTACTTCTCATTTAAGTGATCTTTATTCTTTTAGTAGGGTTGCGCTGACAGTTTTGATTTACAGATATGGAAGTCTGATTCGTGGCTGCTGGTTAAGACGCTCAAGGGCCACAACGGAAAGGTGATGACGGCAGATATTTCTGGCGACAACAAGTATATTGCCAGCGGAGGATGGGACAGATCGGTGAAGCTGTGGGCGAACGAGTACATGTAGAATAGCAGAAGCAGAAGCAAATGTAAGATAGGAAGCGAATAAAAGCAGTGACGGTTATGCCACAAATTCACGCAGTCGGATCCGGAGTCTCCCTCAAGGACCCCATTAGAGGCCAGCCAGCACACATCCATCGCATACTGGTAATATCTCCCCGGCGCTTCTTTTGTTATCCCGTCGTGCGTTTGTTTCGTCTTCAGATATCTTCTGCTTCCCCAGCAGGATACCCGAGCGCACGAGTCAGTCTGAGATCAGGTGTTTTATTCTCTGAATACTCCTCTCGATCAATCCTCCTATCCGATTCCTGGCTCTACCTCTCGCAATCCAGCTATCCCGAAGCGGGCCCGTTCAGAGACATAAAGGTGTGCCATCTTTAGTGTTTATGACGCCGAAAATATGACCGAACCGTCGTATTCGGCCTCTCGCGGCCCTTCCTCCACGGCTTCCTCCCATCCATCCTCATCAACGACCTCGCACATCAACGGAGTCCTCACGCCGCACGGTTACGTCGTCAATAATAATCACGAGGTTAGCAGTAACGGGACCGAGAACGGGAGCAATGGGGCTGTCAGCGGGGCGGGGCTCTATGACGGATCCCGGACCAGCAGCCAGATGCTCGAAGGCTTCGACGGCGTCAGGGACGACCCCGACGACGCAGCCTTCAAGTACCACGAGCGAATGGCTCTCAGACACGGTTTCGAGGAAGTCTACAATTCGGAGTACTACATGAATTTGCTGGCTCAGGTGTGTTTTGCTTACGTCGTTTGGTTTGCATTCCGGATCAGCTTAACTAAATCTCTCGCAGAACTTCTATATCTACTTCGACGACAAGAGACATGAGACAGCCGGCAACCCAAAACCTCCATCTTTATCCTCTTCGGCCGATGCAAGTCTTCCGGACTGGCGTATGAAAGACCGTCAGAAAACAGTGTCGGCTGCGATAGTGCTCTGTCTCAACTTGGGTGTTGACCCCCCGGACGTGGTCAAGACGGACCCTTGTGCGAAGCTCGAAGCGTGGGTTGATCCCAGCGATCACAATGATGCCAAGAAGGCCCTAGAGCTGATTGGCAAAAATCTACAAGCACAGTATGAAACGCTCAGTATGCGGACGAGATACAAGCAGAGCTTAGATCCGAACGTGGAGGACGCCAAACGGTTTTGTATCAGTTTGCGCCGTGGGGCCAAAGACGAGCGGATACTCTTTCACTACAATGGGCACGGCGTGCCGCGACCAACGCCGTCGGGAGAGATTTGGGTGTTCAATAAAGGATATACGCAGTATATTCCTGTTTCGATCATGGATCTGCAGACGTGGCTGGGCGCGCCATGTCTGTTCGTATACGATTGTCACGCAGCGGGAAACATCGTCAAGAACTTTAACAGATTTGTCGAGCAGCGAATCGTGGACGACAAACTGCGAAGTCGCGATCCGAACAGTAACGTTCCGATGCCGGCGTTCCCTGGAGTCATGTACAGAGAGTGCATACAATTAGCAGCATGCAGAGCAAACGAGAGTCTACCTTTAAATCCTGATCTGCCGATGGATCTATTCACGTGCTGCCTCACAACCCCCATCGAAATTGCTATCCGGTGGTTTATCCTACAGTCGCCGTTACCGAGAGACAAGAAGAATTTAGATGTCACTATTCCCGGACGGTTAGCAGATCGAAGAACTCCTTTAGGAGAACTAAATTGGATCTTTACAGCAATCACAGACACTATCGCTTGGTCGCAGCTTGAGCCTCCACTGTTCAAGAAGCTATTCAGACAAGATCTAATGGTAGCTGCGCTCTTTCGAAATTTTTTGCTAGCCGAAAGAATCATGAGAGTACATAACTGCCATCCTGTCTCTGAGCCTGCGCTACCGCCAACTCACAATCACCCAATGTGGGAGTCATGGGATCTAGCTGTTGATCAGTGTCTAGCTCAACTGCCTATGCGTGAAGCTGCCGAGGAAGGCGGACAGACATACGAGTACAAGCATTCGACATTTTTCGAGGAGCAGCTCACTGCTTTTGAGATATGGCTGAAGTACGGGTCCAAGACCAAGAGACGGCCGGAGCAGCTGCCGGTTGTCTTGCAGGTCTTATTGTCACAGGTGCACCGTCTGAGAGCCCTTATTCTGCTAAGTAGATTCCTGGATCTCGGGCCATGGGCAGTATATCTGGCGTTGTCCATCGGAATCTTCCCTTATGTCTTGAAGCTTCTGCAGTCTCCTGCTCAGGAATTGCGGCCGGTATTGGTGTTTATTTGGGCCAGAATCATGTCGGTGGATTACCAGAATATTCAACAAGAGCTTTTGAAAGACAACGGATGCAGTTACTTCATTCAGATCCTTACCTCCAAAGACGGGCTTCCGACCGGTGCCGAGAACGCTGGAGAGCACTACGCCATGTGCGCGTTCATCATCGCTCTCTTCTGTCGGGGAAACAAGGCTGCTCAAAGAGCTTGCATGGGATCAGATGTACTACAAGCCTGTTTGCTGCACATCCAGGATCCCGATTGTGCGCTTCTTCGACAGTGGGCATGCTTGTGTATCTCGCAGCTGTGGGACAACAATACTGAAATGAAATGGATAGGTGTTCGGGAAGACGCGCCAGCGAAGCTTGTGGTTTTGCTGGATGACCCTGTGCCAGAAGTGCGAACTGCAGTTTTGGTTGCGTTATCGACATTCCTCGAGACTTCAGAGTCCGGGGGAGTGCCGGATTACGTCGAGGAACTTGAAGCTAGGGAGTCGCAGATTGCGTTTGCTACTTTGAAGCTAACAGGCGACGGTTCCGGAATGGTACGCAAGGAGATTGTGGTTTTGTTTTCACGATTTGTGAAGCACTACGCGTCAAAGTTCATTGTTATTGCTTTCAGACAGTTGGAAGTCGATAGGCAGCAGTATAAGAGCATGAATGGAATGGCCAGTGACTCCGCCAGTTCGACATCATTCTCATCTCTCGACTTCCCCCGGAGCACCATTTTTGTTGGAGTCTGGAAGGCTCTGCTAGTCCTGTCTACAGACCCGTTCACTGAAGTTGGGGATATGGCGTCGCTGGTAGTTGACTATGTCTACTTGCTTCTGCTGAACTCACCCTTAGCTCGTGTATCTGAAGAGCTGTTGGAAAGCGCTCGAGGTTCCCAGATGAGACACGCCTCTTCTTCGGGAGAGTCTACAGATTCCGACACGTCTAGCGTCTCCTCGCAATCAACATTCTCCTCCCCGCAGAGGCAAGTGTCTGCTGGATCGTCGTCCGTTCTCGCTTCCACCCTTCGTCGCTCTGTTTCGATCGCGACGTCGTTCCGAAACCTTGCTCTGGGATATAACGAGAACGACAGTCCTGTAACGGAACCTAATCAGCCACCGACTGCCAACGGCATTTCAGTCTCCACGGTCCCATACGGAACCGGCATCCGGCCCAAAACTGCCAGATATAACCGACGATCGACGCACGAGCCGATTACAATGCCACTTCAGAGCGGGTTCTTCGATTGGAGCTGCGAATACTTCCAGGAGCCACAGATGAGCCAGCCGGAGATGGACGAACCCGGAAGTATGGAGTATAATCGACGACTCTGGCGGCGCACCAGAAACGAGAAAACGCTTGCTTATACGCAGCCGCAGAAGGAGCTGGCCGCGCACTCTTCGTGGAATTACCAGATCGGATTCATTAATAACGCGACGCAGCCTACGAAGCTTGTGTTTGCTCAGTTCGAACCTCATCTTATTGTTGTCGATGATCGCGACGGTGTTGCGTAAGTGTTTACATATTTATTTGCGTCGTTTAGCTTGATCTGACATTTTATAGGGTTTGGAATTGGCCTGAAAACAAGAAGCTTAACCGGTTCTGCAACATGAACCCACCAGGAACCAAGATCACAGAGGCCAAGCTGATCAATGAGGACGACGTTCCTCTTCTGATGACGGGTGCTGGCGATGGAGTTATCCGACTGTATCGCAACTACGAATCTGAGGATAAGATCGAGCTGGCGTGCGCGTGGCGTGCGCTGACAGACATGCTGCCTTCTAATAGAAGTAGTGGATTGGTAGCTGACTGGCAGCAAGGACGTGGAACGATGCTTGTCGGTGGAGACGTCAAGGTGATTCGTCTATGGGACGCGCCGCGAGAGCTGTGCATGGCGGATATTCCTGCCCGGTCAGGAAGTCCAATCACCAGTCTGACGTCAGACCAGGTCGCAGGACATGTGTTTATTGCCGGATTTGGTGACGGTGCGCTGCGCGTGTACGATCGGCGAATCGATCCCAGAGAGGCTATGGTCAAGGTGTGGAAATACCACAAGAGTTGGGTGCTCAATGTTCATATGCAGCGTGGAGGTGCTCGTGAGCTCGCTAGTGGAAGGTATGTGGTGGTTTGTGTGTTTGATTTTAATTGAGTGGAAGTGACTAACGCAGTTTGACTGTAGTGTTGACGGAATGGTGCATCTATGGGACTTGAGAAGCGACGAGCCTGTGCTCAGTTTCCAATCTCACGCACGGGGAATGCGAGCACATTACGTGCATGAACATGCTCCAATCCTTGCCACTGGCTCGCAAACAGTCAAGATCTGGCGTCTTACAGGCGAGAACACAGCGACGGTGAAGAACAACAGCGGATACATGCTGCAGAACCGATTGTCGTACGTTTCCGCGCTCGCGTTCCACCCGCACCGAATGGTTATGGCTGTGAACAATTCGCATGATTCCCATATCGGCGTGTATAACTGCACGGCGAACTTGGTCCATGACTTTTCTTGATCAGATATCTCTGTAATTTACGCTACGTGTGTGTTTGTTGGCGGCTTGGGACGGAAGGGAGAGTGCGTGGGTTGTATTTGGCATGTAAATCTATTATCATGTACTTGTCTATGGGACGGAGTACTTTTGTATACGCAGTTACTTGTTGCAGACTTTACGCTTAGCATTTGGGTTGCGATATTAATATACAAATTCATCATATTGCGGTCTTCAGCGTAGATATGTATTCATCACGCACGTATATTTTCCACAAACCAGCAAGATACCAATAATTACTCAGTCACAGAATAAATCGTCATCACGAATGAGTAACAAACAAAGATATCAGCAATCCGTTGCTACAAGAGTCATTTTCTCTCCTCTAAGAATCTATATTTGGTCAGCTTTGAAGACGCCGCACGCTTTGATCTTCACTTTGCTCAGAGCAAAAGGCAAAATATTTATTTCTGCGTATAAAGCACACTTTGCGACATCTTTTTCACCGCAACAGAAGATTTTTAGAATACAGATATGGCACCACGAGGAAAGGCTAGGAAGCCAATTAGAGGAGGTTTGTTCAGCACTTAGTCGTACCTCAGGATCGCGGGCGTGATATAGATTATTGCATGAAGGCTAACCACGTCGTTATTGCTACAACTCTCAGGTGGCAAGCACTTCACGCGGGGACTGCGTGAGCAAACAGAGTCTGAGGCATTCGGAAACATTGTTCCCGAGGGCGAGCTAGGAGACGACAACGACGGCGCCGGCCGCTCGCGTCGCGCGATTTCGTCCGGGTCCGAGAGCGAGAGCGAGAGCGACAGTGAACCATCGCCGTTTGCGCAGCGGGAATCGTCACCACCACCGCCGGCGCCTATCGCGGTCAGTAATCCCAACCGAGGCGGCGCGGCGGCGGCGACGCCGTCTAGTAGCCAGCCGCAGCAGTTGTCGAGAAGGGAGAGGGAGGCGATGCAGGCTGCTGCTGCGAAGGAGCGGTATTGGAAGTTGCACGCTGAGGGAAAGACCGATGAGGCCAAGGCCGATCTTGCACGGCTTGCGGTTATCAGACAGGAGAGAGAAGAGAAGGCGAAGCAGCGCAAGGCGGAGCAGGAAGCCAAGGCTGCGGAGCAAGCTGCTCGTAGCGGCCAGGGACGACGTAGATAAACAGGATCAGTCGCACTAAACACGAGAGTCGCTGAAATTTATACACTTTGGGTAAGTCGCATGGTTATATAGGATCTGGGGTGTCTGGATGTATAATTTCGTTATGTGGTTTTTAAGTCGTCTTCTTCGGACTAGCTATGTACAATAGATTCATGCTCTTATTATATACAAAATTACCACTTCTGCTTCGAATAATCAACAAATTCTGCAACTCAAGCTCAATCTGTATACAAACAATCTACTCATTCGAGCCGGCCCAATGTGTGTCTTCTTCCATTTTTGGCTTCAATTCTTCCGCTATTCCATTCAATGCCAGTATCTGATATTCCCGTAACTTCCACCTCCTGTACGCTAATATCGAGTTCAACAACTTCTGATTCTCGGTATGTTCAAGCTCAAACTCGTCCAGAACCGCCTGCGCTTTGATCATTGCTTCAGGATCAGAAGGATCTCTATGACAGCACATAATAAAGCTTCGGACGACTCGTGGGTGTGTCCTGACCTTCACAGGTTCTATTTCTGATAGCAATTTAATGCCGTCATCCGCTGAATTCAGCACCGACATCAGCTTCTGAACAAGAAATCGGTCCAACGTGACGCCGGTTTCGTTAAAGTGCTGAAGCAAATCAAAGACGGCTTCAGGCTTAAGACTCTCAAACTCAATAACCTTTTTAAGCAAAACATTCCACGTCTTGTGATCATTCTGCGCCTCGCCCGGCAGCTCTTCGTAAATCTTCGTCGCCGTGTACAAGTCCGGCACAACAGAGAGCTTTCCTAGATCCGTAGCGTATTTTCCTCCGGGTATATAGCGCGAGCTCTTGTTTTGTTCCACGTCAAGCGAGATCATTGAACGGATAGTCTCGCCCGTACGTTCGAGCGGCATGCCGTGCTTTGTCATAGTATCCAAAATATGTAAAGCTCCCTGTGGGTCCTCGTAGCGTGCGAAGGCCGCTAGAGATAAATAGCCTTCACGACGGAGGATGATATCGTTGCTCTGCATGTCTCTGAGAAGCGTTTGCTGCGCCTCTAGTAAATATACCCGGGACATTGGATCTGGGTAATTGATAGTCGTCCGCACTGACAACAAGTAGAGCATCCGGTTACACGTCTCGCTCCCTTTGTCACGACCGTCCTTAACGAAAAGCTCTGCAATTTTGGGCAAAAGCTCCGGACTTTCTCTCCAAATGTGACGTATGATTCTCGCGCTGGCAGTCCGTTGAGCTTCTTGATCCAGCTTGTGGAAGTGTTTTGAGAGAATCTTGAAGATCGATCGCAGAGCTCGCTTTGTTAGCTTTCGCATCAACGTGAATAGCAGTAGTTCAGACGGCCACTCATTCTTTCCGTCCATAGCAGCGATTGCTTCTTCGCCCGTTGGCGCACGCACGCATCGGATCCAGGCAATGAGGTCGTCGGCTGATTTTTTTCTGTCGACTAGATTTTTGTAGACAGCTGACGTCACAAACATGCCCCAATTCGTCCCCGTCAAATACCGCACCTTGTCCCAGTGGTCGTGTCCGGCTAGTGGGAAATGCATGGCAGACACAATCATCCACTGGATAGGAAAACCATAGCGAGCCAGCATAGCCTTTGACATAAACTTCTGCGACGACAGATCAATTCTAGCTTCAGGATGTTGATCGGCTCTCACTCCTCGCACCGCGATATCAGTGCCAAACATATTAATTCCATCGAGTAGCCTCATCTTTAGCTCGTTCTTACCCTTTCTGAAAAGTACGGGCGGAAACCGACTGCTGTAAATTTTAACCAAATAATCAGCCAACGCTTCTTCCTTCAGCTCCGTGATAGATCTCTCTCGTTTACAGAAGAAATCCCGTATATCTGGCCGCTTCCCATTCGGTCCCGGCTTCTCTAAGGCGCGCGCGAGCTCCCGGTATGATGAAGGCACCCGCCAATTTGCAGTAAACACTCTGCCGTACTTGTCGACTAGCGGTTGCTTGTTACGCAGTCGTTCCGTGAAAGCAGCCTCGATCTGTTCCCGTAATTGATCAATCACCCAGGCGTAATTCATTAACGGAGATTTGGGGGTCGTTAAGAATGCTTGACGATTGAAAGGAATAAAGAATGGTGGACACTTGTTAGGGTGTGGTGACGATTGAGAAGTAGCCACGCTAACTGGGGATTGTGGACCACTCGTATTGACTTCATCGGGAAATGAAGATCGTCGAGGGTGTTTATTGGCAGCTGTAAATAGTTGACGAAATCCACTGCGAACTGCAGCAGTTTTCGCAGCAGCTAATATCGCGGCATCTCTGGCAAACCACGCCTCAAGAACCCGATGCCGCATTGGAGCGGGTGAGTAAAATAGTGGCCTGCCAGAAATGCAAGAAGGGGAAACAAATACAGCAGACAGGGCCGGCGAGTTCATGAGTAGAACTGCTTCGTGCAATCCCTGTTTTGCTGGTGGAGGTTCGATGGGGTCGATGGGAGACGGCGTGAAATTAGCAGGATATCAAAATCAAAACCCTGGTGAACCAAACTCCCAATCCGCCATTAGCGACAAATAAAAATCAATCAGACTGCACTCCGCAGCCACTGGCCAGCTTTGCGTGAGAATTTAACAATGACTCTACGGATGGCCAGGAAATGGCCAATTAATAGCTGCTCATTGCGGGTAACGTGGGAGTTTAAACGGCTGGCGTCAACCAAGGCGGATGTCAAGTATCCAGGCCTGAAATGTGGTCTTGAGATACATCTCCAATTGAAGACGAGTAAAAAGCTATTCTCTGGTAAGATTGAATTTAACTGCCTGATATTTTGTCACCGGAAGGTCTCGTGGAAAGATTGCTGATATCTGTATGTGAATAGCTTCGCAGACTAGTTTCCAGGATACTCCGAATTCGAACGTGTCATTATACGATGTCGCGCTTCCGGGCACTCAACCTGTATGTTCCAGAGTATTGATTGTTGATTCGCCGCAAAGACAAAGGCACCTAACGACAGGCGGTCTATTTTGATTTAGCAACTGAACCATCATGCAGTTCTTTTGGCGCTGAAAGCTGCCATCGCGATGAATTGCAAGATTCAGAATCGGTCATCGTTTGACCGCAAACATTACTTTTACGCAGATCAGCCGGCAGGATATCAAATCACACAGTTCTATAGTAGGTCGCTTGTTGATTGCCTACGCAGGTGGTGGCGGGTTTACATTGACGGCTGCTAATTTTTCAAATCATTCAAGACCCGATTGCTAAAGACGGGTACCTTCGGCTACTTCCCCGCGACCGGCGGATCGGTGACAAACCGTTAGATGTCGGCCTGGTTCAGATACAACTGGAGCAAGACACAGGAAAGTCGACGTATGCTGTTGACTCTGATGCTGCTTATATTGATTTCAATCGGACAAATCATCCACTGATTGAGATCGTGACCGCGCCTGATCTATACTATCCCGAGGACGCGGGCGCGTTTGTACACAAGCTCCAGCTTCTGGTGAAGCAAATTGGTGTTTCGTCGGCGCAGTTCCAGGCCGGAGAGATGCGTGTCGATGTTAATGTGTCTGTGAACGGAGGACAGAGATGTGAGATCAAGAACCTGGCTAGTGTGCATGACGTCGTTCATGCGATCAAGTCTGAATACAAGCGGCAGTTGGCAGAGGAGAAGAAAGGAACACCAGTGACATCGCATACTCTTGGCTGGGACGGAAAGCAGATCCTTATTCAGCGACCTAAAGAGCAGACTTCCGAATACCGCTATATTCCCGATCCAGAACTGCCGCCGCTTTTACTATCGCCGGATGCAGTGGAAAAGGTAAAACAGAGCATGCCAAAACTTCCCGATGTTTTGCTGGACGAATTGAGTAGCTCGCCTCATAGTCTACGGATGGTTGATGCGCAGACGCTTTTGAAGTGGGGTTTGGTTGAATATTATTTTGAGGTGGTGGAGAAACTGCAGGACAGCGGTCTCGCGCCTAAGCTTGCAGCAAACTGGTAAGTCTCTTTTTCAATTTTGCAGTGACGTTTGCAAGTTATTAACTTGCTGTGCAGGATTGTTCATCATATCCTGGGCCTACTGGGTCCGAACGAGGAGGAAATCTTGAGCGTCGCGGTTACGCCGCAGAGGCTAGCTGATATGATCAAGTACGAGCGAGACGCGCGTCTGTCGAGTAAGTGAGAGCTGTTGGAATATTGGAGTATCAGACTATGTTGACTAACTACGATCGATACAGAGATGAACGCGATGAACATCGTGCAATACCTTCTACACACCCCTGATGACTCAAGAACAGTGGACGAGCTGATGGAGGCGTTTGATTTGAAGAACAGCACCGATCAGTCTGAGCTGGTTGGGATATGCGAGAACGTGCTGAAAGAGCACGAGGATGCCGCAGAGAAGTACGCGGCTGGAAAGAAGGGGTTTTTTAACTTCCTGGTTGGGATGGTGATGAAGCAGGCGGCGGGCAAGTGTTCTGTCAAGGAAGTACGGAAGGTGTTGGATGAGTTGTTAGAGCAGAGATACGATGTAAAGTAGCTGTTGTAGTGTTATTGCGACCAAGACAAATGCATAATATATAGAATTACCAAATCGCTTAGTTATCAGAATTATACCCAATCAGGACAGGCCATGTCATCGGGTTGGGGTAGTCCCAAAGCAGCTCTGTAGGGTTGCTGTAGGGTTACCTAAACGTGACTGCTATTCCGCGGCTCAGGGCGGCGAGCGAGGGCTGGGGGACTGCGCTGGGCGGGCGCGCAGGATCACACTCGGTTTGCCTCATAGCGCCGGACTCTGCGATTCTTCAGTTCTCTACAGCAAATAGCCATATATTTCTTGGTATGTATTCACACCCGCAACTTGCTTATTGCGGTTTATAGACGCGTGGATTGATATTTTGTTATCGTGGAATCGAAGAACTAACAGTTTGTTACAGTCGCGACGATGCAGATGTCAGTATTACCCTTTTGCAGATGATGGAACAGGCGTGGAGTGCCAGCTAGGAGAAGGAACGAGTTCGGTATACTAACGTGATCTTTGAAACAAACAGTTTCGTTAAGACCCTGACAGGAAAGAGTATGTTGTGCCTTGTGTTTGAACTGCAAGAGAAGAGGAAAGGGGGTTAACACGTTGTCTAGCTATAACCCTCGAGGTTGAGTCTTCCGACACCATCGACAATGTTAAGTCCAAGATCCAGGACAAGGAGGGAATTCCCCCAGACCAGCAGCGTTTGATCTTTGCCGGCAAGCAGCTCGAGGATGGTACGATTAATAGCGATGAATTTCTTCAAATTGGATGGAACGACGATGACTGACAGGATATATTATTACAGGCCGCACCCTTTCTGACTACAACATCCAGAAGGAGTCGACTCTCCATCTCGTCCTCCGTCTCCGTGGTGGTATCATCGAGCCCTCGTTGAAGGCTCTTGCCTCCAAGTACAACTGCGAGAAGTCGATCTGCCGTGTTTGCTACGCTCGTCTGCCTCCCCGTGCCACCAACTGCAGAAAGAGAAAGTGCGGACACTCCAACCAGCTCCGCCCCAAGAAGAAATTGAAATAAACAACTCGCCCCCGTTCTTGGCAGCTGTTTTCTTTTCTTTGTTCTTTGTTTAGTACGTTTTACAAGAGGTATTGGACAGAGATGGAAGGAGAGTATAGCGTCCGTGGAAGGCTTGGGTTTGTTTGATATCAATAAAATTTACTGCAGATGAATATTGTAAATCTCAATCAAGTTTTTGTATAATTCAACAGCGAATGCTTCACATACTAAGTTATTACAATAAGCAATGGAAAAACCCGGATGTTCTTCCTGAAGTTGCCGAAGTCCTTTTGATGTAATTACAGTGGGTTTCGTAGTGATGACATTTAATGCGGGGCTTGTAGATTTCCCCGTTGCCGTGGCAGCCAAAGTGTAAACAAACCGCATCACAACAAGACTCCCAACGCGATGAGCCTTCACGTTCTCTCACTTTTTCCCACCACCACCGCAGCGCATTCTCTGTGTCATCCTCCTTCTCTTTTGATTGTTGGTTGCTACTTATTGAGATAAGAAGCGAAGAGCTCGCACTTTCGAATAATTACCGCGCGGACTTTCAAATAAACATCGAATAAACAGACAGAACAACAACAGCAATGTCGCAAGAGACTCACTTGTTTTCAGCGTTCCGTCGCTCGACCAGAGACGCCGGCACGTTTCTCCAAGAGAACAGCAACAGCAACCCTCCCGCCTCTGCAGCAGCCCTGTTCAATCGCTCGTCCGGCAGCGGAAACGTGCGACACTCGATGGTTCCCGGCGGCGGCGCAGGAGGAGGAGCGCGGCAGTCGATGGTGCCTACGCGGAGCTCGTATCATCGACAGAGTATTGCGGCGCCGACTGTCACGAGCACGCACGGTGGGTTCGAGACCGTGGCGGCGCTGGGGGTGGCGAATAAGAACTCGATGAATATGAGTGGGCCGGGGTCGGCTGTCAGACCTGCGAATTCGAGACGGAGTTTTGCGGCGTCGGGACTGCAGAATATGCCGCCGGCGCTTAGTTACGGATCACAGCAGTCTCAGCAGCAGCAGCAGCAGCAGCAGCAGCAGCAGCAGCCGTCGATGCGGAAGAGCAGCTCGTTTAACGGACGGAGTAGTACACATGGGATGCGGACCGGGTTTGTCGCGACTGGGGCTCAGATCACGGTGAAGGACGCGAGACCGATCCGAGACCGGGCGTATCAGAATGCGATTGCAAACTCGGTTTACGAGTACCTTGTCAACAATAATTTCGAGATGGATATGAAGCACTCGATCACGCCAAAGTCGTTGCGGTCGCCGACGCAGAAGGACTTTGTGATGATGTTTCAGTGGCTGTATAAGAGACTCGACCCGGGATACAGGTTCACAAAGAGTATTGAGAATGAGGTTATTCCGCTGATGAAGTTGGCGGGATATCCTTATCTTGACACGCTCAGCAAGAGTCAGTTGGTCGCGGTCGGAGGACAGAATTGGGGAGCATATTTGGCGATGCTGTACTGGCTGGTTGAGATTGGAGAGGTATGTTTTCTTTCTAGTATTGATGGTGGAAGCAACTTACTGATGGTTGATGATAGACATTTGATTCGTTTGATAACAAGGACTACGACTTTGAAGAGCCAGAAGATGTGGGGTTGAATCAGATTGTGATCAACTACATCACAAAGTCGTATTCAGCCTTTTTGCAGAACGAGGACGATTACTCCGAGTACGAAGCGGAAATGAGAGTGTCGTTTGACGAGCGGATCGCGTCGATCAAGGATACACTGGACGACTATGCGCGACAGAAGGAGAAATTTGAGGAGGAGATGAAGGAGCTCGAACAGTCTATGCCATCTCTTGACGCGATCCAGAAGAAGAGTGAGGCTTTGGAGAGCGATTTGGCCAAGTTTCAGGAGTACATTGACAATATGGAGAAGCGGAAGGGCAAATGGAGCTCTATGCTTGAGAGTATCACAGAAGAGATCAGGATTGTGGAGGAGGAGTTTCAGAAGCTGGAGAAGGAGAAGGCGGAGCTGGAGTCGAAGATTGCCGAGCAGGGGATGAGTCCGGCGGATATCGACAGCATAATCGGGCAGCGAGAGCAGCTTACGAAGGCGATTCAGGGCAACGAAGCAAAGTCGAGCGAGATGACGCGGAAGCTGCAGGAGCGAGAGCAGATTGCGCAGCAGGCGCTGGACTCGTTGGAGAGCATGATTCAGAGATACAACAGTGTCGGGTACCGGATCAGCATTCTTCCTGCGGGGGCGGCGAACAGTCCGGCAAACAAGAACTTTGAGATTGTGCTTTCGGCGCCTTTGGAGGAGGAGAGTCTGGGAGCGCGGCCGAATGCGTTGCTGAAGGGTCTTGATTTGAGAAACGAGGTTCGACCGGCGCTTCAGGAGTTGCGACTTCAGGTGTCGGGGAAAGTGCACAAGGCGCAGGATGAAGCAATCAGGTTACAGTCGCTGCTTGATCGGGTGGCGGAGGTACTTGCGGACAAGCGAGACGAGCTGGACACTTTGGAGGCGCAGATTTCTGCGGCGAAGATTACGTACGACGAAGCATTTGAGACGATGACGTCTGATGCGAGTTCGTCGCATGCGGAGATTGAGAAGCTGGAGCGGAAGATCCAGGCTATGAGGATTGGAGTTCAGGACGGGCGTTTACAGCTTGAGCAGCGAGCGGAGAGAGTTGTTATTGAGTGAGTTGTCCGTTTTACTAATTTCAATAGTAGGAAATAAGCTAATGAGTATTTAATAGGTACGATCAAATGCAGCATGCGACCGACTTGGTGCGAGAGCAGATGCAGCGACAGATCAGCGAGTACATTGAGAAGATAGTCGGGTTCAAGCTGCATATCCAGACGGCGCTGGAAGAGCACGAGAACTTTGTGGTGGACGAGCTGGACAGCTGGCATAAGAACAGCGAGATCGAGACCGAAGGAGGTTGGCAGGGCAGGAGCGAGTAGGATATAGTTTTTGTTTTTGTTTTTGTTTTTGTTTGTGTTTGTTGTTTATTATGTTTTTGTAATAATAAGTGGTTGTGTTGTTATTTATATAAATGCGAATGAATGCGCGTCAGGTTTGAATTTCTGCGATTTGTAAGGCCGCCAACAGAAATTGCAGTTTGAGATTGGCAAGGGGATTCCGCAGTCCTGCGACGCAAGAGAATGGATCAGATGGACCAAGCGCGGAAACATACAGATACTCTGTGATATATCTTGTTACAGAGGTCAATCAATATAGATCGTTAAGCAGGTTGTATATTCATATTTATTTTGTTGCGCCCTGCATACGACTAATCTGGTTTGCTTTGAGATGATGAACGTGGTTTGTTTTCTACGGTGATGGGGTGGATGAAAGATGGGGATCTGGAGGAGCTGCACATACTGACGCGGGATGCACGCAGCAGCAGGAGGAGTGATATATGCAGCAGCATGCAGCAGACGGACTGCATAACTGGAGATAAACGGGTAGTCACCGGCCGGTCCCGGCGAGCAGAAGACGTCGGGAGAGAGGTCGATTGTGGCGCGTTATTTTCCGAGAAGAGATGTGTAGTTAGGAGAGATTGCTATTAGTATTTATAAAAGACGAAGAGGAGGAATAGTAGAGTCGCAGTCTAAAATTGGCTTTGCTGGTGAAGACCGAGGTAGCCACATAAATATATGTAAACAGCAGCAAATCACCAGACGGAAAAGGTGAGATGAAAGGAGAGACAATTATGCGGTCGGTCACAACCAGCCGTTGGGCCGTTGCAGGTCGTGAGTTGGTGTGCTGTCGATTCGTCCGGTTTCGAGAGGATGCGCACGACGTCTTCGTGGTGTGCTCCACCGTATTTCATCGGCAATTAAGACTCATTTCTACATCCTCGAGCTTGTTGTAATCTGTCTGATCTTGTCTAATATTCTACCTCTCCTCTCAAAGCCTGCTCACTGAGTCTCGAACCCCTCGCTGAGTCTCGGACCTGCGCCGAACAAAGTTTGCGCAGCCCCTGATTGAGTTGTGCAGCAGCAGCGGGAGTCGAGACGTTGGCTCAACGGTGGAGCCAAAGAGACTGAACAGAGCTAAGCAGAGCTAAGCAGAGCTAAGCAGAGCTAAACAGAGCTAAACAGAGCTAAACAGAGCGATCAGACCAACGGCTGCAGCCACGTCCGGTTACGTACAAACGGCGGCTCAGGTAACAAACCGCCCGCGGATCTGTGACGAGTTGCTTCTCCTCTCCAGCAGGCTGCTCTCTTCATTTCCCTTCGGAGTATTCTCTTACTCTTTTCGCTCGCCCCTGCCATACCATTCCACCGCCCTGATCCACCCGACACCTTATTGCCTTTTCACACTTTTGCTTTTACACCGGCGCGGCTGCGGTGCGCTGCGGACTCGCAAACACGCGCGCCATCCGGACTGCGCATGTGGAGATGCCCCGCGTCGCGCCTCGCTTCTTGACTTTGCAGCCAGCTTACATAACTGTGCAATCTATCCGCATCAGCCAGGGCCAATCTAAACAGCTTGTATCCGCTGTTTGCGCACTATATCCAACTTTAACTGCTAGTCCGGGGCTATGCCGTTCGGCCCTGGTACGACTGGCTGTAGAACTCCTGTGGGCAGCGTAGCTGAGTAGAAGCAGCAGCAGCGGCGGCACAGCACCAGGACGCGTTCGACCGTGCGCTGCTGCTGCTGCTGCGGTTTTAGGTTGTTTCTTTGCTCTGCCTGCAGATGGAAAACCTACCGGCCTCGCCTCTGCCCTCGCCTGTCAGGTTCAACGCCGGCCTCCTTCCCGCCCTCGGTTGTCTTCCTCTTTCTCCTCTTGTGCTTCTCTTTGTTCTGCTCTGACTCCTCTCCTTCTGCTCTGACTCCTCTCCTCTCCTCTCCTCTCCTCTCCTCTCTCCCTGCACATCATGGCACGCATAGCTCAGCTTCGCTCCGTGCTCGTCCTCTGTGTCATCGCCGGATGCCTGTTCTCGCTCATCATCGCCTCCAGTCTCGGCAAGCAGTCCGACCCACGCAATACCGTCCGCCCACTCGACAAATCCGCCTCAAATCCACCGGCCCCTATCGCCTCCGTCGTCTCGTCATCCGACCCCCAGACCTCAGCACCCTCCGCCGTCTCCACGGGCTCGAGTAGCAAGCTCGATGCCCAGGAGTCTGATCTCGAGGAATCTACCTGGAAGCAGTCAATCATCTCCACCGCCTCCGGACTCAAAGACACCGCGCACGACCTCCTGCACTCTGTCCTCGCGGCCGTGTCCAGCTCCGGCGACGGCGAAGAGGCGCTCGAAGAGGAAGACGCCGTCGATCTCAACGTGATCTGCGAGGATGCCTACAAAATGCCCGGATACCTCCACGCGCCCGAAGACTACCACTTGTCCGTGTACGTCCCGCTCTACGACGACATCATCTCGACCCTGCCCGACCCCGACTACGCGACCAATCTCGGGTCGGTCGCGGCCGAGACTCTCGACGCCGATCCGGATCTGATTGCAAACAACACGCCCGACTCCGAGATCGTCAAGCAGGCCCCGCACTCGTGGATGCTCGATCTCGTGCGCCAATCGACGCTGCTGCGCAAGTTGCAAGACGCCCCCGCGGCGATGACGGCGACCGACAACAGCACGCTGCGGACGCTCAACTGGCGGCTGCAGTGGCTGCGGCATAAGCGCGTGCTGTTCCTCGCGGACTCGGTCGATCGGTACATGATCATGTACTTTTGCGAGGAACTCGGGTTCGAGATGCAGCTCGGCAACCGCAAACACACTACCGCGTTCTGCAACGTGCCGTACCTCAACTTCACCCTCTACCACTGGCATCTCGCGTCCTACACCGCCTACCGCCCGCTGTGGTGGTGGCAGCCGGGAATGAAGTACATCACGTTCGAGGACAGATACAACAAACTGTTCAAGAGCACCCTCCCCGACGTCATCGGCCAAGACGGCGTCGCGCCCGACCTGATCATGTACCAATCCGGTCTCTGGGACCAAGTCACGCTCGGCAAGCAGCGCAAACAGCACGACCCCGCCATGGGCGTCGAAGAAGCCGTCGCGCGCTCGCTCACCTGGCCGGAGCTGCGGTACTTCCTCGCGCGCCAGCGCCAGTTCATCACCCACCTCCGCAGCATCTTCGGCCAGGACTCACGGATCTTGTATCGCGCGCTGACCGTCCACCGCGAGGAAGGCGAGCAGGACCTGATGCTCTACGATATGGACCGCACGTCGCGCGCGCTCGCGTACGCAGAAGACATCGAGGTCTTTGACTGGGCGCGCGTCGTCACCGGCCATACCGGCGTGTTCAAAGACCGCGTGCACGTCCGCAAGGGCGTCATGTCGTGGCTATACCTCAATACCCTCATCTCGTACCTCTTCCGCGCGAGCGGCGGCGTCGAGTCCCGGGGTTTGATGATCAGATATCCAAAGGATTACAACGCGACCGAGATGGGCGACGCGTGGAAGGAATGTCACGCGTACAATATGTACGGCATGCCAGAGAACCGCTGATTTCTGGTGACTTATCCTTTGCTTGTGTTTTGTGTTGCATCGTTCTTTCTTCATGTGTAAAGTTTTAAACATTTGTGGCTATTTTTTATTATTTATTCCGTTGTGTCGTTATTTTATCGCGTGTATCATAGGTTTTTCTGATTATATATCTATAGCTTCTCACTTATGCACCTCTTGCCAATGTAGAACAATTCTGACGGTCTCGCGAGCTGTGAGACTTCAAAGAACGTAAGAAATCATAACCAAATGCTACAACCACCACAAAAACAACATGAATCACCCCACACTAACATGCTCCCCCGCCGGCATCTCATCCGGCGCCCTCGCCTCCGCCTCTCCGACACCGATCCCGGACTCGATAAAGATAGAGGACATGTCGTCCCAGAGCACGCCCATCTCCTGCCAATCGAGGTAGAGGTGGTCGAACGCGACGGCTTCGTTGTCGAGGTAGTTTACGAGCTCGTCTGTGCCCATTGATGGGAGTGGGAGGATTGTTCCTGCTGTGGAGGAGGGGGGTGGGTAGCCTGTGATTTGTTGTTGTTGTTGTTGTTGTTGTTGTTGTTGTTGCTGCTGCTGAGTTGCAGCGGCATAGATTCCGCTAGAGGTGACGGTCTCTGACGAGTCAGTCGCCAACATAGGCGGCGGCAGCGGCGAATTCTGCTGCTCAAACGTCGGCCCGTGAGTCAAATTAGTATTATCCAACAACGCAATAACCCCCCTCGTATTCTTCAACTGCGGCCCATCGCTCGTCAACTTCTCCCGCAACCGCGGCGACGTGATCTTCGACTGCCCCCCGCTATTCGCGCTCCCGACCGACGCCTGCGAAGTCTGCTGCTGCCGCTGGTGCTGGTACTGCAGATGCGTCGAGAACGGGTGCTGGGGCGCTTGTCCCGGGCCCGCGGGGAGCACTTGGAACGTGCCGTAGCGCTCGCGCCAGACCCAGATGGAGTCGAAGAGCACGGAGGGCGCCATTCGCGAGACGAGCTTGAGTTTGGGGGACACGTATTTCGGGCGCCCGCCGTCGCGGATCGCGTCGGCGCGGTCTTTGGAATGCAGTTTCCAGAGCTGGAACATGATTGTCGACACGCGGATCGGAAAGTCATTCTCCTTGACTGACGATTTGCGCATAATCGCAATCGCGCTCGCGAAATGCCGTTTCCCCGAGTTCGTGTCGAGCAACTCGGCCAGTTTCGAAAACTGCAGCTTGAGAATGACAAACGCGGCGAGCACAATGTCGAGCTGGAGGTAGAGCGGCAGGTAGAGCAGTTTTGAGAAACTGCCGTCGGCGGTTATGCTTTCGTCCATTGTCTTTTCGACGAATGCGATCGTGCGGATCGAGGTCTCGTAGGCTTTCATCAGGTCTTTGACGTTTTCTGCGCGCGCGTCGGCGTTTGCGTCGTCGCTGCTGACGTTGTTGTTGTTGTTGTCCTCCGGACCGTCTTCGTAGTTTAGAAACGCGTAGGCGTACAGCTGAGTGCGCGCGACGTGAAGGAGTAGCTTACTGATATTCGACGCGAGATCGAGCGTGGCCTCCATCTGATCTAATTCCTGTGCCAGCACGCGAATCACCGTCCTTCGCGTGAACGAGTCCACGTTCCCGCACGGATCCCGCACGTCCTGGCTAAGTAACTTCACCGCGCGGTCGTTGAACATCGCGAGCCGTAACTGCGTCCGCAGCTCGGGCGGGAGCACCATGAACGAGTCTGGCTGGAGCGCGCTGTTGGTCGACCAGTTGTACATTGAGAACGTGGGGTACCCGAGCGCCATCGACAGCAGCTGCGAGACAATGTTGCAGGCGACCCAGGTCTTTGCTTGTGCCTGCGTCTCCGAGTACTGCGGACTGACTTTCACGCGGCCAAAGTCCTGCGTCTTGCCGGGGATGTGCAGGCCTAGTTTGACGGCGTTGAACATCGCGAGTCCGCACGAGTGCCAGCACGGGTCCGAGTTGAGCGAGCCCGCGGGCGGAGGCCAGAGCGTGAAGATGAGGATCGCCTGCACGTCGTAGGCCGAGCGCATGGGCAGATTAAGCTGGCGGGACACGAGCTCTTTGACTTTTGCAGAGAGGATCGGGAAGAGCGCGACGTCGGAGTAGATCCGCGAGGCGGTCTCGAGAACGACCCAGAACAGCAGATCGGATTTTTGGTAGACGTGGTCCGGCCCGCGCGAGAGGTCGAGGACGGGGAGGTAGGGATGGTAATGGGTTTCGTATTCGAGAAAGAGGCCTTGGATTTGCTCGCGCGTGACTGTGAAGCCGTTGAGTGTGCGCGAGGTGATTATTTGTCGCTGGTGAAGTTGCTGATTTGATGAGATCTGGTCAGCAGCAGGCGGTGACGGCGGGCGTCTGATACTTGATGACGAGCCGTTGGGGTTCAGGGGTTCTGATTGTAGATTAGGCATGATAATCCCATTCACAGTGCTGTCCGGTGCACCTGCCATTGTCACCGGCGCAGCAGACGCCGCCGCCGCTACAGCTGCTGTCGCTGTTGACGACGATGCTGTTCCTTCGGCAGTAGCAGCCTCTGCCGCCGCCGCCGCCGCCGCAGCAGCAGCCGCCTCAGACTTCCCCCGCGCGAGGTCAAGCAACGTGCGCGAAACCATATCTTTATCTGAATTCTGCGCCTCAAGCGACCGTCGAAGTTCTTCGACTTCTTTCTCCACCGCCGCCAGACGTCTGCCTTGAAGCATTAGCTCGCTGTTGTAAGAGTGAGGGGGGAGGGGAGGGGAGAGAGAGGCTTACGCTCTTTTGTAGGTTCGTTTGAAACTTGTCTGGATCGAGCATTGTAGCCCGCGTTTTTGGCACCGCGTGCAGATATCAGGCGACCGTTCATATGCGTCGCATTTAACCTACCCCCAACCGTCAGTCACTCCCATCTTTCACAGCAAACATAAGGAAGGGAGAAATAGTAAATGGAAAGAAAAAAACGCACCTTTTGCTGACGACACTCGACACAGGCAATCTTTCGTAACCGCGCGGCAGCAGCGGCAGAGTCCTCGGGCGACGCGGACGCCATGTCGCCTTCGTCGCTGCTGAAGCCGCGTTTGGAGCCGGGGGTTGAGGCGCCGGCGGAGGGCGGCGGAGGAGGAGGAGGGGGAGGGAGAGAGCGGGATTGGTGGTGGGGAGAGGAGGAGGTTGGTGGTGGGGGGTATTGTCTGTTTTCAGACATTGGTGGACGTGGTGATCAGGGAGTTCATGCGCCGGGGGGGATGAGCAGTCGAGTGTCCGGGTTCTAGCAGGAGCTCTAGACTAGACGTCGACAAACACCGTCGCGTCGCTGAAGCGTGTGTGGTGAAGCTATCGAAGCGTACACCGATAAGACAGAAGAAGAGAAAACAGATAAGCCCAACCGGGAGTAGTATCCCCTCCTTCTCTTGCACGCGAGCCTGAGTCCTCAGCAATTACCACGCGCCAAACAAAACAAAGAGCTCGTATGTATTCCTAAAGCAGCGCAGAGTAAACAATTCAGATCCGGAGTCGTTGCCAGGCCCGTAATCGGAGGGCGATGTCGGCAGCGGCGCTCGACGGGACTCTCGGCGAAGTAAATATCTTGAATAGAGTTTTTATAGAGTTGATTATGTAAGACATTATGTGATGATTATGCCTTTCTCTACTGTTAAGGAGAGGATATCCACTACAGATAAATTTAGATGATAAATGACTTCATTAAACAACAACCAAACTCCTAAATTATCAAACATTAACAACTTTTACATCTCTCTGAACTTACTCCGCCTTCTTCGCAAAAGAATAAGTAGGAGGCTCAGCCTGAGGCGTCAGTCTGAACGCATGACGTCTCTCGCCAGACTCCCAGTCCAACAGCGCAGAATGCACAGTCCGTCTGTTATCCCAGACAACAACAGACTTTGACTCCCACGACGCGCGCACCTGGATATCCGAGCTCTTGCTGATAAAGTCGTAGAGGAAGTTGAGCAGCGCGTCGGACTCCTCGCGCTTGAGTCCCTTGATGTAGCGCGAGAACTGGGGGTTGACGTAGAGCGACTTCTTGCCCGTGACGGGGTGCTCGCGGACAAGAGGGTGGAAGGTCTCGACGGGCTCGCGGCGGACGATGCCGCCCTGCGCGCGCGAGGACTGCGCCTGCGCGACGCCGGAGTGCAGGACCTCGAGGGTGCCGAGGAACTCGCGGAAGGCGGGCGAGAGACGGTTGTAGGCCTCGGTGGTGTCGGCGAAGATGGTGTCGCCGCCGGTTTCGGGCCCGTCGAGCATGGCGAGGAAGGTGACGCCGGGGGGCTGGAGCTCGTAGGAGACGTCGGAGTGCCATGCGATCGAGGAGATGTGGTCCTGGAAGAAGGAGTCGTAGACCGAGTCGTTCTTGGAGCGGTACACGAGATGGACCTCGGGGAAGCCCTTGGGCGCGCCCGAGGTGGGGTGGATGTGGTTCCGGCCAAAGTGGGACGAGAACTTGATCGCGTCCTCGATCGACTGGTCGGCGAGGTCCTGGTCGCGGAAGACGACGACGCCACGCTCGGCGACGAGACGCGCGAGCTCGTCGCGGCCGGCCGAGGTGAGCGACGAGAGCTGCACGCCGCGGACCTCGGTGCCAAACTTGGGAGTCAGGCGCTTGACCTGCTGGCTGCCGTTTTCGGGGAACAGGTTGGGCAGCGCGGGGTCGGCTCTGGTGCCGGGGTCGACAAAGTCAAAGGGCGTGAGCGGGCCGTAGTGCTCGGTTGTGTCCCATGTGGGGAGGTACTTGGGATAGGAGGCCTCCTGGAAGGCATCGCCGGCGAGCACGAGACGGCCGTCTTTGTCTTTCTCGACGGTGGTGGAGTCGTCGCGCGTCTTGCGGAAGGTGGACGCGGCGATGGACTGGATGGTCGCGAATGAGTTTGACATTGTGGTGGATATAGATGCAGAAGTAGATGCAGAGGCAGATAGATAACAGGCACAGGAACAGAGCAGAACAGAGAAAGCGCAGACGAGCAGGTTTTATCGGCGAGCATCAGGCAGCGCCCGCGATTGCGCAATCGACTCTGTGCAGGAAGAAGTTGAGGAGGTGGAGGGGCGCTAGGCTGGATTGGGAAGGCGAGTTGCTGGATTGGGAGTAGCGCGGATGATGTGATCTTGCACCACTCGATAAGCTGACCTGAATACTCGCGAGGATGACTCGGGGAGTTGATGGGAATGTCGAGGAAGATCTGATGAGAATCGCGTGAGGAGCAGAGAGAAGAGAAGAGCAGTAGAGAAGAGTAGAAGAGTAGAGTAGGAGAGCAGAGCAGATAGTGAGAGCAGAGCAATCGTCCACCATCACCACTTCTCTCATCCAACCCACCGTATTGACCATCAACAGATCAGGATACTAATCAGATACTCACCGTCCAGACCTCTGCATCGTGTAAGCAATTTCTAGCTCTCACGCGATCCTGTCGTCAAATAAACAATCGTCTGCTTTGTTCCATTGTCTTCTTACTGTATCTTCACGTGATCTCTTCAAGATGAATGATATGTTGACGATGTTTCTTCTTCTAGGAGATAAGAAGTGGTAAGCTTCCTTGGCTTTGGCTAAGCTCTTGAGTAGCTACTTTCAAGAACTACTTATAAGAAAGGAACATCTTCTGCCCTGCTATCGTCAGATCAGAGCAACCACACGCTATCTTGACTCATGAGTCACGCACTGACTTCAATGTCCGATAAAGTATGAAATATTCTCACAATATGAAAAATATATTGGACCCCGTCTCTACTAGAGATATGAATGCTATTACACGATATGAATTCATAGATATAGGAAGAGAAAGAAATCTAATTCTATCTGTGTAAAAACGACCTATGTACTACAGACAAAGAACAGAAGCAGAGCAAAAGCGACAAAGACTAAAAAAAAAAGAGAAAACAACATCATCTAAAAAGACTTCTTCTCGTTCGGATCGGCGATAATCTGCTCTCTTCCATACTCCTCCGATCCATCCTCATCCACAGCGTCAATAACGATATCCGAGTCCGGGTAGACAGCGGTCTCGACATACGTCTCCTGCGCAGGCCAGAACCTGCAGATGACATAGTACGACAGACACGCGGCGCCGACGCCGTAGAAGTAGCCGAGGTTGTAGAGATGCGTGACGCCGGCCGAGACAGTGACGGAGTCGTTGACGGTCGGGATGAAGCCCGGGAGTAAGGGCACCCAGCCGATGAAGAAGGCGATGAACGCGCGCCAGTTGAAGCCGTACTTGTTGTACCGGTAGATGCCGTGCTTGTCGTACATCTCCCAGACGTTGTACTTCTTCTTGTGGACAAAGTAAAAGTCCGAGAGCAGGACGCCGACGAGCGGGCCGAGCCAGACGGAGTAGCCGGACATGAAACTCAGGAAGGCAGGCGCGCCGGTGAGAATGTTCCAGGGGGTGAGAGCCCAGGAACCGATGAAAGCGACGATGATCTGGCCGCGGCGGATGTTGATGTACTTGGGAAACAAGCAGTTGAGATCGTTTGCGGCCGAGACGGAGTTCGCGGCGATGTTCACACCGATCTGGGAGATGAGGAAGAAGAACGCGCAGAAGAACGCGGCCGCGCGACCACCTTTCGAGGTCCAGCGGTCGATGAAAAGCAAGGGGTCCCAGAGAATCTCGTTGTAGAGGATCCGGGAGCCCTGGGCGACGACGACGCCGAAGAAGGAGACGAGGCAGCCGGTGGCGGGGAGGACAAAGAGGGTGATGTAGGCGGATCCGTTTGACTTTGCGTAGCGGGTGAAATCAGGCACGTTGACGGCAAGGGTGGACCAGGTGCCGATGTTTGCGTACATGCCCGACATGAAAGCCCAGCCGAGAGCGGAGCCCTTGAGGGTGGATGTCTGGGCCCAGAGCTCGGAGGAGTTGCACTTTGCGACGGTCCAGCCCATGATGGCGAAGCCGATGATGGGGGTGGTGATGGCCTTGATGGTGAAGAGGTAGCGGAGGTTTTTCATGGAGACAAAGTGGACGGGGAGGATGATGACAAAGTAGATGACGTAGGCGGTCATCATCTGGGTGTCGATGTTTGCGTTCGCGGCCATGGTGTTTGAGACGTTGCGGAAGGAGGGCCAGAGCGCGTAGAGGATCGAGCGGACGCACTCGGCTCCGGTGTAGGACTGAATGCCGTACCAGAAGATGCCGACGATCATGCGCATGATGATCATGAGGTAGGAGAGGTAGTATCCGAACGAAGCGCGGGACTGGATCGAAAAGTTGACGTGGTAGGTCGAGCCAAAGACACCGTTGAGGCAGATGACGCCGGCGCAGATGAGCTGGGCGAAGGTGATGCAGAGAAGGGAGTCGCGCCAAGACATGCCGACTTCCATGAGCGAGGCCGCGTTACGGAAGCCGGAGGGCGAGAAGTTGTCTGAGATCCAGTACATGACGAAGTTGTGGGTGCGCCATGTGCGTTTGGAGACGGGGATGGGGTCGAGGTCTGAGAGAGGGTGAGTAGGTGAGCAGAGAGAGAAGGAGAGAGAAGAGAGTATGACATACCGGCGTTGGAGTTTCTGCCTTCGTTAGCAGACTCGAGCTCACATCGCTTGAGGAGACGAGACCAAGCGGAGGAGCTGGTCTCAGCTTGGACCTGTTTTGGTTCCGGGGAGTCCATGGGGGGTATGAGGGGAGAAGAGAGGTGGAGAGAAGAGGAGAAGAGCAGAGAGGAGAAGCGGCAAGGTAAGAAGGTTATATAGAAGAACTACGAGCGATAAGAAACGCTACACGATACCAAGACCGCGACGGCCAAGACGAATACACGATCAAACCGGCCATCTCCAGTCAAACGTTAAGCTCGTCGGGTGGCTGCCAGATGGCGGCGCCACGCTGGAAGACCCGACCGAGAGGATCAGCGTCGAATAAGAGTGCGGCAAAGCCGAGATAGCGCGCGAGGAGGGCTGATAGCTCGCGATAAGAGGTGGCGCACGAGCTGAGGTTTGGGTTGGAGTAAGGTTTTAACTTTATTTTGTGTAGCACTTGTGTCACATAAGAGATAGGGAGTGGTGGTGATGTAGATCAGATGCAGATATCCGATGTATTGTAGAATAGATAGATAGTGTAGAATAGTGAGTAGTTGTTGTATATATCATCATCATCATCTACAACTATTCACAGCATCTACTTCACATCTCCTCTAAAGCCGAGCCCGTGCGCGATTTGTAAACTCAAGCTCAGTAAATACGCCGAACAGCTCTCGTCGGTTGGCCGACATCCCGCCTGGTCCACGTCCTGCGCCTACGCCATCCTGCACCTCTGCGCTCCCTGCGCTGCTCTGTCGGCCCTCCCGTCTCGGCTCTTTCTGACTATATGGATGGCTTATGACTCCTGTCAGGGTGTTAATATTAGAGAATAGAGAGATAGAAGAGATGGAAGAAGACAAGGACTGCAGGGACCCTTACTTCTATCTACTCTACCCACTACTACTACTCACCCACTATCTCTATCTCTCGTCTGAGCTTCTGGACCCCCGCACCGCGTATCATCGGACAAAGCCGGCGTCGGTGCTTGTCCGTGCCAACTCTTCTTCTCTCCTCTCCTGGTCTGCCCCCGTTCTTCTCTTATCTCACACTGACACTGATACTGCATGACCATGGACTGAGCTGTGTTGATAAGAAGATACTCCGCATTATCGCCGATAAGTAAACAATCTCGTGTTTTCTTTTCTGTTGTTCTCTTCTCTGCTGACTTCACACCACTCGGCTCCATGGCTGCCGATGACGTTGTCAGAATCCTGCGCCATCGAATCTAATCCTGCTCTCAACACTCGACAGATGACTCTTTCTCCTTCTATTCTCTGTCTAGTTGCTGTCTGCTGTCTGTGTCTACTAGCTGTCTAGTAGCTGTCTATAGTCTTGGGAAAAAAAAACACATGAAACGTAAATGAAATGTCAAACTGCACTTCATACAATCCTCGTATCTCCTCTTCCCCATCCTCAACTTCCACTCCACTTCCACGCCCACCTTAACTCTCTCCTCCTCTTCTCCCGCGCGCGCGCCGACGCCGGCCGCTACTTCTTCTTCTCTTCTCTTCGTCTATCGTCTCCTCGCTTCTCTAACCGACCCGAACTTTCCTCTTTACATAATCTCATGATATCATAATCAAAATCAATTACATCACACCAACCCACTCCCGCCCGCCAGCAAATCGTCCACGTTCACCCGCCGGTACATCATGATCCTATACAGATTAATCCAATAATGCGCCACCAAGTTCTCATTCACTATAATCAGCTGCGTCGGCGAAAACGTCCCATTCACAAAATTAAGCATCGCCGTATGTCCTCGCGCGGCAACAATCCGCGCACCCGGCCACTCCGGCTCCGTAGCAACCCGCTCGACATGCGACAAATCATCGACCACAAACGTAACCTCCCCGCGCGGAACGTTCGCGTCCCCGGTCAATTTGATTGCTTCTAATCGGTTCTTGTCCGACTCGTCTTGGTGGAAGAGGATGAACTCGCCGCCGTGCGAGTCGTAGTCGCCGACCCACAGCCCGCGAAGACTGTGCTCCGCGTCTGGCGTGTATAGTTCGGGCTGCAGTCGCGCGACTGTCTCCACGCGCTCGCCCATAATCACCCCGTAGGCGTCCGCGTGCACAAACGAGATCCACCGCCGGAGTCGGAATATGTGTTCGCAGCACACCGCGCCTTTGCTGCCGCTGCTGCTGCTACTACTACTACTGCTGTTTGTGTATTTGTTGATAATGTTGTTGACCACCACCTGTCCTCTGAACCCCGTCGGACTCTCATTTCGCGTCCGCTCTGGCGCCGGGATGCGCTGCGGCGGCCACACACTCATTTGCGAGTAAAACACCCTGTCCGGACTAAGTCTCGCGGCATGAAAGAACGAGGTCGTCATCCCGCGCGGACTCCGCGGCTGCTCGATCTCAAACTGCTTATCGTACGTCGTCGTCGGCGTGAACTTGAGCACGGGCGTGACCGACAGCTGCAAGCTCGGATTGAAGTTCTGGATCAGCACCGCCGGATTGACAGACCACTCGGTCTGCGCGAGCGTCGACGCGATCGCGGCCAGGTTCGCGGTGAACGAGGCCGCGCTCTGGCGGTCGTAGCCGCAGTAGAGCTCGTAGGCCTCGAGGTGGCCTGTCGAGCGGTTGTAGCGCGAGACGTAGACCGAGCCGTGTAGGTCGCGGTTGCCGTGCCAGATCCCGGGGGTGAACCAGGTGAAGGGCAGGAGTTTGAGGTAGAGCTCGCGGTGGGAGGTGTAGGGTGCGCAAAGGCTGCGGGAGTCGTCGTCGGTGATGGTCGACGGTGAGCTCTTTTCGAGAGACGAGGACGACGGCCGGACGAGGGGTTCGACGGCGGCGTCGCGCCAGATGTCGTCGCGCAGTTTGAGGAGGGCGTGTAGGAGATGGCAAGTTTCAGACACGGCGATCAGACTCTGGCCATCGACTTTTTTGAGGATGTGCGCGAGTAATTCTGTCGGCAGTTGCAGCAGCGGACAGGAATTTGAAGCAACCGTCATCGCAGATGGTGATGAAGACGACGGATTGAGATGGAAGAGCGAGTCCCAGTGGCGCTGGGAGAGTTGGGCGTGGGAAGTGTGCGGGCGAGGAGGTGGGCGGAGGGGGGATGACTGCTGTTGGGCAGGAGGACTGCGCAGCGAGCACGGGGTGGGTAGGCTGTCATGCACTGCCACGGTGGTGATGCTGAGTGAGTGTGGGTAGTGTTGATGGTGATGGTGTTGATAGTGATGTCTGATGAGGAGTGTCGTTGGAGACGGGGAAGAGGAAGAGTGAAGTGTGGAGTAGGAGGTCGGGGTTTGGGAGTTTGCCGCTCAAGCAGACAGAGCAGAGCAGTAAAGTCGTCAGTGCAGTCAGGAAGTCGTCAGACGAGGACAGTGTTGTAGTTCTGTAGTTGATTGAACTGTTGTTGTTGCTGTTGCTGTTGCTGTAGTGTTATAACTACGTAGAGGAAGAGAAGAGTAGGTAATAAGCTGATCTGCTTATCCGATAACTAACGTCAGATCAGATACAGTACAGTATCCCTGCACTGACTTATCAACGACCTCTATAACATCAATAACAATACAACTACAAACACTACAAACTACAACACAACACAACAATCAGCACAACAACAGCCACTGCGGTGCACGCGTGGCTCTGCGTGGATTTCGAATCCGCTCTGCTCTAAATACAAACAAACTCTTTGTTTCTCCCGCGTTCCTCCTCTCTCTGTTCTCTCTCTCTTTCCACCCCCCACACGATGCAGCATACACCACCCCAGCCAGATCCAGAAGACGAGGACAAAGACAAGACAGACCTCGACCTGCTCACGCAGTCGATCTCCTCGACCGCGCTCGACGGGCTCGTCAAGAGTCTCGCAGACTCCATGCGCGCGGCTTTGAGCTCTGCCTCTACTCCTACGCGAACAACACCACAACACCAGCAGCAGCAGGCGTGGCTTTCGATGACGATGTTGCCGGCTTATGTGCATGCTATGCCGCGTGGGTGCGAGCGCGGCACGTTTGTCGCGTTGGACGTGGGCGGGTCGAATCTGCGGATCGCGGTCGTGCGGTTCACCACCAACAGCAACGAGAGCAGCACACGAGAGATTTTGTACCAGACGGGGCATGCGCTCGACGAGGCGATACGGAATTTAGACGGCCGGAGTTTCTTTTTGTGGATAGCGAGTCAGTTGGAGGGCGTGGTTGCGGTGTCGCGGGGTAGTGGGTGGATAGATCCGGGGGTGGTTGATATTGGGTTGACGTGGAGTTTTCCGTTAGAGTATGTGCAGATTTGGAGGATGAGATGAGAGAAGGAAGAGGCTAATGCGTTTGATGATAGGTCGCACTCGGTCAATACAGGCAAGATACTGAGCATGGGCAAAGGATTTACGGCCATCAGCCAGGACATTATCGGGCTTGATCTAAAGACGCTGTTCGAAGACAGCTGCGCCGCAGTCGGTCTCGAAGTGCGTCTGCGGGCGGTAGTCAACGACGCGGTTGCGGTCCTGCTCTCTCATCTCAACGTCGATCCCCGCCGGACCAAGATCGGACTGATCGTGGGCACGGGCGTGAACGCGTCTGTTTTAGTGCCGAGCACAGTGCTGGACGAAGAACGCCTCATGCGGTGCGATCCGCGCGAGATCGAGCGGTGCTCGGACTGTGTTATCAACACCGAGCTGTCGCTGTTTGGCGCGGGCGTCCTGCCGCGCACGCGATGGGACGACGAGGTCGATGCCGAGAACGAGATCCCGGGGTTTCAGCCGCTGGAGATGATGTGTTCGGGGCGGTACATGCCCGAGATTGCGCGAAGGATAGTGCGCGATCGAGTGCTCAGAAAGAGAAATGGGCAAGAAGAAGCAGCAACGGGCCTTGGGCGGATATATGGACTCGACGCGGAGACGATGTCGGTGGTGGAAGGCGCGCTGGACGTTGCGTTTGCGCGGCAGCAGCTGCTTGCGCGCGTGGGCGGGACTGTATCAATAGCGGAAGTACGCGCGATGCGGTCGGTGTTCTACGCGGTGTCGTGTCGCGCAGCGGCGGTGATTGCTGCCGCGCTGGTCGCGGTGACGCTGGCGGTGCTTCCGCCGGAAACCCCCGGCGGCGAGACCGGCGGCGCGGGCAGCGAGGTGGTTGTCGCGGTGACGGGCTCCGTGATTGAGAAGTACGCCGGGTTCCGGGCGCGCGTGCAGGAGTTTGCGAACCTGCTCGGCCGGCGGTGGAACAAGCGACTGGTGATTGCTGTCGAGCGCGACGGGCCGCTGCTCGGAGGCGCTGTCGGGGCGGCGTGCAACGAGTAAGCGATTATGTAATAGTGGCTGGTGTGGAGGTGGCTGAGTGTGGTGGCTGGAGAGGGGTGCGGCTGACGCACGACGGTGTGATGAATGAGTGTGCTGAACACGCGTCGGCACGCGTGAGAACAGATGCGATGATGAAGATGAAGATGAAGATGATGAAGAACGGAAGAACAGCAACAGCTACAACAACAACAACAGCAGCAGAAAAGAAGAAGAAGAAGAAGAAGAAGAACAAAGACAAAAGCCAAGTCGAGAAATTATGAATTTGCCGAAAGCCCAAAGCAGAGGCCGTTGCCTGTTTGGGACTAGCGCATTTTGTGTTGATCGCTTTGGTCTCCACCGCATCGTCCCATCTTCCTCTTCTCTTCTTCCTATACTGTTGTTGAAGTAGTAGTTGTTGTTGTTCTTGTTGTTGTTGTTGTTGAGATTACTGCTGCTCTTGCTCTTCTTCTTCTCCTTCTCTTCTTCTCCTCTTCTTCTCTTCACTTCATCTCATCTCTCATGTCCACCCCACACTCCCCCCGTTTCCTCTCCGACTCGGACTCGGAGACCGACAACTACTTCCACGCCCTCTCCTTCGACAACGACCCCTACGCCGCCCGCGACCAGACATACACCGTCCACCCTGCCCTCCAGCAGTACCCCCCGCGCTCACGCTCCTCCACAAACCACAACAGCTGGCGCTCCTCCTCCTATCCCATCGCCTCCTCTCCGACCAACCCCTCGCCCAGCCCCGCCTCCTCCCGCAACCTCGTCGCCGTCTTTGGCTCGCCTGAAGCTGCTCCGTCTAATCCGCACCGCGTCGATTCTGTTATCTCGCGTCCGAAACGCGATGTCGTGTACAATGAGAAACCTCTCGCGTCGCCCACTGCCTCTGGCTCCTCCTCGACGCGTACCCGCAAGATTATCATTGTCGCAGCAGCTGCTGCCATAATCATCCTTGCCGCCGTGCTCGTCCCTGTTGGTCTTCTCATCATCAAACCTCACTCCTCCTCCTCCTCCTCCTCCTCTTCTTCCTCCTCCTCTTCCTCCTCCCCCTCCTCCTCATCCACCTCCACCTCCTCCTCTCCCTCCTCCACCTCCACCTCCTCCGGCACCCCCTCCTACGCCGTCGGCACCGTCCTCGACGTCTCGACCTGGTACGAGACCACAGACTTCAACACCACCTTCACAAACGACACCGTCGGCGGTCTGCCCATCATCGGTCTCAACTCGTCCTGGGACGACAGCGCGGCCCCGAACGACGACGTGCCCGCTCTGTCTGACAGCTTTGGCTACGACACGCGTCCTATGCGCGGCGTCAACATCGGCGGCTGGCTTATCCTCGAGCCGTTCATCACCCCTTCGTTCTTTGAAAAGTACGATCTCGACGAAGGCATTATTGACGAGTACACGCTTTCTGAGAAACTAGGCGACGATCTGCAGTCCACGATCGAGAAGCACTACGCGACCTTCATCACCGAGTCCACGTTCGCTGACATCGCCGCCGCGGGCCTCGACCATGTCCGCATCCCGTATCCGTACTGGGCCGTCAACAATCTCGACGGCGACCCGTATCTCGAGAAAGTCAGCTGGCGGTACCTCTTGCGCGGCATCGAGTGGGCGCGCAAGTACGGCTTGCGGGTAAACGTCGATCTGCACTCTGTGCCCGGAAACGCAAACGGCTGGAACCACTCTGGTCGGCAGGGCGCGATCAACTGGCTGAACGGCACCGACGGGACCGAGTACGGCGAGCTTACGTTAGAGATGCACGAGAAACTAGCGACGTTCTTTGCGCAGGACCGGTACAAGAACATTGTGACTGTGTACGGGCTCGTGAACGAGCCGAATATGATGACGCTGAATGCCACGACGGTTATCAACTGGACCAAGAAGGCGTACAAGACTGTCCGCGACGCCGGGTTTGAAAACTACATTGTCTTTGGCGATGGGTTTAGAGGCGTGGCGTCGTGGAAGGGGGTTTTTCCTGAGGACGATTATCCGGGGATGGTGCTTGATGTGCATCAGTATCTTATTTTCGACGTAGGCTTGATTGCCATGACGCACTCGGCAAAGATCAACTATATCTGCAACACTGTGAGTTGTCTCTCTGTTTACTTTCTGTCGTGCTATACTAACTCTTGCAGTGGTCGAGCGAGATGAAGGTGTCTGTGGACACGGATACAGGCCACGGTCCGACGTTCGTGGGTGAATGGTCACAGGCCGACACCGACTGTCTGCTCTACCTCAACAACGTCGGCGTCGGTTCGCGCTGGGAAGGCACGATGAACGTAACCGACGTGTCATCCCAAGTCCTAACCGCATCATGCCCAACCACGCCAAACTGCTACTGCAACTACACCAACGTCGCGCCAGAAGACTACGACGACCCGTACAAAGAGTACCTACTAATGAGCGCCGAGGCGCAGATGACTGCGTTCGAAAGCAACGGCGGCTGGGGATTCATGTACTGGACCTGGAAGGCCGAGACCGCGGACGCGACGCAGTGGTCGTATGAGCGCGGGCTGGCGGCGGGGATCTTGCCGGAGCAGGCGAATAAGCGGACGTTCAATTGTTCGGCGACGACGGGGACGCCTGATTTCTTGTCGCTGGGGTTGTTGGAGAGTTATTAGTTGTGCTGTTTATGTGTTTATACTGTTATATGTGTTTATACTATTATAAAGTGTTTGTATTCTATAGTGTAGTTTAGTTTGTTACTTGTAGTTAATGGTATCCAGTTATGCTTATCTCGACTCGACTCGACAGCGACGGGATGACTCAAAAGCCACCCGGGAGCGGTTTTGATTCAGAGTACGAATACGACGGATTACTTCTTCATCTCTTCGTCTCTTTAGTTATATCTACTGTTATATCTATAGTTTTAAGCTATCTATTCATCGCAATAAGAAGACAACACCGCTGCTTTCCCGACTTACCCGGCCTCGAATATCCCGATCCTCCATCGTGTTCCTGTTCTCTTCGCTCCCCGTCTGCTGCTCTCCACGTTCTCTTCCAACTAAACCACACTCTTTTTTCTTTACTTGCTGTTGTGTGTGGTGCGGTTGAAGCACTTGCTCTTTTATATGCGCGGCTGTGTCGAGCATGCCTGGCCCTGCCGACTCGCTCTCGCCTCTGTCCGCCAATAACCACTTCTCACCACCACCCCAGCTCACGCCCGTCACCGCGCTCTTGAATCATCCCTCTGCACTGCACTCTCCACAGCAGCAGCAATACGCAGAAATGGACAACTCCACAGACCCCACCACCGCGCTCCTCCACGCCTCCTCCCCGGCCTCGTCAACATCCACCCCGACATCATCAACAGCCCACCCAAACCGCATCATCCGCCCGCGCAAGTCCCACGTCAAGTCCCGCATGGGCTGCGGCAACTGCAAGCGCAGGCGGATTAAGTGCAACGAGGAAAAACCGCAGTGCTATAATTGCATCAAGCACGGCATCAGGTGCGATTATCTCCAGACGGCCTCGGCGGGTGCGAGTCCGGGAGAGAGCGCGGCGGGGTTTCAGCAGCGGGGGGTGTGTAAAGCGGAATCTGGATCGCCGGTGTCGCCTGCTCCGGTCATTGATACCCATCGCCAACTCCTAGTCCAACAACAGCAGCAGCAGCAACAGCAGCAACAGCAGCAACAACAGCAACAACAACAAGCCGACCTCGCCGACGCCGAGTTCTCAAAACTACACATGGCGCAACTCGAGCTGCTCCACCACTTCCTCACCGTCACCGCACCGACATTCACCGACCGCACCGACGGCGACCTATGGCTGGTCCAGATCCCGCGGATCGCGTTCGGCCACGAGTTTCTCATGTACGCCATCCTCACTATCGCGTCTACCCACATGCGGTTCCTGCAGGAGCGCGCGCGCGAGACTACGAATGGGAGTAATTGTAATGGCAGCACTGTTGCGGGCATGCAGAGATCGGTGTCGACCTCCTCGGCGGAGAAAGAACGCGCTCTGTACTTTGAACGCGCAGAGATCTGGTACCGCCAGCGCGCGCTCGAGACCTTCCGCGCAGCAATCATGGGTCCCCGCGGTCCAGGAAATCTCGAGGCGATGACGGTCGCCGGCAGTTTAATCGCGATCCAGTCGTTTGCTTTCAAAGAGCGCGACGAGAGCGGCAACGTCAAGGAGCCGAATTCGGACGACCTCTCGGCGCTGGTCGATAATGCTGCCGATTTCGTGATTATCTCGATTGATCGCTGGCTGCCGATTTTGCTGGGGATCCGCACGGTCGTGCATGAGATGCAGACGTTGCGCACGGGACTCGATCTGCAGTCGCTGTTTGGGATCGACTTCAACTCGCTCGCGAACGCATCCCCCGGCGGCACGCAGGACGCGCCCGCGCTCGCGAGTCTCGTCGCGCTCACGTCCGAGCGGTGTCGAGCCAGCCAGCTCGAGCTCGACTGCTACCTCCCCGCGATCCACCTGCTTTCCCAACTCGTGACTGCGTTCCGGCACTCGCGCCCGGCCGAGCTGCGCAAGTACGTCTTCACCTGGCCGTTTTTGCTGTCTGAGGAATTCCACCGGCGGCTGCGGGCGCGGGAATCGGTCGCGCTGGTGATCTTTGTGCATTTCCTGGCGGTGGTGTCGTTGCTGGGCGCGTGGTGGCAGGAGGAGCGGGTGAAGGCTGATGTGACTGCGATCTGTCGGCTGTATCTCGGGGCGGAGGAGTGGCGGCCTTGGTTGATGTGGGTGGAGGATGTGGTGCCGTTTACTGTTTTTTGATGATAGATGATGATGCATGTGTATTATATTTTTGGAAGGAGTAGGATGTGTGTTTGAATAATGAATTAATATCTAATATCTACCCACAGTAACTCACGAAGAAGTCTATATATAACAACAGAAAGGCAGTAAAGAATGTGTAAAGTAAGAGCAAGTTTATGACTCGCCGACGCGGATCAGTCCGTACGGCTTGACCAGTTCCGCGACATCCAGCGCCGTCGTCGCAGCAGCAGTGATCGACGTCGTCGTCTCGGACGCAGAATCCTCCTCCACCTCCTGCTCGACATACATCGCGACGGCGGTGACGGTCGTGGTGGCCGTACTCGCCGTCGCGGAGACCGACGCAGAAGAACTCACGTCGGCCGCGAACGCGGACGCCTGGGCTTGTTCGTCGTTCGTACCGCCCACAGGCAAGCCGAGCGCGGCCTCGAGCTGGACGGCGACGTACTCGGCAAACAACTTGTGCACGCCGGAGGTGACGTGGACGGAGTTGATGAAGACGTACTTGCTCGCCGGGTAGGGACAGGCCGTGTACCACGTATCCGCGAACGGCACGCCGGAGATGTAGGCCTGGCAGTACTCGTCCTGGACGTCGAAGCCCAGGGTTTTGTAGTTTGAGACGACGTAGTCGAGAACCGGGTACATGTCCACGACCGCGAGCGCGACGCCGTCGCCTGCGTGGTTGGAGGCGAAGCGGCGCGCGTGGGAGGTCAGCAGGAGGTTATACTCCTCGATCGCGGCCTTTGCGACCGCGCGCTGCGCCGCGGTCAGGTTCGGTTTCCGGTCGAGCGCGGGGACGGTCATGATGACGAACCGGCGGAGGCCGGAGGCGTACAGGGTCTCGACCGCGGACCAGTACGAGACCATCATCGACGCGTAGAGAGAGACGCGCGAGGCCGAGGTTGGGTGGGATTGGTACGTCGTCAGGACGTCGTTGATGCCGAACCAGATGGTTGCGGTGGTGGAGTCTGGGTCCCAGGAGACGTATTGGGTGTTGCTGTTTTCCGCGCCGACGCGGCCGGGGGCGAGGTAGGGCAGGAAAGTGTTTGACACCTGGAGCACGAAGGAGTCGTATTTCTCGCGGACGTAGGTGACGTTGTTGTCGATCGTCGCGCCCGCGACGGCGAGGTTGTAGAATATGTAGGACGACGAGTTGAAGTCTGCGCCGAGGTACTTGAGCCAGTTGATGCCGTTGGTCGCGTAGCTGCTGTCGAACGACGGGTTGCCGAACGGGTTGTTGGACGAGGGCAGTGTCGAGTGGATCGAGAACGCGGTCGAGGTGTAGGAGTCGCCGCTGCAGTCACGTCAGTCAGAGTCGAGAGGAAGAGAGAGGAGGAGAGACGTACAAGTTGAAGAAGGTCTGATCCGCGAGTCCACAGGCGATAAAAGAGAGGAAGACGCTGACGAGCGCAGTTTTAGAGAAAGACGTGGTCGGGTTCATTATGCCGCTGCTGCTGCTGCTGCTGCTGCTGCTGTTGATACTGATATATATATGATCCCGTAAATAAGCCCAACACAATAACGAGCGAAGAGTCGGCTTCCAACAAAAAAAAACGAGCAACAGCAAAGAATAAAAGCACGCAGAATAAAAGCCGACAGTGAAAAAAAGGAGCGTGTGTGGAATCAAAAAGATGAAAATGAAAGGGAAGGTGGTGATATAGAATGATGCGTGTGCTGGAGCACTGGGTCCCTTGGCTGCTGCTGTTCTGGCACTGGCGCTAGATTCCGTTTTCTTTTTTGACGCCGGTTGACAGCGACAGGGACAGTAAGCTTTTCTTCTCTTTTTCTTTTCTTTTTCCCTTTTTCTTTTGCTTTGGTTTAGATGGCTGGGTGCTGCGGCAGAGACGCGGTGGTGGATACCAATCCAGCCCAGCAGCAGGATATTTCCATTTCAGGTAATTCCCACCACCTCCCTCCTCTCCCACCCTCTTCCACCACCACCCACCCCGCCAAGCCTCGCCTCGCCACTCTCTTTACTTCCAACTCGTCACGTACACAAAAATACTCCCCACTCGCGCCGTAGAACAGGGCCGTCTGAGCGGTGGACTCGGTAGCGAGCAAAGGATAAGGTTCGCATGTCACATTTCGGCTGCATATCGTCACCTTAAACCCTGTCTTCACACCTCCTGCTGTTGGTCCTGCTTCTGCTTCTTTCTCTGGTCTGCTTCTGCTTCTTCTCTGGTCTACTACTAGCTGTCCACTGATTGCTGTTGATGACATGTATTATCTATCTCTAAACCTTCTCAACCCTCCTCGAACGTAACTGCTCCGGCCTCTTGTAAATCGAATCCATAACCTTGACGACGTCCGTCATCTCCTTCACGTCATGCACCCGCAAAATATCCGCCCCTCCAACAATCGACGCCGCCACCGCCGCGCCCGTCCCAAACACCCGGTCGCTCGCCTTCGCCGCCCCCGTGATCCGCCCGATAAACGCCTTCCGACTCGGCCCGACCAGCCACGGCAACCCTTCGAACCCGCGCCGCGACCGCATCAGGTACGCCAGCTCCCGCAGCACCGTCAGGTTCTGCTCCTGCGTCTTGGCGAACCCGAGCCCCGGGTCGAGAATCATGTTCCACCGCTTCACGCCCGCGTCCTCGGCCGCCCGCACCTGCCGCGCAAGCTCGGCCGCGACGCCTTCGACCACGTCGTCGCCGTCGTAGGTCGTCAGACTCGTCATCGTCTGCGGCGTGCCGCGCATGTGCATCAGGATTATCGGCACGTCGAGCGCAGCCGCGGTCGCGAGCATGTCCGCGTCGAGCGCGCCGGCTGACACGTCGTTGATGATGTCTGCGCCGGCCTCGATCGCCGCGCGCGCGACAGACGCGTAGAAGGTGTCGACGGAGATAATTGTGTTTACAAACTCCGGCTGCTCGCGCAGGAGTTTGATCGCGGGGACCACGCGCGCGGCCTCGACCTCCGGACCGGGGTCGACGGACTTTGGGTTCGTGCTCTGTCCGCCAATGTCGATGATCATGTCCGGGTTGGCAGCCACGAACTCGCGCGCGGACGCGAGCATCGAGTCTGGTGCCTCGTTCTTGCCGCCGTCGGAGAACGAGTCCGGCGTGATGTTGAGGATGCCCATGACGTACGTCGGCGTGCGGACGTGGTGCACGGTGTCAAACAGCATCTGCTTTGACGAGCCGCGGAAGGTCTTGAGCGGCACGACGGAGTACATTTCCGAGACAAAAGTCGCGGGAGGACAGAGATGCTCAAAGTGCTCGGCGATCGTCTTCATCGTGACCGGGTGGACGTACTCCGGCGCGATCTCGACGAGCGGGCGGAGGACGAACTCGCGCTCGAGCATGCTGAGATGCGGGATCGAGAGCACGGCGCCGTCGCGCATGACGATGTCGTCGTAGAGCTCGATGTCGATGTCGATCGTGCGCGGGCCCTTGTCGATCAGCTTTACGCGGCCGAGCGCGTTCTTTTCAACGTCCTGCACCGCGCGGAGGAGGTCGTGCGGCGAGAGCGTGGTCGAGACTTTACACACCGCGTTCAGGAACCGGGGTTGGTTCTCGACGTACATCGGCGCGGTCTCGTACATGGAGGATGTACGCAGGACTTTAATGCCGCGTTTCTCGAGCTCGTCGAGCGCGGCGGAGAGTAGGGCGGCGCTGTCGCCTAGGTTACTCCCCAGACCGAGGTACGCGATGTGGGAGGTGGGGTCGACGGAGGAGAAGCGCGCGGCCTCGGTCGAGTAGAAGCGTTTCGTGCGGGTGATTGAGACCGAGGGACCGGACGCGAAGGCGATCGCGCGGGGTTTGAGGGCGCGGACGGAGGCGGAGCTGAGGGCGTGGTCGACGCAGAGGTAGCGGGTGAGGGCGGAGACGAGGGCCTCGATTGTTAGATATGCGGAGGCTTCAATTTGCTGTCCTGCTGTTAGAAAGAGAATAAAAAGAAGGAACAAGTAAGACGGACCTCAACTAGACCATCTGCAATCTTGACAATGTCAATCTCAGCAGGCTCATCTGTCCTCATATCAACACTGACGACAACCTCCTGCTTCTCAAGCCTTTCCCACGGGTTGACGCCAATGACGGTATACACGCGCAAATTCTCAATGAACGCAAACTCATCAACCTCTTTTGTAACCGGCGCGGAGCCGTACGGCGTGTAGCGGTGCTTGACGACCTGCCATCCCGCTGCGTCGGCGCGGAGCAGTTTCTTTGGAAACGCGAGGCGCGCAGAGACGTGTTCTGCGCCGACGCCGAACGCAGAGTCGACGACCTCGTGCGCGAGCGCGCGGCCGGTGCCTTGCTGGGCGGGAGTGAAGTCAGGCGCGGGCGAGGCCTCGACGGCGGAGGTGATGGCTTTGGTGAGGATGCCGTAGTGCACGGATTCGGAGACGAGGTCGGAGATGCCAGCGAGGGCGACGGGGGCGCGGACGGCGCAGTCGATGAGGACGGGTTGCGGGCGGGGAGCGCGGTGCCAGGTGTCGTGGCCTGCTTTGAGGGTGGTGAGGGCGAGGCCCTGGACGGAGATGGAGTCGGGGGGGAGGAGGGGAGGGGCGGACATGGGGAGGTGGGAAGGGAGTGGGCGGAGGAGCGAGGGAGCGAGGGAGAGAGCAGGACGGGGAAGGATGGAGGAGAAGAGAGCCGGGCGCATGAGCTCTTGCTCTGAGGGTCTTGCTCGTGGATTGATGAGCGGAGAGAGAAGATATAGCAGAGAGCAGAGAGCAGAGAGCAGAAGAAGAGCAGATAAGAATCAAATGTCGAGAAGTTTTTGGATGCGGCGGGGAGGTCTTTGCTCTGCGCTGCTCTGCTCGTCTTCTGTCTGCTCTCGGGCCGAGCGAGTATTTAGATTGTGCTTGTACGTCTACGGGATTGTTTAGTTGTGGATGTAATTGCTGTAATTGCTGTAATTGTTGTAATTGCTGTAATTGTGAATGTTGTGGTAGTTAGTTGTATAGTAGTCATGTATTGTGGTAGATAAACGATAAGATGCTCACAACCACATCTAAACACCATCCTCTCTTTCTTCGATATCAATTGACAGTATCAGCAGTATCATCATTCTTTACTTCAATTGTATCCTTATTCTTCTTATCCTCAATCTTCTTCCTCTTCTTCTTCTGCTATTATTTACTCATCCTCACCTATCCTCCATCGCCGCGGCAAGTGCGGCCCATCGATCTTCACTTCCCTCTTCACCACCACCACCACCACCACCACCACACCCTCCACCTCTCCCCAACCACACCAAACCCACGAATGAGTCTGCTAGACTACATCCTCACCCTCCCGCAATTCACAGACTCCAGACTCCCTTCTCTCTTCAGCGACTTCCGCCGTCTCAAAGAGTCCAACCCCGATGGCTACCAGGCAAACATCACCGCCTGGAAAACCGCGCTCGTGAGCGCTTTGCGTCGGAGTACCCGCTCTCCTGATCCTGATTCTTCTTCTACTGCTACTACTACTACTACTACTACTACAGATAGTGTGCTGGTGCTGCACTCCGGCGCCACCCTCCTCGCCGCACTCACGTCCCCCACGCACGGCCACCCGCTCGCCCTCTCCGCCGTCTTTGAAGACCAAACCGCGCAGCACCGCTTCGTCCCGCTCGCCACCTTCCTCGCCCAGCAAACAAGCATCTACAAAGACTCCCAGTGGAAACTCGTCAAGCTCGGCGCCTCGCTCGCGCGCTGGGCGGTCAGGGATACGCGGGTGGGCGAGTACTACGACGCGGTGGTGGCGTGGCGGCGGAGGGAGGGGTTGGCTGAGGAGGAGTATGTTGTGCTTGAGAACGTGGAGGACGCGGCGCGGGTGCTGGTCGCGAGGGTGAAAGCGAGGGCGGGGGCGGGGAGGTTTGCGGGGGTGTATTCTGTTGAGGTGTTGAAGGAGCTGTTTTCGAGTGATCCGTTTGGGAAGATGGAGGAGGAGGAGGAGGATGATGAGGAGTTGGTGGGTGGGAAGATCGTCAAGAGGAAGAAGACTGGGCCGGTGTTGTCGGATCAGGACTGGACGGTGTTGATACGGCATATTACAAGAGATATGCAGCAGGCAACGACATCACCCTCTGGATCTGTACGTTCTCTCCTCTTTCAACTACACATCTCACTGCTAACATCTACGCAGATCATCAAATTCAAGCTCGCGGCATCGACTCTCACCCCCCTGACCGAAGAAGAACAGACCGTAGCGCAACTCCGCGCGATGGTGCACCACCTCAGCACCCGCATCGCCTCCCAACACCAGCTCTCCCTCTCCTCCCGGCAAAAGTCCACATCCCTAATCTCCACGCGCCCGCAGACCGCGCACACGAAACAGCTCGCGCTGACGCAGCTCAAGACGGCGAAGATGGCGGAGGCCACCGTGCGCAAGACGATGGAGTACCGGATGCAGCTCGAGGCTCTTATAAGCTCGATCGAGGCCGCGCATGATAATCTTGAGATGACGAGGATTATGCGGAGTAGTCTGCCTGTCTTGCGGGATCTGAATAAACGCGCGGGAGGGGCGGAGAAGGTGGCGGATTTGGTGGAGCAGATTGAGAGTGAGGTCGAGGAGACGAAGGAGGTGGGGAGGATTATCAGCGAGACGACGGTCGAGGATGTGGATGAGGATGATATCGAGGCGGAGTATGCGCGTTTGCTTGAGGAGGAAAGTAGTCAGAGCAGGCGGGACGACAAGAAGAAGGAGGAGGAGAATGAGGACGAGCTTGCGGATATGCTGTCGAAAGCGAGTTTGGCTGATGTCCCGGATCTCGAGGATAAGAAGGTAGAGCCAGAGAAGATGACTGTTTGATTACAGAGCGCCTGATACATAATACAGTACAGTCAGAGCAGGCGGATTTATATACAGAACGGTTTTATTCGTAATATAGTACACAACGCCAATCTATAATCCAGATAAAGAAAAACACATGCTACTCCGCCGCCTTGTCAGACTCCAGCTCAGCTTCTCCCTCCACCTCGGCCTTCGCCTCAGCCCTCTTTGGCAGATTCCTCCTCGCCTGCGCAATCAGCTCCCTAAAATCCCCCTTATGCTTCACCCCCCACTCCTCCAACCCCTCCGCCGACACCCTCGACCCCGCCGGAAACCTATCCAAGCTCTCCTCCCACGCCGCCAACTCCCTCAGCAACTGCGTCTTTGCGCGCGGCACCGAGCGATCGACGTTTGCGTTCCAGATCGAGACCCATTCGGAGTGTCGCGCTTGGAGGGCTTGTTTGTTGCCGTGCGAGGGGATCTTGAGGTCTTGCAGCTTTTGACGGAGTTTGGGCTCTGAGAGCATGCTGTATTGGATCTTTGGGAGGCGTTTTTGGTGGGGTGGGGTCGTGCTGCTGCTTGCGAGGAGGGTTTTTGGTTTTGTTGATGTGCTGGAGGAGGGGGTGGTGGAGGAGGAGGAGGAGGTGTTGGCTTTGAGGGAGAGACAGGAGTCGATGTGGCGGGTGACTTGTTTGACTGTCATCCGTTTGTCGCAAACAGGACAGGGTACGAGGCCATCTAGACACAGTATATCAGCGGACGTACTATGTAAATGAAAAAAAAAAAAGAGAAAAGACACACCGTCGTCGTCGTCGAGGTTGACGTAGGCTCCGTCGGTTGTGGGTTCTGGTGACGGTGGGATTTCTTGATATGAGCTGGTGATGGTTAGTAGAGAAGTAGATGAGGAAGTAGAGACGACGTACGCTGTCGGTCGGGCTCTTGTTGATCTTCGAACTTCTGCTGCTGCTGATGATGCTGCTTCACTCCTCTTCTCATCCTGATCATCAACTCTCGCCCTCTTCCTCCCCTTCCCCCCCTCCCTCGCAACGCTCAACAACCCCTCCCTCGCACCCGCTCTAAACCACCCCACAACCTCCTCAACAACCTGATTCCTCCTCAACTTGACCTCCGTCACCGCCGCCCTGCAAATCGGACAGCACGGATGCTCCGAGGCCGGCGTCGCCGCGATGCATTTCCGGATACACAGCGAGCAGAACGAGTGCGCGCACTCCGTCACCATCGGCGCGGTGTACAGGTCCCGGCAGATGCGGCAGCGTAGGAGGGCGTCGAGGGTAGAAAGAGAGGAGAGGGGGGTCGAGAGCCAGTCTGAGGGGTCGGTTATGTCTGCGTCCATTGTGTGGTGAAGAGAGGTGTGGTGAAGGACGAGGACGCGCTCGAGGACGCGTGGCGGTAAACTTTTATTTCCTGTTTTGTGGTGTGTGTTTTGTGGATTATTTACAAACATACATTAAACATACAACTATTTACTATATTACAACATTACAACAGATATACAACCTCACCTACAACAACAACAAACAAATAAACAAACAAACAATGATATCGTAATAAATCCAGACATTTCGAGACGTCAACTCAACACAACAACACAACACAACAAAGACTAGACAATTTTGACAACGACGACTCCATGATATAACAAACAAACACCATATATGTACACACATATACAAAACACCCGCACTCTCAACTACACCTCACAGCTCGGCGAAAAACATAAACGGTCCTTCCACCGCGTTCGTCGTCGACGGATCACTGCCGTCTCGCCACCTTCCCAACATGATCTTCGGGCCTGGGATATACACGCCGTTATACTCCCACACCACGCCCTCGCCGTCGTCCGAGCCGCTGTCAGAGTCGGACTGGATATACTCCTTCCGCATGCCGAACCGCGCAAAGCCAGGTAGGCCGTAGCACGGGTCCAGAGGGGTGAGGGTAGAGTACGTGATGTAGTCGTAGCGGTCGCGGCCGCGGCCGACGAACGAGACCGGGCCGTGGATCGGCGGGAGATCGGCTTGCATGATTTGCATGCCGTCGAATTGGTCGACGATCTTGGCGGAGGACGCGGGCGCGGCGGTGGTCGATTGGGGAATCGAGGGGTGGCGCGCGCCGCGGGCGCCGCCGTGGGGGCGGGTGTAGGCGGGAGGGGAGGATGGTGAGGCGGCGGCGGGGTCGGGCATGGCGGAGGAGGAGGTGGAGGTGGTAGTAGTAGTAGTAGTTGTGGTAGTTGTAGAAGGGGAAGGGGAAGAGGAAGAGGAGGTGTATCCCGGGAGCGAAGCGGTGGCAGCTTTGAAGCGCGGGTCCGGCATCGCAGTGGTGCTCTTTGGATCCTGCGTCGCAGCCAGAGCACCAGAAGTTCTTCTCAACACATCAAAGTCCCAGAACGCAAGGTATCCATACAACCCGGTCCAGTCCTTAGGAAAGTCAAAGGTGTCGCCATCCTTAAACTTATAGTCTGCAGGCTCGGGCGGGGTGTTGAAGAAAGGGAGGAGACCCTCGCGCACGGCAGCGGTGTGCTCAGAGTGGTAGACGAAAAAGTTGATGATTGAGATGAGGACGTCGAAGCGCGGGACGACAGAGGTCGAGCAGAGCGCGTCGATATCAGCCCACGCCGAGTCCGGCAGACGCTGGGGCCCGACCGGGCGGTACATTGAACCCGCTCCCGAGCGGGACTGCGCGGTTTCGGTCGGGGTGGTGAAGATGGGGAAGCGCGAGGAGTCGTAGACGACGGCCTGCATTTCGCGGAGGTCGAAGGCCTGCGGGGCGCGGATGAGGTGCTGGCCAAAGACGACGCGGAGCATGTCGATGCGCTGCTGGAGGATGTAGGCGTTGGGTTTGAGGGTGTAGGCGGAGGGGGAGGGGAGGCGGTCGATTTGCACGACGGGGACGGTGCCGGGGAGGAGTTGGTCGAAGATGATTGCGGAGAAGAGTTGTGATTGGGCGATGATGTTGAAGTTCTTGGACTCGTTTTCGCGGAGGAGGCGGATTGCGTTTGTGACGACTTCTTCGCGGACGCGGAGACGGAACTGGAAGTCAGCGTAGCGGGCGCGGGCGTCGGCGCTGTTGCCGAGGAAGAGGCGGGTGCGTCGTTTGAATTCTTCAAAGGCGGTGCGGGGGCGGCGTTTTGACTGGGGGCCTTGGACTCTGCGGATGGACTGGGCTGGGGTGGAGGAGGAGGAGGAGGAGGGGGTGGGGGTAGGAGTGGGAGAGGGAGAGGAGGCGGGGGTGGAGTCTGAGGAGAGGGTTGCGTAGTTGTAGGAGGTGGAGTAGGAGGAGGAGGAGGGCCGGGGGCGGGCGGGTTGCGAGGAGCCGAGGCCGCCGTGGACGTCAAAGATGAGTCTGAGATGGTCTTTCTGGTCTGTTGTGAGGAGACGCTGCTGGGCGACGACTTCGGTGGAGGTGGAGGAGGTGGGAGAGGGAGGGGAGTAGTCGGGGAGGAGGGGGTCGAAGGTGAGTCGGAGACGGAAGGACCAGAAGGCGTTGTTTTTCATGACGAGGGTGTGGAGGGCTTTTGAGGAGCAGGCGAGGTTGACGAGGTCGGGGAGGGGGAGGAGGGAGAAGACCTGGCAGACGACTTCGTCTGGGAGGCGGAGGAGGAAGGAGGAGGGGGAGAAGGAGGACATGACAAGTATGATGAGAGTAGAGTAGAGTAGAGTAGAGAGGATAGAGAAGAGGAGGAAGAGAGGAAGAAGAGCAGAGGAGGAAGAAGAAGAGACGAGCGTGCGGCTCAGAGGAAGCGCATCCGATAGCTTTATCGGGCGGGTGGCCGCTCACCGTGCTGCCCAAAGAGGAAATGTTGCTTGTTGAGGAGTCATGATGTTGCTATTTCTTATAACTTCTCTATAACCTGTTCTGTTCTGTAGTTAGTGCTTCTGTATGTTATTCTTCTGTTATTGCTCTCTATTCCTCACTATCTACTCTCTACTTCTACACTTCACCACTCTTCTACCTTCCTCTTCTACTCTTCTCTCTCCTCTTCCTCTCTCTGCTTGGACCACCTGCTCCGTGTCCTCCCAATCGAGTATCAATGCTCTCGGCTCAACCGTTCTCTATTCGTCTTATTGACATTGACATTAGTGTAGTTTAGTTGTTGTTGTTGTTGTTGTTGTTGTTGTTGTAGTATATACCGTCTAGTTTGTAGTAGTAGTCAGTAGTCAATAGTATACACTTTAGTCAACTCTACTCCTCCTACCTTACTTCCTCTACTTCTCTCCTCTACTCTCCTCTACTTCTCTCCTTCACTTCTCCCCCCGCACTGACCCGTTCCTCCGCCTGCCTCTTTCGGCAAACGCCGTGTGTGCCTGCCTGCCTCTTCCTCCTTCCTCCTCTTCCTCCTCTGTCCTCTTATTCCCATCACTTCTGCATAGTCTCATCTGCCTATTCATCTCGCCTATATCAGTCCAACGTCAATACCACTCCGGCAGCTGTGTCCGCCTTGGCGCTGCTGACTCTTCTCTTCTCTACTCTACTCTACTGCTTGACTACTTCTCTCTATCATTTGACTAATGCTCTCTACTATTGACTAATGCTGCTGCACCACCCCCGCCGCATCCGCCTTCGCCAATATCTCCCTCTTGTAATCCTCAATCGTCCCCCGTATCTGCTCCACATGCCCATCATCACACACCCACAACTGCTTCGACGTCCGCGAAATCAGCGTCACGTCATGCGAAACCATCAATATACCCCCCTCAAACTTATCAATCGCCTCCGCCAGCGCGTCCAATCCCGCCGTATCCAGATGGTTACTCGGCTCGTCCAGCACCAGAATATGCGGATTCGTAAGCCCCAGGCACGCAAACGCTACCCTCGACTTTTGTCCTCCCGACAGCAACTCCATCTTCTGCAGCCCCAGCGTGCCCGTAATCCCAAACGCACCTAAATGCCGCCGATACTCCTCATCGCTCTTCCCCGGCCACATCTTCGCCATCCACCCCACCGCGTTCAGATTCAGATCCATCGCGTCGATATGGTGCTGCGCAAAATACCCAATCCGCAGCCGCGCGTTCCGCTGCACCATCCCCATCGTCGGCTCCGCGTCCCCAATCAACACCTTCAGCAGCGTCGTCTTGCCGCTCCCGTTCGCGCCCACTAGCGCGATCCGCGAATCCGTCTGCACGCTCAAATCCACATTCTTCAAAACCGTCCGCGCCCCGCCCTCATACGCAAACGTCACGTTCTCCAGCTGGATAATCGGCGGCGACAGCTTCTCCACCTCTGGGAATCTGAACGTCAACGTCTGATCCTCCTCCGGCGCCTCCAGAATCGGCAACTTCTCCAACTTCTTGATCCGACTCTGCGCTTCAGACGATTTAGCGGCATTGTACCGAAACTTGTCGATAAACGTCTGCAAGTGCTTCCGGTACGCCATCTGGCTCTCGTACTCGCGCTTCTGGTTCTTCCGCCGCTCCTCGCGCGTCGCGTAAAACATGTCAAAGTTCGAGTTTTTGTAGTAATCCAGCCGCTCGCTGTGCTGGTGGATGATATCCGTCGCCACCTCGTTCAAAAACGCGCGGTCGTGAGAAACAACCAGGACTGTGCCTGGATAACCCTGCAAGTAATTTGACAGATACGTGATGGATGGGACGTCCAACATGTTGGAAGGCTCATCCAGCAGCAGCAGATCCGGTTTGCAAAACAACGCCCGCGCAAGCGCAAGTCGCATCCTCCATCCTCCAGAGAATGACTTCGTCGGGTTGTTTTGCTGCGACTGCGAGAATCCCAAACCAGCGAGAATACTCGCCCCCCGCGACTCCGCCTTGTCGCTCTCCATCTCTGACAACTTGCCGTAGATATCCGTCAGCGTCGAGTCGAGCTCACTCCGCTCGACCTCCAACTCACTCCGCATCCCATCGCTCTCCCCGCCATCCTCCGACTCTTGCAACTTCTTGTCCAGCTCCGCCAGCTGTCTCGTGATCTTCTCCTGCTCCTTCAGCAAATGCTTCCGCCACACGTCCGCGTCCAACACAGACTGCAGCGCAGGCGTGTCGTCGCCCGACACCTCCTGCTCGACATGCAGAATCGTGATATGCTTCGGCACCGCCAACTCTCGTCGCGACAACGCCCTCAGCAACGTAGACTTTCCGATTCCGTTCTGGCCAATCAAGCCATACCGATGCCCGTACGCCAGCGTCAGCGTCGTGTCCGACAGAATCCGCTGCCCAGCGCCGACATACAAATCAAAGTTCTCAATCTTGATGTCCTTGCTCTTGCCCTGCGCCGCGCCCCCGAGCATCAGCGGATTGACCTCCATGTAAAACTTATCATAGTCCTCCGGCGTCTGCGTCGAAATCAGCTTCGACGCCTCGTACTCGACAAACTTCATCGCCCGCTTCTCCAGCTTCGCCTGGATCTTCCGCTCCGCCTTCTCCAGCTTCTTCTTATCCACCTTCGAATCCACCTTCCGCCCACTGATCGAGTCAAGATCAACCGGCGTGCCAAACAACCCCACAGACGAAATCCCGTCCCGCTGCGCACCAATCACCAGCGCCTGCTCAAGCTTCTTCGTCCCCTCGCCCGCTCTCTTCAGCGCGTCCTCCTGCAGCGGCCCAAACGTCGCCAACAACCCCTCGCACAGCGTGCCCACCGCTTTCGCAGACGCCCCCGCGTTCAGCAAAAGATCCCGCACAAACGGGATCTCGGACGATAAATCAGCAGTCGCAATCGTGCGCTCGAGGTGCGAGAGGTAGCCTGCGCAGTACTCGGACACGACAGAATCAATCGCCGGCGCGGCCTTGCGCACCTGATCCGCTACCGTAGGTGCCATCTTCTTTTTCTTTCTTGAATGTAATAGCAGTAGAACTAGTTAAAACACCTGTCTTCTATCAAAGATTCTCTCAAAGATGAAAATTATTCGGCGGTGAGGCTCGACGGTGTTTAAGGTTTAAACATAAACTCTAATCGCACGTCCGATCTCAACGCGCGCGTCCTCGACGCACACAACAACAAACTGCAGCAGAGCCGTGTTTAGTCTACAGAATTGTCTGTGTGCTGTTGTATTATTGTGTGTGTGTGATTGTATTGCTGTTTGATTATTGTCTGTGTCTGTTGTCGCGCTTGTCTACGATGGCTGGAACTTCGTCGTCCCCTGGCTCAACCATCTTCAGCGAAAAGTGCAGTTCCCACACCGCCTCTGCCGCGGTCCCACGGCGTGTGTACTTATCTCTTCTTCATTCATATCTCTACAATTACTGACGACACTAGGCGAACACTCAAAACCCACACCCCTCCGCGAAGCATGGGACGACGATTTCTCGATCTCAACGGCGGCAGACAGCCCACTAAGCGTGCCCAGCAAAATCGAAAACTCGCAGCAGGCGGTGCGCGTGCATCTGAGCAACATCAAGCGGTTCGCAGCCGAGGTCGAGAAGCTGAAAGCGCTGCTGGCTGCGCTGGCGGCGGACGAGAACGCGGCTGTTGATCAGACTGTTGTTGAGGAGGCGGATGCGATCGTGGCGTTGGCGGAGACGGGGGATCAGGATGAGGAGGCGGGGAGGGAAAGTGAGCAGGTGGCGTGGACGGAGACGGGTACGATGGATGGTGAGCAGCATCTGAGGGATATGCGACGGAGGTCGTTGGTAGGACGGACGATCTTGGAGGAGATATCGACCACAAGCACATCTCAACCCTCATCCACAGTCTCTCCATCTACAGTTTCTACAGTCTCTCCATCTACAGTCTCTCCATATTCAGTCTTTACAGTCTCTACAGTCTCTACAGTCTCTCCACCTACAACCACAAGCATACAACTCACGCCCTCGTCGCAGCACAACAGCGACACCACCGACATCGACATCGACGACGACGACGCCTGGAACTCGAGCCCAGACGACGGTGATGATGATGATGACGACGACACCACACAGACCGCATCATCCGTAGACTGCAGAGTTACTACGAGTCAAAACCGGCTGGATTTCAACGCCGAGTCGTTGCCGGGGCTGATTGAACGGACGGTAAGTCTGATGGCACAGATAGAAGCTGCTCTGGCAGGAACTGCTCTGGCAGGAACTGCTCTGGCAGGAACTGCTCTGGCAGGAACTGCTCTGGCAGGTCAGCGGAAATAGATTGTTTCTGCTGTGGCTGCTGGTTATGTTTGCGTGTTGTTGTAAGATAAACCTCGTTGCATCTACGACTCGTTTCGATATCATACTCCAGTCTGAGGCGAGGCGATCGCCTGCTTGTATTTAGTTGGTCTGCAGTCCCGGTGCTTGTTTTTTGTTGTTTCTTATTCTTTACTATTGTTATCTTGTCTATATCTTTGTATATTCTTCTTGCTGCAGTGCAGCTCCATTGAATTTCATCAACAACTCTTAGATCTTCTGGGGATCGATTAGGGTCCGGCTCTGATCGCTCTGATTTAAGGTTGGCGGAGAGCGCAACAAAACATCGTCCATCTCATCAACTTCCTCAACTTCATCAACTTCCTCAACTCCTGCTTCTTTGATATTGCTGCATTCACTCTGCTGTAACTTCAGTAAATACACAATCTTGCTCTGCTGCAGCCTCGGCTTAGACTCACTCACACCCCGTCTGCTCGCCTGCTCGCCCTCGCTCGCTATAATGGCTCCTCGATAAGATCCGCATCTCCTATTGTTCTCAGCACCAGATCCTCACTCAACACCTCCTACCTTCACACTTTTTGAGTCACGAGTCAAGAGGATGGCCCAGCCGCGAGTATCGGCCCCCGTGCTCGTCGCCGGCGCGCTGATCTCTCTCTCCCTCGGCGCCTTCATCCGCACCCACTACACCGCGCAGATTGCCTTCCAATCCTTCATCCTCGGTCTCTTCACATGCTCGCTCCTCTCGCTCGCCGCCGTCGGCTACTTCTACAAACACTCCTCTCCCCGGACAGAGTCGCTGCGCAAGTACCGCCGCGTGCGCTTCCCTCCCTACGCGTTCATCATGCCGGGCCGGCTTGAGAAAGAGCTCGACCTCTTACTCGCCGACCTGCCCACCCGCACGCCGCTCTACCCCCCCTCCTTCGTCATCTCGAGCTCCCTCGACCTCATCATCGAGTACATCGTCCGCGACTTTATCCTCTCCTGGTACGCCCAGGTCTCGACCGACTCCTCGTTCCCGACCCAGGTCGACAACACCATCCGCGCCGCCATCGAGCAGATCCGCGACCGGCTCCTCAAAGTCGACCTCGTCGACTTCACAATGCAAAAGATCGTGCCGATCCTCACCCGCCACATCGCCGACTTCGCCGCGGCCGAAACCGCGCTCCGCGGAAAAAACCTCAATAAGCAATTCACCGAGTCCCGCGAGCTCGACATCGCGCTCGCGTCAAAGTACAATAACGGCAAACTCCACCCCGCCGCCTCGATCCGCTCGCCTGACCCGGCGATGGTCGAAAAGGAATGGATCAAGCACCTCGTCGGCTCCATCCTGCCCTCCATCCTGCCCGAGCGCGAAGCGCAATCCCGCTCCGTCTTCATCCTCGTCCAGGAAATCGTCACCGGCGCAGTCATCTTCCCCATCATCTCCATGCTCGAAGAACCAGATACCTGGAACCAGCTCATCGAGCGATTCGCCAGCTCGACCCTGCAGGACCGCAAGGCCGTCCAGCGTCTCCGCGCCGCGCTCGATAAGCACGCGAACCCGGCGGTTGCGAAGAATCAGCAGCCGATCGTCAGGTTGACTGCAAAGTCGGACGAGCGCACGTATGAGAAATTCGTGCGCGGTCTGAGGCGGTGTACTTTGCTTTCGGAAGCGAGACGGCTGCGGTATGATATCACGATCCAGCTCAAGCGGGCTATGAAGGACGGCAGTGAGTATTTATGATGTTTGTGAGAGGAGGAAGAGGTGCTGATGTCGTGTTAGATGACGATTTATATATCCGACGACTGAAGAACGCGCGCCGGTTAATTGATGAGAAAATCGCAGACCTCTCGAACGAGACCTCGACCCCTTCAAAACGAAAAGTACGTGCTCTCAAGTATATCTTATCACGAGCAAAACTAACTAGTCAGGGACGAACACCGGGGTCGCCGGGCACGCCTGGAAATCAATCACTAAACGACCCCAGAGAAAACTACACAGTACAGCAAATCCTCAATACCTCGGCGGGATTATCATATTTCATGGAGTACATGGATCGACAGCACCGAACCGGGCTATTACAATTCTACCTCGTCGTCGACGGATTCAAGAATCCGCTTGAGGAAGACGACGACGACGATGACGACGCGCAGGACTTGGCGGTGTCGTCGTCTGAGACGTTCAGTGAGTCGGATAGGGAGGATATCAGTCAGATCCGCGACTCGTATTTCTCAGACCAACTCCTGCAGATCGACCAAAAGTATAAAGACGATATCGAGCGGTTTCTGAGTAACCCGTCCGCGACCGCGGCAGACTACCAAAAAGCGCGTAGGGCAATCATGCGCGCACAAAAGCATGTTTATGATATTCTGGAAGAAGAAGATCTGCCAAACTTCAAGCGGTCCGATATATTCCTCAAATACCTCACCTCGACCGATCCCGAGACCGAAAACCCAAAGGGCACGGTGGACGACTACCACGTCGGCTTACTCGATGAGAGCATGACGGACGAGCCGCCGGGTACCACGGCCGAGAATTTGACCGTCGATCCGGAGTACATGGCTGTCGATCGGCGGAGTCTGGACTATGACCGCGACGGACTGTCGATCTCGGTCGAGCCTGAAGACGATGTCGTGCAGGCCGTGCAGGCGGCGTTTGACGATATCATGCAGTCGCGGCCGGCGACGAACGCGGGTGCGACGGCGGTGGCCTCGGCGGCGACCGCGGATGATGCTAGTAGTAGTCGGTCCGGCGACTCGTCTCATCGGAAACCGCCCTCGACTATCAACGAGGATTACGCAATCTACACTCATCAGGGAAGTGGCGGCGGCGGTGCGTCGATCAACGAATCCCCAAGATCCTCGATCGAGTCCTCGCGTCCGGGAACCAGCAACGCGCTCGAACCGGTCGACACAACAGCCACAACATCCACGAAGCCATCGTCTGATTTACGCTCGGACCTGTTTGGTTCATCAACTGCCGACAACGAAAACAACATCTTCCCGTCCGAGAGCGCGTTGTTTGAAGAGACCGCGCGCGAGATCTTCTCGGACGACAGTTTCTCGTCCGAGGACGAGATGGACGCGGGCGACGCGGGCGAACTGGCTGCTGCCGATTCGGCGTCGATCCACCGCGCGGACCCGGGCGACCTGGGACTTACGGAGACGATCCAGCGGATTTCTGATGATATCAACAAGCTGATGAACCAGGACGCGGTGCTGGAGACGTTGCTGAAGAAAGCTGAGCTGACGAATAATCTCGCGGATCTGCGGATTCTGAAGAAGTCAAAGGCGAGTGTGGAGCGCGAGATTAAGCGGAAGGAGTTGCAGCGGCAGCAGTATATTGTCCAGGAGAGCGATAATGGGTTATATGTAGGTCCAGGTCTTCTATTTGTTTTGTGGTTTTAGCTAACTTTGGCTAGGGGCGATCGAATGTCTGGATAAACTCTGCGGTGACTGGTTCAGACAACGGACGCGCCTACGCACTGTACATAATTGAGGTCCAGAGATTCGAATACGACGGTTCGGTATCGGCGCGATGGATAGTCGCCCGCCGGTACAGTGAGTTCTTTCAACTTCACCAGCACCTACGCCGGCGGTTCCCACAAGTGAACGAGATCGACTTCCCAAAGAAAGCGGTGTCGGTTCTCAAATTCCAGAAATCGTTCATCGAGGCCCGCAAGGCCGGTCTCGAGATCTACCTGCGCGCGCTGCTGCAGATCCCCGAGGTGTGCCACAGCCGCGAGTTCCGCTCGTTCCTGTCGTCGCAGGAGTTTCACGGCTACCACCCTTCTTCTGCTTCCGCCAGCGAAGGCGCAGGGGGCGAGGCGGAGAGCATGTCTGCTGCGACGGCGGCGGCGGTAGCGGCGGCGGAAGCGGCGAATAAGCAGAAAGGAGGGCGCACGAGCAGGTCCGGGCAGTCTGCGGACATTGTCGCGCGGCTGTACGGGACTTTGTCGGACGGGATGGAGGATATATTTGGGAACTTCATTGTCGATTACGCGACGCATATTCCGGGCGCGACTACGGTTTACAACGCAGCCGTGCGGCCTAGAGGGTCGGTTGCTGCCGGCAGCAGCGGAGGCGTGAACGGCAGCCAGGCGAAATCTGAGATCAAGCACCGGCGGACAGGGAGTACGGGCAACATGAGCGTGATGACGCAGAAAAGCGGCGTATCCACCGCCGAGACACTGGTCTACAGTCCCGAGCTCCAGTCGCGACGGCAGTTCGGGGGCAAGGGCGCCGCGGCCGCGTCCGCAGCGGGCACGTCGACGGAACGCAAGGATATAGCGGAGGTGGAGGCCGAGCTTAATCTGTTTGAGGAGGCGACGAATAGCAAGGGCGGCGAAGCGCCGTTTATCAAGCCGATCTGCGATTTGTTCTTGGAGCTGTTTGATTTGAATAAGGGAAACAATTGGATCCGCGGACGGGCAAGTGTTGTGGTGCTGCAGCAGTTGCTTGGGGGTACTATTGAAAGGTGAGTTTCTGATTATATTACTGAGTGGTGAATAGCAGTGCTGATGATGTTGGTTTAGGAAAATACGAGAGCAGATTGATAATCTGGTTGAGGAAAACATGGTGATCAATCTGCTAAACATCATCCGCGACAAAGTCTGGCCGAACGGCCGGCGAGGCGAGCCCGGCGTTGCGCGGAGCGCGAAAGAGCAAGCCAAGACGAGCAGCGAGGCCGCGTTTCTGCTGACGACGCTGGTGCAGGACATGGCAGCCAAGGTGGTTGGGTCGACGAACGCGAAGCATGCGTCGCGGAGACTGTTTGCGATGCTGCAGAACAAGATCTTGAATCTGCATGTGATCTGTCTGGTTGTGGATGAGATCGTGGAGGAGTTGTTTCCCGAGGTCAGGGAGAGGACTGGGTATAAGAGCATGGCTGTTTAGATAGTAATCCATGCATTGTCCATTGTTGTTCATGATGTAGTTGAAGTAGAGACGTAGTTGCTCCTCGGTGAGCCAGCAGAGTTTCGACGCCGCACGGCATGACCTCTGCTTTGTTAGCTGAGCCAGCGTCGATATCTCCATCGGATCCTTCTCTGTTCAACTTCACGAGAGAGAAACAACAAGACAGAGAGTCTTTATTCTAATCAGCTATTCTTCTGAGGTCGATTGACTCCTTGCTGCATTGGACGACGCTCGCACATTTGCTTGCCCGGCCCTCGCCGTGAATCACCACCCTCCTCCTCCTCCTCTGGCCAGCCATGGCTTCACACCAGGAACCAGAGATGGCTCTCCAGCCTGCGTTTGAAGTCTCTTCCTCGGCGTCCACACGGCCGCCGTCACAGCCGACTGCCGCGCAATCCACGCCGACCACGCAGAGCCCACAACAGCAACCTCAACCTCAACCTCAACCTCAACCTCAACCTCAACCTCAACCTCAACCTCAACCTCAACCTCAACCTCAACCTCAACCTCAGCAGACTCCTCAGCAGCAGCAGACACCTCCACAACCCGCCCAGCGGATCTCCCCCGAGGAGGATCTCCCTCGTCCCAACCCGTCCGGCCGTCTCTCACCCCCCGCGCGCCATCAAACACTTACGCTCCAGCGCGGAAACCGAACGCGCTGGCCGAGGTCGCGAAGCAACAGCGCGGCCACCGATCCTCCAGCGCGAACCGTACCAGCACGCGCAAGCAGCTCGGGCATCACAGCAGCAACAAGCAGCAGCAACAACAATTACAGTCAAAAGACAAGCACGACGCTATGAGCCACGTTCCGCGCGCGACAGACGACTTTGAAGCGCAGCAGCGGTTTTACCTGCGCAAGATGCGCGACGACCTCGATGACGAGTATTACACGCGGGGCATCACGCAGCCGAACTACTCCGACTCCGAGGACGAGACGCCGACGACAGAGGTGCCTGTCCGAGGCGCTTTCCGCCCCGATCTGTTCGACTCCGATCTACCGTCGACGCCGAGCCGTGAGCGGCCGTCACTGGACGAGTTGCAGAATCCCAAGAACCGGGAGCGGCTTGAATGGCAGGCGATGCTCACCGCGGTCTTGACCGGCGAGGTTGTGAGGTCTGAGAAGCGGAAGCTGCAGACCGGTCAGAAGCCTGCGAAAGCGCTGTCAAAGAACGAGACATGGCTTGAGATCCGCGCAAAGGTCTGCGGCAGGTCGCTTGCTCTGCAGCGAAAGATCATCGAGGACCTGCGCAAGGAAGTCGACCATGTGCTCGATCGGTTCATGACGTTTCAGATCCAGGGCCGGGACGAGTGTCCGGACTCGCCCGAGGACCAGATCAAAAACATGTTGATCAAGCTCGATAAATGCGAAAGTCTGTGGCCGAGCACAGCCGCGATGGCTAAAGATAAGCCGATTGCCAAATCGCCAGAGTTTATCCGCCGATGCGAGGCGCTGATTTCGTGGGTCACAATCTCGGATAGTATCCACTCGCAGATCGAAGCGCTGAAGAAGTGGACTGGCGACGACGACCTCGACATGACGCGGACGACGTATGTCGATAACGGGAACGGAAACATTACCGAGAACGAGCCATTCATCGAGCGCTTGTTTAAGGAGTCTGACATCGGCGAGCTTTTCCAGACCAAGATCCTCGCCGTCCTCGGACCGCTGATTGTCAAAGCCAAGACGACGACGATCGAGCAAGGACAGATGTTTGCCGAGATGCATCTGCCGTCGTACCTCGAAGAGGTGCTGATCTTACTCAACTTCCCCACCCGTCTAATCCAGGAAATCATTCGCACGCGGCTATCGTTCTCGCGCAAGTTGAATCCGACAATGATGATCATCGACCAAATGATTGACGTCTACAAGGTCGCGATCCAGCAAGCCGTCGTAGTCAAGAACGACTACCTCGAGCTCTCTGCGCCCGAAGAAGGATGGGAGCTTCCGACCGTCATTGACGAGAACTTTGACAGCACTTTCCTCGAGGGTCTAAGTTTCTACATTGAGCTTCTAAACCGAAAGTTGCTCGGAAACGCGCGGTCAAAGAAAACGACCAAGAGTTTCCGCGAGTCGGAGTTTGTGGAAGGCGAGTGGAATTTCTTGAAGGAGATTGGCGCGCTCGTCGAAGGTGCGGATCTCGAGATTGCAGAGCAGGTGACTATGCTTACGGGCAAAGTGCTCGCGCGCTTGATGTCGCATTTCGAAAAGCAGCTCAAGGGGCCGGCGACTATAAACACAAACGAGCTTATGAAGCTGTATACGGGCACGATCGAGCATGTGCAGGGGTTTTTCCGCAAGCTCATGCGTTTCTCCAGGTACCACCTCCACTTCTTTGCATCAATAGTTCTTTCTTTTTCTACTAACGACCCTGCAAACAACTGGAGAGTCGGTTTGAGACTGCGGCCGAGTACGCTTTCGACTACAGCCAGCTTCCGAGTATACTAGACGATCTGAAGGCTACCGGGCACGTGCTGGTCAACTTCTCGGCGCTCGAGGAGAGTGGAATATATCTCTTCGCCGACCCGTCGATGGACGAGCGCAAGCTCAAAGATACGGTCCGGCCGTTTTCGCGAATGGAGCTCGCAGACAATGACATGTCGTTTTCGTACGTGGTCGTCTTCTGCTGCAGCGAGCCGCCACAATGGTCAGGTCCGGAGATGTCGGCCGAGATATTACCGGTACCCTTAGATCTCCGCCCCGGCCGGCTTCGGATTGTTGCCGACGGGTCTGGTCCGAGACTTCTGGCGGCGCGGAGCAAGTTCATGCGGGCGACGGATAACGTGTGTCAGATCTTGACTGAGCAGCGGTCGAATTTCCCGCTGATTGACCGGGAACTGACGCGGATGCGGAAGAACTTTTACAAGCTCGCGATGCTGATTATCTCGTCTGTGGATATCGTGCGGTCGCAGTGCAAGGGCCATGGCTGTCAGGATCTTGTGAATCAGTTTTTCATCTTTGCGCGCGACGTCGGCACGCGGGCGATGAAGTATCTAGACTCGAACCGGCGGGCGGCGTGTGCGCTGAAGCTTGTCTATCTGAGCATCAACTGGGTGAGTTTTGTGTGCGACGACTGTCTGGCGTCGGAGAAGCGGACGTTTCAGTTTTCTGTCAACGCGCTCGAGTTTGCGATGGAGATGACGCGCGGGGTGAATATTCTTGCCATCAGCGACGAGGACTTTTCGCGGCTGCGGGTAAAAGTCGCGGGGTGCATGACGCTCTTGGTGTCGCACTTTGACATCATGGGAGCGCGGTCGAGTCTTGCGGCGGCGCTGGAGCAGAAGAAGCAGGAGAAGGCGATTGCGCCGTTGAACGATGACGACAAAGACGACGATGTGGCGATCAAGGTCGTGAGCGGGATACGCACCGAGCAGCTTGTCAAGATCGAGGACGCGCGAAGGCTGCGGCAGGAAGAGCAGCGGAGTGTGGGTAAGGTGCTCGATGATAGCAATGTGGAGACGCAGTACCTCATGTTTTTGTCGTCGTCGCTGTCGAATGTTTCGATCCGGTGGCAGCAGGGCCGGTTTATTGGCGGTGGAACGTTTGGCAGTGTGTATGCGGCGATCAATCTCGAGACTGGGGACGTGATGGCGGTCAAGGAGATCCGTCTGCAGGACTCGCAATCGATCCGGCATATCGTGAAATCGATCAAGGACGAGATGACGGTGCTCGAGATGCTGAGTCATCCGAATATCGTGCAGTACTTTGGCGTGGAAGTGCATCAGGAGAAGGTGTTTATTTTCATGGAGTACTGTCAGGGAGGGTCGCTTGCGAGTCTGTTGGAGCATGGCCGGATTGAGGATGAGACTGTTAGTCAGGTTTATGCTTTGCAGATGCTGGAGGGTCTTGCGTATCTTCACGAGGCTGGTATTGTGCATCGTGATATCAAGCCAGAGAGTGAGTGCAGCTATTTATTCACAAGGTCAGCAGTATACTAACGAATTCTATAGACATCCTACTCGACCACATGGGCGTGATCAAATTCGTCGATTTCGGCGCCGCCAAGGTGATTGCGCAAAAGGGCAAGACGCGCGCGAGCGGAATGACGGTGCAGACGAAGCTCAACAGTATGACGGGCACGCCGATGTACATGTCGCCGGAGGTGATTACGGGCGCCGGATCGGGCCGGCATGGAAGTCTTGATATCTGGTCGATGGGATGCTGCGTGCTTGAGATGGCTACCGGACGGCGGCCGTGGGCGAATTTGGATAACGAGTGGGCGGTATGTTTTCCATTTCGTTGTATGAAGTGAGGAAGAAAGAAGTGCTAACGACGGTTACTTTAGATCATGTACCATATCGCAGCCGGTCACCAACCAACTCTTCCGACAAACGACCAAATGAGCGAACTAGGCCAACAATTCCTGACGCGCTGTTTCGAGCGCGACCCCGAGCTGCGCGCGTCGGCGATCGAGCTGCTGGATGATCCGTGGATCAGGTCGATAAAGATGGAGGCGCTGAGTGATGTGCAGACGCCGTCGACGGATAGCGAGTCGTCGATGAGGTCGATTAGTAGTTAGTGTGTGTTTTTTGCGTGTGTTTTGTTAGTTTAATGTTTTGGTTGGATTTTGTCATTGTAGTAATTGTAGTCAGTCTTCTGTTTGTCTTGTTGCTCTTCTCTTCTTGTGTTTAGTTTCTCTCTTAATACGACAGCTACTCCATTCTCTACACACACACACAAAACCACCACCACCTCGCCCCCCGCTCAAATTCAGAAAACAACAATCCAAAACCCATTTTTTTCCAGGTTTTCCAGCAGCATCTCCCGGATCCGCCTGCCCATCTCCCGTGGTTGGTTGCGCGCCTACAAACCAGGGCCTCCTCGACCACCGCCCGAATCGCTGTGGCTCATCAGCCCGGTTTTCTGGATTTTTGATGCGCTGCGGGTTAGTTAAGGTGCAGGCGGTTGGGTAAATGTCATGTGATGTGTTTAGTAAGATATTAGGTGATATTTGATGGACCCACCCACGTGCTTCGATGCTTGGGCGAAAGGATGAACACCGAGCGCTGGTTTGATGCGAAGTCGAAGAGCACCGTCTTTTCTCTTTTCTTTCTGTTTAAAAGAAGGGAAAGGCCTGTTTCTGTTCTTTCTTCTGTTCAGTCGTAAACAGAATCTGACAAAACACACATTGACAATGTCCGCGCCTTCGACAACCACCGAGACCACAGAGGCAGCAGCAGCACCTGCTCCTCCCAAGGCCCTCGAAATCCGACCTCTGCAGCCCACAGACTTCGGCCCGACCGTCGACCTCGTGAGCGAAGCCTACCTGCACCGCCGGAGTCTGGCAAACATCTACATCTTCCGGCACCCCTACTTCTTCGCCTCGATCATCCCGCTGCTCGCGTTCATCTTTGGCCGGTACTCCATCGTCACCGATCTCGGAAACGTCATGCTGCTCTCGATCGGGCTTGTGATGGCGGTCATGTCGCTCTTTGCGCGCATCACCGACCCGTTGAAAGAGATGGCAAAGAGTATCGTCAAGGGCGACTTTCTCTCCCTCTCAGACACCGCGCTCGTCGCAAACTACGGCGAACAAGTCATCGGCGTCGTGTCGCTGAAGTACGTTAATCTCGCGGACTACAACTCGGCAGTGCAAGATGGCGGCAGCGGCAAGATCCTCGAAGGTCCCGCTGGCGTCGCGCCCTCGGCCGAGTCTGACGTGTCTTCCAAGCGAAGCTCGACGACAACCAGCAAGAAATCAAAAAAGGACAAAGACGCGCGCCACGCAATCATCACCTCCTGGACCGTCGTCAGACGCTACCGCCACGTCGGTCTCGGCTCCGACCTGATCGGCCAGGCACTCGAGGTCGCGAAGAAAGACGGAATTGAGAGTTTACTGATCCAGTGCTTGTCGCTTGAGAAAGAGGCGGCAAAGTCGTTGCGCAGAAACGGATTTGAGCTCGTTAGTAGCGCAAAGTTGCCGGGTGGGTTGGGAAGATTGGGTATTCGCACGGATACTTATGCTATCGACGTCAAGGGGTGGGCGAAGGCGGCCGCTAAGAGTAAATAATGTACATACGGAGTTCTGTTTCTCTCTTGTTTGATTTGGTTCGGTCGATGGAAGTCAAAAGCTGTACATACTCAACTACATAGTAATCTAATGTCTAATACTTCCTCAATATTTTCTATCTTTGGCTCTATTATTACAACTCTAACAAAACAAACTGCTTATACAATCAAAGTCTATAAACAAACACCCTCTACTCCTTACAGAGGCGTGATGTCGCGACCAAACAACCCTCTCGTCAACCAATCCATAAACAACAACGCGCGCGTCCGGAAACTCACGCTCTGCGCAAAATACACGGACCGCCAGAGATACACCGCCACCAGCCCGCCGACGAGCGAGTACCCGTTGAAGTCAAACACGGCCGCGTTGCCGACATACGCAAGACTGCCGAGGTGGTGGTACGCAAACGGGCGGTGCACGAGGTCGTCGATGTCCTTGTTCACAACCTCGTCCATCGCAAGCGACTCCTGCGCGCGCGCAAGCTTGGTGAATTTCCGGCCGAGGTAGATGCCCTGCTGGTTCGCGCGTTGCGCGGTCGCGGGAAGCGAAGTTACCTTGCTGTCGATGTTCTTCAGAAGCGCAGTCAGCTCGGCAAACGCGAGCGTGCCGGAGTGGTCCTGGTCAAACTCGGTGAAGAGCGAGTCCACTCGTCGGAGATGCTCCGACGCCTGCGGAAACCGCCGCTTGATGTTTTGCGCGATATCTCGCCACTGCTGGAAGGTGATCTCGTAGTTCTCGATCGAGACGTTCGCCTTGACCGCGTACGTCTTCAGAAACTCGACAATGTGCTCGGTGATGTTTGTGCGCACGGTCGAGCAGTCGCCGATCGCGTAGACCTCGCCCAGCGGCGCGCCCAGGACGCGCAAGTGCGTGTCGGTCTCGATCGCGCGCTTGTTGCGCTGATGGCCAGGTAAGCTCGCAGCAATATCTTTTGTGATGTCGCAGAGCGTGACGCCAGTCGACCAGAGACACATTCCGCACGGCAGCTCCTTGTTCTCGGCCACGCCGTCTGCGTTCTTTTGGCTGAAAATCACACGGTCGGGTTCGACACTCTTCACGCGCGCGTTGGTCAGCACGTCGATCGAGTCGTTGATGAACCGTTCCTGTGCATATTGACTGATCTTTTCATCGTACGTGTTGAGGATGTGGCCTTGCGACTGGACAATGTGGACAGAGACTAGGTTGCGAAGCAGCTTGGGGTAGGTATTACACAGATCCTCGTTCAAGAAATCGTAGAGCTCGGCAGCAAACTCAACACCGGTCGGACCGCCTCCACAGACGACAAAGCTGAGCAACCGCTTGCGTTCATCTTCAGAAGTTCCCGGAAGACAAGCCAGTTCGAGATTGCGGAAGACCTTTTCGCGCACGAGACGCGCGTCTTCGATCGTCTTGAGGAAGTTGCAGTATTCGAGACCGTTGACGCCGTGGGAGTTTGTCTGCGAACCAACCGCAACCACAAGTTTGTCGTAGGGAACGTAAAAGTCACGCGAGGAGCCGTCGGGGAGGTGCTGTTTGACTTCGACGAGGCGGTCTTGGAATTCGACTTTTTCGGCAGAGGCTTCAATGTAGTGACCGTTGACGCTGGCAACGATGCGGCGAATCGGTTCAACCAGGGATCTAGAATATGCTTAGCATTCAACTTCCGGAATATATTTGGGAAAATGAAGGAAAATTACCTGAACTCGAGGGTTCCAACAGTGGCAGATGGGAGCATAGGAGTGAAAAGGAAATGGTTCCGGGGGGAGATCACGGTGATGTGATAGTCGTTAGGATTGACATTCTTGACCAAACCAACAGCCTAAACCACAACAGTCAGCCAAGAGACTCTTAAGAGATAGAAGGATCAAATAGTACGTACGCCCCAGCCGGATCCGAGGATGACGAGACGCGGCTTGTGACTGGAGATCTTCTTTGCCTCGCACTCTTCGTCGTCGAGATAGCTTTCGAGGATAGGAAGGTTCTTAGGTCCACCGATGTTTGGGTTAAGAGCCAGCAAGGATACTTCAACATCCTCGGCGTCGTCGAGTTCTTTGTAGGTCGAGGCGTCGTAGAGGAAGAAGGCGGCGATAAGCAAGAAGATCGTCGAGACGCCTGCGCCGAGGAGGTAGACGACGAAGGAGGTGAAGCGCCAGAACCGGCTCTTTGCTTTCGGCGTGGGAACGGCAGAGCTGATTCCGGCGGCCACCACCGCCGGCGGGACGGGTGCGGCCGAGGGGGTCTTTGAGTCTGAGGCTTTAGCGGGATCGGAGGATGGCGGCTCGGAGGGAGAGGCGGAAGCCGGGGTCGAGGAGAGGAAGCGGCGGGCGAGGATGTGTGATTGGTATTGAGCGAGAGAGGGCGGAGACGAGCGTCGGTTGGATGAGGAGATGAATTGAGTGGAAAGAGGTCTTGCGGATGCGAGGGGGGCGACGGAGACGGGCGAGGAGGGGTGGTGGAGGAAGGCGAGGGCGCCGGGAGCGACCGGCCTGGCCCGGGAGAGGGCCAGGGGCAGGCGGAGGAGGGACAAGGTGGCTCGAGATGCCATGGAGGGAGGAGGGGAGGAGTAGAAGAGGGAGAAGGAGAGAATAGAGGAAGACAATGGATGGAGTAGAGAAGAGAAGAAGAGCAGGCGACGAGCGAGTTGTTTTATGTTTCGGTCCCGGTGAAGGCGGCTGCCGGGCGGCGGCCACTTTCGTCATCTTCGCGGGTTCCCAGCCAGCGAGCGACGAGCACAAGCACTTCGAGCACAGGCCAATGCTTCCGTCCTTCTCCGGGTCCGTTTCTGTTTCTTGACTCGCAGGCTGTTCTGCTCTTCTTCTGCCGCCGGTTCCGGGATTGTTGTTGTTGTTGTTGTTGTTGTTGTTGTAGCTGTAGAACTGACAATATGCTATCTATGTGCCGGGCATATCCGATAAGAGTACTGCTATCTGACAATCTATTAAATGCTTATAACTAATAGCCATCCTCATTGCATCCCTGTTGTCTCTCCAGACAACTCCTCCTGCTCAACCACCAGCCCACCTACGCCGCCTATCTTTAGCACTTCACGTAGTCAACAGCCCGGGTCAGCTCCATTATATGCACCATTGCGTAGCTCTAAACCTTCTCTTCTCCCTCTCACTCCTCCGGCGCTCCTCGTCCGCTGTCCTGCTTCTTCGTTCGCCGTCTCCTCTCGTCCAACAGACTCTTCATCGCCGTCGTCTCCTTAAACTGCGGCTTCGACGGGTCAATCGCAAACTCGTGGTGCTCAAACACTGCGCTGAACCGCGGATCCTCGACATTGATCTTAAACTCATCCGCCGCCGCCGCTCCTCCCGAACCCTCCTTCTCCCTCCGCCGCACCTTCTTGTTCTTCTTCTGCTTCTCGGCCTTGATGATCTCCCGCATGTCAAAGTGCTTCAAATTGCTCTCCTCGTCCTCGCCCATCATCAGCAGCTCGAGCTCCGCCTTCCGCCGCTCCTCCTCCGCCTGCTCTTCCTTCGTCTTCTTCACCGCCTTCTTCTTACCCTTCTTATCCTTCTTGCCCTTCGCCGCCTCAATCTCTGAATCATCATCTGCTGATTCCTCTGCAACACCCGCGCTATCCTTGTTGCGCTCCATGCGCTTCTGCCGTCGCTCGCGCTCCTTGCGCTTGTACTTCTCAATCGTAGACTCCTCAACCTGCGCCGGCTCGGCCTCCGCCTCCGTCGTCAGACCTGGCGTGAACGTAACCTCCATATCGACCTCGTCCTTCGAGTCAAACCCGGAATTGTCCTTACTCTCCAGCAGCAGCGCACGGTACTTCTCCCTCAACTTATCCTTATCCTCTCCCTCGCCAAACTCGTCTTCCCCGTCCTCGCTATCGCTGGCCACATATGCCTTAAAATCCATCTCCTCAATCTCGCGACGACTAAACGCCCGCCGCGCAAACTGCAGCCGCTCGTTCGGCGTCTCGTCCCACGTCAGCTTGACTTTCGAGTGCTGCAGCGCGTCCGTGACGAAGTCATTTGGTCGGTAGACCGAGGGGAGTTTTGTGCACACTTCCTTCGGCTTGTCGTCGAACTCGACGCCGTCGGGGATGTAGCGCAGGTCAAAGAAATTCGCCGTGCTTTCGTATTCCGTTCCGTCGCAGCCGTCGTAGATCCTGCGCGCCGCCGAGACAGAGTCGCAGACAATCACTGCATAGTAGTATCTACACCCATCGTTAGCCAGTCATCAATCTAGTCTGCAGCATCAGTTGAACATACCGAAGTCGCTGGAGCTGATACTTGCGCAGCTTGGATCCGTCAAAGTCCTCGCCCGTATCTTCCTTGACGATATTCTTCTCTGTGATTTCCTCATCCTCGATCTCGTCCTCGTCATCCCCAGCCACGACCTTTGATCCCTTCTTGAAAATCTCCGTAGGCGGTCCTTCGATCTCCTCGCGCGCCATCCGCTCTTTGCCAAACTCACTCGGATAAATAGTCACCGAAAGAACCTTACCCGGGTGCGCAAAGCTCGCAAACGCAACCATCAAGTCCTCGGCGCGGATGTTGTCCCAGTCCATGTTCACGGCCGCGATGCGCGAGGACTCGTCGCCGCGCGGAATCGACTCTTCCTGCGTCGTGCTTTCAAACACGTCTTCTTCCTCATCGACTTCTTCGTCCGTCTCTTCTTCGTCGGATGAGGACTCGAGGCCTTCGCCACGAGCTGGATCAAATCCCTTCTCAAGCACTGCTCCAATCCCGCTCGCATCCTCCTCCTCCTCCTCATCCTCATCCTCCACCACCACCTCCTCCTCCTCCTCATCACTATCCTCCATCCGGTAATACTTCTTCAACTCCGTCTTCGCCACATCCTTATCCACCTTCCGTCCATACCGATCCACAACCCGTTTCTGCGTAAACTCCTTGTCGGTCTTCAACCGGTCCTTGAACCGGCTGTCGAGCTCGATCTTCTTGTCCTTCCGCTTCGGCTGCGCAAATCGCGGGTCCGAGTGCACCACCGAGAAACGCGGGTCCGTCGTGATTGGTTTCTTGGGACGGTCGCCGCCTCCGTCTTTCGCTGTTGATTTCCGCTTCACCATTGCTTTTTGAGTAGTTTAGTGTGGGAATACTGGTGTGTAGCAGAAAAGCAGTGGTTATGATGAATTTCCCTCGTTTGTAATTTTTTTTCCTTTGGGAGTTTTTAAGGTTTAAAGCCGCTGCGAGGGTCAAGATGACTTCATCGTCGCTCTGAAAATTTCCACATAATTCCCACACGTTTAGTTCGCCAACTGCCGTCGTAGACTTGCATACGTTGCTGTATTTATAGCGGATCTGTTGAGAAAAGTCTGAAAAGTCATGGGAAGTGTGTTTTTACCGCATCTTAGGACTGGGTGGTACGTTTGCTGCGGATTGGAGGAGGGTTTGTGGACTGGTTACTGACTGCTCTTGATATTCAGGCACGTCGACCAAGCTATTCTGTCTGGTATTCTACCATCTCTGCTATTATAATGAACGGAAATTATGGGACTTACTAACGCAAATATCACAGAGGAGGAGAGATTAGTCGTCATCCGCTTCGGACGAGATCATGTGCGTATCCCTCCTTAGCACTCAGCACATCTCAAGAGCAGCTACTGACACACCCCCAGGACGAACAATGCATGCTCATGGACGAGCTGCTGTACCGGATTGCCGACCGAGTCAAGAACTTTGCGGTGATTTACGTGTGCGATAATCAGGAGGTGCCTGATTTCAACAAGGTGTGTACTGTGATCGGTGCGGGTTGTAGAAGTGGGTGCTAATCAGATTATGATGCAGATGTACGAGCTATACGATCCTTGCACGATTATGTTCTTCTTCAGGAACAAGCATATGGTATGTCCTCTCCCAGTCAGAAATATCTCTCTTCGTTCGTGGCTTCATCAGGCACAGCAAAGCTTTCCTCATCCACTCGACTAACTTCTCTCTTACAGATGTGTGATTTTGGCACCGGAAACAACAACAAACTGAACTGGGTGCTCGACGACAAGCAAGAGCTTATTGATATCATCGAAGCAATCTACAAGGCGGCCAAGAAAGGTCGCGGTCTTGCTATAAGTCCAAAGGGTGTGTATTATCCTACCAATCACTACATGTCTTTTATACCTTTTATATCTGGAATATTTACAAGACACTGATACTGACTGCTACTCTCTAGATTACTCCACCAAATACCGATACTAGATAGTCCTCCAATGTTATGTATATTATTATTATCAACCTGCACCAGCATCGACCCTAAACCGACATGCGCGCTTTGTGCTGAAATAGAACCCAAAAACACCCAAACGAGATCATAAAACCACACGAGATCAAAGCACGCGTGGAATCGTAGATTATCGCAGTTCTAGACAACCAGGTCTTGCGACCTTGTCTGGACCTTGTTTTGCGATTTGCGGATCATCTAGAACTGACGCCTGTTGTTGTCTGTATCTATTTGCTCGCGGAAGATAGAATTTGGTTTTTTTCGGGCAGGCAAAAGTAGAATGAGAAGATGAGACCGCCGCCGTCTAGTTTTGATGATTATGACCCGGATGAGTGAGTGGTGTTAATTCTCATTGATTCATGTCGTTTTCAGAGTCTAAGATATGCGTTATCTAGTGCCGTGGCGAATTTGAAGGGATTTGGGAAAATATGGTATAAATGCAAGGAAATGCCAGCTATCCCAGTAGGCACGTCTCCCCCGCATCCAACACCACGACAAACACCACAGACTAACGACAACAACAGGCACGATAGCAACAATCTACGCACTAACGCGAGCCTCGATGGCGATCCAGAGAGGCTACTCTTTCCAAGCCAACCAGTACTTCTCGGCCCGCGTGATCTTCCAGGGCGTGACGATCGTGGCGTTGATCACGGGTTCGTATATGATTCACGGGTTTGACGGGAAGACGCGGTCGATGCGGAAACGGGAGCAGGATGTGAAACGGACGGTATGTTTAGTTTGCTGTGATTGGGGAGGTGGTTAGGTGAGTGGTGCTAATGTTGATGGCGGATAGGAGCGGTGGTTGGATGACCTTCGTAACAGGTAGCCGTGAGGTGGAGACTCAACCTTTTCATCTTTTATTCACATTTCGTTACATTTCATCTTTATTCTTCATGTTCTATTTTCTGATTATATCTAGAGAAAGTCCACTCTCTCAACTGTTATCTTAAGGCGCAACGGATTGGCACAGACACGGAATAAACGCACATCAGTCATCTTTTAGTAACGCACTACAACTACAATTGACTACAACTATAACCACATCTCAGAGCCTTCTCTCCTATCCATCTCCAAGCTCCATCACCCAGCGCCGGCTGCCGGCCTGCACACCTCAACCAGACCGAATTAAGAGCCGCGTTGCCGGCGCAGATTAGTCCGCAAACCGCTCACCGCAGCGCGCACGCATAACGAACGCACCGTTTCGCGTCCGCTGCGCTACCGGCATCCCCACCGCCATCCTCCTCGCTCTCGTCCGCAGCCTTAACCAACTCGAACCACGTCCATTGTTGCTCTGACCCATCCAACCTCCAGCTCTTTTCCAGCCCGACCGCCACCGGGTGTTGGCCGTGTAATTAACCGAAACAAGCTTTAGAGTCCGGTGCGGCTCATTGATATGACGTCAGCCGGAAACCTTCCTGATCTGCATTGATCTCGGCCCCGAACCACACCACCGTCCGCATCTCCTTTCCTGCTCTGCGCCATATATAACAGACTGCTCCATTCCTGCTCCTCCTGCTGCTTCTGCTCTTGATCATCATCATCGTCACTATCTCCATCCACTACTACTCACAATGGCCACAATCCCTCTCGGCACCTTCCTCTTCCAGCGCATCCACCAGCTGGGGATCGACAACATCGTCGGCTGCCCCGGTGACTTCAACATGACCCTCCTCGACCACATCTTCAACGTCGAGGGCCTCAACTGGATTGGCTTCTGCAACGAGCTCAACGCCGCCTACGCCGCCGACGGCTACGGCCGCACCCGCCACGGTCTCCCCGGCGTCGTCGTCACCACCTACGGCGTCGGCGAGCTCTCTGCGATCAACGGCGTCGGCGGCGCATTTGCCGAGCACGTCCCGCTCTTGCACATCGTCGGCACGCCTGCGCGTCCGGAGATGGAGTATAAGATGTGGATGCACCACACCATCCCGTCGTCGGCGGACTTTGATAATCCGGATCACCATGCGTACATGCGCATGAGCGCCCCCGTCAGGTGCTGCTCGGCTTTGCTGGATAATGTCGATACCCTGGCCTCTGAGATCGACCGCGTGCTCGAGACTATCTACCACCGATCTCTGCCGGGCTATATCTTTGTTCCTCTTGGTGAGTTTTCTTTCTGCTGTGCAAATCTCATCTACTCCATTGTCTAAAAGTCTAACTGATACACTCAGACATCGTCATGGCGCCGGTGCCAGTCTCCAAACTCGAGACCCCCGTCCGCCTCGCGGTCACGAACCCCGACCCCGAAGCCGACGACATGCTCGCGATCAAGATCCTCGACGCAATCTACGCGAGCAAGAAGCCCGTCATCCTGGCCGACATTCTCGCGCGCCGGCACATGTCGCGCAAACTCGTCATGGAGCTCGTCAACCAGACAAAGTTCCCTTCGTTCTCGACCGATCTCGCAAAGGGGTTCGTGGACGAGGATTCTCCGTATTTCGCCGGACAGTACAACGGCCGGCTGTCGCTGCCTGGTGTGGCAGAGGCGGTCGAGGACTCTGATCTTGTGCTCAACATCGGGCCGATCATTTCCGATTCAAACACGGGTGGCTTCACGCGGTTCATTGACGATAAGCATCTCATCATCCTCCACCCCGCGTACGTCAAGGTCTTTGACGAGCGCTACGACGACGTGCACTTTCTTCCTGTGCTGGAGAAACTGATGAAGCGACTCGATCCCTCGAAACTTCCCGCCGCGCGCTCAGTCGAGTCCTTAAACATCGGCGAGCCCGTGGAGGTCAAGTCCGCCGCCGACATCTCGACCTCTTATTTCTACCGCTACATCATGTCCAACTTCATCAAACCCTACGACAACGTCTTTGCCGAGTCCGGCACGGCGCAGTACGGCATCAACGACAGCAAGTTCCCGCACAGCGTCAACTTCACCACGCAGCTGTACTATTCCTCCATCGGCTTCGCGCTCCCCGCCGCGCTCGGCGCATGCATCGCGCAGCGCGAGATCGAGCAGCAAAACCTGGGACCGAAAGGCCGCGTCGTGTTGTTTGAAGGCGACGGAAGCTCGATGATGACGATCCAGGAGCTGGCGACGATAACCCGCAACGGCTTCTGTCCTACGATCTTTTTGATCAATAACTCCGGCTACACGATCGAGCGCGCGATCCACGGCCCGCACGCGCGATACAACGACATCTGTCCGGACTGGAAATACCTCGAGTTGTTCAAGACCTTTGGCGCGCCCGAGGACAGCTACTACTGCAAGAAAGTGAGTACGCGGGCGGAGCTCGAGAGCTTGATTGAGAGCGAGGAGTTCAAGGCTTGTGATGGTAAGAAGGCGCGGCTGATTGAGGTCGTGATGGATAAACTTGATATTCCGTGGCGGCTGTCGGCGCAGGTGAAGCAGATGAGCGAGCATACGAAGAAGTGGTTTTACGACTATAGCAAAAAGATGGGCGAGGAGCCGCGGGAGATTTAACTGCTTACAGACCTAAGAATTGATGTATCAAACTGCTGTAATTAATAATGCTTAACACCTGCTTATAATATAATATAAAGTTGAACCTATATCTTCCGAATCTCTACCTTGCATCGGTTCCAAATATCATGAGTCGTAGACGCCGTCTCGCCATCCCTCTCCTCCACATTCTGCAACGCCTGCGCGTCCATCCCCGCAATATCCACGACCGCATACGTCCCCGCCGCCTTCATCATCGTCAGCGGCCCGGGATTTATCGCCACGACGTTATCGACCACTTTTGCAAAATACCGCTGCGCGGAAGGTACAATCAGGATATCGGGCCGCGCGATGTTCATGTCTGCGAGACCGAGGTAGGAGACCTCGAGCGGGGTCGCGGGGTCGGATGGGAAGACGGGGTAGAGCGAGCGCTGGAGCATGAGATTACGCACGCCGCGAACCATCGCGCTGCGCTCGAATTCCTCGCCCTGCGAGCCAGGCGTGGAAGAAGCAGGGTTCGGCACTCGGACGATATGCTCGACCTTTGACATCTGCATCAGCACATCCACGTTCGCGATCGCGAGCACGCTCGAGTTCACGGCGACAAACGCCGGGTTCGAGAGCCACTTTGCGCGCCGGGGCAGGCCGAGCTGTTTCTTCGTCTCCGCGCCGCCGGTCACGGGCGGGACCGGGAACGAGAGATGGCGCTGGACGGCTTCGCGCGCGCCGCAGTCGGGCACGAGCAGGATCTGGCAGTTTGGCGAGGCGGCTTCGAGACGGCGCAGGTGCTGCGAGACGCAGGTGCGGAAGAGGTCTTCGAGGGTTGCGATGCCTTGCGCGGGTAACGCGGCCGGGTCGTTTAGACGCGGATGGAGGACGTCGACGAACGGGCCGAGAAGGACGACGACGTCGACGTTGCTGCTGATTGCGGAATCGACCAGTGCCGCCAACGGCGCAAACTCGAGGTTATCCTGCGTCGTGAACGGGCCCTTGGCGACCATCATCCGCGTCGGGCCGCTGGCGGTCGTGCGCAGCGTCGAGATCGGCGAGACGGGGTATGCGAGTTCGGGCATTTTGAGGATCGCCTTGACGACGAATTCGGAGCCTGAAGGGTTGCTGCCTCGCAGCGCGACTATTTGGCCCGGAAAGAAACTCACGGGGCCGGACATCGTGATTGCCGCGCTCGCGTCGCTACTGCTGCTGCTGCTGCTGCTGGCGGGTGAAAGAGCGAATTTGAGAGGGACGCGCACGCCAGATCCCATTCTGCGCGAACACTCGAGCAACATCGATTTCTCATTCAACCGCGCCGAGTCCGCGGCATGCACAGAGTCGCTCACGATCCGCCCGACTACCACGACGTCCTCGTGCGAGACCGCGTTCGGGCTCGCGAGCCGCTCAATCGCTGCCAGCAGCACCGGATCTTCGCACTTCTTGTCGCCGCCAAGCAACTGCTCGCGTAGATGCGTCTGCACGAGCTCGCCAAAGGCTTCGATGCGCTCGTCGAGGAACTCGGAGGCTTCGAGGAGCGCTTGGCGCATGGTGCGGTATTGGTATTTCTTGGTGTCCATGAATGCGGTGATGCGCGCGCGGTCTTCGGGGATGCTGGGTTTGGAGATTTGGATTGCTGGGTTGAGTGTTTCCATGACGCGACCTGCGTCGGAGCGGGCGGCGAATGTTCTGTATAGAGTTGGCATGTAATGCAAGAATAGAAGTAGTCATGAGTAGAGAAGGAGGACTTACGTGTCAGATAGAGGTGAGCTCCGCAAAGGCGTGTGCGTCTGTCCATTTCCCGCAAACTTGCGCTTCAAAGGCGTAACCCCCCCAGCAACAGGACTACTACTCTGTCGATGCTGCTGCTGGTGCTGCTGCTGTTTCCTCTCCAAGTTCTCCTGCAGCTGTAATCTGAGATCCTCCAGCAACGTCTGCGACACCACGCCGGGGTCGATATTGCGCTCGATCTGGAAGGACTCGATTTTGTAGTAGAGCTCGAGGGGAGAGAGCGAGAATGACTTTTGCAGAGTCGCGCACGACGAGGCGAGGTCGGGCGCGAGGGAGGAGTAGAAACTCGCGGATTGCGCGTCGGAGACTGATGGCATGTTCTGTATATATAAGTGTGGGTGAGTGAGTGGGAGAGTGTTTGGGCAGGAAGGTCGGGAGGAGTTGGCGATAACGAGGAGGCAGACGCGACGCGTGGTGGGAAGCTTGAACGCGTTGACAGCAGACTGGGAGATTTTGGGGTTTGTACTTTACATCTACGCACTTTACATTATTGATTGCTATCCTTCATTCAATAGCAGTTGTGCTGATCAGAGGTGTTGCTGGTGTATTTTGATTGTAGATTATAATTTGAAAGTAAACAAAAAACGCCGGGGGACTTTAGATATACAAATGATACAAAAGCAAACAAAGCAAACGCAAAGATATAAAGAACAAATGAGCTCATCGGGCTTCTCTTCCAATCATCTCAATCCAATTCTAGATCATAGTTGAGACTGAAGATTGTCTTGCTAAATGCAGTACTAGACTAAAGATGAAAGAGAAAGGGAGTGCGATTACATGTTGTAATAAAACGACTTGTTCTTCTGCACGATATCGACCATCGCATTCACATTGTCCAAATCTATCAGAATGATCGTCAGCATGACATATAATACAATCGAGCAAACAGCAAAAGAAGTACTCACTGCCCTGCGTGCCGTGGTTGACACCATCAAGTGCCTTGATTGAAAGATCTGCGTTGACTCTGCCAGTGACCTCAAAGATCTCTCCTTCGTTGAAGACGATATCCTGCAGAGCCGTGTTAGCAAATACTACCTCCCACAACAGCAGAAACATCCCCATCCTCGACCAAACAACAAACAAATCTTCATACCCTGGTCCCGAAAACCGTGACAGAGCCCGCGGAATCAAGAACGGCAGACTCGCCACTGACCTGCGTAACGCGGCCCACTAGCCGCACAACGCGGTCCACGAACGGCTTCAGATACTGTGCGTTCACGCGCGGACAGATTCCTTCTGTGCTCATTTTTGGTGTAGAGTTGGTTATCGGCGTAGGATGCAGGTGCGGGATAGGCGCAGTTGTTGATGATGTTGAGTGGGTTGACGCGTGCGGGACGCGACGGAGAGTTGGTTGCGCGTTTGGTACGAGACCCGAGGTGGTTACAGAATGCTTTCTATTTCTTACATACAATACGCAGCTTTTCCAGATTATAGCTCAATTACGTTTATCAGTAGAAATACATTATAATATACAAACGCCATGCAACTCCGTGGTTCCTGTAGTGTCAATGCAAAGGGCAAAATAGAAAAAAAAGAGAAATAAAGGCAGCTAGGAAGACTCCTCGGGCAGATCGATCTTTCCGATTATTGGCTCGAGAGCTTTAGGAACCCATTCGGCGGCATCTCCCTTGAAAACCCACTTCATACGCTCCGAATCCGGAAGGCCGACTAAGCTCTCTTCATCAGAATCAAGATCGTCGACATCGATGTTGAAGATGGCGACCTTGCCGTTCTGCGCGCGCACGCGGTCGACGTAGCTGGCGGCGGGGTAGACGGAGCCGCTGGTGCCGATGACGAGGATGAGATCGACCTTGCCCTGGTCGAAGAATGCGTCGGCGGCGCGGATGACGTCGTATGGTAGGGGCTCGCCGAACCAGACGACGCCGGGACGGAGCAGGCCGGTGCGGCACTGGGGACAGTGTGGCAGGTCCGCGCTCGGGATGTATGCGTGGCTTTCGGGGTTTGCGAGGGCGGGCGTGAGCGGGTGGGTGGTGTTGTTTGATTCGGAGTGGTCGCAGTAGAAGGAGGTGCATTTGAGATCAAAGAGGCTGCCGTGGAGGTGGAGGAGTTGGTCGAGCGGGTGGTTTGCGCGGACGGAGAGGCCGTCGACGTTTTGCGTGAGGGTGAGGAATTGGCTGTTGCAGCGGGCGAGCTCGGCGAGTGCGTAGTGGGCTTTGTTTGGTCTGGCTTGGAGAGCAGCGGCGCGGCGGGCGGAGTAGAATTGCCAGACGAGCGAGGGATCAGAGGCGAAGGCGTCAGGAGTGGCGAGGTCCATTGCGTCATGGTTGCGCCAGAGGCCGCCTGCGCCGCGGAAAGTGGGCAGGCCGGAGGATGCGGAGAGACCTGCGCCGACTGAAATATATAGAGAGAGTAAGTAGGTGGAAGTGAAGAAGAGAGGAGGAGAGAGAGGAGAGAGGGAAGAGGAAGTTACCAAGGGCGAGGATGCGCGAAGAGGAGCGCAGACAGGAGTGGAAGGAGGCGAGGTCTGCGGCCATGTCGATGAATCTGGGCGGGTCCGGATCTGCAGCGTCCGAACGAGAGAGAACGGAGGGCATTGTTGCCTGGCAGATTAAAGATAGAGGATAAGTAGAAGATAGAAGATATCCGATATGAAGTAAACCAGAAAGAGAAGCACAGGACTAAGCACTTACTAAGCACACGTCAGTTGACGTCATCGGTGGGCAGAAGCTCAGGGCCGCCTCGCACCGGCTCAATGGTCGCAGTCGCTTCTTCTTCTTCTTCTTCTCTGCCAAAGCCCCCATCCGCCCTCCTCCTCTCCCCGCCCCCGTCCTGCGCCTGCTCCTCTCCTCCACACCCTCGATCGCTCTCTGTCGTCTGGCTATTACCAATGGACGCCCTACGCAAAGCCGAAGCAGACGGCATTATCGACCTCACTATCTTTGAGCAGATTCTAGAGATGGACGATGACGAGGATCACGAGTTCAGCATAGAAATCATCAATTCCTTCTACGACCAGGCCGAGACCACTTTTGGCGATATGGATAAGGCAATGTATGTCCTTTAGTTCTGTTTTACCCTTCTTCTTTCTCTTGTTCTGTCATTCTCTCCTTCTCTCCGCATCTTTCCCTCCCCTCCTCTATCTCATTGTTCGTCTTGGCTCACCTCACCTCCCCCCTCCAGAGAAAAGAAAGACATCGCAGAACTATCCCAGCTCGGCCACTTCCTCAAAGGCTCTTCCGCTGCCGTCGGCGTCGTCCGCGTCAAAGACATCTGCGAGAAAATCCAGAACCTCGGCCACCAGCTCGACGAGTCGGGCAAGAAGCCAATCGAAGTCGACACCGCTCTCGAAGCCATCACAAAACTCCTGCCCGAGGTCAAAGAAGAGTATCAAAAGTGCAAGATTGTTCTCAAAGAGTTCTACAGCCAATACGTCTGATACCTCTTCTCTTCTCCTCCTCTCTTCCTCCTGGCGCACTTCCCCGCCATCCGTCAGCCTTCCTCTCTCCCCCTCTCCTCTCCTCATCATCACCTCCCTCTCAGATGAACACATCCACCGCGCACTCCGGCTCGACAGCTTTCTCACCGAATGCCCAGTATCTTCCTTCCAGAACTACTCCATGCCTCCTCACAGAACACATCTCCCGCGCTTTCATCTTTCCTCTTCCTCCTTCCATCCCAGCGCGCTGCACCCCCTCAGCCCCATCCAACCTATCATGACCACTTTTGTATCTCCTCTAATCGTCCTTAATCTTGTTTTCAAAGTCTCCGTGCCTTTATAACCCGTTTCATCCCCTCGCGTTCTCGTGTGCTTTGTCTGGTCTGATTGCTTTTTTCCTTCTCCTATTTCTTCTTACCTTCATCTCTTCTCTACCTATCTTCCACCTCTAATCTTTGTCTCCCTACTGCTTTTTGCTTATATTAAAAGTTTGCTGAGCGAGCGTCTCTTTTCCCTTTCTACTAGTGTTTGTTTTTTGTTTATCTGTTTGTTGTCCTGTTGTTCGTTGTCTATTGCGCACTCGGCTGCTGCCGGTTGTCACTTCCATCGCATTTCCAATCTCTTTTTTTATTCTATTTTGTCGCCATCTACTTAGAATTGTTTTTAACTCCAGCCATGATTCTACTATCTCTTTTCTTCTTGCTTCTCCATCTCTTCTTTCTTCATCCTCCTCATCCTCCTCATCCTCCTCTACTCTCCCCTCCCCTCCCCTCCCCTCCCCTCCCCTCCCTCTCCTCCCCTCCCTCTCCTCCTACCATCCACCGCTCCTCGTCAATAACCCACCGCTGTTCTCTCAGCCGACCGAAAAGATTCAGCCCCACCACAAACAATACAGAACGTAATCTGCCACAGCCACACTCCCAGCCACACGGGGCGCATACGTACAAGTCCGGGTAACATCAGTAAGCGAGTCTCCACTAATTATTGCCCTTTTCAGCTATCTCGGTCGGCCTCTGCGGTTTCTGTTTTTGTATTTGTCTTTCTTTTCTTCGCCGTTTATCGCATAACAGAAACAATGCCGTCGCCATCTGCGGCATCTCAGGACTCTACTCCTGCTGACCGATCCGAGATGTTCAACTGTCCCTCCTGCCACCGCGCAGTCCTCATCTCCAGCATCGACCAGCACCTCGACGGCAAATGTCGAACCCCCACCACCACCTCCTCCTCCTCCTCCGACGCGCCACAGCAGAAGCAGAAACCGCAAAATATAGCCTCGATTTTTGCAAAACCTGCAAAGCGGAAGACGAGCATCGAGAGTGGTCCTGCTCCGATCGACCTAGACCAAGATACCAACGACGCGTCCTCGACATCTGGCCCTGACGCGCCGGCTAAGAGACTTAAATCCGAACCAGGCCTCAGCACCCTCAGACACTCTTCTTCCTTCTCCGCCAAACAGCCACCATCTCAATCCTCCCCGAAACCCCCGCCAGCCAGCTCGACTTCCGAATCACCGCAGCCGCCGTCGCGTCGAGACGCAAGACGCGCCGCACTACCGCTCGCAGAGCGCGTCCGCCCTTCGTCGCTGGACGAGTTCGTCGGGCAGAAAAACGTGGTTGGCGAGAATGGAATCCTGCGCCGGTTTATCGAGACCGATAGTTGTCCGTCCATGATACTTTGGGGTCCTCCTGGCGTGGGCAAGACCACTCTTGCTCGTGTACGTCTTGAGTTATATATGTGCGATGAAGTAGCATGCTAACATCTTGTTCTTCTCTGCAGCTCATAACCGCGTCAACAAAGTCTCGGTTTGTCGAGTTATCAGCCACCTCGGCCTCGGTCGCAAAGTGCAAAGATGTCTTTGACGAAGCCCGAAACGAGTTACGGCTCACGCGCCGAAAAACGTATCTTTTTCTCGACGAGATTCATCGCTTCAACAGAGCCCAGCAGGATATCTTCCGTAAGATTACTCCCATACGGCTCGCATTCTGATTACGTTTTTATTCTAATAAGATTGATAGTACCATACATTGAAAGAGGGGACATCATGCTGATCGGAGCTACCACCGAAAACCCATCCTTCAAACTAAACTCAGCGCTCCTCTCGCGCTGTCGCACATTCACTCTGCAAAAGCTCTCGCAAGACGAGCTCTACACCATCGTCCGACGGATCTCGGTCTCTCTCGCAGCCGACTATAACCTCGACCTCTCATCATCTCCGTCTGGCGTGGTCACCGAGGACGCGCTCAGGTATCTCGCCGGTCTAGCTGACGGAGACGGTCGGTCGGCTATCAACCTTTTCGAACTCGTAGTCGCCTCCTCACTCCCCAACCCCTCCGCACACACGGCCCCTCCCACTCCGATCGAAGTCGACCAGCTCAAAAAGGACCTCCAGCGCTCGCACCTGCTGTACGACAGCAAAGGCGACGGCCACTACGACACCATCTCTGCTTTCCACAAATCCGTCCGCGGCTCGGACCCCGACGCCGCGCTCTACTACCTCGCGCGCATGCTCGAGGCCGGCGAACCACCAATGTACCTCGCGCGGCGCATGATGCGCATCGCGTCCGAGGACGTCGGGCTCGCGGACGACTCGTGTCTGCCGTTTGCGGTCGCGACCGCGGCCGCGGTGGAGAAAGTCGGGATGCCGGAGTGCGACGTGATTCTTGCGCACTGCGCGGTAAAACTCGCGACGGCGAAGAAATCCGTGCGTGTGTATAGAGCGTATAACGTGCTCAAGGATAGGTTCGCACACGACCCCGTATACCGCGCGGCGTCGGTGCCGATCCATCTCCGCAACGCGCCGACGAAGCTGATGAAGGAGATCGGGTATGGCAAGGAGTACAAGTATAACCCGAACTTTGCCGACGGGAAGGTCAAGCAGGAGTATCTGCCGCCGGAGATCCAGGGCACGCAGTTCTTGCAGGAGCTTGATCTTGGGGTTGAGCGCGATCCGGACCTCGAGCGCGAGGAGTACTTTTAGATGCAACCTCGCTTGGTGGTTTACTGATCGAGTAGACAAGTAATGAACATGTATATACTAACGTGCTATGTACAACCGAGCCTATTCCTCTTCAAAAAAACTCGTCTTCCTCATCCATCTCCTCGACGAACTGCGCCCTCAACGCCTCGTCGGCAACCACCTCTGCCATTTTATCCTTCAACGAATGCTTCAACAACTCTTCCTCCATATAACTCATGATCTCCTCCTGCGTGACCTCCGCCCGTCCACAGACCTGCGAGATCTCGGGATACAAAACACCATACGGATCCTTGAAATGCAAGCACACAAGCGTAGCCTTGACGATCGACAGCGGCAGCTCGAGCGGGCGTCCGTCGGCCGTCAGTTCGCTGACCATCAAACTCCACTCGGCGTCGAGAAAGTGCGACATCTGCTGCGTATCCTCCGACCGCGACACATTGACCGCGACGACCGCCCACAGCCACGCGTCGCGGTTCACGCCCGAAAGCGCGAGGTCGCGCCATTTTTTCCAAAATAGGTCGAAGCGCTGCGACTGCGCGAGCGCGTTGAGCGACATGACGATGTATGACGAGTTGACGACCGCGTCGGAGCGGATCACGAGCTTGTCGATTATCGCGATCCGCGGATCGATCGGGCGCCGGAGCAGGCCGATGTCCTGGTACTTGCCCTTGTTCATGGGCACTACGTCCGTTTCCTCGTCCACGGGCTTGTTGAAATTGAACTGCGTGCACGCGCGGTAGAGGATCGTGAGAATTTTAGTATCGCTGAGCAAGTCGTTCTCGAGGCTTGGGATCAGTCGTCCGACGGTACGAAAGTACCGGACGATGCTCGCGAACCTCTTCTCGTTAAACTTGGAAAACGTAGGTTGATCGAGAATCAGTCTGTTTCGGAGATAATTCGGTGTGAATTGTCCCGACTTTGCCAGGGTCGTGAGGCCGAGGTAGAAATCAGACATCGTGATGGGCACGCCACACGCGTACTGGCGTACCAAGTGCATCTGCAACTCTGAAAACGGCACTGAGTACGGGAACAGCGTGTGTGCTATTTGTAGGTACTCCAGTTGCCGGCGCCAGTGGATGTATGACAAGCCAAAGTCGGCGCTGGTCCGGGGCCAGATCTGAAGAGGATCGGGAAACTCGACGATCTTTGCCGGAGTGAACTCGTAACTCTCAGTTTCGAACCGCTTTGTTCTTACTTTGTCGTGCTCTGCATCTCCATCTTGTTGAAACTCCAGGAGCAGCGCGTTTGTATGTGAGGCTATAAGCAAGCTCTTAATGTCGTCTCCTTCGATAGTGAGGATCGTGTCACGAGGGACTAATTTAGCCAGTTCTTTCACTATCTCGGACTTTCCCGCAACACAGAGCTGGACAGCAACTTGCTTTAAGCTCTCAAGGTCAACCGAACTATCATACTTGCCGTGCTTGTGCTTCCAAAGTAGCTTTTTAGCAGTATGCCTTGCATCGACTATCAGTTGATTAAACTCCGCATCGTCATAGACTAACGGGTCGAATTGCACTGGCAGCGTATGATATTGCTCTGCTGACTCCGGCTCGGCTGTGCTGTACGATCGCTTGGCTGATGTATGATACCCTCGTCGAAAGATAAACGGATTCAGACGTTCTTCAGAAGTGTGGAAGCCTGGAGCAATCGGCCGCTGAGGCTTGTCTGTGTCCGCAGTGTAATACGTGTGCTCCGGCGACTCCGCCGGCATACTATCGTCAACCGGCACACCTCCCTTCGCCGCCCATTTGCGCGCAATCTTCCGGCTCGTGCGCTTCGACTGCCGATCTTTTGTCATCAAATTCGTACCGGCCTCGTCCTCGATCCGCTGATGCAGCCGCGGCATTTCGTGGCCCCACAGGCCCTCGAGGTCGAGCTCCCATCTTCGTTCGCCGGTGATGATGTGCACGTGGATGCCCTCGATACCGGTCTTTACGAACACCCACGAGTTTGAATTTTGTGACCGCAGGTCTTTCTCGTACGAGTTCATGTCACCCGTGTACCGCGACAGTTTTTTCTTGATTCGCCGCTCTTGCACCTTCATTCGCTCCTTGCCGACCAACCCCTCGATCCGCGGTTTCGAGCGAAACTCCCGCTTCAGATGGACTCTCAGTTCCTCCGCCGCACGGTTTAGATGTCTCTCGCTGCGCGCAGTGCAGACGACCATGATCGCGTCGTTTCCAAACACAGTCATCATGCTCCGCAGGTCAGAGACTGCCACTTCCTGTAATCCGAGATCGTCGATGACGTACTTGAGAATGCTTTCCAACTGTTTCGGAGAGTTCTTAGGCATCTCCGGCAGCGGCTCGACAACCTTTTCTTCCTGCTCCTTCATAGACTCTGCTGTTCGTAGATACCACGGTGTAGAGTCGATAAGCTGCTCCTCGGCCACCAGCTCACCGCCCTCTTCTGACACTTCCTCGGCCTCGTACTCGCCATCGTGCAAATGATACTCAACACCGCCCAAAACGTCTGTCTCGGTGGCATCGTATGTGACGGCATCCGGATCGAAATACGACGCCTCGTTGGATTCTAAAGCCGGTATAGGTCTTGTAAATTCATCGGGATCTATCGCCGGTGTGCTTTCGACGTCGATAACAAACTCTGAAGGGTGTTTGGGCAGCGAGTCTGGGCTTTGTTAGTTTTGGAACCTTCATCTCTCGAGGTCGACTCCGAACTCGAACCTGAGAGATAAGAAACAATAGAGAGGTCGCACTTACCAGAATATAGTACCCGACATGTACTCATTTTCCTTATTCTCTGCTCCACAGACATATCCTTATTCATTCCGCAAATCCGCGACGCCGACAGCGCAGCAAACATTCTCCTCCGGCTCTGAATCCCGGACCTGTTCGACAGCACGGCCGCGACGCGTCCATTCCCAGAGCGTACCCAGCATAGCGTAGAGCTCTGCTTTAATATCTGCGCGCAGTGTGCCATTGTTGTGCTGACGAGGGTGGTATGACTGTCGCTTCTGCTGGTGGGATGAAAGATGAGGCCTAGAACCTGGCGTTGCTGGCTATAGCTGGTGCGCCGCAATGTTCTGCCAACGACAACGAGAACTGTACAAGTGACAATATCCAGACAGCCAACTCTGAAATACGAGTCAGAATGGTGGAACTCCCGGTATAATGCTTCGCAGCACGAGATAGAGCGATATGGTGGCTCCGAAAGTCTCCCTGGGTTTTGGATTTTTTTCCTCCAAAAAGAAAAGCCTTCAAACTGGGCAGAGGGAGCATTGGGTTAGGTCTTCTACGACAAGCAGCTACAAATGCTACAGATAATCAGAGCCCAGACTTGGGCAGTTATGAAATATCGATTGATGTCTATATGTACGTTCGGTGTAGGTGGTTTATAGGCCCGTTGCCTTTCCCGAGCTGCAGGTCGTCGGCGATGGCGCCATGGACGTAGTCGATTGCTTCTTTGACTGCGTCCACGACGGTCATCTTCTTGGCGAGATTTGACGCGATTGCCGCTGCATCGTAGCAAATAGTCAGTAAATGGAGAAAGCAGAATAACAATGAGGAGACTTACAAGATAGAGTACAGCCCGTGCCGTGAGTATTTTTGGTGATGATAAATGGAGATTCAATGATCTCGTAGGTGCTTCCGTCGTATACTATATCAGCCACCACATCAGCGCTCGTAGCAGCCTGCTCTTTGACGCGCGTATAGCCATCGGTCGTCAACGGCAGATGTCCACCTTTGAGCAACACGTATTTCGGGCCCAGGTTATGCAGTTCCATCGCGAGCCGCTTAGCGTCTTCGAGCGAGTCGACGACGATATCGGTCCCGGTGGCTACTTTGTACAAAAACTGCGCTTCTTGGATGTTTGGTGTTATTATCGTCGCGATGGGGAAGAGGTGGGCGAGGTAGCCAGATACGGCGGAGTCGGGTAGTAACTGCGCAGCGAGTAGTCAGTAACGTGGGCGCGATATTGGTGTGGAAAAGTGATGCATACTTGGGATCCAGAGGTGCTAATCATGACAGGGTCAACGCAGATGTTTGATGCTTGATATTCCTTCAATTTCTTGGTGACGGACTCGATAGTCGCAGCCGACGCAAGCATTCCTGTCTTGACTGCGTCCACACCGATATCTGTAAAAACCGCGTCCAGTGCTAGTTCCAGGAAACTTGGTGCCACGGGGAATATATCCTTAACACCGGTTGCTACGGTGAATCAGTAATGAGCAATTGCAATCCGCAAATCATGCGTGTATCGACATACTGTTCTGGGCGGTGAGACCTGTTATGCCGGTCATGCCGTAGCAGCCATGGGCAGTAATTGTCTTGAGGTCGGCCTCGATTCCTGCTCCGCCGGAGGAATCAGAGCCTGTTCAGCGCAAACGCATAACTATCAGTCTTTGTGAAAAGTGTGGGGTCAATTCTCGAGCAGTTACTAACCAGCGATGGTCAACACGCGCGGAAGGGTTCGTGTCATTAATTGTAGCTTGTATGGGTGTCTGATGTCTATATCTCTCTATAGATGTCTGTTCAGATAGAGCAATCTGACTGCAATTTGCGCGGTGAAGGTGGAGTAGGAACGAACGCACTTACCGGGCCGGTGCTTGCCGTGCATTGACTCTCCAACTCCACGAACCTGCTCAAACCACCGCTATTTACTCACTCAACAGCAGACCGAGCCAGTTCTCTAAATCCTTCTTACTCTACGCGCTCTGCTGCATTTATCTCTACAATCCCGTGCTCAGCGTCAAGAAGTACCTTTCGAGGCTCTGAAATCTTAAATCGTTCTTCCGTACGGAAAAGGTACCCCTTTTAACTACTGTAGACATCGGTACCTGAGCCTGTTTCCGTTCCCCAAAACAACCTGCGCGTAAGCCGTCTTCGCTTGGATTTTTCTCAACCTTCCTCCATCAACTCTCCAAAAAATATCCCACACGTCTCTCCTTAGTCCTCTCTTCATATACACGAATTCACAGTGTCTTATTCGTCTCCCGAAAGCTTACCCCAAGCGAAGAAGATGAAGTTCAGTCTTGGCCAGGTGCTTGTGGCAGAAGATGCCGACACGCTTGCCGAGCAACATGCCCAGCTCGAGGCGAGCATTGAAGAACACGCCGACATTGCGGAGAAGGCGCGCGACGGGGACGAGGTGCTTGACGACAAGCTTTGCATCGAGTGCGGTGATCAGCCTGCTGAGCTGTTTTGCACAGACTGCGACGAGCAGTTTTGCTCGGTCTGCTTTGGATATCTGCATAGAACGGGCGTAAGTATACCCCGGAGTGGCAATATCAGGAGTTTTATTCTTCGTCGCTCAAATCAGCTGTACAATACCATCAATGCTGGTCCATGGACTAACCACTACTTTTGTTAATCACCACACAGAGACGAAAAACGCACATCATTAAAAAATTCGAGGAAGAGAAAAGCGAAGACCCAGAAACTGCCCCGGACGCGTCCGCCAAAGATCCAGATGCAATGTCCGTGAGCAGCACCGGCATGGCCGCAGACGATGCCGACGGATCACTCGAGCTTCCCAACACCACGCTTACGACGCCGCCGGAGCCAATAGTTATCGTGTCTGCGGGATCGCAGTCGTACGGCACTTGGCTGGTGTCGAGGGCAAAGTATATACCGTTACGATTGACGCAGCAGGAGCGGAAGCTTCTCCGACTGTAAGACTGATTTGGTTTTTGGGACTTGGAAGATATGTGCTAATGAAAATTTAGACTGGAGGCAGCGCTCAATGTTTCAGAGTACACTGATAAAGGTACGTCGCCTTGCTCAATCTAAATGTACTCGTCCATGATTAACAAAATCCTACAGTCGACGTTCTTCTATACTCGTCCAAGGCCAAGCGAATCATTGCGCAACTAAAAGAAGTCTGCTCGATCCTTGCCGGACTAGTTGTGGCCACCGACATGAAACTCGGTCAAGAAATGTTTCAGGACAAGGACTTTGCGCGTAACGCCAAATGGTTCAAAAAGATCTTTGAGATTGGCCGGCGATATAAGATTATGAATCCCGAGAAGATGCGGGATAGTTTTGGAAAATTGATGTACATGGTAAGATTGAACGGCTGGTATGATGGGTGTGCTCTGAGACTAAGTGGTCTGTTTTTTTAGGTTATGGATTCTCGCCTGCCTGAAATCGAGCAAGTTATGGAATTCGACTTGTACATGCCAGTCGTGACCGTGCACTCCTTCCTTGAATCCCGCGACTGCCTCTCGCTCCTGGAAGACAACCTAGTCGTGCAAGCCACAGCTGAGATCTATCCCGAGCACAAGAAGCGATCGCAAGTCCAGGCCGAGATCAGACAAAAGGAGAAAGCGATCGAGACCCTGGCCAAGCGGTACTATAAACCGGGGGTGATCACACAGGACGAGATTCGGCAGTGCTTGTATTCGATTGGTGATAACCATTCGTATCTGCGAGCGAATAAGAATCCGGTGGAGAAAATGCTAAAGTATCTGCAGACTCATTTCCATCCGGATAAGATAGAGAATGAGTATAACCTTGCCATTTCGTACGGCAAAGGCGGTGCGCGTTTGTCGCACAATCACGAAAAACAGTTTTACTACGGTGCGCTTCATTTTCTTTTGTTTTCAAATTACATTTACATGCTAATCTTACTACTTAGTCAACCAATCATTGACGCTGTGGTCGATCATCATGAACGACATGTTCATGCTCTGGTCTCTCGCCGACCAAGACCTTCTCTCGACCCACGGCCGCTACCGCCTAATGGACACCGGCCAAGGTCTCAACCGCGTGCAATCCTGCCCCGCCGTCAGCCGCGCCATGCAGGCCGTCATCTCGCAGGCCCAGCGCCGCGCCAAATCCTGGATCGGCTCGAGCGTCGTGCATCTCGGCGACAGATCGGTCCCGAACGCATGGTTCTTCCTCGACAAGTACCTGCAGGTGCCCATGATCCTCAACCCGCTCGAGCGCGTCATCTCCGAGATCGACGTCGTCACGCGCGACCCGTTCGTGTATACCTGGATCGAGACGCAATTCGGCGGCGTGGACGAGCTGAAAAAGACGATACTGTCCGATTTCTTCAAGCACGCGTTCGACGGCTCCGGCGCGGATAATTTCCAGGAAGCAGGGTCTTGCATCGACGGCCGTCTTACCAGTGCCTGGAACTGGGCTAACTCAATCTCAAAAAAGCCGTATTACAAGGTCCTCGTGCTTTGCGGATTCACCGGATTCAACGGCAGCGATGGCTTCTAGTTGGTTTTCCATGTCATTTTGTCATTTTTGGTTTTAGATATCTAGACAAGGCTCGTGTTATTCAATTTTGACTCGGCATTTAATCTCTTTCTTTTATTATCTTTGTTGTTTTTATAGAATATGGTGTCCAGATCTGTAAATACCAATCATGTCACTCAAACGTTTTAATCAAAGAAATGAAAAAGCTACGTCTACGTCATTAAAACGCACTTAAGCCATATAGATAGAAATACCACATTTCAATTATATTAAAAACAAATAATCTTACAGAAAAACAATAAAAAACCTGAATAAGAACCCATAAACATCTCTTTTTCGAAGAAAGAGGCAAACAATATGTCTTAACTTCCTAAAAGCCCCCTAACTTTTTTTGATTTCGTTCTCTTGGAGAAAGCATAGCGAGAATAGTACACAAATAAGTAAATAACACAGTGAAAGCAGGCGTAGGAGAGAATCATAGTGGGTTGATAATGGTATATCATCTAAGTCTATAATATATGATGCCCTCATACCTGTTCTTCTTCCAGTAATCACTTAGCGAGTTCTATAAACGATAAAAATTTAGTATAAAGCACACACACACACACATGCAAACCTGCCCGAACAAAAGAGAAACCGAAGCAGCGTGCAAAAGACTAGCACGGCAAAGAGACAAAAGAAGCACGCTTTTCCAAGAGAGAAGTAAAACATCCAGATTAGGCAGATAATAAAACGTCCAGAGCACAATAAAGTGACAAAGGTGATATGATATCATTGCAGGCACTTTTTGATTTGTATAAACTCATAGGTCACCGGTTCCTCGAAACAAAGCCGCGGGTCGCCCCCACACACTACCGCCGTAGACTCAATTTTCGCCGCCGACAGCATCTTGGTAAGAAAAAGAAATATTTACCATCTTCTGTTGTATCCGAGAGGAGCATGGTTGGATCCAGAGTGGTATCCACCACCGTATCCACCACGGCCACCACGGCCACCTCCACGTCCACCCCATCGGCCACCGCCGCCGCCGCCGCGCGAGTAGCGTCCCATCTCCTCGAGCTTGGGGTCGACGTACTGCTTGGCCTCGTAGAGAATGGTGAGGAGGTCGCGCGCCTGCTTGGAGTTGTCGTTGGTGAAGAGGGTGATGGCAGTTCCGGTGGTGCCGGCACGACCGGTACGTCCGATTCTGTGAACATAGTCCTGAATGTACAAGTTAGCATAAGCCGTTGGAAAGAGCAGAAAATGAGTTTGACATACCTCGCTATTGTTGGGGTAATCGTAGTTGATGACGTACTTGATGTCCTTGACGTCTGCGCAACAGTTAGTACACTCTATCTCATAGTCAAGCCAAAGCCTCCATTCCAAGCTCCCCCTAGCAACGCGCAAACACCATGGCACCAACTTCAATCGTCTGCAAATGATCTATTCCATCATTGCAAACATCATAAAGCACTCATTGAATATTGAGAAGAGGTTTGAATCTTCAAATCATCATCGCGGAACTAGAGATAGCATAGAAACTACGTTCAACTTCTTCGTTCTACTTTGACTGGTTTTTACTGCCAATGTTCTAAAGCACGTTTTAGAACCCACGAGATGGAAAGAAATATAAAAACACCAGGTCATATAAATCAATATATGGAGACCTGCTGCTCCTGGCTAGATGGATCGATTGGAAATGAAGAGGCGTTTTCTTGTTCATTCGCGATGAGCAATCTGCAAGATAATCAAACAAGAAAATTGCACGCAATCTCATAAGACTCCGGTTTCAAAGAAGGTTTCCACGTTTTCAATCGGACAAGATCAAGATTTTTTCTTTGGGAGAAATAAATAATTAAATTTACTTCCTAATACAACAAAGCTTCTTCCTCACTCCCCCTCAAAAGAAAGGTCTTTTCTATAATGACATCTCACGGTTCGAATATCCCCCAACAATTGACGACGACAAAATCATATCAGATGAAGATAGCCGGGGACACCAGGAGTTCGAGCCATTTAGTACTTTAAGAAAAGACTTCAATTTCAGGACAGTATGTGAAAGCTTTGCATGATGAAAATGAAAACCTTGAATCTAGTCCAATCCTTCTCCTCACCATATCACAGCGCCAGGTATTTATCCATTCTCGATCGTGGAACATCTCCTGAAAAAACAGTAAAGTTCCAAATGACAGAAAAAGAGATGAAACAGAAACCTCTGGATGATCAGGGACCACATAAGCGATCCCAGCTGGCCAAATCCCTCAGATCCAATTGGACGCGCGGGCGGCGAGATTCAAGAGCTTAGAAAGCCATGATGGCACAGTAGGTTTATCCAAAACCGGGAGTAACATGAAAACAGTGTAGCTTGGATATCAAAAAAAGCAAAGGGGATTAATCATACCAATACCACGGGATGCAACATCAGTGGCAACCATGATAGGCGACTTGCCAGTGCGGAACTCGTTCAGCACCCAGTCACGCTCGTTCTGAGCCTTGTCACCATGGATGGCGAGCGCGGGCCAGCCGTCCTGACGAAGGAACTTGGTGATTTCGTCAGCGACACGCTTGGTTCCGACGAAGATGAGAGTCTTGGCGTCCTTGTTCTCCATCGCCTTCTCCAAGTGGTGGATAAGTCTGTCTCTCTTCTCCATCTCTGTGACGACCTCAACGACCTGGGTAATGTTGTGGGAAGCAGAAAGCTCGAGCGAACCAACGTTGACCTGAATGTAGTCGTGAAGGTAGTCGTTGGCCAAACGCTGGACTTCCTTGGGCCACGTAGCAGACCACATGCAAGTCTGACGATCAGGGCGAATCTGATCAACGATCTTTCTGATCTGGGGTTCGAAACCCATATCGAGCATACGATCAGCCTCGTCGAGGACGAGGTAGGTCACGCGACGAAGGTTGGTCTTGCCAGACTCGAGCATGTCGATCAAACGACCAGGAGTGGCGATGGCAATCTCAACACCGCGAGCGAGATCACGGATCTGCTGACCACGGGGAACACCACCGTAGACACAGGTGTTGCGAATGCGCGACGACTTGCCAAACTTGGAGCACTCCTGCTGGATCTGGACCGCCAACTCACGAGTAGGGGCCAAGATCAGGACGATAGGACCGTCACCAGGGGAGAGCAGAGGCTGGGCGTTGATGTGAACGATAGCAGGAAGACAGTAAGAGAGAGTCTTTCCCGAACCGGTCTCGGCAATACCGACCAAATCACGACCAGAAAGAGCCATAGGCCATCCCTGAGACTGAATAGCAGTAGGAGCGGTGAAGCCCATCTGGGTGACCTCGGTCATCACGTACGAAGGGAATCCAGCCTCCTCAAAGGTCTCAACCGGCTTGGGAACATCGTTGCCCTTGACGGTCATCTTCTTCTCATCACGGAACTTCTCGACCTCACGGTCGGTGCGAGCAGTGACATTAGGGTGCTCCTTGTAGAAGTTCTTCTCAAACTTGGGCAAGCTGTTGAGGTCGTAATCCTGCTTCTTCAAGCCGGATCCAAGAGCAGACATGCGGTCGCCGCTGCTGCCTCCGTAGGAGCCGCCTCCGCGGCCTCCATAGGAGTCACCACCACGGCTGCCACCGCCACGGCCACCGTAGCGGTCTCCACCGCGGTCGTATCTATCACCACCGCCGCCGCCGTAGCCGCCGCCGCCATAGGAAGATCCTCCGTAACTCATTATGTATATGTAGGGATTGGAAAGAGGATAAAAGAGGATGGAAAAGTGGTAAGAAATAAAAAAATTTCAATATGGGAAAACAAGAGGAGAGGAAGAGAGGGAAAACAAAAAAAAATTCTTAAATAGCGCCGTTGGGAGGAGGCGACTGTGGTGGCGATTTGTTGCGCCGATGGTTTTGCACTTATGCCATTTCCCTGGTCGTTACGTAATACGATTAACAGAAAAGGTAATACGCTGCAGCTAGGACTGAAATCAGAATAGAATATCATTAAACACTTCCCGAGAGTAAAGTACATGCATATAGTACAGACAAACGTCATATAGTACACAATTTTCAAGTCCGCGGCGGTCACAGATAGCAGAGCCGTCACACACAAGAGAAATTGCGAATTCTAAACAACCAACCAACCAAACCACCCAACCTCCTAACCAAGAGCAAGCACACTATCTAGACGATAGCTCCTCTCTGCTTCTCGACTATGTGGTCAAGCAAATCAGACAAATAGCTTCTAAGCGGTACGTTAACTGCCGCGACTCCGAGCAGCTCCTGGATGTATCCCTTCAGATACTTCTTCCCCGTATCACTCCTCGCGATATTCCGCAGAATAAGCACCGACGTGAGCGGAATCCCCGTCGCCTCGCCCTTCTCGTCCACTACAGTCAACTTATTAACAAACACCAGCTTCTGCGAATTAATCGCGTCGAGTGAAGTCACATGCCCCGCAGCCGCGGAGGGGTTCAGCCGGTCGCGAAACGGCTTGGGCTTGTTGTCCTGCGGATCGGGGATGTGCGTTGTGATGTGAGCTGCCACCTTCCGTCGATCGGTGCAGCCTTCCGGGTCAAACTTTGTGCAGTTGAGCCACTTGCAATAGTATACTGTAGGCTCTGTAGGTTCTGTGGCTGCTTCTGCAGGAGTAGCGGCGGGGGGAGGAACTGAGGCTTCCGGGGCATCAGGCACTGGAGGCGCATCCTCCATCGACACATCGCCATTTGTCGCGCTGCCGTTCACAGCCGTCTCACCATTTGCAGGAGCAGATTCTCCTCCATTAGCAGTAGTGCTCTCGTTACTTCCCTTCTCTCCGTTTTCAGTTTCAGCACTCGCGGTCACCGCAACACTTTCCGGCTTTGCCGCCCCCCGCGGCGGTGGCACATGGACCGCCAGAATATGTAGAAACAGATCCTGCACAGATGGATAGCTACCGCTACACCGAGTGTTCCCGCCCATATCCCACTGACACGAAATAAACAGCTCTCCTTTCAAAGACAGTGGCACTTCTCTGGGCCTGATACCCTTGATGATGAACTTTTGCTGGCCGCCAGGTAAAGTAACGACCATCGCCGCAGCGTTTCGGAACGCCATGGTGACGTTCTTGATAAAGTCAGCCGCGGGAAGCAGTTTTTTGCCTTGTGCGACAAACTCCTCGAACCGCGATTCGTAGGCTTTCCAGAGCGCGATTTGCGTGACGTCGCCGTCGGGGTCTTCTTCAAAACATACACGCATCCTTTATACCACGTTAGTGTCTTCAAATAGCGACCACAAAGAATAATAATAATAGTAAGACTTACCACTGCGTAGCTCGTTCGGGCTCAGAAAACAAAAGCAACTCGGAAATCAACGACTGCGGAAGTTCAGGCGGCCCAAGAGGCGGAGGTTTGTTTTCCGTATACGCAACCTGCGGAACAGTAGGATCGACCGGTCTCCACTCTCTCGCCTGATAGAGCAGTAATCGCACAAGCTGCTGTATCGGTTCTCGCCAGTCCACCGTGTCGGCGATCAACTCGACGTTGTCGGACGACGACGTGTACTGATACAGGAAATCCAGACAGACGGAAAGTAAAGGCTCGTCGTCGAGAAGGATCAGGGCGCATATCCTGGATATGATGGCGGGATCGATGGCTTGTAGCAAGTTTGCTTCGACACTGATGACGAGTCGGGCGACGGACCTCATGGCAGCAATCAAGACGCCTCTGTCGTCGCTTTTTAGATATGGCAGCAGGACTTTGAACAGTGGATCCTGGCTAGACGAAGGCTGCATGAACAACGCAACCGACTCTGAGATATCAAGAGAGTACTGCCGCAGCTCGACAAAACATGGCCGGTCAGGCAACAAAAGACACTTGACAAGCGCGGCCTGGCATACCCTGTGCCGTGAGAGATATCGCGCGTTCTCAGGATTAATCGCCGCGTTGCGCAGCACCAACGCCGCTTCCAGAATCTTATCCAGCAGCTTGCGCTCCGGAGTCACCGATCCAACGCCGACCCCCAGATCCTCGTCGTCGTTGCCATCCTGCATCAGTTCGCGAAAATTCGGAAACTGATCTATACTGTTCAACTTTTCGAGCAGGGCCGGGCCTAGATTGGGGAATCGCTCGAGGTGTAAATCGTCGGGGGTTTCGAAGGACATGCGCACAAGTGTCTGCAGTGCCCAATCCATCTCGTCCGGCAGATTTGAGCGAATCGCGAGCACGACTCTGTTCATCGACATTGCCATCTTGGGTGTTTGTTCTTTGCAGTAGCAGTCGTCGTGGTCGAGAATATATAATCACACAAGCGGGAGGAAAACTCAAGGTATCTCGAAAAACCAAGATGTTGAAAGACCAGATTGTAAGTCGTGATAGACAGTCGAGTCGGTATGAGAGCGAAGTGCAGTCGCGTTGCTTATTCCTCTATAAAACGCGTCCAGCAGAACCAACTCCTTCCTTGCCAGTCAAGACTCTTTCGTCTCTCCTAACAAAAACACAAAAACACAGCAAAATGCAATCACAATTTGCGCAATCCCGTGAATATCGAGACACAATGCCCCCTCTCGCGGAATTCAGAAGAGGATCCCGGTGCGGTTATCGACAGATCAGAGCCAGCGAGTTGTGGTGAATTTTAACTCTGGGGGAGTTTTTCGAGTCTCCTCGTCGAGGTGAACAACCCTCCCAGCGACCTTTCTCTGTTTACTTTTCGCGGTTTGGGTTGAAGCCGTAAATGCGTCTGCGTTTGTGCATTTAGCTCACCGCTATTTTTCTTCTCGGGACTTTTCGAGTTCGGGTCTTGATATCTCTACGAGTTCTTGACTGCAGTATTTTCTGGTTCTAGAGTATTGCAACACAATGTCGAACTTGGTTGGAAGGGTATGATACAAGAAACCTCACTTTGTAATTCTGTCTCCCGATTGCTGACCTCTTCACACCCATAGTCTCGTCTCGCCTACTCCAAAGTATGGCACCACGTCGACATCGCTAAAGACGACCGAACAATGGGCCGTCTTGCGTCCTCAATCGCGATGACCCTCATGGGCAAACACAAGCCTGTTTACCACCCGGGCAACGACTGCGGCGACTACGTCGTCGTGACGAACTGCAACCTGCTCAACATCAGCGGCCGCAAGCTCGACCAGAAAATGTACCGGAAACACACGCAGACCCCCGGTGGACTCAAGGAGATGAACATGAAGCGGCTGGTGGGAAAGCTGGGATACGGCGAAGCGCTGAAGAAAGCGGTTAGCGGAATGTTACCGAAGAACAGTCTGCGACGGACACGGTTGTCGCGTCTGAGGACGTTTGAGGGACCGCACACCGAGATTAAGGGAAATATCCTTCGCTATTGGGCGGAGACTTCCGAGGTCATCGACAACACCAAGACCACATTTCCAAAGAAATAATCAGAAGGGATAGGTTTAGTATGCTGGAGTGCGGTGCGGTGGAAAAAGATATTAGCAAGCCAAAGTGCTGATCAAGCTAATCAGCGTATTGGCATTTTTGTACATAGTTGGGCATATCGACGCCTTGCAGCACGAATTGGATGAATGTCATTTAATTCACCATCTCTTGAGTTCTATTCTAAACACAGCTAACCATAGTTTACGACAACTCAACTCCTCATAATTCGCACAAACCCAGTATTCCCACACGTCGCAACAAGTGCTTTACGCAAGTTTAAGCTTCTCCAAGAGCTTAGCGCGATGCCACCAGCTTCGTATTCTCTTACCGTATATATACAGCGGGATACTAAGGATCAGCGACGTGAAAATTGCGATAGCTCCCAACACATCAAAAACGATATCGGGACCCGAGTTCGCGACCCAGTTGTTGAAGAAATACGAAAAGCCGTAAAAGATAAAGTTCTTGAGCGACATGGTCGCGATGATGACCTCGACCGAAAACTCTCGGTAGGCGTCAATCATGTAGTTACTCGCGGTGATGGCCATCGTCGTCGAGCCTGCGCACAGAAAGCCGTACATGACCGCGGCGACGATAGCAGATTCGCGATTGCGATAGGCGGTGCCGAAACCGAAGCATCCGATCGTCAAGCAAATCGTTCCAAGGATGACGCCGACAGGAAGCTTGAACTCGGGTTCATACACGCCCCCGTTCTTGCGGGAAACCCAGAGGGTCATGGGATTGTTGACCACGAAGAAGAAGAGCGAGGCAAGGAAGCCGCCGATCAAAGGGCCGGCGGACATGAACCCGAGACGTTCAGCGGTCATGTTGTATGGCGGAGCTCCGTAAAGCTGCGACATGCAGTAATTGATATTGACAATCCATGCGATTGGAATCGACATTGCCAGGATGATCTACGGTAGGTTAGCATGACAAGGAAGGAGACAAAACGACAGAAAAGAGAAATTGAGGAATAGATACCCAAGTCATCCCTGGATTTAGAAAGACGGCGAAAGGACGGACAATAAGCCTAATAGGGTTCTCGTTGGACACACGGCCATGGTAAGGCATGATAGACTGCAAATACGTCTTCTTTGCCGGGATCGGACTCTCTAAACCGTTCTGGACAGCTTTCTCCGCGTCTGCGGTAGTAGTCGGAGCAGTCTCAGCGGCAGGCTTGGAGTCGCCTTCGAGGTGCTCGGCAGCAATTTTCTCCATATCGTCAAAGATTTCATCGCCAGCGACGTCGAGCTCATACTTTGCATCGCGGATATAGGTTGTTTCGGTGCTGCAGAAGCACATGAGGAAGCACTGCAGGGCAACGAAGATGACGTCGATGTAGAATAGCCAGCGCCATCCCAAGTTTGTGACGATAGGACCGGAGATAACAGAGGTGAAACAATTGATTCCGCCAAAGCAGAAGTTGAAGACCGCGAGACGCAGACCACGTTCGTGAAGACAGTAGAGATCACCAATGACAGAGATGACGATACTCTCGTAGGCGACGTTTCCGAAACCCTGGATAATCCGTCCTGCCAAGAGAGTATTATATGTATTTGCAGTGCAGCAGACAATAGTGCCAATGAGTCCGAAAATCGAGGCAGCGACAAACTGAGGCCGCTTGCCAAAGATCCGACTAAGCGCAGAGACTATCGGGCCACAGCATGCGATGACGAGAAGCTGGTATCCAGAGAGAAGCGCGATGTCGGTGATGGTGACGCCAAGATCGTCGGCTTCCACCAGGGTTCCAGCGGCAAGGATGGGACCGCAGACTCCGACGTTGATGACGTAACCGAAGGAGTGGATGAGGAAGAGGATATCGCGACGGAGGATGGACCAGTTCTGGACAGGCAAGTCAGTGAGTGGTGAGGATGATAGGTCTCTGAGAGGAGGTGTTTACCAGAGGATCGTTTGGATCGTCAGACGGCTGCGGTACTAGAATGATATGACTATTTTTTCCCTTTGCGTGCTTCAGATTTGCAGCAGCGGCATCGGGGATGTCGAGGCCATCGCTCAACTTGTCTTCGATCTGCGCGGTGCCGGGCACATGGGCGAGCTCGTTGTCCTCGAGGATTCCAAAGGCCATGACGACAGTGTATTGATTATCGAGATTCTTGTAGATGAGTCCATTGTGCTGAGGGAGTTGATATAAGAAGCCGCGAGAGTGCGGGGGAGCAGGAGGGAACCCACCGGAATAGAATGTGGAGTAGCGAGTAACTTTAACGGCGGCACAGCATCGAGTAATCGACGGGGTATTGAAACACAGCCGCCCCTGTCTGATAATCACTTCATCAGAATGTACAGATAAACAGAGTAGCAGCAGTAGAAAACATCAGTGAGTAGCGGTGAATAGAGGTACGAAGGCTGGTCGATAGGCTAAGGAACTGAAGATGTGGGTTGGAGTTGGGAGTTCCCTCATAATGCCGGCGGAGGGCTTTAAGCTGGCTGTGATGTGAGCTGCCACTTCCGTCGACCGGTGCAGCCGATGACGATGATAAATCGATGTTTTAAGTCCGTTGCAACGGATCCCGGGCAGACTTTGCGCCGTTGAGCCATTGCATTAGTATAGCGGAGGTTCTGTAAGCTTCGTAGGTTCGGTGGCTGCTTTTGCTGGGGTGTCAGCGGGAGGCGGGGTGAGGCTACATTTATTCCCCGCTGTAGCGGCTCGCTAGTCAATCGTCTCGGCAATCAACTCGACGTTATCAGACGACGAGGTGCGCATAGTCTGGTTTATCATGCCATGAGCACGTCTTCGATTGATGTTATTTTATTCGCAACCACTCGAGTTATATATAAACACAGTCAACAACAGTCTGTCCCGACTCAACTCTTCATAATCCACGATGAACGATAAACAATATCCCAGTATCCCCCCGCATCTCAATCGCCTTACGCAAGTTTAAGCCTCTCAAAAAGCTTGGCGCGATGCCACCAGCTTCGTATTCTCTTTCCATATATATACAGCGGGATACTGATGACCAGCGACGTGAACACCGCGACAGCTCCCAACACATCAAAGACGATATCGGGTCCCGAGTTCGCGACCCAGTTGTTGAAGAAATACGAAAAGCCGTAAAAGATAAAGTTCTTGAGCGACATGGTCGCGATGATGACCTCGACCGAGAACTCTCGGTAGGCGTCGATCATGTAGTTACTCGCGGTGATGGCCATCGTCGTCGAGCCCGCGCACACAAACCCGTACATGACCGCAGCGACGATTGCAGATTGACGATTGTGATAGGCATTACCGAAGCCAAAACATCCGATCGCCAGGCAGATCGTGCCGAGGATAACACCAACAGGGAGCTTGAACTCGGGCTCAAACACGCCATTGTTCTTGCGAGAGATCCAGAGAGTCATTGGATTGTTGATCACGAAGAAGAAGAGCGAGGCCAGGAAACCACCGATCAAGGGACCAGCGGCTAAGAAACCTAGGCGCTCTGCGGTCATGTTATATGGCGGAGCTCCGTAAAGCTGCGACATGCAGTAATTGATATTGACAATCCATGCGAGGGGGATCGACATTGCCAGGATGATCTATGATCGGTTAGTGCGACTGGAAACAAGACAGACTATAGAAGAATCGAGGATAGATACCCAAGTCATTCCGGGATTGAGAAAGACAGCAAAGGGACGGATCATAAGCTTGATAATACTCTCATCTGAGAAACGGCCGTGGTAAGGCATGATAGACTGCAAATACGTCTTCTTGGCCGGGATCGGATTCTGCGAGCTGTTCTGAACAGCTTTCTCCGCGTCGGCGGTAGTAGTCGGAGCGTCTTCTGCGGGAGTCTTGGAGTCGCCTTCAAAGTGCTCGGCAGCGAGTTTGTCAATATCGTCAAAGATCTCGTCACCGGCGACGTCAATTTCGTATTTGGCTTCGCGGATGTAGGTTGTCTCGGTGCCCCAGAAGCACATTAAGAGGCACTGCGCAGCTACGAAGATGACGTCGATGTAGAATAGCCAGTGCCATCCCAAGTTTGTGACGATAGGACCGGAGATGACAGAGGTGAAGCAATTAATGCCTCCAAAGCAAAAGTTGAAGACCGCGAGACGCAGACCACGTTCGTGGAGACAGTAGAGATCACCGATGACAGAGATGACGATACTCTCGTAAGCAATGTTCCCGAGACCCTGGATGATCCGACCTGCCAAGAGCGTACCGTAATTGGTCGCGACGCAGCAGACGATAGTACCGATAAGTCCAAAGATGGAAGCAGCAACGAATTAAGGCCGCTTGCCAAAGATCCGACTGAGTGCGGAGACGATGGGCCCACAGCACGCGATGACGAGAAGCTGGTATCCGGTGAGAAGAGCAATGTCGGTGAGGGTGACGCCAAGTTCGGCAGCCTCGTCGAGAGCTCCGGCGGAAAGGATGGGGCCGGAAACTCCGGAATTGATAATGTAACCAAAGGAATGGATGAGGAAGAGGATATCGCGGCGGACGATAGACCAGTTCTGGGTGGGTAGGAGTCAGTGGATGATGGTATGGTAGAAAGTGAACAGAGGAACGCTCACTAGAGGATCATTTGGATCATCAGACGGCTGAGGGACAAGAATGATATGGCTGTTCTTGCCCGTTGCATGCTTCAGATTTGCAGCAGCGGCGTCAGCGACGTGAAGACCGTCGTTCAAGATGTCTTCGATCTGCGCGGTGCCAGGCACATGGGCGAGCTTTTTGTCCTCGAGGATTCCGAAAGCCATGGCTGATTCAAATTGATCTCTGAGATCTTTAGAGCAAAACTATAGGGCGCCATTGTGCTGAAGAGGTTGTTAAAAGAGTCTCTCGAGCGTGCGGGGGAGGGGGAGGGGCATGGAACAGCACCAGGATCGAGTGTGGAGTATCGAGGACCTCCAAAGGCGGTAGAGAAACGAGGAAAAGAAGCAGGGCGGGCGGAGAAAAGATTTGCCAGAGGTCGAGAGGATAAAATCAGAGATCAGCAGTGAATCGAGGCTACTCCGCAGAAGGAGAGCAGATCGATAGGCTCTGGGGAACCGAAGATGTGGGGTGGACCCGTTTCGTTTGGGACGAGGATTGTTGATTAATGCTTGTTCGAGGATGACGGATAGTGAACAGTCAATTACGATTTCAGGCCCTCGTCCTGGGTGCTTCTTGAGATGTTTGGGTAATGTTCATTGTTTACTGACACTGCTCATTGATGCTCATTCACTGCTCATGACACTGCTCTGCTCCATCTCTGCTGCTCAGTGCGGAGAAGTGGCAGCCAGCACAGAACCTAACCTCACCACCACAAGCAAGCGAAGCCAAATCAAGAATAAAAGAATAACTCAAGACATAATAATATCCACGATCGGTCTTTGTGGGGAAGACGTCTCTACGCAGGGGTTTATTGTGAGTATGTGATTGCGATTAATAGTAAACACAGATAACACTAGCCATTAGCAAAACCGTCATAAAAGCACTGAAAGCACAAGCAAATTACACCATCATAAGTAAGAATAAATGAAAAGAATGAGTAAACAACAGTCAAGAAAAGCAGTATGCTAGTTCCCAGAAACGACCACGATTATCAACAATAAATGATAAGCAGCAACAAATTAAAAATATGATACAGGAGAATAAAAAAACACCGACTCTTATCTAATCACCGCGCGAAATCGTTGCAGTGATAAGACCGTTCGGGTTCGACTGGGGCGCGTACACCTCCGCGTCCGCACCAGTGTTCTTCAAGCCCTCGAACCACGAGAGGTCGATGTCAAAGTAGTGCTTGTTGGGCAGCGCGTACGAGACCTGGTTCACCTGCGAGTTGTCGGCAATGATCTGCTTGGCCATGCGGTACAGCGTCGCCTGCACGCTCGCAGACTCGTCAGTCGCAAACGTCTTCAGCGTGATCTCGCGCGCAGACTGGTAGCCCTTCTCGAGCGACTTGACCGACGCGCGCACGGCCTCGACGCCCTCAAACACGTCGTACTTCCACGTGGCGTCGACCGACGTCGACATGATCCGGTCTCTGGTCTCCGGCAGGGTCGTGTACTTGTCCTGGATGTAGCCGTAGAAGGCAGAGCCGGTCGACTTGAGCACGAGCAGGTCCGAGATTCCGCCCGACAAGAAGATCTTGCCGTCCTCGTGGACCTCGGCGTCGACGATCCGCACCTCGGCGCCGTCGCGGAGGAAGGAGTGGTCGTGGGGAGCGCCGTCGACTTCGTAGCGCGTCCATCGGTGCTGGATGATGTGGATGAAGGACTTGTGGATGTGGTCGTAGGTGTTGACAAAGTGGGCACCGAGGATGGAGGCAAACAGCTCCGGGGGCGAGACTGGGTTCTTCTTGGCGAGGACTGCGGAAGTTAGCATTAGAAGCAGCAGCAGCAGCCACCAGAGATCAGCACGTACTGTGGGTGGTGTTCTTCATCGAGTCAGTGGTGACGATGGGGCCGTTGTCGGCGATGGTGTAGGCAGCCTCGTAGTCGCCCTCGAGCATGACGCGGATGGTGAACTCGTAGACGTACTGCAGACGGGGGTTGGAGGGGTCGCGCTCGACCTTGAGCAGGCGGATGTTGTCTTTGCCGTAGCGGGTAGCGGTGAGGGAGACCATGTTAAATGATGTGGCGGTAGGAGTTGAGTTGAGGTTTGAAGGAGCTGAGTTGGAGCTGGAAGTAGTAGAGATTAGTTGTGAGGACGAGCAGAAGGAGGGGACAGGCCAGATATAAGTAGTCGTTCGAGGCGGTGTCGTCGGGATCATCCATCGTCGACGATAAGCCGATCTCATCGATGGCGCGCCATACGGCACAGCCACGCCCGCAAGCCACGGCGCGCCACAGCCCGCCTTCTGTGCGGCGTCGGCCATGTCCGGCCTGGTCGCACATGCCCGGCACCACCCGGCTGCCGTTGCCTCTGCCCTCTGCCCGCGAGAAGTGTGCTGGCGATCAGCGCTGCGAGGGCCGGAAAAGAAGGGCAATGACGCGCCTGCGACGATCGCTGTTTCTGCGCGCGGTCGACGGGGGTGGCGAGCAGCAGAGGACCGGCCCGCAGGCGCAGGGCTGGGCCGCGACGACGCTGGGCCGGAGGCGACCCGGCTGAGCCCGCGAGCGATGGAGACCAGCCATGTTCAGGAGCGGTTTGGAGCTGGAGCTGGTGGTGTTTGTCCTTATCGCGGCTGCTTATCTGCGGATCCGTCGAATGCGCTTCAAATCAGGCTACTGCGCTGCTGCTGCTGTCTGAGCCCGGCTTCGCGCGATGTCCACGCACCTCTGCCAGCGCGACCTGCTACCCCGGATAAGTTTAATCTGCCGACGCCACCAAAAACGCCTCCTCTTCGCGTTGTGGCAGGATGACGCCCTCGTCCATCGTCGCCGCGACCGATGACTCTCGCGGGTTCAATTGAGGCCTACGTGGGTTGTCGCCAGAGGCCTGTCTGGCTGCGCGTATGATGTCCGGCCGGCGTTGCCGCTGCCTTCTGTCTACGTCCAATCGGCTTCGTTGCTCTCTCAAAACTCGGACCTCCCTTCGGAATACCTGGCTCTGTTTACTGCTTCCCTGCTTGAGGAGTATCTCATCCCGGACAAGCCCGCACGCGCGACCCTTATCGCCCCTCTGTCGGCAGCAGCACCGGCTCGGACTTGGGGCCTGCAATTCGAAACGCGTAAACCTCGCGGATCTGCAGAGTCATGACACACGGCGCTGATAACGCAGCGCTCTTGTCTCTTGCGTTCCTGCGTATGGGGCGCGATCGCCAATGTTTGTCTACAAACTGCCGTCTTTGGCAACTGCGTTCGCCCTGCTAAGGTTTCCATCGTATCATCCCGGGAACTGCTTAATGACTCGCCGCCTCATCGATGACGCAGATGTTTATCGCTCGGTTGATCGTAAGCCTCCCCCGCTAGAAAAGCTTCCATGTGGCTCATCACTGTCAACAGCCATATTATCTACGCCCTTTCTCGTTAACCGTAGCTGTAGCTCATCATATTAGGCTGTCGTTACTTAAGCATCTGTACAGTACAGTAGCCGGCTATGAACAAGCTCTGGATCCTGAAGAGCGCGTTCAGTATAGCATCTCATATCATCATAGCCTGGCCAGTCGTAGTCCTATCATGTTTATAACCCGCTGCAAAAGTCATGTCATATCTCGCTGTTAATTATTTCGTCGGCCCAGTCCTTCGACTTCGTTATCTCGGATACTTGCCTGCCTCTCCTCCGCCCTCCCATCAATCGCTCAACTCCGTCGCAGCCAAACTTCCGAGCCCTCGTTTGTTTGTTTACTTCTCACCCGCATCGTCCTCCGCATCCGTAGATCTCCCTATCTTTCCCCTGACGACCCTCCTCCTCGGTCCTTCTCTCGCCCGGCGTTATCGGTGGTTTCATGCCCGGCTGCTCGTCTGCCCTCTTGCTCTTTCGAGCGGATCTGCCCGTAGACAAGCTCTGGTGTTGATATCAGTCGACATCGCCCTCCACACCTTGGTGGCCCTGGTGTATGCCGTTTACTCATCCATATATCTTAACCCCGGACTTGACGCCTGGTGTTGTTCCATGCGTAGTGGCATATTATCTGTTGCAAGGTATCGTCATCACAGAAAGCAGAGGTCTCTTTAGACATTGAGGTCATAAGCCATATATTTGATGTTATAGAAGTAGATGCTGGTCCCATCCTGCCTCGATGCCAGGTTGACTTGCCAGCCTCAGGTTAGGTGAGGATAATTGACAGTGGTGATGTGACGAACACGACAGTCTCATAGCTGGCCGCAAGACTCATCACAGGTTCCTGGAACATAGCAACTCATCGTTAATAAAATTCAGCCTAAATTGTCTTGCTCAATCAATACAAGCAGTCTTTCTCCATTCGTTGCTGCACAGAAGTCGTTCCTGAATAATTAGTCAATTAAATGGCGATGCTGAGAACAGGCGTAGCAGCGCTGTGCGGCTCCAGGACGATTGAAGCTGAACTTCGTCTTCTCCAACAACTTCACCCAAATTTATTTCGTCTCGGCCTTAACTCTCCTGAACCGCGAACTGCCCTCTGCATTCACGACCCACGATCGTTTCGCTCGGAAAAAGTTACCAGTATTTCATAGGAATTTGCATACACGCAGCATGTCGCTTACAGCCTCTGCACCGCGTGCTGCGCAGGTGCAAATCGGCATTATTGGCATGGGCGACATGGGACGCATGTACGCTCGGCGACTGTCTGGCGCCGGATACATGTTCGTATTATCTTTGCAGAGTTGAATGCTTCACGCGCGTGCTAACTACTATCACTTTAGAATAAATGCGTGCGATAGAGAAGAACGGTTTGAAAGTCTCAAAGAAGAGTATAAAGATGGTGCGTATTCTTGTCGAATTCGTGTCCCCGCAGTATATGCTAACGATAGATATCAGCGCCGCTTGTGAACATATTCAAGAACGGACACTATGTTTCCCGTTTGAGCGACTATATAATCTACTCCGTCGAGGCGGAGAATATAGACAAAATCGTGGCGGCTTATGGTCCCTGTATGTCCCAAACCTCAGCAGTTTGAAGATTATAGAGAATATTGATTACTGATGTCACTGTGTTTCTTTAGCAACAAAAGTTGGAGCAATAGTCGGCGGACAGACGTCGTGTAAAGCACCTGAGATTGCTGCGTTTGAGGCCCATTTGCCGGCGGATGTTGAAATTGTGTCGTGCCATTCGCTTCATGGACCAAATGTCGACACTCGAGGTCAACCACTAGTATGTATCTATATGCTGATTGATTAGTTTACTATGCGGGCTAACACAGACTAGGTTCTTATTCAACACCGCGCAAGCGACGAGTCTCTTGAGCTCGTCAAGTCGATATTTACGTGTTTCAACTCGCAGTACGTCTACCTCACCGCGCAAGCGCACGACAAGATCACGGCCGACACGCAGGCAGCTACACATGCGGCATTCATGAGCATGGGCGTGGCATGGCACGCCAACAATCAGTTCCCATGGGAAGTGCCGCGCTACGTGGGCGGGATCGAGAACGTGAAGATCAACATCTCGCTGCGGATTTACTGCAACAAGTGGCACGTCTACGCCGGTCTGGCGATCATGAACCCGGCCGCGCATGACCAGATTCTTCAGTACGCGCAGTCGGTCACGGATCTGTTTACGCTGATGATTGAGCACAAGAAAGACGAATTCCGACAACGCATTTTCAGCGCGAGAGATTACGTCTTTGGCGGACTTCCAGACGACCACGAACTCCTGCTCTCGGACGACTTGCTCGACAAGTTCTCGCTCTCAAACGTGCCCGCCGACGCGCGAACGCCGAACTCGCACCTCAGTCTGCTGGCGATGGTGGACTGCTGGTGGAAGCTCGGCATCGTGCCGTACGACCATATGATTTGCAGCACGCCGTTATTTAGAATCTGGCTTGGTGTTACCGAGTATCTGTTTCAGTCGCCGGGGTTGTTGGAGGACTGTATCAAAGTTGCGTTGGAGAACGATACTTTTAGAGCAGATGACCTGGAGTTTACAATGGCCGCCCGCGTAAGTCACTATTACCTTTTTTATGCCTAGACACAAAAACTAACGATAATACATAGTCATGGAGCGACATCATCACATTTCGAAACTTCGACTTGTATCAAAAGAAGTTTGAGAGGACGCAGAAATACTTTTCGCCCCGGTTTCCGGACGCGACGAAGCTGGGCAACGAGATGATCAAGACGATATTTGAAAAGACAAAGCAGAAGAAGGTCTGATTGCATGGGGCGGATATGGTAGCTAGGATGATTTATGTATAATTATGCTTTGCAGTCTATTAAAAACTAGTATAACAAGATATCAGAGCAGAATCGCCCAAGAGGCTGTGCGCGCTCTAGGCAACTCTTCACCACAGATAAAAAAAAAGAAAAATATGTCGCTTCAGTCCTTCGCCTCCCTACGACGACCTCAATGAAGAGATACGTAGAAGAAGTCACGCCGAAAGAACTAAGAAAGTGAATTCCATTAATCAAGGGAGCAGGGAACGGAGGACAACCTATAGAGAACAAGAGTAACCCTCAACTGTGCATATTTAATGCGGCTCCGTTTGAAATTATACATGTAGTATAACCTCTACTATATGGGAGTTAGCAAACAATCACAATCATAGTCTATAATACACAGAAAAACACGCACCTGATGATGTAAAGAAAAAAGGAAAAGAAGACCAGAAAAATTTGGGAGGCGCGAACTTATATACGGCCGCGCACGTGCAAAGCCCTAAAGCCGGACAAACGTTTAAACCCTACTTTTATCGTTCGAGGGTCTCGTACGCATGCACCCATCCCGGGTAAATCTCACCAGCACCGCGACTGCTGGTTCGTGAAAGAAGCAGCCGGCTGCTGCTGCTGCTCTGCTCGTCGAGTCGAAAACACGTCTGCTCTGCTGCCGCTCTGCGCACACGCGAACGGTAGACGGGCGACGGGCAGATGGGGCAATTCCCAAAGCAGCTAGCGTACTTCCTAAACTAGCCAGCAAGCCGGGACCGGGTAACTCTCTCTCGGCAACCCGCTGCTGGTGTTTGCCCTCGTCGCCAGGTCTTCTTCCCACCGCCATTCCGCTCACCAGCCCCGTCTGAACACGCCCGCCCGCCCTCCTCCGCGCCTGCGTCTGCCGGTTCCCTGCTTCACAACGCCTCCCGGACTCCGCAGCTCCTCAGGATCGCCTGCTCTGCCCAGACTTCTCTCGCCCGACAGCCCCCGCCTCGCGTCCCTCGCTTCTGCTCGTGCGGCGTGCCCTCTCTCGCTATCGTATCCGTCCCGCACGCTGCCCTCGCCGCCTCTCCTCGTCCTCGCTGCCCCTCGCCGTCGCTTGATCTGTGCGTGTTCTGATCGGACTCTGGGCGCAGCTTCTTGGTTTGGTGCCAGACAACGTAAGAGTACGTCATTGAGTCTTCTCCGCCCTTTGATCTGTCGCCTTCTGCTTTTGAAATCATCGCCGTACGCTCTTTGCCCCCCGCCCCCTCTTGATGCAAAGATTTAGAGGCAGCGTGCTTCCTCCGCCGCGCTCTTGCTTCCTGCGATATTTTGCACAGTTGCATATGCTGCCAGATCCTTCGAGCACACTGCACACCCTGCTGTTCGCGGGCGTTGTGCTGGGGCCCCGCCGCGGATCAGGAATCGCAGAACCAGATCGAAGTCAAGCCTGACAGCTGATTTTTCTCTAACCTCTCTCTCTAGGCACCACCTCTCCTCCTCCCACTTGATGCATCATCTCCTTGCCACAAACTTCTCTTTTGGTCGCGACACTTTTGCATTACTCGTTCTCGCTGAGATCTGCCCGTAAGGCACATTAATGGCATCTCCTCGGCCACCCAACGTGCCTACCTCCACCGCAGCTGCCTCCTCGCAACTTTCAGCACAGGCTTTGGGCACGATTGCTAACCAAGGCAAGGGCATCCAGAACTTCTCTTTGCTGTCTCAGAAGCAGCAGCAGATGTACCTACAACAACAGGCGCAACTTCAACAACAGCATGACATGCCAGTGTCGCAGCAGCAACAACAACAGCAGCAGCAGCAGCAACAGCAGCAGCAACAACAGCAGCAACAGCAACAGCAATTCATGCTGCAACAACGCCAACAGCAGGCAGCCGGCAAGCCTATGACGCAGCCTCAGATATTTCAGTACCAACAGATGCTTCGCCGGCAACAGCAGATGATGAACGGCGGCATGCCTCAAGTCTCGGGCGCGCAAATGTCGGTACCGTCGCAAATACCAACTGCAGTTGCTGTCCCCGGCGGTCCACAGCCACAGCACGCTCCACAGGGCTACCAGTTCCAAACACCTGCGGGCGTTGGCGCTGCAAACATTCAACTGGCGAACCAAAATGTGCCGCAGCATCTGATACAGCAGCAAATACAGCAAGCTATGGCGAAGCAGCAGCACCAGCAGCAGCAGATGCAGCAGCAACTCCAGCAATCTCACCAGGCTCAACAGCACGGGCAGCCGATCTCGCAGCAGCCGGGCGGTCAACAACAACAAAGCCATCCTCTACAACAGTCACAAACCGCGTCACATCCTCAGTCAACCCACCCAACTCCTCAGCTCGCAGCTCATGCTCTACCGCCGTCGGCTCCTCAACCGGGCCCGGGCCAGTTCGCGCCTCAAGCTTTGCAGATGACTGCTGCGCAGCAGCATTTGTTGCAGCAGCAGGTTGCTCAGCAAGGGCATCAACAGCAGCAACTTGCCATGGCCGGAGGAATGGGCATGAATACGATGCAAGCGGCTGGAGTCAGAGGGTATGCTTTTCTCAAGATCATTTCAAGTGCATAAAATTCTAACGTATTGCGAATTTAGGAAAAACATGGTCGGCCTGATGCGGCTCTTGTCGTTTTGCGAGAGTCTAAGTGCGGGTACCGAGCAAAAGAAAGACTTGGACTACTGGAAGCGGTTTGTATTGGAATATTTCACAGAGCTCGGCGGGATGAAGTATACCGTTGTCAACTCGAACGACAAGATACCAAAACATTACGAAGTCCCCAACCTCGCGCTACCTCGATACTACCACACCTTATTCCAAGACGGCGTCCGTCGCGTACAAATAATACCCGAGAACGCGCGCGAGGTGACGATGGCGCCGGATGTGCATGTGATTGAGTGCGCGCGCGCGACGATGATCTACTGGTTCCAGAGCGGGTCGCATGTTGTTTCGCATGGCTCGCTGCGGGTGTTTATAAACGGGCACGCGCTGCGGATCGACAGTTTGGAGTTTCACGCGCACGAGCATAATGAGTTTGTGCCGCGGAGTATAGCGATGGCGGCGGTGAACGCAGGACGGCAAGAGAACGACGCGAATTCGTCGGCGTCGGCGTCGGTGTCCTCGTCGTCTCCGTCGGCGGCGCAGTCGGCTGCTGTTGCGGCGGTGTCTCGCTCGCAGGTGAACGGGTACGGAATCACGGATGCTTTGACTCGATTTCTGCAAATCACGCAGGTGATGGCGCAGATGAGGGAGTTGGTTCCATATTATTTGTCGCCGAATAATGCTGCTGGGCCGTTGCAGTCGTTCACGGCGTTTGTCAATCTGATAAACGTTCAGCGCGAGAATTCACAGCATCAGCAGCAGCAACATCAGCAACAACAACATCAACAACAGCAGCAGCAACAACAACAACAACAACAACCACAACAGCAATCATCACAACAATCACAACAGCAACAATCACAACAACAACAGCAGCAGCAACAACAACAAGATGGAGCTGGATCAAATACCGATTCAAAAGGACAGTCGCAAATCAAACAACAGCAGGGATATCCCAACCTGCAGCTCCAAATGAAACAGCAAGAACAACAACAACAGCAGAACCAACAAGGCCTGTCACAGGACCAAAAAAGCATGTCCGACAACATGGGCAACCTCAAAAACGAGCCCGACGTGAAAGACGAAGACGACTCCGCGATGGCGATCGACGGCGCTATACGTGCCGAGGGCAAAGCCGAGAAAGGAACCGAAGGCCACGACGTGACCCTGATCGACGCCTCCTCGGGCACCGGTGCGCGAGCGCTACAGACCGACGGCGGATCACCGATAATGATCAATTCCCCTTCGCCCAGCCAATCCGGCTCCGGTCCGCAAAGCCCGCGAAGTCTCGCAAACAAACGAAGGCGCGATACGCTCACTGGGACCGGTAACGGAAATTCAGCGAACGTGTCGAATACGGGCATGATGCTGGGCCAGCAAGCGATCGGCGGGAACCAGGGCAATGGCGCGGACATGGTGGTGTCTGTGAAGGAAGAGGAGAGGAAAGATGCAAAGATGAGTCCAAAATTGGGGAAGCAGCCGCCATTGAAGCGGACAAAGACTGGTAACGGAAGTTAATCAGCTCTTTTTAATTCCAAAAGATTGCCGTTTATTTCCATTTTTTTGTTTCATTTTTTATTTAATCTTGTCGCAACTTGTACACTACGTGTAGTCTGGTTTTTTCTTACTTATGTTTTTGCGTTTATTTTGTTGAATTGTGTTTGTGTATTAGATGCATTTTTCAGTCTCGTAGGAAGTGAGATATAGTTGGTTTTTCGAGTATAATAAAATAATTCTTCCGCGCTATTTTATTTGTTTCTCAACTCTGCGGATTCAGTATGCGAACGTGATTGAGTATGCTGTACGTCATGATTTCTCGACCTGAGGGGTCTTGATGTGGAGATCTGCGATTACGTTCGTGGTATCGACGGTGAGATCCCTTTATCGCGAGTTGGGATCTAAAATGCTTGGAATAGAGCGTCAAATAAAGAACAAAAGCATACAGTCAAGTTGAACATTTGAGATCTTATTGAAAGGGGGAAACAACAGACTCGCGTAGGCAGAAGGCGGACAGATAGAACACAGATCGCGATGCTCATGACGACGACAAATTCTTATCAGCAGCCATCACCTATCCCAGCAGCAGAACCGTTTCCAACAACCATTCGCAAAACAATCAATCCCTTCCACATCAACAGAACAGTAAATCAACAAACACAGCCATAAACCAACCATTACCCCGACCAGAGTCTCTGAGCAAACGTTCAAGTTCAAGAGCCTCGACCGATTTGTCTGGATTTGACGGCATTCGATTCGTATTCGCGAACCTTGTTTGGGTTATCCGTATTCGTGTAACCTTCCTTAGACAGCGTATCAAGATTCCGACTGACTTGTCCATTGTTTACGGCAGCGAATGACTTCTTCCAAGAACGCGTTTTCTATGCTATTTTATAGCTTAGATAATAGAGCAGATTAGAATTGATACTATGTCAATGAACTAGTTTGCTCTCTGAGCTTGCAGCAGATGTAAGAGGAGAGCAAGATAGGGTCTGGTACGCAGGCTCGAAAGTGAGCGAAAAGTTAAAAACCCAAAAATCCGATAATCGATAATGAAAACAGCACCATCGTCGTCGGTTCCTGAGCTGTTTCTCCATCTTCTTCTTGCTCTATTCCACACCCTGCTTTTCTCTCTGAAGTTTTGAGCATTGTTAGCAATGGCATTTACTTACAAGCCTTCCATCATCGTGACCGCGTGGTTCGTTATCTCGAACCTCCTCGTGTCTTGGGTAAGCACCCGTCGAACAGCCCTTTCTCCGATTGGAGAACAACAGCACACCATGCACTTTGCGCAGAAAAACATAGAGCAATTGGTTATTTTGTGGTCAATTGCTAACGCAGATTGTTTTAGGACGCGACTTATATGCTCTGTCGCCCCCATTCAATGCCGGGCGGTAAACTCCACTTCTTGTGGAAGCCATATGCGCTGTATGTCCACCTTCCCCTCCCCCCTTTCTTCATACAAAACACTCACGTCTGACTAAATCCCACAGCTACGGCACGATTGACTACGTCTACGGCTGGCCCGCCTACAACGACAAGGACGGCTTCCCCGGCGCGCAGGCCTTCCTGACCCTAGTCGAGTCCATGTTTTTGTACTACTACATCTACACCTCATATTTCTCCACAAACCAAAACACCCGTCTCAACGGCGCCTTTGTCGGATTGTTTGCCGCGACCTCGTGTTTTTCCAAGACGACGCTGTACATGCTGTGCGAGTACTTCTCGGGCTTCAAGTACGTGGGGCATAACCCGCTTCCCACGCTCATCTCGCTCTACATCCTGCCGTCGGCGCCCTGGATCTTTATGAACTTTTACGCGATGATGGCGATTGGTGGGCAATTGAAGGGCGCTATTGTGGGTGCTACCGCTGAGAAGAAGACGAAATAAGCGTCTTGACTTTGACTTTTGTGGGGGTCGCTATCTCAATCCCATCAGCAGCGAACGATCGAGACGAGACGAAATCATAAAAAAATAAAGACAATTGGAACATACAAGACGTCATTTCTTTTTCTTCTTTCAGTGGTATAGAGAGAAGAGAGAGAACGAGGTTTAAGCAGAGATATTGGACAGAGTAGCGCTTGTATTGTATTAGTATTATCTTGGCATGTTTAGTGTTAAATGTTATAAAGATCTATATACGTTCTCACCGGTTGTATATTAGTCGTGAATACAGGTTTCGGACGTATATTTACTATATACTTGAGTATCTCTCATGGTTGGCGCTCTAGGGGGTATGTTGTAGTTATGTGTTATATGTAGTGTTAATTCGGATAACAACAGATAAACTATTTGAGGTGGAAAAACAACGGACAAAGAAAACCAAATATGAGCAATAATCAAAGACAAAATAAAAAAACAACAAAGAAACGATTGCAAACAGTCACCGAATGTAATGTACACAAAAAAATAAATAAAAGAAAATAAATGAATGAACAAATGCTTTGAGGTACTCGGTATCTGATCCACGGTACCGCTTCAAACACCGATTCGCATCTTTCCCGAGATGACTTGTGGATTCTCAAGTACAGTTGACATTGCTTTGGAGAAGAATGCAGATTTGCAAAGATGGCTGGTCTAGTCAATTCATGAATGATCTCCACTCGCTATGTGTTTGGAGAAGACACCTGGGTGCTCCTCTACAACGACAAAGAGTACGAGTACTCATCCTCCACGTTCTGCGAGATCCACAAGACAACGCAACTCAGCATCAACAACCCGTTCGCAATCATATTACTGATTCCAAAGTACACGGTCGGCCAAGGATACTGCGGCACGATGTACTTGAGAATCAGCACGACGATGCTCCCCGCAAACCCACCCGCCAGCAACGCAAACCCCATAAACAGCACCAGCCGTGCTTTCCACGCAACGTTATCCCCGCCAAACGAAAACGAGGCGTCGGACGACAACCGCGCCTTGTCGACCGAGTTGATGACGATTATCCCCAGCAGCGAGCAGATGCCCGGGATCCAGTCCACAAACTTGACGTGCACATCCGACCCGTTGTACTTCTTGGAGTAGATCGCAGAGTCGAGGAAAAACCAAAAGCCAAGCGAAAACAACCCGCCGGCGAGGTACACGCCTGCAGAGCGGACGTGGGCCGACGAAGGCAGTGGCGGGAGTGGAATCGGGAAACGAAACAGTTTAGGTCCAGACGACATTCTTTCTTTTCTCTTTGCTTCCTGCTTCAGGTAATTATCGACGTATTTCCTCGGGAGTTTTATCTGAGAGCTCGGGAACCGGGATTGATTTATCTGGATTCTGGTGATAGTTTGGCAATTTACGTCCTTCGCTGCTCAAAGCGGCGAGTCGATGCTATCTTGGTACAAGAGCCTTAGAATCAACTACTCCGATGACATAATCATCCAAATGCAGATCATCGCCTGCAAAGATCAGATAGTCCACAACGACTCGATTCGATTTACTAACGCTGTTCGAACCACAAGTACACACAAGAAGAACAAAAGACCAAATGCAACAAAAAGTGATCGTCTATCAACCCAGAACGAAGCCCACAAAACAAAAACATGAGAAAATATAGAATATAAACACGGAAACTTGAAGATAATACACACCATAGATCGATTTGCCCTTACTCTGATAGATACCGCTTCCCTGCGATAATAGCGCGTAATCCAGCCTTTTGATCACGTTGCGGGCTTATACGCCACCGTTGATGTTACTCAAAGTCTGGTCCCAAACCGCTTTATTCTTCCGGATCTGCTCGGCAGCGAACTCGATCTCGGGAACGCCTTTACCGACCGTCTCGAAAAACGGATAGGCAAAGGTGTTTATAAAAAACAGCTGACCCTTGGCGAGCGCTGTGAGCTCTGAGGACGGAGTCGTAGTTGCAGGTTGCGAAGGCGGGGGTTGCTTGAGACCCAATCGCAGCTCGAGATCAGCCATGTTCTTGAACTCTTCGGTTAATACTGTTCCCCAGTGAGTCGATATATCCATTATGCGTGCCTAAATCAAGTTAGCTAGATATAATCAAAAAAAGATCTCATACGGGGACACATACAACATTACTGATATCAGCACATTTTATCAAAGACGCACACAGCAGCCGTTTTCGATAGCCACCATCGCCTTCAACAACAACATCACCCCCTTCCGAAATCGCCTTGACAACCGCCGTAATCTTCTGCATGTATTCATTATGCATCGCCATATCCGTCGCCAGCACGCTCTCGACCATGATGCCCTTGATTTCAAGCTGTTGATGCACCGCGGGCCAGTACCGGTGCAGGATCTGGCTGAACGCGGCGCAGTGGAAGGATTCGAGCACGCTGCGGTCGGAGTAGATGCGTGCTAGTGGCGAGCGCGCGGATATCAGGAAACTGTTTGTGACTCCGGGATGGCCGACGTCGTGGCCGATGGCGGTGACGAGAAGCGCGAGCGCGTCGATGGGAGTAAGGAGTACGGACAGGGACTTTTGCGGCGCTGGTGAGGTCTCTGATGAGGATGCAAATGATGTTGGGGTTGATGACGGGGCCGTCGGAGATGCTGATGATGGTGGTGATGGGAACGACGCAGATGGAGGAAGGGGTGGGATGGCGTGCATGCAAAGCAAGAAATAGAAAGTAGCCTGGAGAACGTCAACGACATGGCGAAAGTTGTGATATGGGTTGATAGGCTGGTATGACCGTCTGAGAACGAAGAGAAACCGCTTGAGCTGGTGCCGGGTGAGGACTAGAGACTCCACTTCAGGCATGGTGAACGCGTGCTCGAAGATGAGGAAAGCGCACTGCGCGAGATCGTCGTCCGTGAGCCGGTGCGCAGGGAAATCCCAGGTGCCTATCAGCGAGCGCAGATACGAATTCTTTGCCTTTTCGCAAGCGCTCTCTTCGCTCTTGTCTGCGGATTTATCCGCGTCGGCGTTCGCCATATCAGCGTGCGCGAGATCGAAAAACATCTCGTGAAACAAAAAGTCAATAAGACGCTCTTCCTCAATGACCCCGCGCGTCGGCGTCGTCGGGCCTCCGATCCAGTTTGCGGCATACGTCGGCGGTCGAGGTCGGACTGTCGTATCAGAGTCTGTGGCGGCCGCGGCAGCAGTCGTGCGGTGGACGTGGGCGACGACTCCGCGCAGCCGGGTGGCCTGAACAGCCCGATCAATCACATCTACTGCGCCGAGGTTGACGAGGCGCGTCATTTCGGAGTCCTCGTTGGCGACGAGGGCGACGGGGAGGATGGTTGGCGGGTACTGGCGCTGCTGCAGGGTCACGAGCATGCTGTCAATCGGGCCGTCGATGAACAGCACGAGCGGCGACGCTGATTCCGCATAGCTGTCTGCGTGCTCGAAGCAGAGGCTTTCCGAGGGAACGCAGTACACTGCAGAGACATAAAACACTAGTCAGAAAACGCACACTAAAAAGAAAAACCGGCGGGCGTCCATACGGTCTGGGAAGAGATCTTCGATTACGCGGAGATTGCGAGCCAGCGCAGGCTCAAGACCCGGGCCGTAGGCCTTTGGGCGGCCAGGAGCAGGCAAACGCGGGTCCACGTAGCATGCACTGAGGGCCATTATTCTGCTTGCTTTTGTCTTGAATTCTGGAGCTTTTCTTTCCTTTTCGTCCGTTTCAGCCTCTATTTCGAAAAACCGGGTCTCCTCCGACTCTTAAAACTCTCCAAAAGAGGAGCCGTGGTCTTAGTGCGCCGGGGGGCGGCGAGGGCCACCCTTCCGCCCTAACCCATGGAATACCTTCGGGCTTTCGTTTTTCCGATGCAAACTTTCCTCACATCCCGCCGAATCTCGGTTTCGAACGGTGCCGCCCCCACCGTCTCTTGCGCGCGCACAGTCCATCCAGGTTTTACAGTTGTCCGAATTGATCGTCGTCTGAATACCCCGTTTCTATAGTATCAAAAAATGTACAAAAAGGTTCTCGTGATCGTAGTCAGTCATGTCTAAGACGTGTGTCTGAGGCGGAAGGTGAAGAAAAATTTTTCCCTTTCCTGACTCTCTCGTTCCTCTTCTCTCCTACTCGTAGATCATCTCGTCGTCCCGTATCATTTCAATTAATCATGCCATCCGCCGCAGGTCTCTGATAACCTTCTCAAGCCGTCGTCTCTCCTCAAGCTCGGCTTTCATAGCCTGCGCATGCGTAGCTTTCATTTCGGTCACCATCTTTCGGAACTCCTTTCGCAAGACCGCAACCGACGCACTTTCCCCTGGCGTGTTTATAATATTGCTCGCCACGCCACCACTGCTATCCGTGTGCGCCGCAAGCACTCGCACCCGCGAATCCGCAATGTGCGCCTCCAGCTCGAGATTACGTTCGCGGACTGCGTCGAGCTCGTGTTCGAGCGAAATCCGCTCGCCTTCAAACTCGAGCGACTGCTGGAGCAGAGAGTCGTAGCCGGCCTGCACCTGCCGCAGCTCCGCCTTTAGCTGAGCGACTGAGTGCTCGTCGTCGATGCCGCTGCCGGGAGTGAGTACTCTCGAGCCCGGCCTGAGCGGCGTGGGATTCTTGCCTTGTTGCGCAATGTTCGACGCGGAAGTCCGTTTTTCTGCTCGGCTGGCTTCCAATCCTGCCAGACGTTCGCTAAGGACCGCGTTTTGCATCAGGATCGTCTGGAATTCGGCAGCGTGCTCTTCTGATAGACTTGCGAGTTCGCTCTCCAGCTTGGAAACCTTAGACCGCAGATCCGTGTTCTCCTGCTGCAGCGACTGCTTTGCTTCGTCAGCAGCAGCTAGCGGGATACTTGTAGCCGTTGCGGCCCGTAGTCGAGAAATCTGCTGGTCCTTTTGCGCGTTGAGCTCTAGTAGCCGGGTGACCTCAGTCTCGGCCTGCTCGAGGCTCTGACGCAGCTCGGTCTCCAGCAGCGCGCGTCGCGAAGCGGCTTCGTTGTTTGAGCTTGCGGCCGCGATCATGGCGCCCGCAGAGGCCAAATCACGCGTATATTCCTCTTCTTTCTCACGTAAACGATTTTGCGTGTTTACGAGTTCGGTTTTCGTATTTGTCAATTCCTCGCGCAGAGCGTTTGCCTCTTCAGAAGAGATCAGGCCTGCTGTAGCATTCAGTTTCTCGTTCAGCTGCGCGTTCTGCATAAGAATCGTCTCGAATTCGGAGGCGTGCTGGCTGGATTGCTGCTGGATCTCGGCCTGTAATCGCTCAATCTGAGACAGCAGTGCTGTAGTATCTGGACTGTCTTCAACCGTAGAAAGATCGCGCGACGACGACGACGTTTGCTGCTGCAATGTCGCAAGCTCAGACTGGGCCTTTTCCAAATCGCGAGTGACAGCAACGTGCTGCTCACTCTTTTCGGCTGAGATCTCGACTATCGATGCCTCGAGTTCGGCAATGGACTGCTGCAGCTGGCGCCGACTTGATTCGCTTTCGGCCAGAGCCGAGCGCGCGTCGAGATTTATGAGATGCTGCAGATTCAGGGTGTCGGAGCCGTCGAATGTGGAGGTGGAGTCAGAGGTTAAAAGAGACTCCATGTCGAAATCGGTGGAGCGTTTCGCAGCAGCAAGCGAATCAGGATCAGGCATCGTTGCGAGAACAGAGGTCAAGGGAAAGACGTAGTCCTCTGCGACTTGCTGGCTGAGTGCGCGGTAATGAGCCAAAAGAACGCGCTGGGCTTCTAGAAGCTCATTTTGAACAGCGACGAGCTCGGTGTCGGTGCTCGACTGGAACGGCGATGAGGCGATGAATGCGTCCGCGTCTTGCAGCGCGGCATCGGAAGAGGGTGCTGGGCCGAGCTTGCGCAGGGAGTCTGCTGCCGCGATAACGGACGAGTGTAGGGTTTGCTGGCGAGTTATCGAATCGAGTTTTGAGGCTAGAGTGGATATTTTCTGGAGGGGGGAGTTAGTGTGGAGAGGTGGGGAGGGTGGTAAACAATGACGTGAGACTGACGGTTTGCAGCACACGCGTCTGTTCTGGGGGAAGCAGGGCGTGGGAGGAGGCGGGTGAGGAGGCATCGAGCACCGCATCTTGGAGAAGGGAGAGCATTGGTGAGAGAGTGAGAGAGTGAGACAGTGAGCAGGAGGAGGGAGTGAGGGAGTGGAAGGGTCTGTTGTGACGCGATATGTCGAGGTGAGGTGAGGACGTGTAGTGTAGCAGGCGTGCGCGCAGGAAGCCAGGCAGAGCCTAGGCGGACCAGCTGGTTATAATTGAGCCAGCGGAGGAGAGATGAAAAGTGAGAAGAGGCTAGGAGGAGTAGCAGCAGCAGCGGTAGTATCAAGAACACAACAACAACAGCAACAACAGCAGCAACAACAACAACTAAACCGCTTCTTCGACGACCTGGATCTTTGAGGCTGCTTTGTTTCTTCCTCACCAAACCTTCTTCACTATTTTGGTTCCCACTCCACGGACCCCTTAATTACATAATCACCTCGAGCCGCGTCGAGGCAGAACCCCCAAAACAACGCCTCCGCTTCCTCCTTCTGCAGTCCTTTCTTCGGTCTGCGCTCGTCCTCAGACGGTCTCTTGTCTTTTGCGCGTCGGTATCTGCTCCTTCTCCTTCCTATCTTCACATCAAACCCGACCCTACAGTGGCATTCAATCCACACGTCTTCTCTGCAGCTATGCAGCAGCAGCAGACCGCTCATCGCAGGCCAATCCCTTCTCCCGACAACCCTCGTTTCAACTCGCAGCAGCCGCCGCCGCGTTTGGCCTCCTTCGCCGGCTCCTCCGTCTCCTCTACCTCCGCCGCCGCGCCTTTTTATCAGGATGCCCGCCGCTCGGTCTCTGCGTCAACCGCGACCACAATGAGCTCGGCATCGCGACAGCTCTCCCTGGGCTCGCAGCAGCTACCCGCGTCCCTATTCCAGATCGCGGTCTCCCTGATTACGCGTCTGCAGACCGTCCCCGGCCTCGAGCTCTACCTCTCGCAGGCGCGCTTCTCCGCCCCGACCGACACGCCTTCAATGCTTCTCTCTGCGTCCTCGTTCGACTCTGCTGTCACGCCGCATGCGGGCGCGAGCGAAAAACCGGAGCCGTCGTTTGAGAAGGACTCGAACGACATCGACCCCGTCACGCAGCTCTGGCGGTTTCTCCGACAGGGCACCTCGCTCTGCGTGCTTTTGAACGAGGTCACGAACGCGCTCAAGCTCAAGGAGAGCATAGACGACGCAGAATTAACCGACGACGACAACGACTCCAGCATTCACACCAGCATCAACTCTAGAAACAATCACAGCAACAACAACAACAACAGCGGCAGCAGTAGCAGCAGTAGCAACAGCAGCCGCAACACCACCCTTCACCACTCCGACGAGGACGAGGACGATGACGACACGTCGACTTTGACAAACGGATCTTTACTTATTGTGCCCGACTCTCGGATCCTGCCTCCGTCACAGCAGGATTTAAAAACATGCAAACGCGGCGTGTACGAGTTTGTGCACGCCTGCAAGCTACGTTTGGGATTTGCGGACGAGGACTTGTTCACGGTAATGAACGTGTTTTCGGACGACACGACCGACCTGCTCAAAGTGACGCGGACTGTTCATCTCGTGCTCGATCTGTGGGACGACGCGACGCAGAGCAGTCCGTCGCCGACGACGGCGGAGGAGAGCACGTCTTCGGTATCGACGGACTCGCTACCGTCGAATCACCGATCAAAAGTCGTGCAAGAGCTACTGCAGACCGAGCGCAGATACGTACAGGATCTCGAGCGACTGCATGTGTATATGAAGCAGCTGCAGCATGAAGAGATTGTATCTGCGGACACGATTCATTTTCTTTTCCCGAACCTGAACGCGCTCGTCGATTTCCAGCGAAAGTTCTTGGTCGGTGTAGAGACAAATGCGCGGATGCCGCAGTCGCAGCAGCGGTTTGGCGCGCTTTTTCTGTCTGCCGAGCTGGCGTTTGCGGTGTACGAGACGTATGCGTCGCAGCAGAAGCGCGCTTCGGATCTGGCGATTCACGAGGCGCCTAAACTTGCTAAGCTGTCGCATTTGATTGAGCCGAGCTATGAGCTGCCATCGATTTTGATAAAGCCTATTCAGCGCATCTGTAAATATCCTCTGCTGCTGAAGGTGAGTCCTACTTTTTATGATTTATAATTGATTTATTGATCAGAGTATTAACATTTTTTCAAGGAACTATTGAAATACTCACCGGAAAGTGATGATGGTTATGCAGAACTATTGGATGGATTTCACGCGATGAAGCGAGTGACTGATCGGGTGAATGAGAAACAAAGACAGACGGAAAACAAGCAAACTGTCGCGTCGCTTTGTGCGCGCATAGATGACTGGAAGGGACACAATATAGAGTTTTTTGGAGACTTGCTGTACGATGGATTATTCCAGATGGTGGATGTGGACAAGGAGTATCATATATACCTGTTTGAGAACATTTTGCTGTTTTGCAAAGAGGAGATGATTACGAGTCCGTTGTCGATTGGTGGACGTGCGCCGTCGACGACTACGCTTTCGGGAACAGGCAGCGGAGCCGGGTCGGTGCCGATGTCTGCGTCTTCGAGTTCATCGGGGACGAGCACGAAGAAGAAGAAGCACAATATGGGCCTGTCGTCGGTGGGAAAGAAGGCTAGTCTGTCTTCGTTCTCGACGGTGTCGATATCGCATCCGTTTTCGTCGTCGTTAGCGACGGGCGGGGGCGGAGCGCTGTATCTGGAAGGACGGGTGTATATCGACAATGTGATTGACGTGACGACGTCGATGACAAAGGTCGAGTATGGCGATCCGATTGCGACGAGCGGGTACCATCTGACGATATACTGGCGATTCCAGTCCGCCCCGAACGGGCACAGTGCGGACACGCGAGCGGACGCCAACAAGTTTTCGATTCGATTCCGCAACGAGGAGATGCTGCGGCAGTGGGAAGCGACGCTGAGGCAGCTGATTGAGAGCCGGAAGCAGCAGCGGGCGGCGGAGCAGGCGAATATGACTACGCCCACGCTGTCGAATCCGAACGGGTTTGTGCCGTCGCATAACCACTCGAACTCGCTGTCAGCGTTTGCGGCGGCGCGCAACCGGCGGCAGTCGGACGAGACGTCGTCGACGGTGTCTACGGCGTCGTCGAACGTGATGCAGCATGTGTCGTCTGCGTCGTCAGCGTTGACGCAGCCGGCGGTGGCAGGCGCGGGCGGGCCGTATGTGGTTGCGGCGGAGACGGGCCCGGCGCGGCCGCCGGGATCGATCAAGCTGCGGCTGTCGTTCCACACGGACAGCTATATGGTTCTGCTGCCGGCGAACATGACGTTTTCGGACATGGTGTCGAAGGTGGAGAAGAAGCTGCGGTTGTGCAACGGGGCCGCGTTTGACGAGATGGTGGAGACGAATCTCGCGGCGGGGGTGAGTGGGTGCGGGGGGATGGGGTATAGGCTGAAGTACCGGGACGAGGACGGGGACATGGTTGTGCTCGAGAGCGCGGGGGATTGGGAGGTTGCGCTGGAGAGCGGAGCGGAGGAGGGGGTGGTGGACATGTCGATATACTGAGTGTTTTTGTTTTTGTTTTTGTTTATGTTTTTTATTTTCTGTTCTCTTTTATTTCTCTTTATTCACGGGACAGTACACGCACGCACTAGCACTTGTGAAGGGGTTTGGAGTTACAAAACCATTGATTATCATCAGAAAGAAGTAGACACCGCGTCAGACACGCGTTGAGGGTTAGGCGTAGTAAGCAGGGGCCGGGAGGGTTCGGGTTTTCCCGGCAGCCGCCTGGTCCGCGAGCAGCTGGTTCTTTGGCGCTGCTTTCTCGCCGTCCGCCGCCGAAAAACTCGCAGAGCCACCGCGAACTGCTCGTCCGCCTCCTCGCCTTCCTCGCTCCCCCACAGCCAGAACCCAGCACCCCCCCTCCGCCCCCGTCCATCCGCGCCCAGCCTGCCTATTCCCGCTCATGGCAGATTTCGCAGATATTGATCTAGAGTCCATCATCGAGCGGCTCCTCGAGGTCCGCGGCTCCCGCCCTGGAAACCACGTCCAGCTGCTCGAAAACGAGATCCGCTTCCTCTGCACAAAGGCCCGCGAGATCTTCATCCAGCAGCCCATCCTTCTCGAGCTTGAGGCTCCTATCAAGGTGTGTACTTCTTCTTTGTTCCTCCTCCTCTTCTTCCTCTCTATCCCCCCCAACTCCTGCTAATTCGCCCCCTTCTCCTGCTCTAGATTTGCGGTATGTGACGACCTGACTAATCCCTTCAACCATTGTCCCTCCTTCTCGCATCCCCTCCTCCTCTTCTCCTCTCTTCTCTAACCCTCCTCTTCTGCAGGCGACATCCACGGCCAGTACTACGACCTTCTCCGTCTCTTCGAGTACGGCGGATTCCCTCCCGAGGCAAACTACCTCTTCCTGGGCGACTACGTCGACCGGGGCAAGCAGTCCCTCGAAACCATCTGCCTCCTCCTCGCATACAAGATAAAGTACCCCGAGAACTTCTTCATCCTCCGCGGAAACCACGAATGTGCTTCCATCAACCGTATCTACGGCTTCTACGACGAGTGTATGTCGCCCACTCTTCCCCTCTCCAGCTCTCTAACCCCTGCTAACCCCACCTCCTTTCTCCCCCACAGGCAAACGACGATACAACATCAAGCTATGGAAGACCTTCACAGATTGCTTCAACTGCCTTCCCATTGCTGCCATCATCGATGAGAAAATCTTCACCATGCACGGCGGTCTCTCGCCTGACCTCAACAACATGGAGCAGATCCGCCGCATCATGCGCCCTACCGATATCCCCGACTCCGGCTTGTTGTGCGACCTCCTCTGGTCCGATCCCGACAAAGACATCACCGGCTGGAGCGAAAACGACCGCGGTGTGTCCTTCACCTTTGGTCCCGATGTCGTCTCCCGATTTCTGCAGAAGCATGACATGGACCTCATCTGCCGCGCGCACCAAGTCGTCGAGGACGGCTACGAGTTTTTCAGCAAGCGCCAGCTCGTCACCTTGTTCTCGGCCCCCAACTACTGCGGAGAATTCGACAACGCTGGTGCGATGATGAGTGTCGACGAGAGCTTATTGTGTTCGTTCCAGATCCTGAAGCCTGCAGAGAAGAAGCCAAAATATGGATATCCCGGAATGGGCGCCACCCCGCGAAAGCAAAAGAAGGTCTCTAAATAGACAATCACCTCTTCTTGTCCTCCCCTGTTTTTCTCTTTTTTGTCTTGTCTTGTTCTTCCTCTCCTCTGCTTTGCGCAACCTCCCGTCCTTCCCGCTCCACTATGCCTCTCTCTCAAGATCTATCTTCGAATTATGTCTGCCATTTTTATATGCTGCCCAAGTTGGTCATGATCTGCCCTCCCCCGTCGTTATGAATAAATTTGACTTCGGATGCCGTTTGTTTTGCTCGTTTGGTTGATCAGCTTGCCCCTCTTCCGCCGCATTGTGTCGTTGTGTTGGCCCCCCTCCGCCATATTTCACTATTTTACTCTTATTATGCTCCATTATCGTTCCATTTGGCCCCGGGTTTTGTGCAGCGTGCAGTGTGTTTATTCCATGTATTTGTACTTTGTCTTCCTCTGGATTTTCCCGGCAGCAGCAGCTAGCTAGCTTCATTCAAATCTCAAATCTCAAATCTTTGTTCCGAGTCCTTCGACAGCGGGTGGCTTGACATATACAGCCATTTAATGTCCCTTTTTCTTATTTTGTTTCTTTTTTTTTTTTTTTCCCGTCAGCTATTAAAAAAGATATGCTTGTTTTATTTCTCTTCTCTTGTTCTCCTTCCAACAGCAGCGGTGTCTCTGTTTTCTTTACTCACTCTTCAGAAAGCTCTGTATATATAGTTATATTTCTTCTTCTTCTCCCTCTACAATTCTTATTTGTCGTGCGTATTATTGACTGTTGACGTGTGCGTGTGCGTGTGCGTGTGTGTTGGCAAACGAACAAAGAAAACAAAACAACAAAAGAGTCTGGGACCACCGTGAGCAAAGAGCTTTATGGAGAGAGAGAGAGCGAGAGATCTCGAGGATTTGTTTATCGCTTGTGAAAGAATACTTTAACCTGTGGATTTTTTATTTGATGCTGTTTTTTCTTTTGCATGCTCCGATTAGAGTGTGCTTCTTCTCTTCTGCTCTTCTTCTTCTTTACTTCTACCCGTGTTTTCTCGTTACTATTATAAACCACTGATAATTCTCCTGTTTGTTTTCCCCTTCGGTTTTGCATTTTTATCAACTTTTTCCTTACATCGATTTATTATTTTGTATGTGCGCTTTATCTATCTTATTATTATTTTCAGTAGTAGCAGTAGTAGTCTGTTTATTGCCTATGTCTTTTAGTAGTATTGTCAATTGTTAAAAACTATTTATCAACAATTTTGTAGTCTGTCTGTCTTTTGCTAGGTTGAGATCTAGCTGAGTGGATGTGGTGTAGATAATGCAGTGACCACATCTAGACTGGTCATCAATTGCATAGCAGGACTGAGGTCGATACCCTCATGTGAATCAGAGCTGGAGTCTTTGCATATATTTGTAGTTTCAAGCACCCGGCGCGTTACACTCAACACAAACGTTGCCGTTATCATCTAATATTGGGTCGTCTGACGATGACTGAGAATCTGCAGCAGCTGACGTCGAGGACGTTGATGGCGACGTAGCGGGTTCAGGGACCGGCTTTTGTGCATGGCGGTCTACATGCCCAAGATCTTTGGACGGGAACAGCACGTCTCTAACAAGTCTTTTCAAATCTTTCGAGTCTAGTAATCAAGAGTAATCAGCAAGCGCTCTCTGATTCAAAGCCGACTCATGATCTGCTCCAGATCAGAGCAGATGAAACGATGACGTACCAGGAAACCCCCCTTTCTCCTTCCTATCCCACAGCAGCACCTCCTCTTGGCCCGCAGCCGGCACGAGTCTGACTTTGAATGTTCCGCCCGAGGCGGGAAGCATGGCGACCTCGCCCACGTCGTTGCCGAAGGTCGAGAGTAGTTCCTGCGCGAACCTGCAATCCGTTAGTTGATCTGTTTCTCAACACGCTCAAGCAAATACACAGGAAGACTCACCATGCTGCCCTCAGATTCCACTTACAGGCGGTGCAGAACTCGATCGCGACGCGGGGGTATCGGAATGTCGGTTGCGCCATGGATGCGGTCGACGGGGTTGGTTTCGCTTTCGCCGGTCGCGCGCAGATTGAGGCGATGAGCAGAGTCAGGGGTAATTGTGATCTGCACGTGATGTGGATCACAGATGTTTAATTTAGGGCTCAACCCTACAGATGACTAAAACGCAGTCACGCGGCGGGGCTCACAGCAGGCGCAGGGCAGCGCGCACAGTCAGCGGCGGGCGGGTTGGCAGCGGCGGGAGCAAAAGTGAGTGCGCCTCGAGTCTCTGCTTCCACTTCACGTTCAGTCAAGAAGGTATGTCGCCAGCACCCTCCTGTTTGCTTTGTTTGTGTGTGGTAGTTGTGGTGTAAGGGATGATGTGCTAACTGTTCTGTTCTCTTTTGTGCATGTGCTCGGCGGACGACTGGTGGAGGGTAGAATACGGGACGCAGACACGATCATCACAGGCTCGACAGAGAAGCTCTGCAGAACTGCTCAGTGTGGTATCTATCGTTGGATTATACTGCTGGAATCTGTGCAAGAAGACGAACATATTGCTTGCTAGAGATTGGCCGTGTCGAATCTGATCAGTCCCGTATTTATCCCCGCCAGATTGCTGCTACAGTATATGCCATTGAGAATATCTATTCCAGATCATAATTCACAATGTCAAAGTCGAAGAACCATACCAATCACAACCAGGTCAAGAAGGCCCACCGCGTACGTCGTCGTCAACCTATCGAAGCACTCACCGAGATCTCCGAGCTAACTCTAGTGGATTGTATAGAACGGTATCAAGAAGCCCAAGACCTCGAGATACCCCTCGCTCAAGGGTGTTGACCCCAAGTTCAGACGTAACCACAGTACGTTACAATTCTTTGCTGCTCCATCTGCGTCTCCAGCATGCTAACAGACCTTTCCAGGACACGCTCTCCACGGCACCGCCAAGGCCCTGAAGGCCGCTAAGGACTCGGCTTAAACGTCGAGTGAGTTGGTTGGTTTACATCAAAAAAATACAAGATAAAAGTGGGAACAAGATGGCTTAGTCGGATTCACTGCTAGTCCATTTGGCTCTGCAATGTACGCCTTTTAATTGTGTCATATAGCATGTATCTGTACAAAAAATGATTTCCTCCTGATAACCCTTCTGCTCTTTCATCAGAACCATTCCATTTACACCACTGCACATCTCGATAGCGATACAGCCGACGTTTGTCTATATGGCTGCTATTGCTACCTGAGGTTTTTCTTACATATTGACTTTCACTCGAAATCCTGCTGAAAATGTGCTATATCAAACCGTAGGGACGCTACCAAGCGCGGCCAGAGTAGTTTAGTGCCGGACCGCGTATGACAGCAGATCCCACATCCAATAGACTAGATATCAGCAATATAAACAGCTAGCAAGTGAATCAGTAGCTATGGACGTTCACTATAACATATATTACAAATATCTTACATAACAACTGCCACACATGCACCGCCACGAGGCTGGAGCACGACGGCTCGAAAAAAAATCGGTCGCGAGCTTCTCGACGACAGAGGAAAGCATTGAAAAGCCATTCGATTGCAGGCCCCAATTGCAGACAGAGAAACTAAGGAAGCAACAGAGCCAACAGTCTGCGAATCACGAGAGCAAGTGTTTACTTTGTTTAGTCGTACACCGAGGCTGTAAGAATATCAAGAGAGGCTTTCCGCTTTCGCTCCGCCGACACCCGAAGATTCAGCAGAGAAGACTATAATAATGATTTCGCGACGTCTTTTAAGCCTGCGCGGTATGTTCTTTGTTTGAAGATCATGTTTTGGCGATTGCTGCGGATACTAATCGTGTGTGTTTTGTCGAGCTACAGGCGTCACTGCTAATATACAAAGGCAATGCCACTACTACCCATCGCATCTCACCCCCCTCCGACAACCCCTCCTCGTCCGCGTTCAACACCCCAGTCTCACCCTCGCCCGTCTCAGAAGCTCGTCATCGGGCAAGCCGCCGTACGACGAAGAAGAGGACTTGACGCCGTATGAAGAAAGCGACTTTGAACTTGACAAGGAGGAGGCCGAGGCGGCAGAAGAGGACTTGACGCCGTATGAACTTAGCGACTTTGAAGCCGACATCGAGGAGGCCGAGGTGGCCGAGGAAGCCATGTTCGCCGCCGTCGATCACGATCCAGATGCTCCGCATCACCGGTCGGTTGGCGAGATGATTGCTGGTTTGGGCAGATACGAAGAGAGCGTGGCGCCCGAGGAAAAAAGCGCTGAATCTGTTTTCTCGGAGAAGTTCCCTCCTGCTGCAGAGCCATCCCCCGTCAAGGAGGCTGCTAGCTCGTCCAAGACTGCTGCTTCGTCCGAGTCAGGGCGACGGCGCCCGATCAGCCGCGAAGAGGCGGCTGAGATTCTGGAGGCGCAAAAGAAGGAAGCGGCGAAGATGTATAATTACGACGAGACAGTAGTGAAGGAGCTCGCAGAGAAGCTTTCGTCGCCGGACGTGAACCTGACGGCCGTGCTCGACAAGGAGATTGCGAACCTGTTCCAGCGCGAGGTGCTGAAAGAGGAGGAGGTCCATCTTATGCAGCAAGTCAAGGCGCAGTATGAGACTCGCTCGAAGAGTACGAAAGAAGAAGAGCAGACGACGGCGATCGAGGCCGAGCGTATCAGAGAGTTTTACCACAAGATTCCTACTGGCCCTTCCGAGCGGTACAGTCCTTATGAGATCGCTCTACGAGCCGAGCACCAACGTATGCTTTCCCATTTACATTCTCACGTCGCCTTCAGAAAACAGAGCAAAAGCTAACTTGTAATCGTCATCAGGCAAACTATCTCGCCCACTTGGATCAAGCTACACCGAATCCTACCGCCCAAGACACAACATCAACTCGCCTCCCAACCCGACCGCAATCACCGTCGCGATGCTGACTGCCGCTGGCGCGCACCTCGGCCACGAGCCTTCGCGTCTGCGAAAAGGTAACCTGCCGTTCATCCTCGGCGAGCGTGAGGGCATTCACATCATCGACATGGAGAAGACAGTTCCCTACCTCCGACGGGCATGCCGAGTCGTCTCCGCTATTGCCGAGCGCGGCGGTGTCATCGTTTTTCTCGGCACGCGCGATAACCACGATCTCGTCGTCGTCGACTGCGCTCAGCGGATGAAGGCAAACTACGTCACCCGCAGATGGATCCCCGGCGCGCTGACCAACCTCAAGACCGTAATCGGCATGCACCCTGTCACTGCCGTCGACATGGAGGATAACCCTGTGAACGCCAAGGTCCCGAAAAACTTCGTGATGGTGCCCGATCTAGTCATCGTCCTCAACCCGGTCGAGAACCGCGCGGCGCTGAACGAGTGCAAGATCATGCGCGTGCCGACCATCGGCATCATCGACACCGACTCTGAACCTACGCTCGTCACATATCCTATCCCTGCTAACGACGACAGTCTGCGCTCGGTCGAGTTCATCGCCGGCGTGCTCAGCCGCGCGGGTGAGATTGGTCAGTATAAAAGAATGGAGAACGCGGAGCGTGAAATCCTGCCTTCTTTTGCCGGGCTCTAAATTGATCGCCCTCCATTCTTCTTCAAGTTCTGTATCTAGTTTTATTTCTCCTTTTCTTTATCTTTATCACTTTTTTGTTATTCATGCATCTACGCTCAGCCAAACCTTTTCATCATCTCTATCCATCATCTCTATCGAAAAAGCAATATCTTTCCATTGTATCTATTTATCTATCTATTCTTTCCTATCTCCTTCCTTTACTTTTCTTTTCTCCCAATCCAAGAAATGTACATAGTGCACCGTCTCTTGTCTTCTTTTTGTTTCTTTCTTATCTTGTGATTTGTCGGTTGAAAGCTCTGAGGGGTGAGATATTTGTTTATCATTCGTAAATACAGATTGTCGATGTAATAATGAAATTGTTCCGATAGACGCTTTGATCAAGGAAAAGATACGTAATTTCATTATACAAAACATAACTATCCAGAAATAAATAAAGCAGAACAACGAAAACAAGATACTATAAAGAGTAGCGCCAGACAATATCTCAAACAAATCAAACCAGAGAGTTTTTCATAAAAAAAAGTAGGGCAGCAACAACAACAAAATCAAAAACTAAAACACTATCACGGCTTAACCTAATTGACTAGGAGCCTTGTGAACTCCGAAATGACTCGGAGGAGGAAGATTGATCTGCAACCGTGGCTCGACGGAGCTGGTCATTGACGGGGGAGTAAGAGACGGCGGTGGGGGCGGTGGGGGTGGTGCGCCTGAGAGGAGAGAGGAGAGAGGGGGTAACTGCACCGACTGGGCAGACTGCTGCTGCTGTTGCTGCTGCATTTGATGGGGGATTTGATTCACTGGAAGCGAAGACGGACGGGGAACTTGGTCGACTACCACCATCCGTCGAGTATCTCCCATGGTGCCTGCGCCGGAACCAGGCTCGGCCGGTTGGCTTTGGTAGACGGGAGGGTACTCGTTGTAGGTCACGTATTGCTGGGACTTAGTCGGCATGTCCAAAGCCGTCGATGTTAGCTCACCAGTACCCGCTCGAGAATCGACAGCGGCAGCGGCAGAGGCAAGTTCGTTAAGGATTCGCTGTAAGAACTGCGTTTCCTCCGCAAGATAGACATCGCTACCTTCCAACTTCCTCAGATAGAAGCGCAAGATCGGGATATCCGCCGCCTGGTAAGCATGCCCAGGTCTGATCATCGGACTCAGCGTAGCTCGGAACCGCTGAGCTTCCTCGACGAGGGTCTTCACGTGCGCGAATTCTTCTGGGATGAATCCCAAAGCACTCGCGCTTTTCAACCAGTCTTCGAGAGCCTCGAGTGTAGGTCGCAGGTAGTCACGGTTGATTACCTGTCGAGAATCGCACAGGAGACAGTAGTAGTGCTCTTTGTCTTTCAAAGATCCTCTCGGAATTTTCAAGCATCGGTTATGGTACCTGCGGAAACCCTTGTTAGCACCAGAATACTCTATATCTGTAGATATATGAAAAAGATACATACCATTCATGACAGTTTTCGCACTCAATCATGAGTCCCGACTCTGGCTGTCGACAGATGCAAAATAGCTCTTTCGAAGACCTCTTCTCGCCCTCGGCAGTAGGCTGCTGCGTGTGAGGCTTATCCAGCGCCGACAAAGCGTTCTTCGTTCGCTTCGCCGCAGTTTCCAAATGCGACGTCAGCGTACTGTTACCGCTGGTCCCTGCCGTGAAAAACAGTGCTTGTCCTTGGCTGAGCCAGTTCTCGACGTGCTGCATGTATCTGCGGATCTCGGCGCTGTTGGGGTTCTCGCTCGCGGGGTCTTGTAGGTATTCGCTAATCTTCCGGGCGTCTTTGTATGTCGGTCGCGCGGAGAATTCAGCCGACCTACAGCCCTCGACGAATTCAACGAAAGCGTCCTCGATCTCCTTGTGCTTGATGAGGAACTTTCCAAGTCTGTCGTACGTCTCCTTGTATACCGGAGTCACCGACGCCTCGTCGTACATCGAGTCAAGCAGATCATAGTCCGGCTTGCCGGACCTCATCTGCGAGTTCACTTCCGCTTCCCATTTATCTCCCGCAGTCGAGGCTTTTGTCAGTTTAGAGTACAGCTCATCTCTGTCCTGCGAGATCTCGAGTCTGTCGGCTTCCGCCAGGATATTCTTCACGTCCGGCAGGTAAATATAAGTCTTGCCTGCATCAGAAGCCCGCTCGTGCCATTGAAGCCTAGCCAGCCGTACTTCCAACGCCTTGACCTCCTCGAGCTCAACGTTGAGGCCATAGCCCGTCTCGATGAGCGCGACGTAGACGTCTGCGTCGTTTGTCTCGTTGGCCAGCGTTTCGCGCGCGTGTTCGACAAATTCCTCGATCTGAGACTTGCGCTCGTAAAGCAGGTCGATCTCGGCAGATGTGAATGGCATGCTCTCGATCCGTTGGAGAAGGGAGTCGATGTACTCTGGCTTGTGAAGTACCTCGCGCTCGGTTTCTTCGCCCGCAGCAGATGACGCTCCGGATTTCACACTTCCCCGGCGGGAGGACGATCCCGTGCGCTCGATCTTGCGTCGGTAGCCAACCTTGCGAGCTAGGATACTCTGCGCTTCTTCGACCCACTCGTTAGCCTGCTCGACTATCTTGCGAAGCTGATCTGTCTCGGGGATATGGTAGTTGATCTTCTCCGACTCTACCAAGAGAGATCGCAGGGATTTAGCAGACGGCTTGTTCTCCTCGCCACCGCTGAATAGCTTGTTGTACTTTTCGACCCACTGCTGAGGCAGTGCTGCGCGCTCGTTTACCTTCGAGACAATCTTCTCGAGAGTCTCCTCCGGCATGTTGATGTACAACACGCGAGACGAGCGCTTGCAGTCACAAAGCTCGTCGTAGTGGTTCAGGCACACGACACTCGAGGTACATCCGCATCCGATCTGCGACAGATAGCAAAAGGCGTTGCAGTAGGCACATTGCACTTCGTCGTTTTCCTTAAACGGGCTTTTGGCTACCTTGATTGTGGGAATGATCATCTGCACGTGCCTCCGCATATTGAGCTCCTGATCCTTGATCGATGTAAGCGCGGGTCCCAGCCATGTTGCCGTGTCGATCGAGTGATCTCTCTCGGCTGCGGTCAGGAGTAACTCTTCGTGAGAAAAGACGGGGAGCTTCCGATAGTCTTGGTAGATCTCGACGCCAAGTTTGCCGTAGGGCTCCCAATCCGCCGGAGCGAAATTCACAGCTTCGTTGAAGTTGAAGCCATGATTAAATCCAGAATGATATGCCTGCGGGAAGGTAATCACAAACTCGCCCGGCCGCTGGTCGATGCTATAGCACCTGACGCCTTCCTCGGTTAATCGTTTTGGACTCAACATCGTCACGAGCTGGAACAAAAGATCAGGCTGCTGCTCAAACAGCTCCGGAACAGCTTTCCGCATCGCGTCCTCGAATTTATCGGCGTCGTCTCCTGGGATTCCGTACCAGGTCTTGGTCGCGCCGAAATGCTGGTAGTTTGCAGAGTACGTGTTGTGGTCTTCGCTGTGCCAGCAAAATGTGGAGAAGACCATTCCGACGTAGAGCCAGGGCACGGTCATTCCGGAAATATCAGTCTTGATATGACGAAACAGAGACTTCTCGTGCAGGGGAAGCAGATTCAGATTCCAGGGATCGGTGGAGTACGGGTCCAGAGGGTCGCGCTCGATGGTCGGAAACCCGGAGCCATGGATGGTCGAGTGAATGTCAGCGCCATACTCGACCTCGACAGTTTCATCAAGACTTTCGACCAGTCGCCAAAACTCAGCCTCGATCTCATCTTCAGTCACGCGCGTTGCCCGTTTGCTTTTGCCGTTGAGCGGCATGCGCGTGGAGAGGTAATGGTCGAGGAAATTCTTTGCCTTTTCCTGGAACTGCCGGAGGTTGTAGACTTGCCCTTCCTCGAACCCAAACTCGCCGGTTCCGACAAGACACTTGTCGCAGTACCAGTCATAGTCAGGAAGTGCCTTCAGCGCAGGCTTGAGGCAGGCCATGTGATAGCCGTTGTCGCATCCGTCGCAGAGGAGCATCGTCGCAGCGTCATCTCCGCGGCCACACACTTCACAGTTCTGAGGAGGAGTTAGTAAGATGTATTGAGTGAGTTAGGATAGATGGGCTCACCTCGCCGGGCTTGCGACTGCTTGCAAGATCGTGAAGACGCTTGACTACTCCCGTTTTGCGGTGCATAATCATATTCGATCCTACCACTGTAGCGCTTTGCTCGTCCTGAGGGGTTTCTACAAGATACAAATCGTCAGCAATTTCTTTTCTAAAAATCACAATGAATGCAGAACCAACCTCTCTTTATCCTCTTTGAGTGGCGCCCGTGTTCACCAAGCTCGCCATCCGGTGCTTGAGAGTATGAGGAGCCCGAAGCCGAATATTCGGACTCGGTCTTCATATCGAGCATACTCTCGACCGACAAAGAAGTGCGGTCCCCGTTCTTCATCGCGCTGGATCTCGCATCAGTCGGAGTGCCGGGCGGGGAAAGCGACGGCGTATCGCCGATCGACGTTCCGGAGACGGTGCGCTGGCGCTTGGATGGAGTGATTGGGCCGCCGAATTCTTCTTCTTTCTGCTGCTGGACTAGTGGTTTCGCCGATTTGAGATAGAGCTCGTAGGGGTATACGTATTTCTGATAAGCAGTCTTCAAAGAAGACGAGAGCGACGTCATGATTTTCCCACTGTAGCCGAGCTCGCGACCGATTTCGGCCCACTGCTTCTTTTTACAGACAACGACAAAGCCGCCTCGCATGTCGACTGACTTTTTCAGATGGTAGAGGTCGAGCGGACGGCGATCGACGCTGGGAAGTTTGGTTAGTGTTATGCCCCGCTGCTTGTGGAACTTGTGGAGCTGGTCGAGGAAGTTGAGATTGGCTCTCGTGCCACCTTCCATGGAGTTGAGCTCCTGGCGACGGGTCTTGAACCAGAATTTCTGTAGGAGAGAGTGGTTAGCAAGGGTTGGTGTGAAGGCGGGCAGAAATCGGCAGGTATATCTATTTTGAGATATGGACCGGCGGTTTGATACCGCGCTTCTTTCCCGCCAGTGTACAAGCAGCAAGTATACAACACAGGCATCTAGAGTCGCTTACCTCAGTGTCCAAAGAGAACGGCGGGTTCCAAGAGTCCGGGGGCACGATTTTGACAATGCCATACTGGCGAGCTTCTTCAGATATGCTTTTGATATAGGCGAACGGGTCCTTGAACTCCTCCGGACTCGGATAATAAGTCGGTGCCTCCTGCAAGCCAAAAACACGGTCCGTCTTTGGCGGGGGCTTGTGGCTCTTGTCGGCGACGCCTTCGACGGTGTCAAAGTCCAATGCCAATGCACGCGGGCGCTGGCGGGAGGTGACAGATGGGATGCCAAAGTCGGTGAGCGGCACGGGGGCGAGGCCGTGGCCGTTTGCGGCCTTCATGCGCAGCTTTGGCTGGAAGGCTTCGGAGGACGGGTAGCTGTATTCGGGGACCATTGCGGGGGAGGGAACAGACAGAATTGAGTTGGTGGTAGTGGTATATCAGGATATTCTGATATTGGACAGATATGGAGCGGAGGAGGTACGCCAGCCAGGCAGCAGATGCGCGGGTGAGTGTCCCAGATAGCAGGAAGGAGTAGCCGGCTGCCGGACCGAGTAGAGCGATTGAGGGAGGGCTGGGCGGAGGGGGGATGAGGAGGAGGGAAGAGGAAGGTGGTGAGCGAGCAGGTCGAAGTGGTTTTGGGTCCGGGCACACTTTAACTGCCTCTGTCTGGGCTGCCGAGCAGAGCGCCGGCTTTCTTGTCTGCGAGTACATTGTGTTTTATATAAAGACAATCTGCTTTGTTTAAACTACAATTTCTACTCTATTTTCTCTATTTATTCTCTTTCAGATCCACCTGAAACAGCACAGCCGGCGGTGAATCGGAGTGATGCATATCTGCTGCTGCGTTGTGCGCATAGAAACGTGCCATCGACCGTCAGCTCAGCTCCGAGTACCAGAACCCGACCGACGCAGACCGCAGCTCGCCCGTCTGCGTCCTGTTTGCGGGAACACGCAATTGCACCCAGAATCCTCGCAGAATAGCGCATCTCGACAGATAAACACACAAAACCGCCTCGCTGCGTCCTGGCGCGGTCCAGGGCTCGGGGCTACCAACACCAAATCACTAATTAAGAAATCAAATTGATTTTCTGTGATTCACACGTGACCAGCAGAGGCCCAGAACGGAACTACTGCATATATACCAAACCACACTGTGATATTAAACATACTTATATACACAACTCCCGTCTATTTATTGTGCAGCGACTTGGTCCGCGACAGCCCCGACAGCCGAGGAAGCGCAGCCTGCTTCGTCGTGTGCTTCCGCAGTCGCTGCGCGTACTCGATCGAGCTCTCGATCACGCCCTCGTACTTTGCCTTGTCCTCCTCGCTTGTATTCCGCATGTCGATCCAGTATGCCAGGTACTTTGCCGCATCCACCTTCACCTGCTCCAGCTCCTCCACATGGCTCTGCAGCTCCGCCGTGCTCATGTTCTCCAGCGCCGCCACACTCACGCGCGACAGCTGACGCGCGCGGTCGACGTCAAATTCCGGAACTGCCACCGGCGTCTCGGTCCGCGACACCGGCGCAGACGCGTGTGTAGGCTGTAAAGTTGCTGTATTTGCATGGCTCAGCGGCGTGATTGGCTTGTCGCTCGAGCTCGACGCGCGCGAGGCCGTAGTCTCAGTCGACTGCGACCCTCCTGCGTTTGCAGACAGCCGCTTCTTCTGCTTCAGCGACAGCACGAGCTTTTCCTGTGTCTGCTTCGTCGGAAGCACTTGGTCAAGATCGACTGGCATTCCAAGACTAACAAGGTACGTCCGTCGTGTCCGCGACGTTTTCCAGTCTGGAACTTGTGACCGCCGCGGTTTCGTAAGGCTCTCCCATATCTCGGCCCTATAGACTGTTAGCCAGGCCTCCCAGTACTCTTCATCAGAAACAGAAAATAACATACCCTCTTCTTGTAGTCCGCACAGCAGTCCCAGGTCTGACAGCAGGAAGATCCTCCAGATTATCAATCGTAGCCATAATCATCCTCGTATTTGGAAACACGCCGTCTGTGATTGACATAGTAGCAGACTCGAGCGTCTCGGATGATGAAAAGTCCTCGTCTTTTAATATCCGCATTTTTGATGCTGTGCTTTCTTTTCTTTCATAAGTTGCCGGTACCGGTGCCGGTGCTGGCGCTGGTGCTGGTGCTGGCGCGCTCTGTGCTTCTCCAAAATCACCAAAATCATCATCATCATCATCGTCGTCGTCGTCGTCGTCAAAGCCATTACTACTCTCTATAGCTCCAAATCCACCATCATCCTCTGCCTTTTCCACCTCACCACCTGCCTCACCCGCACCAGCCTGATCCGGCGTCTTGAAATCAGCGTCAAACGGATCAGCTATAGGATCCATATATTTTGTTCCCCCGGCGCTGATATCTATCGATCCCGTATCATCCTCACCAAACCCGTTCGCAGGCACATCCCACCCGTTTTGCTCTGCCTCCATGTAGCGGTACTCGTCACTTTTACTCTCTTGTTGTGAAGATGACGACGGTGGTGAGATTGCCTCTTGTTTACTGCTCTCGAGCTCTAGCTGCTGATCTGCCGCCGAGGCCGCAGCCTCGTTGTCAGAGGCCATAGCCAGTAGATGAGCTTGTTTGTATCTGAGCTGCAATCAAGCCAGACAAGTAAATAGAATATCAGCAAGAACAAAGAACAGCTGCTGGCGCTGCGGAGAGAAAGAGGAGCGGATTCTGTCTGTTGAAAGGACAGCAAAGCCAGCTGCTTCGCGACTTTCATCCCCGCCAATGTTTTGGCTGCGCTGCTGAGCTAAGCACGCGGCGAATCCCACTCATCCTCATCCTCCTTCCCTCCAGCAAGTTTTGAATATCTCTACTTTTATTCTATGCTTCAACTAGTATTTATACATACTTAAATCTCTGCAAACACCATTCGTAATCATACAACACTGCACTGCGCTGAAAACTAGACAAAAACAAAAGAAAATAAACCGCCATATCAGCCCTTGCCAATCTCGCCCAACATCAACGTCTTATCCGTCGACGCACTCAAAATCACATTACTCTCGTACGGCGAAAACCTCGCGTCGTTCACCGCCCCCGTATGTCCCGGCAACTTGTACAAGATCTTTTTGCTCTGCGTGTCCCAGATCATCACCGTCCGGTCCGCTGACCCGGCAATGATCTTTGATCCGTCGGGACTGAAACTCGCCCGCAGCAGGTTCTTCTCGATCTCGCTGCTCGTCGCGCCGCTGTATACGTTTAACTGTCTGCTTTCCGGCGCAAACGCTCGGATATCCCACGTCCGCACGCTCTGGTCCATCGAGTGCGAGACCAGGAACTGCATGTCCTCAGACACGTTCAGACTCGTCACCGCGTCGGCGTGGCCCGAGAGCGCGTACACCACGTCCTTTTGTCGCAAGTCCCACACCTTGATCTCATGGTCAATCCCCGCCGAAAACACCTGGTTGCCAGCCTCGCCGAAGGCGACCGACAGAATCGGAAAATCCGTCTCCATGTAATCCACAGACTCCTTCATCCGCGGATCCCAAAGCCCAATCGAACCATCGTCAGACCCGGACAGCAGCAACTCCGGACCCCGACGCACTCGATCGATGCAGTTCACGATATCCTCATGTCCGACGTGTTTCCGGATTCGCACGCCGCTGTTCACGTCCCATACCCCCAGCGTTGCGTCCGAGGAAGCAGAGTAGACCTGTCGCGAATCGCGCGAGAAGGCGAGGTCGAGAATCGCGCCTTTGTGACCTTTTATGACGCCGAAATTTTCATTCGCTCCGTAAGTGTTCCATAGTACTAGAGTTGAGCACCAGCGAGGTTAGTAGATGGGTATATAAATATTCATAATCGAGTAGGAAATATCATACATATCGTTCGATCTTGGGATCCAGAAGCTATTATCTCGCCCGAGTCATCGAACCTGCACGCATATACCTCGCCCTGTAATACACAATGTTAGAAACAGAAAGAATATTCACAGCAGACGAGCTAATATGCGCTGCAAAAATAAAGAATCAAGCAGACATACCGTATGCCCCGATAACTGAATGATCGGTGCCTGAATATTCGACGTCCGCTGCACCTACAATCCGCAACAAAAGTCAGCAACAAAACCCCACCAACAACAGCAATTAAAAAAGCCACAATGCAAGCATACGGTCTGAAGAATAGGACCGGCAGACGGCGATGTGTTGACGATGGCTACCGACTGCTGGTTCGTTGATCGAGGACGCTTGGCGACCACTGAGCCGGCGCCCGGTCCGGCTTTGCGTTTGTCAGACATGTTCGCGTCGGCGGATGTTTCCTGAATTTAGAGAATGCGGGATCTGCTCGATATCTAGAACAAACCAGTGAAAAAGAGGGAAAAAGAGAGCAGAGCGTGGATGTGAAGAAAGCGTGCAGAATAAACACTGCGCGGCTCAACAACGACCCTTCTCATCCTCATCCGCCTCTTCCTCCTCCACCACCACCACCATCACCACACCCTCCTCAACACACCAATCCTCTATCCCGCGACCACCTCGGTCTACGCAAATACAGCACATTAGTATTTAGATCCAAAGACTCACCCGCCGCTCGCAGAATCGTACGCAGACGCACCACCATCTTGTCGCGATAGATAACCCCCCCCTCCCTCACTCTGATACACCCACGATGGCTGTTCGAACGCCACGTCAAGTCGGCGAAGATGTCTGGAAAACCAGAATCGAGAAAGTGGTGCGTATTCCTCACTTCATTGACCCGACTCCCTCCCTCTCCTCACTGACACGTTCACAGAACGCCGAGCTCGTCACTTTGACATACGGATCAGTCGTCGCGCAGCTCTGCAAGGACTTTCGGAATGACTACGTCCAGGTGAACGAGCAGTTAGAATCAATGGGCTACAACATCGGCATACGGCTCATCGAAGACTTTCTGGCGCGGACAAACTCAGAGCGATGTCGCTCGTTCAAAGACACAGCCGAGATGATCTCAAAGGCATGCAGCAACAGTCCTTCGTCTACATCCCCGCTGATCTCCATGCTAACATTCGGATACAGGTCGGCTTTAAAATATTCCTCAACATAACACCCGCGATCCTGAACTGGTCGCAGGACAACAAACAGTTCAGCCTGATTTTCGACGAAAACCCGCTCGCTGATTTCGTCGAGCTGCCCGATGACGGCAAAGCCGTGAACGAGCTCTGGTACTCAAACATACTATGCGGCGTCTTACGAGGTGCTCTGGAGATGGTATTCTTTTCTACTTTCTATTTCGCATTGCTCCGAGACGTAGTTCGCTGACAACTCTTGGATATAGGTACAATTACAGGTGGAAGCGGAGTTTGTAAGCGACGTGCTAAGAGGTGACGACGCGACAGAGATGAAGGTGACGCTGGTTCGTGTACTGGAAGACGAGATGCCGGTAGGCGACGAATGAGTGCGGTGTAAACAACTATCTTTCTACATGAGTCAAATATTATTACAGTTCTACATATCAGTCGAGGGCAACCATATTTATAATCAAAAGTTAGACAACTTGTGCCATTTTAAGAAGCATATTTACTTGCTAAGCTAAGCAAGGACGAAAATGATCAATATATTCAGAACAGTATACAAAATAGACAAAGACTTTACTAGCAACAAGAAACATTTTCAAACCCCGCTTAGAAGATGAACTTGAGGTTGACGTCAATAGGATGAGACGCGCTCAGCTGGGGCTTTTGAGAATACTTTGCCGCCATCAACTGTCTCATGTTTTGCAGCAGCGACAGGTAGCTCTGGTTCGGGTTCGATCCCATAACCTCGATGAACGCGTACGACATCGCGCCGGTAGCCTTTCCGGCCTCGCTGGCGTCGGCCGAGGTCTGCGAGTCCTTGCATCCCGAGAAGGTGATGACGTCCGCGGGACTGGTCTTTGTGCGGCGGGTGAGCTCGCTGGCCTTGTTGCCGCCGCCGTTGGTGGCCTGCTTGACGATGCCGGTGATGGTGCTGATCGCGCCGGACAGGTCGCCGCGGGAGTAGGAGCTGAAAGCAGAGAGCAGGCCTTGGCCGGCTTCCTTGGCGAGATTGGGCTCCTTGATGACTCCCTGGGTCGAGTAGACGTAGGGCAGGTCGAGGACGGTACCGGAGTGGCAACTGTCAAAGATCGCGGTGAGGCGAACACCTGCTGTAAGCGGTGTGACCATGATGGCTATAGTCTCGTTAGTGTATTACTCCTTTGAGTTGAGGAATTATAAGAAAACGTACAGTGAAGGTCATCATCGATGATGTGGCCGGCGGTCTGGAAATCAAGAGGATAGATAACCTCATCAAAACCGTCCTCCTCGTCGCCGTTCAAATCCTCGGTCTGGCCACCGTGACCAGAGTAATGGAAGAAAAGCGAGTCCTATATAAATACAAAATGTGAGCTGTGTGGAGTATAAAGATCAAACAGTATAAGAACACACGTTCGGCTGAGCGCCCTTGACTAGCCACTGCATGGCGGCAATCATGTTGGCTTTGGTGGGGATCGATCGCTGGTTCTGCTGGTCGTCGGTGAGCACGACCATATCCTCAGACTTGTATCCGTTATCTGTAGTATACATTGTCAGTACACATAATCATAATCATACAGCTGAACAAGATCACGTACTCAGCAAAAAGTTTCTGATGTTGTTGACGTCGTTGATACATCCTCTCAACGCACTCTTGGTACCAATGTAGTTAATACCAATCAGCAGCGCCTTCCGTCGGCCGCTGCAGTTGGAGTACTGGTAAGAATACTGATTCGGGGCGCCAGAGCCAAACTGCTGCATCCCGGTCGGGATCTGGTTCATGTGCTCGGGCGAGTTGTAATTGCCGCGTCCGCCGCTGCTCTGCGAAGAGTTGTAGCCCGCGCCAGCGACCATGGCAGCACCAGCGACAGCGGCCGCGGCGCCGTAGCCGCTGCTGTGTCCGCCCTGCTGCTGCTGTTGATGCTGCTGTTGCTGCTGGCCGCCGTAGCCACCCTGCTGCTGGCCATATCCGCCCTGCTGACCGCCGTAGCCACCCTGCTGGCCGCCGTATCCTCCTTGCTGGTTATATCCACCCTGCTGGCCGCCGTAGCCTCCCTGCTGCTGGCCGTAACCTCCGCCATAACCCCCCTGGAATCCGGGGGGCGGTCCAGGTGGAGGGCCACCGAATCCGCCAGGGGGAGGTCCGGGAGGAGGTCCGCCGAAGCCACCAGGGCCGCCGCCGTAGCCGCCGCCGTAGCCACCACCGTTCTGGCCCTGGCCTTGATAGTTGTAGTGATTGTTTCCGGGATAAGACATGGAGAGAGGTGGTGATGAGAAGAGAAGGGAGGAGGAGAGGAGGAGCGGAAGAGGAAAGGGACTAAGTGGCGGAGGATCTGGCGCCGCGTGAGGCTCTCGAACGGTCGGAGATGAACAAACGTGGCTGCGTGAATCTCCGTTGGTGCTCTTGAACCGCGTGGGAAGCATGAAGAGGGCTACTAACTGCTGCTGCTGTTGTTCATGATGATAGTCTATTGATATTGATGATGTATTACTGATGATCTACGGTCATCGGGCCCTTTTATCGCTCTCGCTGAACCATTCCTTAAAGTTCTTTGCAGGGCGTCCTCCGCCGGAATTCCCTCCGCCCATCAGCGACATCCACCGACGTCTCGGTGGAGGAGGTGGTGGTGCAGGCGGCGGAGGCGGGTCGAGGAGAATGATTTCATACTCCTCGTTTGGCTGGACGACTTCACTCCAGACTGATGGCAGGATTGATCGGTGGTCGGAGGCAAGACGGATTTCGTAAAAGCCGCCATCGATTAAGGGTCTCACTGACTCCGGAAAGGCTTCGAGGAGGAAGAGCTCGAGTGACTACATAACTGTCAAAAATTGCTTAACAGGTGAATGGAAGACATATACGTACCTGCCAAGTGCGGACCCGCGAAAGAGGAAACTGCCAGCGTTTCTTGACATCAAAGCTATCGATGATGATGTATTTGCCCGAGTCGTCTGCCTTCCCTTTCAGCAGCTTAATCTCATCCTCGAGCTCTTTCAACGCCGCCTTCTGGTCCGGCTTTTTCTCAACCGGCTCCTTCTGCTCGACAACTCTCGGAACTTGCTCGTCGCGCGGACTCCACCATCCGCCTGGCATGTGACTGAACGGATAAGAAGGCTGCGACCACGGGTTATAGATCGGGATCGGCACGGGCGACGTCACAGGCGGACTGGAGACCACGACCTCTTTTTCCCGTGGCCGAGATACCCGCTCAAGTCTTCTCTGCGCGCGCTCGAGTTCTTTCAGGATGAGTTTGTGTTCGCGTTCGCGCTCGCGCTCGAGTTCACGATTAAGCTGTCGCTCGCGCTCGAGTTTTCGCTCGAGTTTGCGTTCGAGCTCTCGGTCTCGTTCTCGCTCGCGCCGACGCTGTTGACGTTCATGTTCGCGTTTTGCAGCGGATCTCTCTTTTTCTTTCTCTTTTTCTTTTTCTTTTTCAGATTCACGATCACGATCACGATCGCGTTCGCGTTCGCGCTGGCGTCTGTCGAGACGGCCGCTGTCGTCGCTGAGACTGCGGACTAGGGTTGGTTTGGAGGATTGTTGGCATTGCGGACAGACTGAGCTGGGGGAGAGGTGTTGGGAGTGAGAGTGGGCGATGGAGGGGTCTGCGAAGAATGGGTAGGAGGAGTGGGAGGCGGCGGTGGGCCGAGAAGGAGGAGGAAGAGGTTGAGAAAGAGGAGGAAGAGGTTGAGAGAGAATCTGAGGAACGGGAGGAGGAGGGAAGGAGGAAACCGGCTGGTGGTTCATCGGATCAGTGAACGAGTGCGGAAGATCGCGGTTGGCGGTTTGGGGCTCAGGCTGAGGAAAGGCCGAGTAGGCAGCGGAATAGGGGTTGTCTGCAGCAGCGGAGGAGACGGCGGGGCGGAGAGGGTCGGTGAAGGAGGGCTGCGTGCGCGGACTGGACTGGGAGGGCTGGTAGGCGGCTTCGGCAGCGGCGGCTTCGGGCTCGTGGGCGAGGACGTACTCGAACCCGGGGAGGTTGTTGTAGGGGAGCGGGTTGGGCTGGACGAGTGGAGGAGAGAAGAGGGGCGGGGAAGGAAGGCCGGATCTGAGTCTGAAAGGGGAGGATGATGATCTGTCGGGCGTGAGCGGAGAGGACAGAGAAGAAGACGGAGGCGATTGTCTGGAGGAGTGCTGGGTTGAGTCCTGGCGCGGGAGGTGACGATGGTTGTGGTTGTGGTGGTGGTGATGGTGGTGGTGGTGGGAGTTTGACTGACGCGGGGCAGACACACGATCGCGGGCAGGAGCCGGAGGACGGTCGCGGGTGACGGCCGAGCGGTCCTGAAGACCGAGACTGTCGAGCTGCTGGCGGAGGACGTCTATGGCGGAGTCATCATCATCAGAGGAGGGGATGGGTGGGATATCGGAGGCGGTGGAGGAGGGCGGTGGGGGCAGTTCGAACTCGAAGACGCGGTCAGAACCGGCGGAGTCAGGAGGAAGAGTGACGCGCAGACGCGCGGGGCGGTTTATGTGAGCGGAGAGCGCCAGTCTGATGTAGATATAGATATAAGAAGAGAAGAGGAAGAAGAAGATATATGGAGGTTAGGAAGAGATAAAGAACATTTAAAGGGACAGCAATTAAATGGCTTTAAACAGATTAAAATGAATAAAATGAAGTCCAGCTCATCGACGCCGCGCCGGCTGCCGGGATGGCTCTGGGCTGAGTCAGAGATGGGTGTATTTATTTGTAATCATCTGTATTTGGTTATATTCAATTGTTATATTCAATTGCTATAGCATTATAACATATATCAAGTATCGTATGCTATCACTGTCACATGTTCCCGTCGGAGTTACTGGGCTTTGGTCTGTGTCGAGGTCGCTAAACGGCAGTTTTTGGATATCGATGCTGTTTCTCTGCTTCTTGCTGTTTGTTGTTGTTTGCTGTTGTTTGTTATTATATACAATTGCTTATCATATACTCTTCTTTTTCTCTTATTACAATCCTCTTTTAATAATCCTATCCCTCCTCCGAGGCCAATCCTCTTCGCTTCACTCTTCATACCGCGTCAGCCCAAACCCTGCGGCGGTCAGCGTTCTTCGGTTGGTCTGACGCCGGACTTCCGCGATTTGTCCTTCACCGCTTCTTCTCGGTTTCTTCTTCGTATTCTTCTTCTTCTTCTTCGTCTTTATATCTTCTTCTTCTCTACTACTTCTTCTCTCTTCCTGGCTCATGCCTCCTCCTCCCTCCGCTGATTCTCCATGAGCGACTCCTCGAGCCCCGCCTCCGCCAACAGGCAGATCACTCTGCCCGATGCTCATCCGGCCTTCGACAGCGACCATCTCGAGGACGCCAGCGACCTCAAACGTCGCCGTATCGCCCGCGCCTGCGACTGCTGTCGGAGAAAAAAGGTACTTTATTCTCTTTATACTCCCTCTTATTCTACTCATCATTGCTTCTCTTTCACATGCTGATCCTCTCCACCTTATCAGATCAAATGCGACGGAAGAATACCTTCCTGCACAAATTGCATCAACTACAAAACAAAATGCGTCGTCACCTACGTCGAGAAGAAGCGGAATCCTCCTAAAGGGTATCTTCTTCCTCCTGCCTCTGCTGCTTCTCCTCTTCTTGCATCATCATGCTGACAATTTTTTCCAGGGCTAAATACATCGAGTCCCTGGAATCTCGCTTAGAGCGCATGGAAGACCTTATCCGCTCCCTCGTCCCCGAATTCCAGCCCGACGCCTCAGAAGTCGACCAGGCTGATCTCGAGCAAGCCGTCATCTCTCGTCTTCGTCAGGCCGTCGGCACTCCTTCCGCCGCCGAGACATTCATCATGCCTCCCCTCAAGGAGGAATCCAATGCTGACTCTCCTCTCTCAATGAGTCCCGCCGGCCCCGTCGACCACGACAGTGCGGGACCCGTTCCTACTCACTTGAGCGCTACCGACAGCGAAGACGCTGCTCACGATGCAGCCGACCCTCCCGAGCGCTCTTCCACAGACTCCACCGAATCCTCCCCTACATTAACAAAGTCAGCAACAGCAGCAGCAGCTTCAACTACCACCACCACAGCAACAGCCTCCGCCGCCAAGGCTCCTGCAGATATGGCGGCACCCTCGCGCGTGCTTTCACGAGTAAAACGCGCCGATCCTACAACCCAGCCAGAGAAGAGCAACATGTCTCCGTTCGTCATCGCTTCGAGCGACGGCGAGAGCAAATTCGTCGGCTACTCCTCCTCCTTCTCTCTCTTCTCCCCGCGCGGTCTGCAATGGATCCGAGAAAAGTCCGGCGTGAGCGACGTCGCCGAGCGATTAAGCCTCCTGAGAGACTGTCAGAATAATGTGGAGGGCGGCGACGACGACAGCGCGCCTGCGGCATCGTTCTCCTCTGCAAATCGTACGAGTCCGTTCATTGTCCCTCCTGGGCTAGACTCGCCTACTGGTACGTCGCCGGTGTCGATGGTGACTCCGTATGGAAAACTGACGCTGCCGCCCCGGGAGACCTCGCTGAGATCGATCAGTGCGATCGACGAGCACATCTATCCGATCCTGCCTATTTTCAGCCGCGAAGAGTCGATGCAGATCTTTGATCGGGTGTACTCTGGCCAGCCGTACCGGATTCTCGACTACGCGGCCATCAATGCCATCAACGCGATCGGCATCCGGTCTAAAGTGATGTCGATGTCGAAACAGATGGACCCGGCGATGTCACAGGAGTTTCGGGAGTCCGGCAGCGGCGACGAACCGCGGCCAAAGCATCCAAACATAGGCGGCCCGCATCCGAATCCGGAGATGCAGCGCGTCGTCGACACCGGCTGGGGCTACTTCACGAACGCGCTGCAGTACCTGAAAGACATTGTGGTTGGCAACAGCAGCGTGACGGCGGTGCAGACGCTGCTCGCGCTCGCGCTGTATCTAGAGGGATCAGACTCGGCGGAGATGTCGTACATGATTGCGGCGAACGCGACGCGGATGGCGCTGTGCATCGGTCTGCATATGAACACGAGCGGGTACGGGCTGACGCAGCGCGAGATCGACCGGCGACAGCGGATTTTCTGGATCTGCTATATAATTGACAAGGATATGACGCTGCGCACGGGGCGACCGCCGTTTATGTCAGACCAGGATATTTCGACGGAGGTGCCGTCGCCGGAGCAGAAGGCGATTGTGCCGACCGAGGTTTTCTTGTCGCTGATCCGGTTCTCGCTCATTCAGAGTAAGACGTATAATCGGCTATACTCTGCGGCCGCGTCGCGGCTATCACAGAACGAGCTGCTGGACGCGATCGGAGAGCTGGACAAGGAGCTGCTAGAGTGGCGAGATTCGATGCCGCTACGATACCGGCCCGACCACGAGATCATCGAGCAGGACCCGCGGCGACTGGTGCATTTTATCTACATCCACCTGACGTACTACAACTGTCTGACGTCGATCCATCGGATGTCTCTGCACCATCCGGCGTGGCGACGGCAGCAGATGGCGCCAGCTACGGCGGCGCAGGGGATTCCGCGAAATCCGCGGGTGTTTGCGTCGGCGGCGTTGTGTGTGCAGGCCGCGCGGGCGACGATTTATTTGCTAAAGTACTTTGATAGTATGGAGTACTCGTGCGGATGGATGGTATTGTATTTCTCAATCACGTCGTTTGTGATTTTGTTTGCGAATTGTTTGGAGAACCCACAGCAGCCGTCGTCGAGGTCAGATTTGGCGCTGATGAGTTTGGTGGTGAGGTTTGTGAGGTTAGTGCTGGATGGGACTAGTAATGAGACGATGGGGGCGCGGACGATGCGGTTCATGACGGAGACGGTGAAGATTGCGACGGCGGTGATTGAGAATGCGGAGAGTGCGAGGCTGCAGGCGAAGAATAGAGGGGAGGGCGCTGAGCCCTCTCAGCAGCAGCAGCAGCGTGCTCAAGAGCAGCAGCAGAAGCAGCAGCAGCAACAGAAGCAGCAACAGCAGCAGCAGCAGTTGCAGCAGCAACAACTACAGCAACAGCAACAACAACTACAGCAGCAGCAGATGCAATTGAATCAAGAACTCGCACAACAGAGTTTACTCGTTACAGACTTTCCTACCGGAGATCGGTATACCGATTATGCGCAGTCGTTGCTGGCCGGATCACAGCAGTCTGGAGGACAGACACCATCAAACAATCAGATCAATATCCCGTACGTGTTTGCGGGATCAGGGATGGGCACGGATTTGATGGGTATCTATCGAAGTTTCCCGATGGAAAGCGTTGTGTCTTCGCCTACGAACTGGACGCCATCTACAGGAGGACACCGGCAATCACAAGACGGGTCTTCGTCATGGACGACGGCGCAGTTGCAGCTCAAGCAGCCGCCGACGCCGCTGGGAAGTTCATCTTCAGGGTTTGGATTACGGGAAGCAGATGGCGAAGGACGGGGTGCGGCGGAGACGGTGAACAGCGCGATCGCGAATAGTACGCTGGGGAACGCGAATGTAGTTGCGGACGACCAACTGTCGCCGTTTTCGGTGAGCGGCGGGATGCCGAGCAGGCTGGCGAACGCGGGGGATGATATGATGGAGGACTTGGAGCCGTCGATTATACCGAAGGAGATGTGGACGTTCCCGACTACGTTCTCATGGGACTGGGGGAGTGGGATTATGGGGGGAGAATCGATTGTGGGGATGAATGGGGTGGAGGATGAGGAGGAAAAGTAGTCGGACTATAGAGATGAGATAAATGTTGTAATTAAAGGTCTATGTCTGGATGGAGAGCTACAATGTATAATATAGTATTAATGATAGCTAATTGAAATAAGTACAGATACAGTGAGAAGAGAGGAGAGGTAGGAAGAAGCTTTGTAGAGAGTTTAGGTTGAAAGAAGAGAAAGTTTGCGAGAGCATGTGAAAGAGCAGCGCAGGAGCAGCAGAGCAATTGAGAAGAACAGTAACTAGCTTGAGATTGCGGTTCTATAGAATATCAATTGATGATAATCTGTGGAATACAGTAGATAAGTAGTAGTTGATGAGAGAGGTTTAGTAGATATTTACACAGTTCCTCTTTAGACGGTAGACGTAGACGTAGACGGCTCGGGATGCTGCGCAGTTAAGCTCGAGCAGCGCGAGCAGGAGAGAGTATTCTGTGAGCTTCTACGGATGATGTGTGTTATTTTTTACAACATATTATACAATTGAGTAGTATTTGTAGTAATTGATAGAGTAGAATTATTTCAAGACTTTGTTGACTACTATCAGACATTAGGGACATACAGCCGGTGTATCGGGTATCTGTCTGTTCCGGTTCACCCGCACTCCATAAAGAGAAGAGCCGGTCAAGTAAACTACAGCAGCAGCAGAGCACTGTCCCATTGGCCACACCACCAACCCAAACCAGTTCCCTGCACGCGAGCAGAGGCCGAAAACAGCGGGTTTGCGCGGGATTGGCTGGCTGCGGTGAGAGCGACTGATTGGGCCGGCCGGAGAGGGCTGCGGTTGCGGGCCAGCGGGGTTGCACTAATCACAGGAGTCACAGATAAAGTCACAGAATCACGAATTTAGTCGGGAGGACGGCAGCCAGCAGAGCGGCGCTGATTGGCTGGGCATAAACCTAAATTACAGTTGTGGCTGTAAGTGCACAACTATTTGGGGATAACGGAAAAAGTCGGTGGTCTTTTAGCCAATTGGAGGGCGGCAGGGCAGGGGTTCAGGGCCACAATCTGCGCGGCGCGTCCGAAGCCTTTTTCTTTCGCGGGCCCGCCCCTTCTTCTTCTTCTCTTTTTCTCTCGTCTGTCTCCACCCAGCCTCCTATCCATCTCACCTTTCACAATGGCCGACTCGCATGTATGTATCTTCTTCTTCTTTCTAGCTAGCTAGCTAGTCTCTGCTGTCCTCGTCGAGCTGGCTGTTCTGGCGGGGACGGGTGTGGGTGCCTTGGTGGGCCGGGATGTGCATCGAGCAACCGCAGTCAATTCTCTTCCGCATCGTTTGGTGTCAGATTCAATCAATCTACTATGATTGTCTAGCTGCTGCGAGCTCTACTTCGACCTTGAGCGAACTCGCAGCAGCATGTCTTTGGGTGTGCAATTGGCAATTGGCAATGGCTCGGAAGTCGGAGCTCCGCTTCCATCCGCTTCTACTTGAGATCGCCGCAATTCATCTTGCGTCCATTGTAAAACTACAATGCTTCGTATCCAAGCACTTGTCGGTCGATCAATTGGTCTCATTGCCCACCCTCGACTCTCTGACTCTGACTGCGCCCTGTGGATGATGTGACTGCGGTGTACTTTTATATTATTATTTGTGCTCGCTCGTATCAAGCCCCATCCAATCCAACCCTATCCCTCTCCCGCTTTAAGTTATCAGCTGCTAACCTTCTTCTACAGTTCCTCATCGACTTCTTGAGTACGCGTTCTCATTACTACTCACTTCTGTGATCAATATACTAACAATCTAATAGTGGGCGGTGTTTCCGCCGCCGTCTCGAAGACTGCTGCCGCTCCCATCGAGCGTGTCAAGCTTCTCATCCAGAACCAGGATGAGATGATCAAGCAGGGACGTCTCTCCCAGCGATACACCGGTATCGTTGACTGCTTCAAGCGCACTGCCGCTGATGAGGGTGTCATCTCTCTCTGGAGAGGTAACACCGCTAACGTCATCCGTTACTTCCCCACCCAGGCTCTTAACTTTGCCTTCCGTGATCGCTTCAAGGCCATGTTCGGCTTCAAGAAGGATGTTGATGGATACTGGAAGTGGTTCGCTGGTAACCTTGCCTCCGGTGGTGCCGCTGGTGCCACCTCGCTCTTGTTCGTCTACTCGCTCGACTACGCCCGTACCCGTCTTGCCAACGACGCCAAGTCCTCCACCAAGGGTGGTGAGCGTCAGTTCAACGGTCTCATTGATGTCTACAAGAAGACCCTCGCCTCTGACGGTATTGCCGGTCTCTACCGTGGTTTCGGTCCCTCCGTCGTCGGTATCGTCGTCTACCGTGGTCTCTACTTCGGTCTCTACGATTCGATCAAGCCTGTTCTCCTTGTCGGTGCCCTCGAGGGTAACTTCCTTGCCTCCTTCTTGCTCGGATGGACCGTCACTACCCTCGCCGGTATCGCTGCCTACCCTCTTGACACCATCCGTCGTCGTATGATGATGACCTCTGGCCAGGCTGTCAAGTACAAGTCTTCCTTCGATGCTTTCACCCAGATCGTTGCCACCAACGGTGTCGGCTCCCTCTTCAAGGGTGCTGGTGCTAACATCCTCCGTGGTGTCGCCGGTGCTGGTGTTATCTCCATCTACGATCAGCTCCAGCTCATCCTCTTCGGAAAGAAGTACTCTGGTGGCTCTGGTTAAACTCCCTTAGCTTAGCTAGTCTTCCTTGAGATTCTTCTTTTTGTTTTATAGTTTGAAGTTACAATGCAATGATACATACGCTTCTTTTTCTTCAGAATAAAGTAGTTTAATAAAATGATTGTATAAAAACTAGCTCACATCGTAAATCATTTGTAGTTGTATTTTAAAACGAGGATCAAAGAAGTGTGGAGAAGAACAGAAGCGGCTAAATCCCAGCTGCTTCATGATTCAGCAGCAGTCTCAGCTTGGTTGTCATCCACTTGAAGATGTTCACCATCTTTATATAACGTCAAATGCCCGTCGGCAGCTGATATGTCTTTTGATTCCATACAGATCGCATGAGCTCAGCAGATGCCACGGACGACCAACCTGGCGGCAGAGATGGCAGAGATGAAAGCAGCGATAGCGGCATGGACAGCGCCAGCAGCGCTAACCTCCGCGCAGCCCTGCAGTTTGTGAATAATGTTGCTCGGCGGAGGTATCGGGAGCAGAGGTTTACGGTTGATAATGTGTCTGTGGAGGAGGTCGACAAGTTGACGCATGAGTTGGAGTATTATACACCTCCCGATGCGCCGGGGCCGTAAGTCATTTATCTACGGTGCGAGTAGTCACTATGAGAAGGTGCTGAGTGCTGATTGACTATGATAGAATCTACTCATCCACAAGGATATCCTACGACGCTGCGAAATCACGGCTCGTGCTCGAGACGCGTCCTAGTATCATATGCGAGTCGCTACCGATGTTCACCGCGCGCTCGATCCGCGACGCGGCGGGCGAGATCGTGCGCCGCCAGCTGGTGCAAGCCGGTGCAGAAGATCCCGGCGACGAGCCGATATTCGTGAACTGGCACATGCCCAGTCCGTCGTATCCGTTTGAAGGGCGGTGGAAGGGATCGCTGCGGGAGCCGGATGAGATGATTGGGTACGCGAGTGATGTCGAGATGGTGTCTGACAGGTTGATGATCGAGGGTGGTGCGAGGTGTGACTATGCGAGCTTGGTTGATATCATGAAGTTGTGGCTGTATGGGTCTGGAGACGACCGATGCGGGCTATGTCTTTTAGTTACGTTCGACGAGCAGCCGCGGTTTGTGATGCCCGACGTCGACGAGGTTGATGTGGCATGGGACTGGCGCTCGGCAGTGAAGAAATTCGAGGAAGACGTGGCGGGTGCGATGCTTCGTTCGCAAACAGATACGACAGACAAGGAGCTGATCCGTCAACCGATCGAGTATATGGGACATATGTGGCTCGGGAAGCTTCGGTCCTGGAAGGTCGAGACGTTTCGCAAGGATAGAGACACGCACAATATCTACGTGGACCGCCAAATCGTTCGTCTCCTTTCCTTATTTCGCCGTTCTTTTTTATTCCGCCGTCAAGACGTGCTAACAGTCATATCCCCAGAACATCCTCCCCTTCCTCGAACAAGCACATGGATACCCAGAATCCTACACAGAATACATAGATCTCGGCATCTGCTTCGGCGACATCGCGTACGATTCCGACCTGCAGCGATGGGGAATCGCAGCAGCAACTCCGGTGCCGATGAAGATCGAGACAAAGATGTTGATGCTGGACACTGACAGGGCGTTGTTTCGGACTGCGGTCGCTAGGTTTACTGAGTATAATCGACGGAAGGCGGGGTTATGAAATTCTCTGTCAATTTTGAGAAATGTGTTGGATTTCGTGTGCTCTTATTTGTATCATAATCGTATCAGGATATAGAATGAAACTGCGTGCATTATATTACAATCTATCTGAACTATATACACTCCCCTCAGCAATGCTGCATCGCGTATGCGTTGACAACAACCGCAGTGGCAGTCTGGATATTCATACTCCGAACAATTCCAACCTGCTTAATCTCAACCGCGCAATCTAGCTCCCGCAGCAGAGAGGGCGGAATACCCTCTTTCTCCTTGCCCAGAATCAACACCACCTTCTCCGGGAACTTCAGCTCGCTAGTCAACACCGTACTGTCGTCCGTCTGCTCGATTCCCCAGATCTTGTACCCATTGACCCGGCACTGCTGGAGGTATTCGGAAATATAGTCCGGCTTGACCTCCTTCATCGGCATCCACTTATCCGCCGTCACCGCCACGGCCTGAAACTCCCGGCTTCGGATCAGAGTCATGTCCGGGATACACAGAAGCTCGGCGCCCAGCACATCTGCCAGCCGACAGATGCCGCCCAAATTCGGCGCCTTGTCGACCAACGACGCAAGCACAATCATACGTCCTTTCGTAGTCCGCACCGGGCGGGGCGTCGTGATTCTTGTGTTGGACTTGGTCTGCAAGGTAGAGCTGTTTGTGTCTTCGTCGACCGGAGTCACAAAGCCCTGCGCGGAAGCGAGTTTGGCTGAGGATTTCTTGCTGCTGTCGGTTGCGTCAATCGCGCTGCTTTGCTCGTCGTAGCCGGCGTACTTTTTCACTCGCATCGTGTCCGCCGGCAGTGCGGCCATACGCATGAGTTCATCGGTCAACTCATATCGCGGCAACTTGATCTGATCGTTGACCTTGGACGACACAAAACCACAGACAGACACAATATTGAAATCGTTATAGATGTCCCAAAGAACATCGTCGCCATACACAAATGTTCCAAATGTAGGACTAGCTCGTACGTGCTGATCCACGATATTGAACGTGACTTTCAGTGAGTCCGTAACTGCAAGTGTGTCGACCATGTCCCTGATTCCCAGAATCAGCGACGTCGCAGTATGCCGAAGCACGGCTCGGTTTGTAGTCGCAAACGCAAGCAGCATAGGACAGAACCGGTTAATCAAATCGCAGCACTCCCCAACTTGCCCCTTCGAGAACCGAGCTCGGATGATGAGGACTACGATTGTAAGAATACTCGCCAAGTATCGTGGCCTGTCTTCGGGCGTGCTCAGTGGATCCCATATGACGAGGTCAAATAAGTTTTCGTCATTCGAAACCAGACGAGCCAGCATCCACTCTAGCGACGTCCGGACCCGCGGACTAAACTCGGACTTCAAAACCTCGAGTAGCCGACTAGCATAAGACTGCCGCGAGGAGGTGTCGACAAAGTCTCCGACTAACAAGAGAAGTTCGGACAATGACACCCGCTGCAACTCTGAAGCTGCCTCGCCGCCTGTTTCCAACGCAAATAACGAGGGGGAGAAGTTATCGATAGCCTGAAGGATCGCGTGCGCAAACGACTCGGATATACTTTTGTGGCCCAGGATGGTAGTTACATGAGCCTTGCCGACCATTTCTGGGAGGTTTCTTTGCGTTTGTAAACCATCGCTCACGCAAACTTCAACAACTGGCTCGTCAATCAGAAACAAGTTGTCGCGGTTTTGCTGGAAACAGTACAGCTCGACCAGGATATCCGCAATCCATGTACTCTGGTTAAATTCAGCTGGATACGTGTTCAAAAACTCATGAAGATTGCGAGCAAATGTAGAAAGCACGAGTCTTCGCGCGTAGCCCAGACGAACCATCTCATGAGCAATGGCCTCCAACCTCTCGCTCGGCTGGTTGGTAGCCACAGCACGAGCTAGCAATGCTGGATTGAATATCACTTCGATGGCAGTAAGCCCGAACGACTGATGTGCTGTCGACGAATTGCTTCCGACCATGCTCTCCCAGATTTGATAGTTGATGTCGAGAAGGTGGGAGAGGAATTCCTCGGACGGATCAAGAGATGCAAGACTGTCTCTGATGAATTCGCAGTACAGGTTCAGATTCTCGGCGGTATGCGCGCTCTGGATTAGTTTGCCGATGGCGCTGATGATTGGCTGGAATAGTGTCTTTTCATGATGATACTTCATCCGGATCCGACATAATGAGAATACTGCGGTTAAGAAGTCGTTGAAAGCTCGGTAGAAATCTCGACTAGAAAAGTGTGTTAGCTAAAATCTGTTATAGTGCAAAGCCAGGAGACGTTCGGTATACCTTTGATGCACGTTACCGGTATGCTCAGAACGGTAAGTAATCATCAGAGAAGCCAGTCTATCAACGAACGACGAAGAGAACGTTCGTGCAGGAGAGCCCTCGGTTGCTGCTAAGCAGCAGATAGCACTCACTCTCCCCGTCGCCAGCTGCATCGGCCCAGAATCTTTAAGCGTACTATCAAGCAGCAGACCGCAGACTGAATTTGCGAGCTCGCAAGTCTCTTTGCCGCACCCCGGATCGTAAAGTTCACGAAGCTGATCCAGCCATTGCTGCAAATCCGGAGTTTCGATGGTCTCTTTTGCTCCGGTGAGAACAGAGAAGATCAAACTAGTCTTTGCGCTCAAGAATTCTGCTTTCTGAGCTTCTGGAGCTAACTCCAACTCTTCACTTGAAATAATCGCAGCAAGATGTAGCCGCATGTCCTGATCAATCGCAGAATCGCCGAGAATACTCAAGATTGAGGGTGGAATCGCTTTGTTCAGACTCAAGTGGACTCTGCAGCAAATCGCCGTATTTCTGCGCGCTCTATCATCAGACCAATCGATTGACGCGTACCGCGCAAGCTCAGAGGCAACCAATTCACTGAACTGATCAAGATGCAGAGGATTGATCCACAACGTAATATTCTCAACTGCATCATCCACACAGTCGTAACTTGCCAGTGCACCATCGACATACTGATTCACAGATATATAGTCGCCGTTCAGCAGCAGCCTCAACCGGCTCACGTACAAAGTCAACACTCTTTTTAACGTCAGGTTTTCAAACTTCATTTCTAGAAGCTTAAGCAGCCGTCGATCAGTTTCTAGGCCCATGTCGGTACAAAAGCTCCTCTCTTTGTACAGCACGGAGTAAATGCCGCGTAGGGTATATACCAGCAGCGCCTCAAATTTTTTCCTGCCTCGTTCGATAATCACGATATCGAGAAGCATATCAATAACCGAAACTGGATTCTCAAACGCGTGCAGAGCACGAGAGACGAAATCGCTAATCAGATCGCCATGAGCGCAATAGAACGATTTCCCTGCGGTCTCGACAGTGAAGAACGATGCTTGTCCGATGAACTCAAACAAGAGGTCAAGAAATTCAGCAGAAGAGTCCTTGAACAGGCTCAGTTGGGAGGCCGATAGGCTGAGCATAAACTTTGCAACTTCAACCCGGACGGATGAGAGAGAGGAGGTCAGGCCCAATCTAAGCAGGCACATTGGCCACAAAATCGGAACTGAGGGATTGTTTATCGCTTTTTTGTCAGGGAGAAGAGAGAATAGATCTCTCAGGGAAGCTTGGGCTTGATGTAAAGAAGCGTCGATGGCGATTATCCTAGCCACAGTGAAGAATTTGGACCAGAGGCGCAAGTACTGCGTACGACTAGTAATCTTGAACTGAACAACTCTGATGTTACAGGATTTCGTTAGCAGGTTTTCGGACCAAGTGATCAAGTAGAGCGCTTACCCAGGAATAGACACGTCGCCAGTTATTGAGTGTAGACTCTGCTCCAAGATATACAAACAAAGCTTTCGCCGTTCCGGAGAGCCTTCGACCAAATTCTCTGCCAGATCTGTCCAAAACGTCGGTATGCAAACGAGCTGCTGGAATCTCTCAGACGAAGTGAATCGTTGCTGCTCAACAACAGCAGTGAGAAAATATAAGGCCTGTGTATTGTGCAATGACAGCTGGAGTGACAGTCCGCGCGTCATCACGTCGATTGAGATGCGATAGAGTATGCTGTCGAGCATTGGAGGCGTAAGAATCAACCGACTAGCTTTCTGCGCAACGGTCTTGGAGTTGATTAATTGAAACGCATATGATAGCGTCGCAATGTCATTCAAGATCTCGCTGTCAAGCCCGGAGACTTCGGGACCTTGAAACAGTTCTTCCAGGAACTCGAAAATCGATGTTAATCGATAGACGTCCTTGGTCAACGAGTCTCGGGAAACTGACAACGTTGACAGCAGTTCAGACACAAACGTCTCCGCAGGTTTATCAAACGACAGCTCATCCGTCGCCAATGCATCAAAGGCCTCAGTGGCTATACACATCAGCGCTTGTGCGCACTGTAAAAGCACATCTCGGCCAACTGATTCAGGAAGATCACGCGCAATGATCACAGCCGCCTGGATCTTCGCGCTACTGTCTTCCACCAAAAAACCCTGCGTCGATTCTAGGAGGTGGTTAAATATTTTAGACTGCTCATTTGGACTTGTAGAGGCCTGTTGTGTCGTGTCTGCTTTGATCTCTGAAAATTTTAGAAGCTGGACTGTGGTTCTGACGGCATCGGGGATTTCCTTCTCTGGACAGCTGTTCAGCAACTCACTCTGCCTTGTCGCCAAGCTAGAACATTCATCGCACGAAAGAAGAGGTATAAGACCCGACAAAGGGCCACTGGCAAGACTCATTGCTGCAGAAGGACAATAATCTGAGAAGAAACGCGACCATCTTCATTTCATATCCCAACGATTAAAAAACTTTGAGCCGCACAATATGAGACGTGAGATTCATTCGCACCATATAAAAATATTGAGCCTACACATTGAGCCTACACATTTACAAGATATTTGTTGTAATTAGAATGAATTGCTAAAACAAGTTGAATTTTTATTTATAGGACTTGCATCAGATCAATCAGAAAACAAAAGCCAATATAACGTTTGAAGTACTTGTATAGTGAACACACACACAAAAAAAAAAAAAAAAGAGAAGACAAAGGAGCCAGCCTTCGAATCTGGCTGGTTTTGGTATCCATAATATATAAGAAGATTATCAAAATAATGTATATGCTTCGAGCCCGCTGTAAAACGCAATGAAAATAAAAAAATAAAGTAAAGGAAACCCAACCAACAAGCTCATATCAGAGTCATTACATATATAGAAGAAAGCCAAAAATAATAAAAAGACGACAACACAACGTCGAACTTCCCACATAGAAATATAGTGCCATTAAACAAGTCCCAAAATATAGAAATATAAAATAAAACCAACGAAGTGTAAAAGAAGAGAACAAAGACAAGGATACCAGAAAGAAAGAATCAGAAAAAACCACATAAATATTGCAAGCCCAAACTTTTCGATATAAGAAATACACATGAAAAACAAATAATGACCAAGGGATGTACTGATAAAAATAAATATAAAACGAAAACACTTTCCAAGTATTAAGTATATGGAAGTAGCAAAAAAATAGAAACTTCCAAAATCACAACATTTCCGGCTAACCACTTTTCCAAAGAATATATAGGAAGGATAAAAATTAAAAACGCGAAAATCAACACGCAGCAGCAGCAGGTCCTAACCAAGTAGGGACGATAGGCTCAAAAACACAGTAGTGGCAATTGCATTGAGACGAGTACCTCGACAAAAGACCGTGTTGGTTGTGCGAGTTCTGGTGAGCCATTAGATGCTGCTGCTGTTGCTGATGCAGCTGAATCGGCTGCTGCTGAGACGTATTGCAGTACGCGCCGGAGTAGTTACCATAGCGGTACTGTGACTGCACATTATACTGATTCGAGTAATAGCCATGACGATTGCGCATGGCCGGCTCCTGATCGTACCTGGTATCGACCCAATAATCCGCAGAGCATTGCATCGGAGGAGCTGACATGTGCGACTGGCTGATGGGAGCAACTTGAGGTGTATGAACAGATGACTTCTTGGTAGCATGTAGCGAATACTCATACCAATAGTCGTTCCATCTATTCCATACACCGATGTCATCATCATGAAGGTTAAGCTGCCATTTGACAAGCTTCAACCAATCGGTCTCAACCCTCGTAAGCTCACTGATAGGCAATCCAGTCACTTCACCCCAGGATTTATTGGTGAAGGTGTTGTCGTCGTTGAACTTGTTGGCCAAAATCAGCGAGACGATAAGGAGATTGTACTGAGCAGTCTGGTCAACAGCAGACGGAGCCTGCAAGGCACATCGTTTACTCAAGTAAACCAGGGCCAGTATAATCGTAGAGCCAGGCAGCCTAGTGGACGACAAAAGCTGATGAGTGAATTTGATGAGCACAGGGGATGGGGGAATCTTGTATCCCATGATAGTCGACGACATAGTGCATAGGAATTCTGACATGATATCAAGGCTATAGTCTAGCTTTGATGACACGCCACCGGTTTTAGGCTCCGACAAGGAAGTATTCTGCAACGCGTCATAGTGACAGGCCTTTTGCACACCTTGCTCAAGACCACGTTGCTGCAGCGCCATGTCGTTTCCAAAGCCAGAGAAACCGGACATTCCTTTATGGCCATTCGACAGAAGACCGGATTGCCGCTGACTGTTGCGAGCGTTCCAGTGGTCCTCCTCGAGCTTGGGAACCTGGTTTACCGCAGCTGCTTGACTCCAGTGCCCATTTTGGAAGGCGTCGGAGTAACCTTTTCTTTGGTGGTTAATCCAAGACTGAGAAAGAGCAGGGTTCATCTGGCCACGCTGCTGCTTATTTGAAACGTAGTGGCTTCCGATAGCTGCTGCATGGGGACCCATATTGCCGTTTGGGTAAGGTGCCAACATCTGAGGTGGCATGAGCTGAGGGACATAAGGAAGGCGAGAATGCTGGGAGAGTGAAGTAGGTAGGAAGTAGTCGACTGGGGTGTTGGGCTCCAGAGAGCAGAACCCACTGGAGGCGGAGGCAAAGGCGACGACCATGTTGATAGAGAAGGAAGCGATAAACTAGCAAAAGAATTGGGTTAGTACAGCACTCTCGAGTGAACTCGACTAAGAGCAACATACCTGAAACGTGAAACAAAAACCGAGAAGACGCTTTCAGAAAGCGACTTGATAGAGCGATGATAAACCACCGGGTAAACAAGAGCAAGACAAAAAACTTTTAGATATCAACGCATCTATGTGTGAGGTTGTATAGGATCACAGTATGCCCTGAGAGACCGCTGGAGATTCACCAGCTGTAAAACAAATAGAACAATAAAAATAGATGACAGAAGCCGTCCACGCAGAGCTAGAAGCCGTGAGGAGACTGAGCTGGAAGAAAGAAAAGCGTTTACAGCTGTTTCTCCATTAACCAGCGAAAACCAGTAAGACCGTTGACTCGAGATAGAAGATGCCGACGACGTTCAGTAAAGAAGTGCCAGGGACGAGACAAGGAGGTAACCGGACGGTCTAGCGAGACCCGAGAAGAAGATGAGGTGGAAGAGAAGACGGAGACTGGGCTGCCCAGAACTAGGAAGCTGACGAGCAGAGGTGGCAACGGCGGACTGAAAATCTCTGGCGGTGAGTCTGCCCGGCGGCGGACCCTAAACCTCTGCTGCATTGATCGCTTAAGGTTTGGCTGCTTGGCTTCTCGCTGCTGCTGCGAGGCCACCGCCTGCAGCCGCTCTGCGACCTAACCCAATCGGGAGATTACTTTGATGTAATGTGTTAGGTAAGCGTCTTAGGGCTCAACCCTACACACCGGACTGTTTCTCTTAGTTGTGACTGCTGCTGAGCTGAGCCGCGCCGCATCCGCCCTAACACTACGCCTGCTCTGCTTCCTTGTTCATCTGATCCATCGAAGTAGTTCCTGTACAGTATCTTCACCACAGACATACATCAACCACAATGTCCGAGACCGCCATTTCATACGGTAAGAACACCGCAATCGTCGAATTCGAGTCAGCTGGACAATCCACCGCTTTGTTCTACTGTTCTCGACAGCTTTTCCCCGGGGTACTTGTGTGCTAACGACCGACTCTCATAGCTGCCCTCATTCTTGCGGATGCCGAGATCGAGATCTCCTCCGACAAGCTCCTGTCGCTGACCAAGGCCGCCGGTGTCGAGGTTGAGCCCGTACGTTAAACCGCCAGATTTTGCCAGTAATTCGCGTTTCTCAAGTATTAACATCCCTCGATAGATCTGGGCTTCCCTTTTCGCCAAGGCCCTCGAAGGCAAGGACATCAAGGACCTGCTCACCAACGTCGGTGCCGTCGGATCCGCTCCTGCTGCTGGTGCTGCCGCTGGCGGTGCCGCCGCCGAGGCTGCTGCCGAGGAGGTTGTTGAGGAGAAGGAGGAGGAGAAGGAGGAGTCTGATGACGATATGGGTATGGAAGAGCCTTTTTCATTACATCTAAATACTGCAGAAAAACACGAAACTAACAATTTACTACAGGATTCGGACTGTTCGACTAAACAACGCGTGTTGAAAATGAGAAGCTAAAAATGATGGCTGTATATATATAATAATTCAGTATTTTGCGGCGTATAAAAAGTTGAAGTTGTCAATTCTCATCAAGAGATAATCCGGTTTATTCAAGGTAAACTGCATGTAGAGTCCAAGCAGGCTGTAGCCTCCGTCTATTCAAGCTACAACGTCGCAGTATGAAATCTCGACCGCGTCTTTCTCAGCAGTGGCAATTATCTAAACCATGTCGGACGTCATGTAGTGCCATTTTTACCCACGAAACCTGTCAGTGTTTCCAAATAACCAAGTAAACAAAGCTAACAAAGAGGCTCTTTATATGCCAGAACCTGCTCTGCACATTTCTTTTCGTCATTACTCTTTAATGCCCTCCAGGTGGCCGTCGTGAACAGTTACCAGACTCAAGAGTTTTCGGTCTTCCCAACTCTAAATTTGACTATTTAACCGTTATATTTTCTGCACTCTCATCAAATATAGAGCATAGAATATAGAACGATAGCTGTACATATGGCGGCAGTACTGAGCAGTGCAGACGCACTCAGTGCAGACTCTGGCAGTTCCTTTCGCTTGACGCTGTCTGGTATCTTTGGCACGATCAGCATAGCGTGTTGGGTGGTGTTGCTTGTGCCGCAACTTGTTGATCAATGGAAGCTGAAATCGTAAGAATTTTTTTTACCAGATGATCCGGCCTTCAGATGCATTTGTGGACCTATACTGACGCGTATATTCTATTGCAGTTCTGCAGGAGTGTCGCTTTTGTTTCTCCTGGTCTGGTTCCTGGGTGATATCGCGAATCTCATCGGCGCAGTTTGGGCAGGCCTTCTTCCTAAAGTGGTCGCATTAGCAGTCTGGTTTTGCTTCGCCGACGCTATCGAGCTCTCATCTGCCATATACTACCGTTTCTTCTATCACCCTCCTGCCAAGAATGGTCCTTCAGACTTTGAATCGGCTGGAGGACTGCTGGCGGTCTCCAGTGATGATGACGCCACCGACGATATTCCTCTCGATGATCTAGCTGAGGAGTCTCCTTCAGGCGCGCATTCAAGCGTCTGGAAGGAATACGTTCTCCCCATTCTTGGTGTTATAATCATCGGAATTATTGGTTATTTTTTCACCAACAGTCCAACGGACTCTAGTGACGATAGCAGCGAGGAGCCGGACTCATCGCTCAGCGTTGGTCCTCAAATTCTGGGATATCTATCTGCTCTTCTCTACCTTACAGCTCGCATCCCCCAGATCATTCAAAACCACAGAAAGAAGTCCGTGCATGGACTCTCCCTTCTCTTCTTTATGTTCTCTACTGCGGGAAACGTCACATATGCTGCTCAGATCTTGCTGTTCAGCTCCGATTCACGTTATATTCTTTTGAACCTGTCATGGCTGTTGGGATCGCTCGGTACGGTGTTTCAAGATGCGGTTATATTTGCTCAGTTTTACATATATAGAGAGAAAGAGCATGGTGCTGGTGTTATTAGACTAGAGGACGAGCTGCCTTCTAGAGATGAAGCATAAGAGTAATACTGCAACTAATTGGGAATGGTCTATGTTGGTTGATATCGATTTAGAATACGGATTTTGAAGGTTTAAGGCGTTCAAGAGTATAATTCAAACGTACAAGCACCAGTATCTGCTACTTTCGATTTGGTTCTATGACTCTATAATCTACTTACACAGTTTTGTCAATATTTACACGACAAAACGATAGCTCGCATCTCGTAATTGGAACCTGAATTTCTCTACTCCAGACATTTATTACGAGTAAGCTTCGATATTGTACCGAGCAAGTACTTGACAGTACTTGACAGTCTTCAGTAATATGTTATAGATGCATTTATTACGACCGCCGAGAAAGTTAAAACATAGTCCATATCTCATTGACTCACACCAAACTGAACGGCCAATATGAAACATGAAGCATACAATAACCCTCAACGCTCCAACAACATTTAAGTAACCAATCTTGAACCAATGCCCCTCCCCACCCCTGTACCATCAAAGAAAACGATAACAATCGAAAACACACACAGAATTACAACAAAAGAAGAAAAAGAAAAATAATCAATAGTTGGAGAAATTAGCTTCATGCACCATTATTATAGGTTCTCGCATGATCCTCATAAAAAACCCTTATACTCCAGATAGCAAAAACGACGATTTCGTAAAGTAGACACTTAAACACCGAAGGGTCATTATGCACCCGACCAGTGATTGAATGGCGAGAGCTCCTTTACCCAGTCTGCAACTCCTCGGATAGAGAATTTGAGCTACCAAATCTTACGATCTCGCAAATTCGACCTGGGCAGTCAAGCAGGTAATCTCAGTGTAATCCTCCTTGTATGCGCGTGCAACCACATTGTACTTTCCCTGTGAGTTTGATAGACTGTTAGCAGGAGTCTCCAGCAGGCAGTTCGCCATTTGCTAGAAAAAAACCTCTTCTTTGGAACTTACAGGAGGAATTTCACCAGGAAGCTCAACCGACTTGGAGAACTTGATCACGCCCCGATCCAACGGGCAAGACTTATCAGCCTTCTCGACCTGCTCGCAAAGATCGATGGTCTCCTTGACGAGTCGGATAAAGCCGTAGCGGACCTCGACCTCAACAAAAGCACCCTCACCGATGGTATCCTTGAGGATTCCCTCGGCCTCAATAAACAGGTCAGCGCCCTTCTGGGGAGGGTTGGGATTAATCTTCAAATAGGTGATGTCGAGCAGCTGAGAAACGTCGAGGTCGCAGACGAGCATGGGAGACTTGCCAGGAACAGGCTTGGTTGGAGCGCCGCCCATAGGCTTCGCCTCCATCAGTTCGAAAGGCATAGGCTCCTGCTGAATCGAGACAGCAGTAGCAGTAGCAGCCAGAGCTGCAACCAATGAAAGAAGCGAGAACTTCATTTTGCTGGACGTGGATGGTGAAGTGCGGTAAAGGTGGCAAGCTGTAGTATGCTCTGTGACATAACCGGAGGAAGAGACGCTGCCTGGGCGGAGAGGAAAAAGCCCTAATCCTTAGTCAAATGATAAGCGCTTATCAGGGTTGGGGTACAATTACATCATCTCTCGTCCATCGCCTTCGTTTGCTTCTGCGGCTTACGCGTTGTAAGGTTTTGTTCTAACAATGCTCAATTAATTCCAATCTCTGAACGATCGTCAAACACACATCCCAGAACATTTTCTGCCTCATCTAGATTTAGCATCTGTCCATGGAGAGCATAAAGCTGACGTGCCTCGCGCTCTAGAACCTCAGCAGCTGATTCAGGCAAGACTCCTACTACAGCAGCCGGGCTGCCCGCGACAATCGAAAATGGTGGTATGCAAGCTGTCGAGGGAATGACCGCGCCATCCCGAATAACTACGCAGTCTTTGATGATAGCAAACTTATCGACTATGCAGTTCTTGCCTATCGAAACATACGAGCCGATCGAAGCAGATTGTAGAACGGTACCGCTTCCAACAGACACGTAATTGCCAATATTCATGGGATAGTATGTAATAGCTCTATATCAGCCGTCATTAGTCAAGATCGCGCATTTACTCACAAAGTCGGACTGCGTTCTCACCCCTTGTAAATTTTGAAAGGCGGACGAACAAGAACTGCCTTGTCCAAAAATACGTAACGACCAACATTGATCGAAGCTGAAGATGAACCTGAATTTGACGGACGTTGCAAATCGCCTCTGATAACACAATCTGGCAGAATCGTCGATTTACCACCCATCAGAATATACTGAGATCCCACGATAGTTGCCTTTCGGGAAATTCGATTCCCAGATTCCTAACGAGTATTGTTAGAATCTTATATTGATCGTCTAGTCTTCCATACTCCAGATCTCAATACTTACAGTTTCGAAGTACCCTGCGCGTGTTTGCCGCGACTGTCTGTTTGACATCCTTGACAGTTGTGGTTTCTCAATAAAGATTGAGTTGTAACAGAGAATCCTCTGCCAAACCGTTTAGCTAATCAGACATATGGACTATAAAACACGTAATCCAGAGAGTCTCAGGAAAATAGGAAGCTTTCTGGTAACAATTTGCTGGACGCGAGAGATCAAGCAACCTTAAACCATGATTCTCTGAGCCGCCTGCCCCCGTTGTCCCGTAAACGAGGGTTAGGGTACAGAAGTAAATATTTACATTCAAGCGCGCTCGACAACCTTCGCGCATCGAATAGTACAACTTATCAGCGAAGCTTTTGTAATAACACGCCTCTATACTTGCTACCATCAACAATAAGCTACACGCTGAATATGCCCTAACATCTGACCGGAGTACTGTGCACGAGTAATACACTCTTATCTATTACAGTGTATCATCGCGGGGATTGCAATACGTGGTTCGCATGGTTCAAACAGTAAGTTCTTTGACCATTGAGATATATACACTCGAACTAATCCGACTTTTAGAAAATTGTTCGACCCTCGCAGCTAGGAGAGCCTGGATTTGGTCTCGGAACTTATAATAAAGCAGTTCATTATGTCGGGCATACAAAAACAGTCCTGGAGAGTCAGAAGCTCCTCACGAGTTTAGACGAGTTTCTGTCTCATATCTTGCTTAAGGAGCCTCCGATCGAGTCTCAGTTTGAGCGTTTGCTTGTGGATCTTGATTTGCTCAGGAGAACCGCCTACAAAATGCTAGGAGATGGAAGCAAGGAGTTGGTATTTGGCCTGCTAAGCTTCGTGATCCATTACCGTGAGCAGGTAATTATCTCCCTTCACTCTGACATTTTATGTAGGTTGCGACGTATAACTAATGAGTCATTAGGACAAATTTCCGATGTTCCATAAAGTCGCCGTTCGAATCCTTGAGAATTGCATTGCACTACTGAAGCCTTTGCTGCAGAATGTACAGGATAAAAGTCTCAGCCTCTATCTCAACAAGTGTAGTGACGTGTGCAACATCATTGGCGACACTAAATACACCACATTTATTGCAAATGCATATTTCAACTACGGTATAGCGTTATGGAAGATTTCTCGCAAAGAAGAAGCCTCGGCGGCTTGGAGCAGATATATCAAACTTCAGAGCTCGGCTCTGGCGGATAGCGACATCTCCGTGTTTGCTAAGAAGATTGAGAGAATAGCCATAGCTTCCATGGAGCTCAAGCAGTATTCCAAAGCAGCCGCTTTGCTGATAGAGGCCACTACCAAGACTTTCGCTCTTGATGCTTCCAGAATCGGCGACATGTCGAACTCAGAATCAATCGGCACAATCATAACGAGACTGAAAGATTCAGAGCATCTCCTTATGACTCTAGCCAACTGTCTAGGCCATATAGGCGATGTGTCGGTTATCAATCTTGATTTTCCCGAGATATCAATGCCTTGCAGAGGCGTTGTGATGGAATGGCTCACTCGCATCCTCATTTCCAGCCGGAAGAAATCAAGATCTTGCGAGGTTTCAGATATCCTGGTGCGGAAGTTAACCAGGCTGTACAGAGATCAGTATCCAATTCGAATGGCGAGGTATGATTCTTGATTTCTACACCCTCAACGATTCTCTGACTGCTGGGTCTCTAACATGATATAGATCGATACTTTTGAATTTCTCATCCAGCATTTCCAGAGATCAAAAGAAGGAATCGCTCTTGCTTCTCAAAACAGCTATCGAGCGTCTGAATGCAGGACCATACAATGCCGATGCGCGACTTGTCAGATTTAAAGACGATATGGTAGCGTCTCTTTCGTTATACCACTCCATACTTGAGTATCAACTGCTCAACCCAGAGTGTCCTCTACTGAGCAACTCTGTCGCCTTATGGTCACGCTTAATTAACAGCGCAAATATGGATAAGGCGATCATGGAAAAGCAAATCCTGTTAGCCAATTTGAGTAAGTCATGCCTATCCCTTTAGCTGCTTCTGTTTCTAATGTGATAATTTTGACAGACATATTATGCGATTTTCTTAGCATCAGAGGCGAAACAACCTCTCTCATTCTTATACTCCACTGCATGCGAAAAGTTGATGTCGTCAATTCCCAACTCATGTGGAAATGCTGTATCCAATTGAGTCGTTTATATCTCCGATTAGGACTTACAGGACAGTCCTCGGAACTTTTACAGACGGCATATTCCCTGATCAACGGATTTGAAGCCTCCACAGACCAGCAGACATCATTATACCTAGCCGATATCGACTATCTGATCTCCATTGGTAATTTGGAAAGAGCCAGCTCTCGTATGCTTCTGATACGAGAGTATATGTGCGAGAAAAAATGCTCCTCTCTAAGCGTCAATGCCCAGATCTTTCTCTCCATCTCGAGATTGCTGAAAGAGCTTGTATGTACTATTTGTTTTTATCATTTGATATTCTGCTGATGATTATCTATCAGGGCCGCTACCAGGAGTCAATAGGGTACGCAAAAACGGGGATCAAGCTGTTGAACCAATCAATTCACAGCCTACGGCTTTCATCCAATGAGAGTGCAAATAGTCCAGACACCGCGCCCTTCGGCAGCTGCGCTACCTGGCCTTTGGTAAGCCAGCTGCTAGAGAACCACGAGCAGCTTTTCAGAGTATACGATGCAATTGGAATGGTTCGCGAAACAGAGTTTTACATGTCAGAGACTACCAAGCTGGCTAGATCGGTGCAGTCGGCAATCCACGCGGAATTCTATGAGCTACTCCAAGCTGATTTTTTAACTCGCAGTGGCAATATACAGAAAGCGGAGCCCATATTGCTCGCTGCGATGAGCAGTTCGAATCTGCGCGAAAATCATCTACACTCTATACTCGTGAAATACTACCTTCTGCGCTATTTCCGACGTATTGGAAACGATGAGAGTGCTAGCGAAATGCATGACGCAATATTGGATCTCATCTATGCGACCACTGGGGACAATAATGTCGATACGCAACATTCTTCAGATTTGGAGGGCATGTTCACGCGCTTATCACTCCAATCGTCGGAAGGATCAGGCACACGGCAGCGAAAGGATAGCATTGATAACCATTTCGGACTTCGCAGGCTCGAAGCCAACATACTTCGGGCGCATGCAATCCAGCTTTTGAGTGACAACAATTGGTCGGAAGCCAAAGAGAGTCTTGATCAAGCTTCTAGATACAGTGGCATCCTTCTTGGAGATCGAGCGATGCAAAGTGCTCTAGAGTCTCAATTTCATCTTCAAGTTTTCGAGAGCCAGCTTCGCAGTGATCCGGTATTCGGAGTACTACAGGATTCGGCGCTTTCTATTCCCAACATAGTGCCACCTTCTGGTGGCAAGAAGACCTCTACACCTGCAGTAACTCGCGGAAGAAGAGCTAAATCCACTGTTTCTTCTAAGGGGCTGCAAGACGCCCATAAGGCTCTCCAGCAATCTCGCCAGCTAGTCCTCGATAGCTTTGTTCACGCATCTAAAGTTTGCTCTGCTTTTGAGAGACGCGTCATAGCAAATCAGGCAGGCAAGATTCTCTTGTTGCAGTCTGCAACAGAACCGCCAGACAGTTCTACTCCAGCTTGTGCCTCAAACTTCTTTTTTGGTACGTATACATCTCACATCTTGATGTGTCTAGGACTGTAACTAATTATATTATATAGAACTCTCCAGAGGTCTCTCTATTCAACGAGACGCTTCAGCTGTAGATGCAAGCTTGTATCCTTCACCTGAATTACTTCAACCAGACTCTACTCTGGATAGCGTCCTTGATCTTAATGCATTTCAACAAGAGTATGTCAACTCAATTCCTGACAATTGGGTTGCGGTATCCGTTAGTCTCTCTGAAGAGTCGGGTGATCTTATTGTGTCACGATTCCAAGCTAATGAAAGCCCGTTTCTTTTGCGGCTTCCACTAAACCGGCATTGCAGTCGCGATGCGGATGAGGATTCGTTCTCTTTTGCTGATGCTAAAGCAGAGCTTCACGAGATCATTACAAAAAGCAATGCGACTGCCAAGGCCTCTAGAGAGCTGCATGAGAAAGGCAAAGTTCTCAAGCAACAATGGTGGTCGGAGCGCCGTGAGCTTGATCAGCGCTTAGAAGAGCTTTTGACTAATATGGAATATTGCTGGCTTGGAGGTTTTCGCGGAATTCTGAGCGGTCTCAAATGCAACTCCGAGCTTTCAAGCAGATTTTACAATTCTTTCATGTCTATTTTGACGAAGCACCTTCCGACTCGAAGGTCTGCAAGAACACGTCAGAGCACCGCGAAAAATCGTGCCACGGATGTGAAAATAGATCCGCGAGTATTGGAGCTGTTTCTTGGACTAGGAGATCCGAATATCGCAGAGAACGCCGAGCTGTTGGAAGACCTGATATATTTCACTCTGGATATCCTGCAGTTCCATGGCGAATATAATGCATATGATGAACTTGATATGGATCAGATTACCGTTGACATACAAGAGATCATTCGTTCCTATTACGAGAGTCTGCACGATGAGGATGATAGAGTTGAACATCTGGTTTTGATACTTGATCAAACCGTGCAGATGTTTCCGTGGGAATCCCTTCCATGCTTGAGAAAGACTTCAGTTTCGCGGGTGCCATCGCTGACAGTTCTGCGAGATTTGTTGGCACAGAACCGTACCGAGACGGACGGGCAAATTCGAAGTCTTGAGAGAAAACAGGGGGGTATATATTAAACCCTTCTGCCGACTTGAGGAACACTGAGTCGCTGTTTAGCCAGAGGCTAAAGGAGCTGCCCGAGTGGGAGGGCGTAACGGGGAGAGCGCCTGATGAAGCAGAGTTCAAGCGACTGCTCGAGACGAAAGATCTCGTTCTATATTTCGGCCACGGAGGTGGTGAGCAGTATATTCGGTCGTCACAAGTCAAGAATCTTGAATGTTGTTCGGCAGCTTTCCTGATGGGATGTAGTTCGGGACTGCTTCATGATTCAGGCGACTTCGAACCTTGGGGCACCCCGGCGAACTACCTGATTGGCGGCTGCCCCACATTAGTCGCTAATCTATGGGACGTCACGGATAAAGACATTGATAAATTCTCGGACGCAATGTTTCAATCATGGGGATTATATGGAGAGAACTCGGATATCAGTTCTGAGCTGGGAGAGCGTGGAAATCTGCATCTAGGTGAGGCTGTTGCGAAGTCGAGAGATTCTTGCATTCTGAAATATTTAAATGGGGCGGCCCCGGTGATTTATGGACTTCCGCTGGCATTAGCATGAAATAATTTCGGAGTAACTATCACGTTTGCTGTAATTAATATGACTATATATTCTACGAAATCATACACTTCCCAAGCCAACTATCATGAACCGCCACACGCCAAATAATTAGGCAACCACACTTCTATTAGCGTGGCGCAATATATCAGAAGTTAAGCCTTCTCTAAAGTTTCCGACGTCAGTCATCAGAGAATTCCACTCCTCAAGCAGAGATTCAGGTAGAGTAACAGGCCGATCAATGACCCGTCTCATGTCCTTCACGTGTCCTGCCATCAGCTTAATATGCCTCTTAACAGTGTCATTCTCTTGTAGGAGAGCGCGACGTTTTGATTCTGTAAGTAAAAGTTAGTAAACAGCTTCAGGAGGTTTACGGAACCCGGATATATTACCTTCCACTTCAGCTCTCTCCTCGTAGTATTGAATAACTTTTCGAAACTTCTCCAGCTCCTGAACCTGGCTATCTGACTGCAACTTCTGCGAATTTGTCGTAGTAGCAAGAGTATCTTGAAGTTTGTTGATCGTGTCTTGCATTTCCAATAACTTCTGATCGCGTTCGGCAGCCGATATAATATCCTGATTGACAACCGCACGGGTTCGGATATGTTTCGCTCGGCTGGCGTATCGTAAAGTAGAAAGAGTCTCTTCGTAGTCGCAGGGGCTTACACAGGCAATCATTGCTGTTTTACTATTGCCGCCCAAACTATCTTTCAGAAGCCAAGTCAACGTCGAGTCTCTGTAAGGGACTAGTTCCTTCTTTTTGCTGGAAAGTGCCGACTCCGAAAGAATGTTGATCACTCGCCCTAAAGTGGTGAGACTTTTGTTGATATTAGATCCTTCTCTTAAGCGGCTCCCGCTGGCCCCTGTGGAGTTTGCCCTCTCAGATCCTGCAAGATCAACAAAGCGTATTCGGGCGTTCATTTCTTCGGTTGTTTCGTCTAAAATAGGATCGCTCACTATCTTTTTGAGACTCAAAGTGAAAACCGCATGTGACCGACTAGAAGAATCATTCATATTTGTTGACGCTGTAGCACGTAGTTCATTTCCTTTCCTTAAAAGATTTTCCACTTCTTCAAAGTTATGAACTGAGTGCGACGATAAATCTTTGACGTAGGGACCATCGACAGGCGATTCCCTGACTTTCAACGGAGTCGGCTGGCCCTTCAAACTCCTTGAAGTCAGGAGATCATAAACGTTCTCGTTATAGATTTCAAAAAACGTTACTTTCACTGTGAAACTGGTGGTGCTTGTCGTCATCTGCTTGACGCGGTCAAAGAGGTCATAACAAGTTTGAGGTATAATTCCTGGCTCATTATCAGAGCCTATCATTGTATATGATTTCCCAGAGCCAGTCTGACCATAAGCCAAAATGCAGGTATGATAGCCGTTGAAACTGTGATCCAAAAATTCCTTTCCGACGGTTTTGTACAGCTCAGGCTGACCAATGAAGCGATTTGAAGTCGATTTATCTACTGACCAAAGTGATGCATCGAAAACAAACTCCTTTGAAAGCTTTGAGCGCCGCTGTATAGATGCTGTATCGGTTTTGTCGCTACCATTGATGGTCTCTTCAGAATGAATAATAGTGATGTCCGCGCTCGAATCCATCGACAGCAGGCAGCGACTACCTGCCGCTACCTCACGCGGCACAAATGGACGAGCACGTACTAGTACTCGTACATTCCCCTGACCAGATGATGCTAAATCTTGAGAGAAATCTTCGGAGGAAGCAGCGCTGGACCGTGGCAGTGCTGATGTCATGAGCTTGTTGGGAGTGAAGGAACCCATCGAAGATCGCACCGATAGAGACCGTTCGTGAGCAGGATTTTCAGCCGTCGCATCGCTAGAGAAACTAGAGTGACTCTCTCTCAATAAAGCCGATGAAGTGGGCCGTCTCAGAGGTGAACGGGGTCGGGAGACTAGATGTGTTGATGCGACCTTAGATGCAGGCGCACCACCCGTATCCTTCGGCGGTGCCAGGTTGACCGAGGACCTCAAATCCCCATCAAAGGCTTTCGCAGGCGACTCTCTAGATCTGACCACTCTCTTTGGCGAAGCTGCTCGTTGCAAGGGCGGATGATTTGCGCCATTATTATGCAGTGAGCTGACCGGCGTAGTCGGGCGCGAAGAGAGAGACGACGAGAGTGATGCTGAAGGACTGACGGCTGAAGCCGGCGGCTTGATGTAGTACTTTTTAGGAGAGTTGACCAGTGAAGACATAACTTGAAGCTGGTAGAGGGTTGAGGTTGTCGTTGCTGTTGACCAGACAAGAGTTGGTGTGCAGTCAGTGGAGATGAGAAGCTGGGCAGGGAAGCGAACCTTATTTTAGAGTAAACAAATAGACCAATGTGGTAGTATCACAACAAACCGTATTGGGCTGAGCCTGTGCATGACTTCATGCTCTGCATAATACACTTTGATATACTGATAATGACATTTATTGTTGATATATTAAACCGTCCTCGCTCGTTATTGACATTCGTAAATGATAAATCCAGAGATCGCCGTCGTACCCTACCGAATCCGTTCCAATCCTTCGTATACAGCGGTACGAGCATAATAATTACGATGATAGCAACTACAGATTAGATGAGGCGAGAATGTTTATTATATTAAAAGATCAAGTTAAAGCGATTGTCGATCAACAAATTATATACCCAGATAGCTGCGATTTGATATTTTACAAAGTATCGACAACAGCACGAATACAATCACCCTGCTTCATTGCTCCGAAAGCGGCGCTAATTTCTGACAGAGGGAAACGATGGGTGATAAAATCGTCGACCTTAAGCTTGTCCTCCATATAATCCTCAACAAGCCCGGGAAGTTGAGAGCGTCCCTTGACACCACCAAAAGCACATCCACGCCAGACACGTCCAGTCACGAGCTGGAAAGGACGAGTAGAGATCTCCTGACCAGCAGCCGCAACACCGATGATAATGCACTCACCCCATCCCTTGTGGCAAGACTCAAGAGCAGCACGCATGACCTGCACGTTTCCGGTACAGTCAAACGCATAGTCGACGCCGCCATCAGTCATAGCAATCAACTCCTCGGTGATAGAGCGCGACAATTTAGTAGGATTCACGAAATCAGTGGCACCGAATTTCTTAGCCCATTCCTCCTTGGAATCGTTAACATCAACAACGATAATCTTTCCAGCCTTCTTCTGAACGGCACCCTGGATGACAGAGAGACCAACGCATCCAGCTCCAAAGATAGCAACGTTATCGCCGGGGCTGATCTTAGCGGTGATAGTAGCAGCACCGTATCCAGTGGTGATACCGCAACCCAACAAACAAGTGCGGTCCATTGGAGCCTTGGGGTCGACAGCAACGACGGAAATGTCCGCAACAACAGTGTACTGAGAAAATGTTGAAGTACCCATGAAGTGAAGGATGTCCTTTCCGCGGGCTCGGAAACGAGTGGTGCCATCGGGCATCAGGCCCTGGCCCTGGGTAGCACGAATCTTTCCGCAAAGATTGGTCTTTCCGGACTTGCAGAACTTGCACTCGCCACATTCAGGAGTGTAAAGAGCGACAACGTGGTCGCCCGGCTTGACGCTGGTCACGCCTTCGCCGACAGACTCGACGATACCGGCACCCTCATGTCCGAGGACGACAGGGAAAGCACCTTCGGGGTCCTTTCCAGAGAGAGTGTAGGCATCGGTGTGGCAAACTCCAGTGTAGTAGAGCTGGATGCGCACCTCATGAGCACGTGGAGGCAGAACCTCGACGTCCTCGACGGAGAGTTCCTCACCTGTGATCGATCGTGACGATTAGCACGGGCAGATAACGGCGAGGGAGACAGAAGGGGAAAGAGGATAGAAACATACCGGGACCCCAGGCGATAGCAGCCTTGCAAGTGATAGTTTTTCCGACGGTAGACATATTGCAATTGGATGAATTGAGGAAGGATGTAGACAGGGTAGAGAAACAGAAGTCTGGAAAATTCCGATCGAGGGCGAGCCGCTGCCAGTTAAATAATAGGCGTGCGAGCACAGAGCCGACGTCATGGAAGATATGCTCGACAGTTTTGTTTGCCCTGTTTGGACTTCGGCCCTCGCCCCACCCCCGGCTGCTGTCCGGAAAACTGCTCCAAAATAGCGGCTCCAACTCCCAGCGGAAAAACTTTCTCACTTTGAGCTCGCCACAACGACCTCGATATCGTCCTAGAACGGCCGGGTTTCTTGTTTTGTACACTTTCGCATCCCCCCGTCCTAAACAAAATGACTTCAGTCCGAAACAGACGCAAGCAAAAGTCTTCCCTGCCGAGACAGACCCGCCGTCTCAATGACAAGCGCAAGAAAGTCCGAATCCTGTCCAACGCGATCATCGCCGCGCAGTGGGATGAAAAACTCACCCTTTCGCAAAAGTGTGCCTCTCCCATTTTTCCTGTATAGCTCTGATCAACACTCTTTCAACACAACTAACCACTCCTCATTAGCTACAAAAATCTTGGTTTGACGGCTCGCCTTAGCAGACCTTCTGGAGGCACCCAAAAAGAGCTCGGCAAAGTCACACAATCTTCTGCACAGCAGCAGCAACAGCAGCAGTTGCAGTCCAGCGCCGTTAAAGAGGCAAAAATTGTTCGCAACCCCCAAACCGGCGAATTTGAACGTCTGGAGTATGTATCAACCGAATCGGTCCTTGACGCACCGGTGACTCCTTCCGTTACTGCCGCAACGGACGTTGTCAAACAACTGGAACAGTATGCTGCTCGGGGAGAGCGCACTCGGGAGCGTTCTCAGTCGGAAAGAGAACAATACTGGATCGAAGAGTTGATTGAGGTCTACGGAGATGACTACGAAAGGATGGCACGCGATCGCAAACGGAACATATGGCAGCAAAGCGCCGGTGATATACGGAGGCGGGTTTTGAAGTGGAAAAAACAAAACAAGTAGATGTTATCTAGTTGGAAATATATATTGTATATTCTTGACAAAATTTTGATGTTACCTACATTTTAAGCCTCACAAAATGCAGTGTAGGTTACGAGCATTTCGCCGTTGCCAGCATACTCCACCTTCGTACCAGCACCCGCAAAAAAAACAAAGCCAGGCTGAGCCTTCAACGGTGGCTGCCCAGGAGTATTGAGAGTGCCAGTTCCTTCCGTCACGATAATGATACTAGGCCCAGCAAGCCCGTCGATGGCCTCCTTTCCATTCGAGATCTCAGTTCGGATAACAGCGAACTCAGGGATAGGAGGATCGTACAAATGAACAGTTCCATCTCCCGAGGCTCTGTCGAACGAAGCAGGCTTCATTTTTTGCTCATCAACGGGTGCACAGTCGTAAGTTAGCATAGACACCAAATTCTTGACGTCTTTGAATTTGGGAGTAAAACCAGCACGCACGACGTTATCACTCGCCGCCATACACTCTATAATATCTCCTGAAATGTAAGCATGAGGATCCTTTGCTTTCAGAAAGATCGCTTCGCCAGCCTTGAGAGTGACATAGTTTAGCAGAAAGACTCCACAGAAAAGACCGATATCGAGGGGAAATTGGTCGTTGAGGCGTAGTATTAAGTCAGCTAGCGCCGCATCGCCGCTGGCCTTTGCAAAATTACCGCCCTCGGCTTTGACGCGATCGATCAGGGAAGCAGCTGCCGTCGTGTAAACGTTTTCCGGAGAGATCATCACCGCATTGAAAAGCTTACGCAGCAAATCCTTGTTGTGAGCCTCATCATCAGCGCTGGTAGCCGGATCCAAGAGCTTTGATTCAAAATCAGAAGCAACGCTATCTGTAACCACCTGACGGAATTCAGGGACGTCATTCAGAAAACTTTTGATTTCGGAAAGAGGTCGAAATCCACAAAAACCTTCAAATTCATTTAGCGCGATTGCCATCTCCGGCTTGTGATTATCGTCAGGATAATTCTTGGGATCAGACTTGTGTAGCTGAGCGGCCAGTTTCTTGTCCGGATGCGCTTGAATCGAAAGCACCTTTTGGATTGAGAGAACTTTGAATAGAAACGGCAGACTCGATGACCCGCTATCAAACTTCAGAGCAACGGGTTCCCCCACCAGAGAAGGATCTTTCTCGAGGAGAGATTTCAAAGTGGCCTTCTCAATCAAGGCCTTCGAAGGGACAGACGGGTGCGTACCCATCCACAACTAAGCAAAATAGACAGTTTAGTATCTTCACGCTTCCAAGATACGGACTCTAAATTTATTCTTACCTCCGCGTATGGCGAATTTTCCTCAATGGTGAAGTTCGGATCGGTCGCTGCGGCAAATTGAGCTACAGAGCTCGACTTGCCGATTTTACCCCAATCGTACTTTTGAGCACCTAAAGTAGACGATGAGCAATGTCCAACAATAGGTTTCAATCAGCAGTAAAAACTCACCGCATTGCAGTTGAATAAGGGTCGCCATAATGATTGTTGATCAAGACCTGAAGAAAGGATAGGTGGCAGCTAGCGAGCTGATGAGAAATGAAGCAGCAAGGCTGCAGCAACAAAGTTTCACGCGTCGAGCGGCGGCCGCACGACGCTCCTGCCGCTTACGGTCACCCACTTCCGGTTGTCCGCTTTGATATTCCATAAGCCAGAAACAAGCCAGAAATAAGCCAAACATTAGTAATATTATGCGTGACAGCCTGGCTACTAAGTTAGACCACTTGCCGCAGCGATCAAACTGGGCTCAGGCCTATGCTCCCAAGAGACCAATAATTTCACCTAGCGGATAAATAAGTCTCCGAGTGCATTTAGGATCGTACAACGCTGTGAATGATGATGACGATAAATCTAATCTTATAGTCTGTGTGCAACGACCGGGCTTTAACGGACCGATTCGGTGCCGCTGTAACGAAGTACTTCGGAGCTTGCCATGTCTTCTGAAGCGCGAGTAGTGTGGCATTTACCAGCTCAGTACGCTCTATCGCCATTTGCGCATCGCCATTCGCACCTCTGTCACTATTATCGCTAATATCTCAGCCCTTACCAGCAAAGCTCGTAGCTCATAAAACACCTTTATCAGGGAGAAACTACGACATTTAGGATATCTATCGGTGCTCTCGCAGCACTATCCTACCTCCAGGCGCTAATCAGTCCATATCACCGCCGGTGGTTCATTGCATATGACATCACGTGCACGTGAAACCCCCTCCCCCTCTGATTGTTTTTTAATTAATCGATTTATAGTGAAGTCATACCTACCTTGATAATCTGATATCTTCTTCAGTTGGAATTTATAAGTTCTTACTATTATTTTGATAGGAGGTTCTTTGATTTATCTTTCTAATTTGCCTGCCCGGATATTTGAATACTCAGCTTCTTTATCCTACATCGAGTGGCGCGCGGGGTATATATCGCACTCCCTGCCACACATCGCCCATTCTCATCCAGCAATCATGACTTCTGAATCAAAGCTGCAGGCAATCGATGAATATATCCCGGTCAACGGGATTCAGTTTTATACTAAGCAAACTGTACGTAGCCCCGGCGGCACCGTACGTACGCGCAAAGATCAGACCTGCGCTGACTTAAACTCTTAGGTCGTACCGAAGGACACCAAGACTGTGGCCAAAATATTCTTTATACATGGTAAGCACTTTGCTCAGATTTGAATAAAACGGTTGGAACGGTATCTCACCGTATATACTTGACGAAGGATTTGCGGAACATGTCAACCGTTACACCGAACTGTTCGAGGTTCTGGCAAGCAAGGGAATTGAAGTCTTCGCATTTGACCAGCGCGGTGCTGGACGAACGGCCCCCGATCGCAAAGACTGGGGTGTGACCGAAGAGAAGTTGGTATATGAAGATATTGATGCGTTCATATCCTTAAAGATGAAGCCCGACTTCAGTGCTAGCATGGGATCTCCTATACCGTGGTACATGATGGGCTTTAGTATGGTAAGACAAATGATTCCTTGTTGATTTAGCGAACATGATATTGACGATGACGATAGGGAGGGGGCATATGTTTGAATTATGCTATCAAAGGAAACTATCGTGATCTGTTTACAGGATATGTGGCCATGTCTCCTTGTGTCCTTGTTCATGTATGGTCCCATTCGATTCGAATCGATTTATGATTTCGACCCTCAGCTAACATCGAGAAGCCACGAACGCGTCCAAATCCGGTTGTGCACTTGATACTTTTAGGTGTTAGCAAAGTTGTGCCTCGATTACAATTCGACACAGGTATCGTCCATGAATATCTCACTCACGACGAAGCGGAAGTTGAGGCGGTACGTAGCGATCCGCTGTGTCATGCTACTGGAACCTTAAGACAGTTATCTGATATGCTTGATCGGTGCGTGACTCTATTACCTTCTTTGCAGATCTCGACTTTGTGTAAAAAACGACTAATTCTCTATCTTCTCCAGTGGGAAACATCTCTTGGATCATAACTATTATTCGAAGATAGCAGACAAGTCGGTGCTGATTATACACGGCGATGCCGATAAGGTCAGCAATCTCGTTTATTACACGCTTGGTATTTGAAGATTAACATTTGCAGGTCAATTCCTTCGATGCTTCGAAACTTTTTTTCGAGAGATTACCGATTAAAAACAAACATTTCGTTGTAATGGAAGGTGGCTATCATGAATGTAAGCTAAAAGCCTGCATGTTTGAACCACATCAGTGACTGTATTACATTTGCATCGATACTAACAAGCAAACAGTGCATCACGAGCGTCCCGAAGATAGGCAGAAGTTCTTTAAAGAACTCATTGACTGGTTCTATAACGATGCATCAAGGATTTCAACAGCATCATCCAAACTTTGACCAGCAGGAAAGCGGAAAGAACACTCAACACTGAATCGCATTCTATGGACAGACGAAGGTCTTTTCACACTTGTCAAGTACCTTTAGAAGACCCACATTGGCACTGGTCATTGGTAGGATCAGCAGATCCCTCTTATTCAGAGCCAGAGGGGTGAGTTGTGGATCAAGCTTTCAGTGGATTTGAGAGTGAGTCCTGCTAATCTCGAGATGGATGAGCAGCAATAAGGATGTTGAATGAAGTGAACAGCTTGGATGGTTATGATTGATAGTTTGCGTCTCTAACTGTTGTTTGAAGTGTGATGTAGTGAATTTGCGAAATCTATCTGTGTTTTTGACTTGGTGATTTATCTTATGTTGAGTATTTGTAATTGTGACATGATCCTGCGATCTATTTTGTTTTGTTTTGTTTTGTTTTATCATTTAGTGGAGAAGGAGGACAGTCTGTCATTTGATAGTTGTTATGCAAGGACTTCAAAATCGATCTATTAATCTTTCAATAATTTTCTCTTCTCCACTTTTCCATCCAGCTTCAGATTTCCGTTCCCTTCATTAAGCTATCCAAGTATACCTGCTTGAAGTGGAGGACAGGATGTCCGGTAGGAGCTTTTATTCAATCAATTCCACAAATGGAAGGTAGTGAAGTCCATAGTATAAGCCAATCCCCAATACCTGGAGGATTCCATTTCTTTCATTGCTTTGGTGTAAACTATATGCTACTGCAGTGGCAGATTTAACAATGATGATGATAATAAATCTCTGTACCAAGTCCGTTGCAACAATGACAGAAACAATACAGATTCTGCAACCAAACTAATTTTTGTTGAAAATCAACAAGGTGAAAATTGCGGGGGTTCAATATTATGCCAAACGTCAGGAAAAGCACCAAAGCGGGGCATGAACTGTAGATCTAAACGGAGCAATGCAGCAGCTATACCGCTGGGCCATTATTATTATGATGATGGTTATCTGTTTTGACTGCCGGGCCATATCACTGCTCCCTCAATTCAAAATATTATCGAGCGGACATTTCTGCATCTTTTTACAAGTGCACACATTATGCATCATTCCTGCGCTAATGCCACTGCGTCATTTGTTTACCTCAGTGCTCTTTTGCTGTTCACCTGCTCATTTCGCAACGCTGGGGACAACGCTGTTGGCTGGGCTTTTACTGTTGGGGCACATTAGACATGAAGAAAATGGCATTTTGGGCACTCAATCAGCTCTGTACTTTGTGGCGATAAAAGCCTTAGCAAAGGCCACAACTTGGACATCAAGACAAGATGATGGTCAAGATGATGGTCAAGATGATGGTCAAGATGATGGTCATGATGATGATGATAAATCTATTTTTGAGGTCTGCATGCAACAACTAGGCTATGACAGACAATTCCCCCTTCTCCACTAAATAGTAAAACAAACGAAACAATGTAAAATGAAATAGATCCAAGATCGTGTCAAAATAATAAAGAGGTCACATAAATTAAATCTCAAGGTCAAAAACACAATGAGATTTTGCAGAATTCACTATAAAATATCGTGTTTAATAAAAGATCGAAATCCGAAAAGGCCTCTCGCTCTTATCTTTTCGACAGCTCTATATTGCTCTCATCACTTCTCTTGCAGACTACGGCACAGAGCTCTACTCGACCGAGCAGAAAGTGGGGGTAATTAGCAGATTTACAAAGCCACAAAATGATGCATCAGGATGATCTTGGGCGCGTTCAGGGCCTCGCCAATTGCAACGCTCGAATGTGAAGCGGCGGTCCCTCCAGCGGCCATCAGACTCTGACGACGAATGCGAAAGTATGCTCTTTGACTGGCGACACTCCCAAGCACTCATCCTCTTAATTTAAGATGTGACGCTCTTCCCAACCACCCGGAGAAGTCTCGCACGTCTCCTGTCGCGCCTCATGGGAGATGGTTCCAGACTGGACCCAAAGTGTGCCTTCAATGTCGACTAGACTCCCTGTTAAAAACTATTCAGCTAGATGTTAAACTCCAATGACGACGGAGATGTTCAATGTTAGGGAATATCCACCCTGGCGCGTTCTGGACATCTCTAGCAGGCTTGAGACATTACTAGAAAAGGAGATCTTGGAAATCATCGGCAAGGGTTGGCATATCTACATTCGTTTATTTAGTAAGCTGAGAACAACGCTGATGGCTGGGCATTCACTGCCGAGCATGGAGGGCAATTCAAGCATGATGAGTAGCTTTTCGGGCTCTCAATCCGATGCGATAACTGCCTTGGCAAAGGCCACAACTTGGACAGCAAAACAAGACTGTCAAGCGCGGCCGTTCACTTTTTCACTGATGTCCATGCGGTCTTAAAAGCCTGAAAAAGCCTCGGCGCGCCTCAAATCAAAGCCGAGCTACTTTGATCTACAAGCCAGCGATCGACTGTCTGTAACCAACACCAAAGTCTCTATTTATTGGCTTCGCTCTGCCAGCAAAGTAGAAGGCAGCATTCGTTCCCTGGCTTTTCGCTCCCTGGCTTCAGCGACTCAAGCAGCCTCGTCGCCAGACCGCGTCAATCATGAATGCTACTTTCGCTCTCTTTATAAGCTCGTTCATGACCTCGCTTTCGAGGAATGGAATGCCAGGTTTCAAGCCACGCCTCGATCGAGATATTATATATATGGAGGCAAACCTCGATTATCTATCGACCGGCCCCTTGTGAATATCCCTCGCAGCGTTGCCAGTTGTATTGCGAGCTTCCGGACTGGACATGGCTTCTTCAACAGCTACTTTGCAGGACATGGCAGAGAGCCTCGTCCTTCTCCAAAGTGTTGGTGTGGGATTCCTCTGCAGTCAGTCCAGCATGTGCTTCTTCTTTGTCGCAAGCACAGAGATGAACGACGTATTGCCTTTGAAAGTATGCCTATGGCCGAACGCACGTTCAATCGCATTCTATGGACAGACAAAGGTCTTTCTGCTTCTGTCAAATATCTTCAGAAGACCCACATTGACACTGGACACTGGTATTATCAGCAAACCTCTCTCACACAGAGCCAAAGAGATGAGATATGGATCATTACTTTTATGGATTTGAGATCAAGCGTTGCAAATTCTGAGATGGACGAGTAGCAGTGAGGTCTCTTAAGGAAGTTGGTAGCTTGGATGATTATTGATGATGATGATGCTGATGAGTCTTTGAATTATAGTCTATCTACGACAACTAGGCTATGACAGACCACCTCCAATACTCCCACCAATTTTTAACACCACTTTTCAATCCAAGTTTAAATCTCCATCTCCTTGATTTAGATATCCAAGTGTGCATGCCTGAAGTGGTGGACAGTCTATCCAGTAGGTGCTTCTATTCAATCATTTCCACAAAGGGAAGGTGCTGTTGTAAAGTCCATAGTATAATCCATAAATCCAGGGGATTACGCTTCTTTCATTGCTTTGTTGTAAACTTGGTGCTACCGCAGTGAGGGGTTCAGTAAAAATTTTGCGATCAAGACCATTATTTGTTGAAAATGATCAAGGCGAAAATTGGGAGTGCTCAATATTTCGCCAAACTCCAGGAAAAAGTTCCTAAGCGGCGCTCGGGCTGTGGATCCAAAAGGAGCAATGCAGTGGCTATACCGCTAGGCCCTACAACTGCTCCATCGGATGGTTATTATTGATTTTTTTCTGGATTTCTGTTTTTTATTCGAAACACGCTATAACGCCTAGCCCCTTGTAGCGGCGCGCTTCTACATATGAATATAAATATAATCCGACCATTCCTCCTTCTCTACAACATCCCACACCAGTCAACTATGGCATGGCATCCACTAAAAAAGAAAGTCGAGAGTTCTAATTTATTAAGCTATCCAGATAAAAAAAAGCGGAGCTGTAGAAGCGCTGCTAAGGCATATATTTGATTGAGAAAGTACCTTACAAGACAGGATGATCAACACCTTTGACAGTATTGGTGCGCGAATTGCTTAGAATCGAACGAAAGAGAGGTGGATTATTTTATTTGATGTATTCTTAATCCAGAAATATGAAAATCGATTTTTGTTTGGCAGATGTGGAGATATGGCTTATATTTTACCGGCAGAGCACAATGCATGATGCGTCCGAAAGAACTGTGCCTTCAGATTTGCCAAATTACAACATAAGGTTTTGAAGCGCGTCTTACTTGTCTGTTAAACTATTGAGGAGCCCTTTTTTACCAAGATCTCGCAAAGATAAACGCATTGGAAGTACCACACTTGGATCCCAGAAACACCGCCCAATGCTCCAGAGGCTTTGAAACTGCCCGCCTTGGCACAAAGTCACATAGATCGTTATCAGGGAAGCTCTTAAAACTCATTTTTCATAGCGATTAGCTTACATGCAAAAGATATGGCGATGATGATGATGATGCTAAATATTGGTTTCAAGTCCGTTGCAATGACTAGGTTATGACAGACTATCTCCCCCTTCTCCACTATATAATAAAACAAAGTAAGCCCCAAGATCCCGTCACAATAACGAATAAATCAATAACAGATAAATCTCAACTCAAAAATAAAACAAAGAAATTCTGCAAAATTCACTATAACATATTTAAAATTAAAGATAAAACTTCAAATAATTCAATAATAGCGTCCAAGCTATCAAATTCTTTAAGAGACCTCACTGCTACTCGTCCGTCTCGAAATTTGCAAAGCCCGCTCTCAAATCCACCAGAAAACTGTCCATAAGTTACTGCTCTGGCTCTGAGTGAAAGAGGTCTGCTGATGATACCAGTGACCAGTGCCAATGTGGGTCTTCTGAAGATATTTGACAGGAGCAGAAAGACCTTTGTCTGTCTACAGAATGCGATTGAGCATGCGTTTTGCGATAGGGATACCTGTAAAGGCGCTATTCAGTCTATCTCTGTGCTTGTGACAGAAGCACACGCTGAACTGACTGCAATGAAATTCCGCACCAGCACTCTGCAGAGGGACGAGGCTCTCTGCGCAAAAGATATGGCACGGTTAATATTCAAATCCTCTTCATCGGAGTCTAGGTCCCAGCAACTT